GCATGCTTCAAAAAGGATGATGAGGCGAGGAAGGCTATGTACAGGAATGGAAATTACGTTGGAAAACGATACATAGAGCTCGTTCTAAGCAGCCAATCGGAAATGGATAAGATTTTGAGTGAGGGCGTACGATTTCGCCGATTTGAAGGAGAGCGACCGCCTATGAAAGACATCAAATCCCAGACCGAAATTAAATTGAGGTCGAATGGTGTGAAAGAGAGTTCAAGGAGTAGCCGAGATACTCCTCGGCGATCAAGGAGTCGAAGTCCAATTCGAAAAAACAGTAGTGTTGATGGTTCTAAAAGTCAGAGGGACCATGGTGCTTCGAACCATGTGAATGAGCGACGCGAAGCCAAGAAGTTCAGTGAACGTAGTAGTTTGCGAATCGTAAACGGGAGAGGTGTTAATGGACTGTCAACAAAACGAGACGAACAAGACCGGAGGGGACGGAATAAGGAAAAGAGGAGGGATCTTGTCAAAAATGTTAATCGACGACGTTCACGAAGTTACAGCAGAGATAGGGAGGGAAAGGGAACCCGACGTGAGACCTCTTTTGCCAATGGAACGCATGAAATAACGAATAGTTTTATAAGTATTCCCATGAGCAGATTAAATCGAGGTCGCCATGACTCAACCAGTCGGGATGGTTTAAAATCCACGTGGGTTCATATTACTTCTCTACCTTACAGTGTTACTGAAGATGAAATCGTCCAGTTTTTCTCAGGGCTGAATGTGCTGCATGTTCATCTCATGTCCCACGCATCTGGACCATATGCTGGTAAAAATAATGGAGAGGCGTATGTGGAGTTTAGGACGGTTGGAGACCGTATTCAAGGAGAAGACAGAAACCGTCAGTTTATAAAAAGTAGATTTGTGGGTGTAAGACAATGCAGTGTGGAAGATGTGTTGGCTGCCTTGGAGAACAGAGATGCTTGGACACTCCAGGAACCAGCTGTAGCTAGGCCCAGCTTCTCTCCGGAGAGTACAATGTATTCTGTTGGGAACTTGAACAGGAAGAGTCAAAATCTTTCAGCTGCTGACATGGGTATGGCTAATGTTGTAATGAATTCTCCAGGAAAGATACCTGTTCCTACCAATGAAGTTGGTGGCATGGAGGGGCAAGTAAATCCTCTGAACCAGCTTGCTGCAGGGGCAAATATAAGTATGAATGATATCCAAGCAGGTTGTGTGATTGGTATGCGTAATTTGCCCTCCACTGTTTCTGCTGAGGAGATTTTGGATTTCTTTTATGGGTTTCCAATTATTCCAGACTCCATTCGTATTCATTACCTTGCTCCTGGGCGATCATCTGGGGATGCCATGGTTACATTACCAACAAGAGGGGAGGCTCACAGTGCAATTAAACAGCTGAACAACAAACCTGTTGGAAAGCGAAAAGTTCAACTATTTTTGGTCTAAAAGAGAGGACGATGTTTTGAAGGATATTTTAGGAGGGATCATGTACAGATGTATTTTCTTAAATTTCTAACATTTAGTATAGTTTGTAATTCATATAACACCTAGAGGGTTTTAAAAGCAGAAGTAGGAACATTTTCTCTGGATGCCTCTTAATATTGGTATGACTTTAAAAGTTTGGGTAGTATGAAATAATTTGATGTTGGTCATGATATGAATAGTCAGTATTTCTATGGAAAAATCTTATATTAATATGAAATTTTGGTTGAGGTAGTTTTGAGATACTTTTTTTATTTTTAAGTGATATAAATAACCAAAAATCATTTTATCAGCTAAATCTTGTACAACTGATCACTGGAACACATTCTAATACATCTGGTAGTGGTACACAATTTGCATGATCAGGATCAGGGGCTTGTTTGCTACTCAAGTTCAAAATCTATTGGCTTGAAAATGAGCTTTGGGAGTTATTACATATGAAGTTGGATCAGACCTTACTCAGTCAATTATTTACCAAGTTCAAGTAATCTGGATTTTTTGGTAGTGTATAGGGCATGAATGTTTTTGGCAGCACTCTCATGGAAAGAGGATTTATTCAGGAACTCTTCATTTTTGTATTATGTGAGTTAACAATATGTTTATTGGGAACTGTATTTTACTTGGACATGTATCCAAGTTTGGTCAGTATTCTGCACAGTTTGGGTGGAATTTTTACTCTGACATGGGCAAGGGTTAGAGTTTTCTGGCTTTATGTGGAGACAAATTTTTTAGAAAGGCAAGCAATCCACATGGTTTCTCAAAATGTTACTCCGTTTTTTAGGTTTGTGGAAAAGCAACCAGTTTAGGAGTTACGTGTTTGACCGTTTTGTAATGACCTTTTTTGTATCAAGGCGAAGTTTTTTATTAAAATTTCAACTAGCGACTGAATGATCTCTAGCCCGCTAGTAGAGATGCAAATCAAATCTACTTCGATAAGAATTTTCTCGAGAAAGTATGTACTCTTCTTGTTATGCATCAGTGAACTTTGCGATTTGTGATTGTTGTTTACATTTGCATGAGAAGATTTTCTGACGGTTTCATTTGGTTGACAAAGCTCGAGGCAATTCAACAGTGCAGATTTTCTGCAAAATCATCTTACGAACAAAAGTGGTTGGCGACATTTTTCGCTCGCGACAGTGGTGGGTTTTGGCAGCAGGCATTGTTTTGGAGCTTATTCTGTCTATTTTTAACTCACATGATTGTCACGCAAGGCAAGAGCAGCTGGCACGCAATTTTCACATTTGTTTTGAGTCATTGGGCATGGGTGCCTTTCAATTCAGAGATCGTTCGCCAAGCATGAAACGCCCGTGTTTTGGTGGGTTTTTCGATGGTTTGGTTTGTTTGTTTGTTTTTTTGTTTGTTTTTTGTAACACAATCCGCTTAAAAGCACAGGTAGGGAACTCAAAGCAGCGCTTGAGAACTTACTTTAGTCATCTGTGGAATTCAGGTTAGACAACAAGGTGACAGGCAACAAATTCTAAAAGAGGTAATGCGCGTCTGACGGCATTCGAAATGTAAGAGCAAATGAATTCTGCTAAAGGAACATCAGACTCGACTCCTCATAAATAAAGTTCAATGTTCAATGAACAATAATGCAAGTTTCAGAATTCAGACAAGGGATTTGGTTAGTGACTGAGCCTGTTCCAAAGGAGTGTCTTTCCTTAACCAATTACAACAAACAATTTTAGTTGAGTCTGAGCATGTTCCTCTCAACAACAAAGTAAAAAAATTTTCCTTAATGTTCGTTGTCTTAGGCCCTACATGTGGTAAAACTTATTCGAAAGAATGGAAGTGTAAGTATTGGTGAACATTGCCATTTGTTCGGTAGATAAACATTCTGTAGAGCGAATTTCAGGCCTTTTAGAGCACTTCGAGGCCATGAACTAAATTTAGAAATTTATTTACTACTTCAAACACGGACAAATTGGATTCTGACAAATGGCCCTATTTGATTATAGAAGGGGGTTCCCCTTATTTCCACTTGGCCGGAAAGTGAATCTGTCGAAGCCGAAAGGTCTTGAACTTGTCATGTTACAGCTGTTAGCTTGTCTATGGTCTGACAATAATCATCACAAAACGGCAATATTTAGAAAGTTGAATCGAAATGAAACTGAAAGGAAACAAATAGAAAAAGAAAAGACAAACCGGTTTGGGCTAAGCATTGTATTAAGTCTCGCACTGCAGCAACCAACTAAAAATTTCTGACTTGTTTCAGTCCAAAATAACTTGGTAACTAATCTGAGCGGCTATTAATGCATTCAGATATGCTCTAAAAACTAGAAATAACCAGTGGATTTAAACTTATCCGCGCTCCTCTACGAATGGGATAAAAGACTTAAATAACCTCTGCATGTGGTTCGGTATGTTAAGCGAATAACGCCATGCGATCACAGATTGCATCATTTCGTATTATACTTGAGCTTACGTTTCATACTGAGACGTAAGGTCACATAAGCCTAGCAGACTTTAGTCCACTTTATTTCGATAGGGTGCATATTTACAGCCAAAGACTATAGTCTCCCTTATGGTCCTGTGAAATAACAAAGTAAAGATCACACGATTAAAAAAAGAATACCAAACTTTGAAGCAAATTAAATAACTTAAATATTCTATCAATTTCGAAGCTGTCAGGCGTGAATTTCCTCAAAACAAACTCAAAGTAACTTCGTTTAAACTTATTCACATGGGAAAAGCAGACTAACTCATTTACATTGTTTCACAGTTTGACGGTATTGTATAAAAACATTCGCTTCATATTGGGAAAAACTAAGGGAGAGGAAAATAATGGTAGAACTGGCTGCAAAGTGAGACTGATTGAAAAATTAATTTTAAGTTATATCGTGCGTTCACCAACAACCCGATCTGGAATTTTGGAACAAAAGAGTTGAAGAGAGAAAAGCTCGATAAATTGAGTTAAACGAGTAGCGTCCGAGAGCCAACTATCACCCTTTTAAAAATTGTTATCATAAAATTGGTCATGTACACTTCAATTAACATAACGATCACATTTTTTCAGATTACCTTGCATGTTTGAGGAGAAGAGAAGAAGTTTTATATATTGTTTAATATACTGTAAAGTTTCCAAAACATCACAAAGATATCGCGGTTGAGTAGGCGGCCCATGCAATCTATATAAATCGATTAGGTAAAGAAGAAACATTTTTCTCTGAAAGACAAACCTGTAGAGGATCAATTTATATTGGCAATGAGTATTTTGCTCTGCATGTATAACAGGCTAAGTAGGGTATTTAAAAGTTTTCCACCGTCAACTATCAAAGCACTTACTTACTTCCGTGTGAGAGTGGACGAAGCGTAACAAAACTTCGATGTGAGGTTTAAATTAAGGTGACAATATCTTTTTTTTAATACAAAACTTTCGTGAAAACAAAAAATAAATACAAAAAAATATAAATTCATAAATAAATGATTCAAACAATGTTAATATGTTCATATGATAATATATGACCTTAGCAACCCCCTGGGTTTAGCCAAACGAGAGTGAAAATATGGCGAAGTAGAATCCATCATCCAAGAGAAAAAAAAAAGTCTTGGAAGTTACCCATTCTTCGCGAGAAGACGTGACGGTGTAAGTTTTAACGTAATAGCATGCATTAAACTTTGTCCATGGCTGGTTCTCAATACATTTAAAAAATAAATAAATATGTATCAAATACCGAAATCACTCTAATAAGCCTCTCTTTCCTCAGTCATAAGCCTTATGCCTCTTCCTCCTATCTAATAGAAGCTGTTCATTTAGGCTAGGTTACGTTTTAGAATAAAGTTGTCTTGTCAGTTTCTGTTTTATTCAAAGTAGGTTTTCTTAACAGAGAAATGCAGTACTCGATATTAATCGAGGCTAACTATAGGTCAGAGGAAAAGTAACGACTCGCAGTTCGGCTCCATGAGTTAGTTCTTGGTGAGCCCTCCTTCTCTCCCTCTCTCTCTCTCCGTCACTCTGAAAAGCTCCTTATCTAAAAGCCCTAGAAATTAACAAGCCCTCAGAAGAGGTTTAGTAGAGCCTTAACGACAAATACAGGGTTCAAAATTATGTCTCTCAAAGACTGATGCTTTGTTCTTGCTTTGTTTATTACATTGACAATCCTCTCTCAGCCAATGCTCGTGCTTTTTCTGTTCAGCCAATAGGAAGAGTCTGTCATTCGAAATCGCTAGTATCCTCGTCACCATCTACACCTCTGTCACTCCTCCCCGTTCTGTTTAAAGACTGTTGCGATCCCATCGAGCCTTGAGAGCTGAATCGGTTTAGCGAGGTCTGAGAACCACTTTTCGCCACATCCAGGGTAGAGGGAAATGATGCAGGGTGAAGGTCATTCTGGAATGCCTATGGACAAGTGGAGACAACGAGAGTTTATCATAGCCAGGGGTGGATGTATGAATTTTTGATAGGGGGGTCCTTAACTTTCATTTAATTATTTTTTCACTATGGCTTCAATAAAATATCATTTCAAAATAACTTACGATTTAAATACTTCATATCGAGTAGTAACATAAATCCTGTCACTGCACTACTTTGATGTCAGGCAAGTGTTAAAAAACCCCAAAAGTCTGATGGTGGGGAGGATCAGACCCCCTTGCACCCTCCCTCCCCCCCCCCTGATTTACCTCTGATAACCAAGAGTTGAATACAAAAAGAACTTATCAGACTCTGCAAAGTGTAGAAATGCAAAAATCTAACAATCCCCTTAAGAGCATGATGGGTAATCAGGACAAAAGAGAACAAAATTCAAAAAAGAAAAATTATATGAAATTCACTTTGTGTTTTTGTTTAATTGGATCATAATGTGACAACAATTCTGGGAACAGCTAATAAACAAGTAACAAAAAATTTCTCTAGGCAGGAAAATCTCCTTTGCCAACAGGGCTCCTTTTTCCTCATTTTGAGTATTTTAAGCCTTGTAAACAGTTTTGTATGGGAACTTGAAGGTTATAAATAACCATTCATTAAAGGAGAACCCTTCTCCCCTCAAAACACCATGATGGAACAATCGAGCAATGGGTAGTTGAGAAAAAAAGACAGGGAAAAAGTCCTGTTGACCATAACTTTTCAACATTCAATTTGTATAGTGAGTAACAATTGCCTTGTTGCTACAAAAGTGTCAACCAATTTGATGGTTTTTGTAAAGAGAAACATGTATGAGAAAACAGCTTTGTTTCCCACTGGCCCACACAATGAGCCAATAGTCCATTTAACAGTCGCATGCTTGGTTGCCAAGCCTTTGAACAGGAGTGAGGCTAAGGGTGACCTTGTTATGATACAAACTTTGCTGCTTTTCAAATGTAAGTGACTTTGTTATCATGCTAACAAGATACTGGTCTTTATCACAACATGGTCAACTTCAACCTCACTCCAAATCAAAGGCTTGGCAACTAAGAGCACAACTGTAAAATGGCCTATAATTTAATTTTTTCTCACACACATACATGCATGCTGAAGTACTGAATTAACAATACCTCTATGTCTTGCTCCTCATCCAGAGAACCCAGCCTTTGAAATGCAGTTGTATAGAGCTCCAGTGCTTTTGCATGAAACAACATTTGACCATGAAAAAAATTGCTAAATACTAGCTGTAAAAGTAAAGATACCATAATTTATCAAATTACATTTATTTCTTGAGTTTATCAGGCTTAATTGTTTATTCAGCTCATTAACCCTTTTACTCCTCAGATTTCTTTAGTAATTCTCTTTGCTGTTAACGTTTGCGATACAATTCTCATGATGCTAATTTAAAAAATCTGGTATTATTTCAAGTAATAATCCGTAACTGATATTTTTTCTTTATTCTCAAAAGTTGTCCCCTTAATAATATATTAATATTGTAAGGAGAAGTTCTGTCTTGGTCACTCATGGGAGTGAAAGGATTAAGCAGATGCTAATCAGAGAACTCAGCCTGATATTGGGGGATATGATAGAAGATAGAAGATATGATACTTTATTACAGACCTAAAAATAGGCATTCACTTGATCTATGATTTTGACTAACTACCTTGTCCTTTGACACCATTACAACCAGCATACACTCTCACCCTAATATCTTCAATCTTCTTTCTTTCAAATTCCACCATTTGTTCTTCTAGTGTCTGTCTTGATCGGTTAGCATCAACAGTTAACTTTTGCAGGTCCTGCTCAGCCTGGAATGTAAAAATTTACAGATTATTTAACTGGAAAAAAAACTGCTGTTTTTGTATCAGCAAGCATTATGAAGTCTACTCTTAATTCTTCAAGAGAGCCATAAGAAATAGGACATTTTCCTTTGAAATACCACCATAAATGAAGCCTTCATCCACTAGAATTGAAGTTGCCACCCACCTGTGACTGTTTAACGGTTAAGAATAATATTCTCACTGAACAATTTACAATAAAACTGCAGTATGTATTCAATATGTAACAAATTTATGTCCCTAATAGGATCCATTCAAGTCTAGCTATTGAACAAGAATCCTTGAAATTGCCTTAAAGAGGATTCAAGGATACAATTTTTCCCTTGTTCTTTGGTTCTTTGACCCTAAGTTTATCCACTGCTTTGCGTTTTATTGATTCTTTTTCTCTAGTGACAGCCAGTTCCTTGACATATTCTCTAGCATGTTTGACATTTGTGGCATTCAAGGACAGTGGGGGAGAAACCTTTGCTTGTATGAAGTCTACCTGTAAAAAGGAAATTTTTATCATTGAAATTTTTTGGAACAAGATGGGGAGGGGGGGGGGCTGGGGAGGCATAAAAATTGTGGCAAGCATGAAATCTTAACATACAAACACCAACAGTTCTCTAAAATAAGTCCACCATAACTAACAATAAGGATAACAGAACATGAACAAATTATAAATGGAAACATTCTATAGTCCCACTCCACATTAGAACAAAGATCCAGTCAAGTTGTCAGCAAACTACATTTAAGAGAGGCAAGGGAAGGACCACTTGGCAAACAAAAGACCATGGTTGCAGGTATCCCTTTTAATCTTTTTTTTTTTCAAGACTGGGAAGAGGATAACAAAGGGTTTATAAGTGATGCATGATTTAGTCCAAAATTAATGAGACATGTGAAGTTTTCAGAAACTAAGGCAAGGCAGGCTAATAAATTATAGTTTTCCATTTAAAATTTATGATGCTTGAATTTTTCTAAACTTTGTGCATGAAATAAGATCAGGACCCAGCCTGTGCAACCCTCTGCAAAGATAGACATTATTGGTGATTTTTAATCAATAAAAGGAACTATAAATTCCTTGTTACCTGGGCTCCCATATGGTCCTGCACTGCAGCTATACTTTCACCGATACCACCTAAACTTGCTTTCATTGATGGGTACTCATCATCAGCAAAGATATCTACACTCTTCGATAGTTTCATGCCTTTTTCTTGCAAGGATTGCAGTCCTGTGGCAAAAGCTGTAAAATCTTTTAGTAACATGCTGAAATGTCTCTCTGCAAGGTTGATTCTCTCTGCTATAACTTTGTTTTCATGGTCCCTGAAATGTAACACCAGTACATAGTTTAACCCTTTAATTCAGAAGTGAGAGATAATTAACATGAAACTTCTCAGCTTATGATGTCTATACATTATCCAGCAAACAGGTAACTCATCTGGTAGAAGTTTTTGTCTTGATCTAATACCAAATTCTTGTAACTAATCTACAAGGAAATGACTAGCAGCTAGAGGGGAGAATTAACAAACAGATCATGTGAGTGAAAGGGTTAACCCTTTCACCCTCAGGAGTGAATGAAAATAAATTTCTCTTTATAATGTCAATACATTTTCGTGCAAAAAGGTTACGAAAGGAAAGATAAGTATCGGTAGGGGATATTAATTGATTTGACAGAAAACTCTCATTCCTCAAATTCTAATGGGAAAGCATAACAGACTGTGTAAAGAATTGATATTTATATCTAGAGAGTGATCATGAGAGGGCTAACTCTGTTATGTGTTTTAATGAGGCCAGCTCTGATTGTCTGCTGACAAGCAAGGTTCTCTGCCTTTTAGGGTCTGCCTCATACTGAAGGAAGGATGCTATTTCTCTCTCTCCCCCATCTAGTCACCCTTGATGTATCCACCTCAGAGAAGTGGAAGTGCCCCCCCCGTCCCTTATGAAAAAACAACTGCCTCATTGAATAACCACCAGACGATTCTGATAATTGACTCGCAAAAAAAGGGAATTATCCATTAATGGATGAATCAGAACCAAGCTCTGCGACCGTTTTATAACTTTGTAATTAATATGCGTAATCTATTTTTCAAATCTTTAGATCGTGAAACTATATAAATTATGTTTGCAAACCTTGCTTTCGTCTCGCTTCTCATCTCACTGGGAGTAGAAGCATTCAGATTTGATGAGGACTTCTTCATCTTTCACGGGAATTTCACGGATCGTATGTAGATTCTTTGCGGTCACCTTCCTGCAGTGATCTGCTCGATAAAATTATGGACGCGATCAAAACATCACCAAGCAACCATGTAACGATTGCTTTCCTCTAAAATTTCTCCGAGGAAGATGTAGCTTTTACTTCTTACGCACTATGATCTATGTACAAGAGTCTTCAGGCACAAGCTCGCGGTAAATTCATTCAGCTAGATCTCGAGATTCTACAGCTTTAGACCACAACTACGATCGCCACTTCGTCCTGATACAACAATTTCCCTCCTTTGTCGGGAGGTGAAGGGCACTTTTTTTCTCCTCTTACACATGCGCACTTCTTGTCGTTTTCCGGTTCGCCATCTTGTGTTTCCAGGTGAACTAAATGAGCGAATCCAAAGGCGTCTGTATTCATCGCAACACATGTTTATTCGTTTCTCTGACCTCTGAGAAATATACTGGATTGTGCAGCTTACTCTGATGTTGTTATAGCGCTGTTGTTTTCTGTATAATTGGACAGACTGTAAGTTTTGTTGCATTCACGTGGTTTGATTAAGGAAGGAATTAAGGCTTAACGTTTGTAGTTTTGTGTTGTTGGTCGCTAAGAAAAGGGCTTGGTTACCTTAATTGTCGTTTTTCTATCTCTCTTTCGAATTTTAGACTCTGAAATATTGCAGTCTAGATCTAAACCCAGTTGTCCGTGTGTTTGAAGCTATAGAACTTCCATATTAGTAGTTCCAAATTGTACTGACAATAACAACCAGACCTATTTGCACCACTTGCCAAGTATTCAAAAGGAAGAAAAGTATACTATTGTATGTTTACCTTTATAACAGTTTCCACATCAAAGTGTTGCTTGTAATGACAGGATATTTAAAGCTCCAAGATTTTTGACATTTTAACCCCCAAGGTGTGGCTGGGTTTTAATTTCTCCTTGTAGCAAAAATATTAAATCAAACATTAAGGTCATGAGGACAGAGGTAATGATCATCAATTTAAGGAGCTGCTGGTTGTCAAATGAATTCAAACTGTCAGTACCAGAGGGGATGTAAAGAGAACCTTGTAGTGAATATGAATAATAACGCCAGAGTGTAAGAGGTTAAACAAAAGAGTGAATAGTCTTCTGTTTACAAACAATTGATGAGGTGTTGGAAATGTTTATAAATGATTCCACCACTTGACTGGATCTTAAAAATTACATAATAATGATCCAGTCAAGAATATAACCAGTAGCTTGGGCTGCAGTTCTTTTCTGTTTCATTTCATATTTGCTGTGCAAACATACAAACAGTTCCATATTGCACTACACCCATGTGGAACTCTTGTTCAGCTCACACTTTTCGAATGTGGCTGAAAGGAAAAGGATGAGATTGTTCTACAATCTGTGGAAACATTTTGTAATTTAATTTTATATCTTTTTATTTCAAAATTACCATGACTAGTAATTTGTATCTGTAATTACTCCACTTTGTCTAGATATTCTCCAAATATACACCAAATTGAAATATGGCGTCTAATTTGAATTGTAATTGTTCTGGAGTGACTAGCTTCATCTCAGGTGGAAACACAAAAGGATGATCACATGTTTGAGAGGCTAGTCAGTCCAGAACAATGGCATTCAAATTACACACCATATTTCGATTCAGTGTATTGTCTTCGTTATAATAGTTGTTGTCTGTCAAGACCTCTATGGAATTTTATATTGTTTTTTTTTTCTTGTAGAGACACCCTCTGACATCCTGGAACTTTAATGCGAAGAAGGGGAGGTCCTCCCCCATGGGGATCACGCAACAGGTCGCATCCTCCCTCACCACCACCACCACCTGAGTATTATGACAGGTTTGATCACCCACCACCTCCTCCCTCAGGAAGGGCACCACCTAGATTTCGGGATAATCCACATTTATCAAGACCTCCTCCTTGGATAAGAGACAAGTTTGATGGTCCACCCAGACATCCACCATGGGCAGATGATTACTCTCCTCCACAACGCTGCCCGCCACCTGGTTGGTCAGCTCCTCAGGGCCCACATCCTCCTTCATTTATTGATGATGGTCCATCCAGAACCCCCCCATGGAAAAGTGACTCGCCCCCACATCATCCACCCCTTCCTCCACTCAATGATGATGATCCTCAAAGAACCCCACCTTGGAAAAGTGACTCTCCACCTCGTCCTGCTCCACGATCTTCATTTGCTGATGATGACTTTGATATTCCTCCTCCCCCCCCTCCTCATTATCTTCCAAATAGACCACCTAGAGGAAGAAGGAGAGCTGGACGTGGTGGCATTCCTGGTAGAGGATCACTCAGTGGAAGGGGTGAAGCTCCTAAAAGAAGAGCCATGATTTCAAGAGGTACAAATCAAGCAAAGGTTGCCATGATGAGGGGTGCAAATAATGGAAGAGGGTCTTCTCCAGCCCCAAGGGGTAGGGGTGCAGCCATTACAACTAGGGGAGCTCAAAGTGCAGCAAGGGGTATGCCTATCACACGAGGACAGACTAGGGGCAGAACCAATGGATCTAGAGGAGCAGCAAGGGGTACTCTTACATATAGAGGAGGAATATGTGTCTCCAATATTAATGGTAATGCAGACAGTAAAGAGGATATATCAGGACTGTCAGATGATACTAGCAAAGGATTGGCCAAATGGCTGAATGCTATCAGGAATGGGAAGTTAGATACAGAATGCCAAACCTCAACAGAGGCTGCTGGAAACAACATTAATGCAGCATTGCCACAGAAACAAGATTTTCAATCAACAAATACAGATGCAAAGACTGGAAAAGGGAATAATGTGAATAACTATGGCGCAAAGGACAAGCAAAAGACACAGCCTAGTGTTGTCAAAGGTACTTGAACAATAATTAGTGCAAAAACACACAGAACACCACAGAATTAATGTGCTAATCATTAGGAAGCTTCAATTGCCCCCCCTCCCTCCACTCCCAGACAACCCACAGGCATTTTACCTTTGTCTGTGCCCTGGCGGTGGAAAATTTGAACCTTACCTGGCTGGGGTGGGGAATTTGAAACAGAATTATCAAGTCTTTCCAACAGAATACAAGTGTTACATCTCATTGAATATGAAAGAGTTTAAAAGTAGATAGTTCAGTTTTGCCAGCAAACAGCTCAGAATGAAAAGTGTACAAAGTCAAGGTGAAAAAGCTTGTATCCTGTAGAAAGTCATGATCACTGTTTTGCCTTTTCCATGGAAAATTGAGGCAGCATTTGAACTCAATTTTTTTCTCTTGGGGGCATGATAACACTGAAGCTTGCTAGTCAGGTGAATGAAGGTGCTCTTACCTCCTCTTTTTTTTAAAGCACAATCTACGAGGAAGGCATGACATTACTTGGAATTATGTTTTTCAGTGAAATACTTCAGTCATAAAATATTAATTATGAGTTGGTTTGTGCAATGTGACTAGCAGAGTTCTCTTAAAATGCTATCAACCTGCTATAAATGGTTTCTGTTGATTTTTCAACTGAATATCTTATGGCAATACACTTGACGTTTGGGAAGGTATGTGAGCTTGAGTGCTAGTAAGATTAATTTCATGTATAGTTTATTGTACAAGAGCACAATAACACTACCTCTGAGGGCAGATAGTGATGAGAATGAATACAGCTGTTTTGAAAAGGGTTGACAGGGTTAGAGGTAAAAGTGCCCATGACAACCCCTAAAGGTATTGTCGGCAGTTTCCAGGTCACAGTTCCTTGACCTCAGAATTTCAGGGAAATCTGAGAAAATGTCTCTGAAAGGACCAGGCATTGGGGGTTTGATGAATTTATTTGTTTATTTCACTCAGCGAAACTCACCTATTATCAGATTATTATTACCTTTCGAGATTGCAGCTTGCAATTTTGTCCTTTTTTCTGACAACATTTCTCAAAACAGCTGTATATCTTTTCCACCAGGATAAGTGATCAGGTTTTAGGTAAAATCCTGTCCAGTTATCCCTTTTTTGTTAACCTTGTCTTGGTACTTTTTATTTACCTGTTGCTGGGTTTGTCTTGTTGTTGCAGTACCTGGGAATCCTGACTTCATTTCATTCAAGAACAGTTTACAAGAATGTTGCCAGAAGCAGCAGTTACCAGTCCCTTCCTACACAACTTGGAAAAATAGCTTTGGTTACTCAGGAAAAGTTGAGGTTGCAAACAGTACTTTCAAAAGTACTGGTGTTCAAGGAGAGCGTAAGGAGGCCGAGCAAGGGGCTGCATATTCTGCTTTAATGGCTCTGGGCCTAATTGATGCCTCTGTCAAGTTTGATGTTAAAACTGCTGCAGGTATACATGTAGTTTCTTTTTTAAGTTGAGTTTTGGCTATAATTACAGTTATATGTGTCTTAACTCAGAAGGCCTCAGCCTGTGAACACCTTTGACAGTTCCATGAGGATTGTAGTAATTAACAATTTTCCTGTGAGTGTGCGTTGGATGTGAGATGGTAAATAGGCAACAAGGTGCATATTGCTGAGTTCGCTGTAACCGATCTTGCACCTGAAAAGCATTAATGGAGTAATTGTTTGTTTGTGTTTTTTTAATTTTATTAGTACATTCTTGGATGTTTGAATATTTTCAGCCTCCAACACATAGCAATGCATTTCCTTATAAGGTGACTCAGAATATGAGTTGATAACCAGAGTTGAGTGAACCAATTAGAACATTATTTAATGTAATGTCTAGGTTTGAAAATTTGATAATGATTGTTGTTGTTGTTATTATTATTATTATTATTAAATTATTATTATTATTATTATTATTATTATTATTATTATTATTACAACAGTTATCTGTAAGGGGGTGAGGGGCTAATCATTCTTCACTCGACATGAATATCCTTCATATGGTTCTTGGAAAACTCTGTAGTTTCATGAAATTTTTCAGTATCTTTATCCAGGGCTAGAAAGATGTGGGTCATCGATAGTCATGTTAAAAGAATTAAATCTATTAGTTTTTATTAGTCTAAAAGACTTTCATGGTCATTTTCTATTAGACAAGAGGAAAACAAGAAACATGAATGATTGCATTCACATTATTTCTACTGGAAAGGTAGTTATAAGGAAGTTTTGGGTTCAAAATGGCTCGAAGCTGGTGTAAAGTACCTTGTGCCTGTTTTGGTGGATCTGAAATGTCATGAATTATTTTCTACTGCCCTGTATTTTAATACATCTTGCGTGGTCTGCTTCCTTTGCAGTCATCAAGCGGCCTGCCGTAGACAACAGCATTGTGCTTGATCCAGCTGGAAAGAGATTAAAACTTGAGGCAACTTCCACTGTGGCTACTTCCTACAAGAGCAGACTGAATGAATTTTGCCAAAAGTTTCGTCTTTCAATTCCATCTTATGACACTGATAAAGTGGAAAACGGAAAGGGCTTCCTTACCACTGTCGTTTTCAACAAAAAAGTTTATAAAAGCAATGGACCACAGCCCACAAAAAAACAATCGGAACAGAATGCTGCACAAGTTGTTTTACACTTTCTGAACCAGTGTCCTCCTCCAGCACCCAGTTATCAGGATTATATGGAACAATGCAAGAAGCTCACCTCAGGACAGGATCAACCGTCAGAATCCATTGCTACAGAGGCATCTACCACTGCAGTTACTACTACAAGTAAGAATTCCTCGATTTTAGATTACGACACAACAGTATGACTTGGTTCTCACAGGTAATCTGTAATTTCAACAATTGCAGAAAGAAATCCTGAAAAATTCCAGTATTTGATGTGATTCAAACCCATGCTTCCCCCCAATTACCTGTTGTGTCGTAGAATCAACTGAGCTACCAAGCCTCACGTTGGGAGTGAGGCAAATTTTAGAGGGTTCTTTTTTCCCGTGAAGGAATCTGGTTTAAACCTTTTTATTTTCATAAAACCAATTCGATCCACGGCTTGATTTGTTACTACATAACTTTGATATCACATCCTTCTATGTAATTGACGACAAGCTGTCAATGAACAACAGTCACGAGAAATGTTTACTCCATGGTTGCAGTATATCTGAAAAAGCTGCAGCTATTGATGCTATTTGATAGCTTGCCACCATGCATGCTCAGGTCTCCTCGTTCGTTGAAAATTCCCATTATTTGGAGTCAATAAATGTTAAAAGTAGGGGCAGTCGAGAGTAGGCAAATACCATATGGGCAGGAGTAAACTAAATGTCAAAAAGGATGAAGAAGACTATCACGGATTTCGACTAGCCATGTTGGAAAATTTAAGTCGAATCTATTCAAACCATACCGAAGCTCTTCTGTGGTATGCACACAAGAGACTCACGTAACCAACGCACCTGTCATGTGTTGCCTAGGTGTCCTCATGTGTCAAACACATGCAAAGGACGTAACAGAAAGTAGTCACTTGCGACACGTCTCTAGTCTTGCTGTGATTTTCTTCCTTTTTTTTTTCTTTTGCAAATGAAAAATTTTCCTGGGGTTGAATTAACTTGTTGATGGTGTTTCTCTATTCATGCTACGAAAAGTACTGTATGTCTCCATACTCCACTTGCGCTGTATTTTTAAGTCCTTTTCCTCTTTTCACATTGCCGCCTTTACCTTGAGTTATAATTATGATGAAATCTTGTCCCAGCGACGTGAGAAATTGGGACCAAGTCATATTGATCTTCGACTGGTAACCAAAATTGTCTCCTAACCTTTTCCCAGTAGTTTGTAAATGTGACTGTTTCATCCCTGTCATATGTCCCGCCTCACGTCTCTGTCGCGCGTCTCCTCAGTGTGTTCTACACGTGATGTTGTCTCTGTCACGTCCGTCACGTTTGTCACGTGTCTATGCATCATGGCCTCTTTCCGTCCAGCCGGAGGAAAACATTTTGCGTCCACTCCCCATTGCTCAAGGCTATAGCGTAGTGTTATGGGCCAGGTACTTTGTCTTCATGGTATCCCATTCCATATATACATGGATACCGGCAAACTGTGAAAGTTACCAGTCGGAATGCTTCGGGGTAACCCGCATCAGACTTCTCATTACAAGGGGAGTGGCATAAATCTTGCTATAACCCCGCACAATGGGTCACCTGGTGCAAGTGACGACATTTATTCTCACCTTCAGGTCTTCGCTGTTATGTCACTGCGAACGAGTGGAAACGTATTGCGCGTGTCTTGACAATGAGACAAATGCAATGCTCTCCTTCGCTTGCATGAGGAAATTTGATCGAGTGGAGACGTAGGGTGTGTGTCTAGACAACGAGACAAAAGCAATACTTTCCTTCGCTTTTATGAGGAGATTTGATTGAGTGGAGACGTAGGGCGCGTGTCTAGACAATTAGGCAGATGCAATGCTCTCCATCGCTTGCAAGAGAAGATTTGATTGAGTGGAAAGGTAGGGCGCGTATCTTGATAATTAAACAAATGCAATGCTCTCCTTGCTCGCAGGAGGCAGGTGGACGTGTTGTTCACTCGCTTCACCCCGCTGAGTTCAGCGGTATATCTTCGCACGTGACTTGCAACCAGTGGGCGTGTATTGTCAAGAGTGACATTTTTAGCGATTTTTTCGATGACTGGTTAATCAAGTTTGTATCAAAACGATTTGAGCTCGCCTTAATCTGATCCCCCCTCACCTTAAATACCTCCTAGACGTGAAAGCAATACCTCAACAGTAATTAAATGCCGGTGTTGAGTGCCTTTCGTTTGTATGTGAATTGACAAATGTTGTGTCGAAGTCAGGAGTTAATCCCAGACAACAGTAGTAACACATTTTTTTCAAAAAGCGTGAAATGCTGGAAATAGAAAATGCTGCTATCTTGAAATGTCTAAGAAAAGAAATTGAACCGAGGTAATACGGAAGGTTTGAAAGATGAAATTGAGACCTATAGTTCATTTATCATCCCTGAAGTCGTTTTGTTGTGTTCAAAGTTTTTCTTACCTGGTGTGGCGTATCTTCTTAATCCTTCCAACCTTGTTTATTTACTTGTAATTCCAAACGGTATTTCAGAATACGGAGATTTGCGACATAAACCGAGGACCATAGCCAATTTTTTGCACAGCCTAGATTTAGATTCTTATCTTTGTCAGACAATTGTAAAGGTGCAAGTAAACTTGACCCCCAGACAGGCTTCCTCAGCTTATCGCGTGGCCATAATACTTATTGTCTAAAACCTTGTCTGACCTAAACAGGGTTCGCGACGATTTATCTTACTTGAGACGGAAGCGTTAAACACCCACAAATCAAAGTTACTATCAAGCAAACTTTGTAGCAAGATACTCCACTTAAATTTTACCCTGTTTGAGATTTATCCGTGGGTACAGAGTTCATAATTGTATTGTCAACGTATTCAGTTGTTTTAAGAAGTGTTTTAACAAAGGAAGCTTTCATTTGTCCGATCCATGGCTACTTCAATGACACGCTTCGAGGTGTCGGGTTACCTTGCGGTGCTTGCAGTGCTCATTTGCAACAGCACATTTTAATCCACTCTTATCTTCAATCCAGGAGAGCATATGTTGGAAGATCTACTTAAAGTTGTTAGTTTTGCAGTACGAAAGCCTCGGTACGAGCCCTTTTCATTAGTTTCTAGACATTAACATTTGACCTTCTCTACTTTTCGCGCGCCTCTTATGTCTGTCTGATGGATGAAGTAGACGTTAATGAGATGTACTAATTCAACTGCCATTATGTGGATTTGGAATTTCCGGTATTGGTCGCAAAAATATCACGTTTTTACGCTAATAGCCGGATGTTCTTGTTAATCAAGGGGCGTTTGTAATTTCCGATCCAGAGTCAATTGGAAAATTGAAGCAAAATTATTTGCCCTGGTTAAGTTGCAGTCGTTCATCATTGCTGACAAGGTCTATTATGGAATATGAGCAGGGTACCCAACCCAACAAACGCATACTCACAGGAATCTCAACCCAATTTCCGAGCACAACTTGTTATATTCCAGCTTAAAAAGCGCGGATTATTGGCTCTTGCCGAGTTATTTTTAGATTTTCTAGATTTTTATCCTAAATTGACGCGTAAAAGAAGGTGGTCTGACGGAAATTTTTCGATCTCTCATATTTGTGTCGTAACGTTGAAACAATCTCTGAGTCGTTTCTTACGGTGTTCATTGTCGAAACACCTGTTGCAACGAAAATAGTTAATCCAATTTGGACCGCAAGACGAGGTAATTTTCCGGTTGCACCAAGGTCCAATTTCATGCGGTTTTAAGGCTCTTTGCCCCATCGCTATTTAAGTGCCAAAAGCATTAAAATGGCGACTTATGATTTTTTCTTTATTATAATTGTTTTTATTAATGATCTTGTTATTATTAAAATTGATGCTGTCCTTGTTATTACTATTATTGTTATTATTATTATTATTATCATTATTATTATTATTATTATTATTATTATTATTATTATTATCTTAACACTAGTTGACCGATTTTAACGAGTGGTTTAGACGCCTTACAACAAGCATGCGCAGTACATGAAGTCATGGAAAGATCTGCTTGGCTTTGATCTCAAATTTAATCTCCAGTGAAAAACAACCATCCTCAACTGACAACCCGATCACCTCGGAAATCTCAGCCATCGGAGCTGACATATCTGATCGAAATTCGTGAGCCAGTGGGGACAAACCACTTTGGTTCATCCAAATAAAAAAATCGGCAGTGAGAACTGAATGTAGCTTTACGTGTTAATCCTCCGTACACATAGCAAATGGACTGCGAAACAAGAAACAGAGCCACAAATTAAACCATTTGAAGGCGTGTTATTCGTTGAGTTTTGTCCTTCGCGTTTTTTTTTTCTTTTTCAAAGAAAAATCACCACTACCCAACTCCGTGTTATTCTTGATTCTGCTCTATTCCACTCGTAAGTCCAAGTATAAAGTCTTGCATTTTCACCACAGTAGTTTTCCTCTTAACATTTCTTTGCCTTTTCGATTTTCAGTAAACGCAGCAGTAGTGCAACCGATCTCTACATCCACAGCGCCAAACCCTTTCGTACCTACAGACCAGAACAATTCCGACCCTACAGCCTCAGAGACTCTTAATGCAGACGTAGCAAAACCAACCATTACTTTCACGTCGCACAAAAACAAACTGCAAGAATACTGCCAGAAGTCCAAGATAGAACTACCTGTTTACTCCTGTCAAAGGGAAAATGGCGTCTTTACTTGTACGGTTCATGTCGCAGGACGATCGTTTTCCAGTAACGGCTGTAACACTAAGAAAGGCTCAGAGCAGACTGCGGCCAATATAGCGCTGAAAGCTTTGGGACTTATTTAACACGGTTTGTACGCAGTTTTGACACATTTCTATTGCGGGCGTAGTCGTGGTTTGGGCACAGGAATGCACAAGGTATGAAAAATAATTTAAGACCATGATGGAAATTTATTTTGTATCCATTACCTTGGTTTCAATGGGACGCAAGAGACGTTGGTCAGGTTTTTACCTCCGTGGAGAGTTCGGTTAAGAAAAGTCTATGAAATGACAAGCGCTTTGTTCGGGCGACATGTTGGACAGAGCGGGTGCTCCCGCAGGAGTCTTCCAAGGACTTTCGGCACAGCACCCGGAGCGATGTCGGGTTCGCTCGGGTTTACGGTCGGTAACCAACATGGTGCCCGAACGAGATGTTATCATCGCATTAAGGATTAGTTTGTCGTTATTTGCAACGTCGAACTTTAACTTATGACTCAGTTTCTTGTAGAATTTTATTTGATTAGACAGAAGCACTCGTGATTGAACGTTTGCGAGACTATGATCGGACTCATTAGCATTTTAATGAGAAACTCTCATTAAACGAACTGGATTAAAAACTAGGCTGCCACAGTTACATCTGTCGTGTTGTACTATGTGACGGAATACATAAGGAGAAACCGTTATACAACATTATTTTACTGGTTATAGTTTTTTTTTTTTATTCACTTTGTCTTTGAAATTATAACACCTCGAACGGTCAACTGTAAGGTACCAGAAAGATTCTTCTTCTCCTACAACATGTTGTTTTAGCTGTCGCGCTAAAAAATTGAAGGGTTTTACAACGTCGTCGACAGATATCTTGACTTGCCTAAAATATTCTCTTATCGTTCGTTTCGTGAAACTAATGTCAGAATCGGGTGTTTAAAGGCTTTTAAATTGTCTCAAAGTTAAATGTATGAAAAGGAAAATCAAATGAAGTAGTTTTCTAGAGGAATCGGCGAAGCTAGACCAACGTTTTGGTCGAGAGTTGTAACCATACTAGTTGTTGTAAATAAATGCGTTAAGTGTTTGAAAGTGTAGCGGTTGACCTCGCGAGTGACTTCGGATCTGGGAGCTTTGTGCGTGCATTCTGGCGCCCATTCGCGCGTGTCGCGCGTGGCACGCGGAGCACTAGAAACGAGTCGATTACTACGAATCCTTACTGTTGCCCAGAAACAATATGATCTCGAACAAAATTAACTCAGATTTGTTTCTCTTTGTGCCATGCTCGTGACAAGTGTGTTGAAGGAAATTTTCCTTTCTTTCACAATCAAGGGTAAATTGTATTCATCGTCTTTTATCGTTTCTTAATATAATTTTCTTTTCTAGTCTTTAACTTTCGAGTAAAAATCAGTTTTTCACCTTTATTGAGTACATGCTGTAGAAAGTGCTTGATCCTTACATAAAAGGAATGCGTGACAACTACAATTGGAAATAAGTTTTCGTTCTCGTTAAGCTTATATTTTACCATGCCAATCTTCGCGTCAATTTATATCGTGAAACTTTTTTTTTTATTATAAATGACTCTGACTGGGTCAAAATAAAAATATTTATTCATCTACTGTTTCACAAAGAAAACCGAATGTCGTCAACCGAGGAGAAGTGACGCACTTTTGAAACAATGAGGAAAAAACGCACCATTTTCAAATGCATTTTGGTTTTTTTGTTTGACTGAGTTGCATTGTATGCCAAAAATACAAACTTCGTGACGACAAGGTATCACGGCGTGCATTGCCCACGCTGTTTTGATCCAGATTTTTTTTTTTTTTTTTTTTTTTAAGTTGTGAACTTCGTTTTTCCTTCTTACTGAAATAGTCAAGTCCATCTCTCCTACATATTGCAAGAGTTATTTCAACAATAAGAACGAAACATTGAATTGGACTCAGATCAATTCTTACAGAATAGCCCTTTTCACAGAAATCATTTCGACACTTTGTTCACTTGCTCCGACTGTCAGGTGAACCGTTTACACTGTCAAAACTCGACGAGTTAACTTTTCATCCGTCACTTTCTGCCATTAAAATCTCGCTACATGTTTATTCATTTGTTACCATTCTCAGGAACACTCTGGTTGAATCGCGTCAACACTGACATATGTAAACTTCCATCCGGCGGATTTTTTCTCCGTTTGTCGCAAAGGATGAATATAATTCTCCTTTTTCGACTCCTCTTATGATTTTATTTACTTTCCTTTGTTACCTTTCTAAATCCTCCCTTTAATCTCCGAAATTTCTTTACGAATTTCTATTTTCCTATCGTTTGTTTTTATTAATGGTAATCTTTTTCTAGCCTTGACTTTTTGAGCGCTTAGGATCACATGCAACAGGGGTCAAATTGAAAGAATTTTGAAAAATAGTTGTGTATATATCATTACCATTTCTCTCGAAAATTCATGAAAAATACAGATAATAAATAAAAACACTCAGTCCATAGCTTTATTGTATGAATTGCTCTGAACATAAACAACGAAAAAACTCCATTTAAAAATTTACATTCTTAAACAAACTTTTTTGTAACGAGGCGCAACCTTTGTTCTCGGCCAAACAGTTTGATGTTTTTCTTTTAATTTAACCTATAGATTGCAGCAGTTGTTTGCTATTTTTGTACCAATCTTGTTAACTTGTAGACTCGTGGACATTTTCAATCAGTTCTTGCCATTGTTCCGCCCACGGAAAAGGTGGAAACTTTAACAGTTTCCACTTAACCATACTTCTGGCCTGGAGCTAAGGACAAAATTATCGAGTTTGTCTAATTACATATTTATGATGTCGCTTTCAAAGGTGAAAGAGTCAAAATTAAAAACTAATTATTTCAAAACATGTCTCAAGGAGATTTCAATTTCACAGAAAGAATTTAAAAGAATTGAAGAAAATATGTAGCCGTAAAATCTTCGCAACAGGAGGCGAAGCAATAACTTTTCACAACCTAACGATGGCGCGCGCCCGTGAGACCAGACGCGTGGGGCGTTTGCCCATGCTCTTTGGTCATGTTTGGCACACGTCTTGCATACTATCAGGATCACAAGACCAAGTGCGCTGCGTGCAAATAAAGACGACAAAAAAACATTCTTTTTTCGAGATTCGACATAAAGTTTGATTCTTGTGGGCGACCAAGTTGCTTCCCTAAGGTGGTACAGATACTTATTTGCGTCTGTATTTAAACGAGTCAAGGGTATTTGCCTAAAATGGTTTTAGATGAGCTTGATACCTTAGGAGGACATTTTTCGTGTGATTTTTAAAGACAACCTTTTCAGTAGCCAAGTACATGTGTGTAGATCGTGTATAGACCGTGTATTACACATGAAGATCTACGTGATTCCTTTGTCCCTTTCATGCCAAATGTGTGTTAGTGGGGAGGGGAGGGGAAGTTCAGCACACTTTTCGCCACCCCACCAGCCCACTCAACCAGTAAAGTAAATGGAAGCGTTATTTTCAGTTCGTCTTTCCGCGTGACTTTAGTACTTTGAAATGCCAGGTACGTTCAGTGTATTCAAGTGTGTTCATTGTGTCATGCGAAGTCTTGTATACGAGGAGGTTATAATTAGCACAGCTTGTCTCCTGCACTTCTCGAGGTCGACCCGCTCAGTTTTTTTTTTCCCTAAAAAAAACCGAAAAATAGGGCGCAGTTCAGTCGCAACTCTCCGAGGAAACACTTTTTTCAACACAGAAAAGATACCAAAGTTGAAACAACAAGCACAACATCGCGCATGTAGTTTTGTAGTTCGCCTTTATAGGGCATTTTCCTTTCAGGTAGATCTCGTTTATCATTTGTGAAACATGAAACTCTGTTAGAATTTTTACTAAGAATGTCGTTGAAATTGATGTCACTCGTTTTATTTCCTCTGGATTTCAATGCAAAAATGTGAATGACTTGGTATGTTTTCATTAAGACAGACGATGTGTGATAGTCTCTTTTTTTATTTAACTCATGTAGTTTTTTCGTTGGAAGACGAAGTCCAGTTAAGTTTCGTTTCAATTGTTGATATCACAAGCATTTATACCACGGGTGTATATGTCATGTGTTTCGTGAGGAATTCGTTTTGAGGGGAGGAACCCTCGTCAATTCTTCTTGAAATGCTCAGGATATGTCGCTTTATGTTCAACTATCAGGAATTCCACGAAACTTTCCGAACAATAATTCTTACGGCAATGGCAATGCTTCGTCATTCTCACGAAGGAAGACTCCATTCTTTTTTTTTTTCCCACCGCCTCCGCGCCGGATTAAAGAGCGTAAAGTGCTGCCGATGAAAATTAGGTTTTGTATAATTAGTTGGAAGCTACGCGTGGGTGACAGATCGATAATTTCGACAAGAAACTATCGATCTCTCGCCTAGCATACTACCTTGGAAACAGATGAACTTGGAGTAACCAAGTGAATTTACTGCATTCTGAGAATGAATGAATAAACTAAACCAACTTGGGCAACAGAAAAAAAAATCGTTTCCAGTTATGTAAGTTGCTACTGAGTTGTTGCTAAAATAGTGAGCGCTCACCTATACATGTTTTGTGTGGTAGCTGCATAAAACAATAATGAAAACATGTTTAGAGACAGGCAAAATCTGAACAAAGTTTAAAATGTCAGTGTCCGAAAAGTAGCCCGAAGTTAGTGTTTATCGAGTAAAGTCGGTGACATTCGGCCTTCCTTTGAAAGTGTTCTCTTAAGTACTCGCTATTTTCCTTTGAACTGTTGCGTGTCACCTCAGAACAAACCGGTTTTGTTTTTTCCCCCGTAGGTAAACAGTGCACTTAATTTATTCAAGAGCTGTGTTCCTGAAGGAAGTTAAATCCCTAACGACCCGATCTCGCAAGGAAAAATCCGCGCTATTGTTAACTTCTAGCAAATAATCTTCGCATCTTTAGTTTCCAGCCAGGCCAAAGTTATCTGTCTCCAAAGCACACAGTGTGCAGTATACCACTGTTTTTTTTTCTTCTCAGCCACGCTAACTGATTTTATGTCGTACTACAGGAAGGCAGTACTGTCACATAAGATTTATATTTCCTTCTTAATCGCAGTGTTTGGTCCTAATTTCTGACGCTCATAGGAGTTAAATGGGGTCTTAATCATAACAAGGAGGGTCTTTTTTTGCAATTCCTTTTGAAATTAACGTTAGTTGACATTCTGTTCCCTGGTCGTTAGCGTAGAAAAGAAAAGTTTCTAATGAATCTTCTTTGTTTTTTGAGTAGTCTCCTAAGACTCCCATCGCTTCTATCGACAGCTCACGTGTGAAACATAAATAATTATTTCGTGTACTCCTTTTTAGCAGTTTTTTTTTATATCAAACGCTCTTGACTATAAGTGCAAAAAGTCTTTTTTTTGCGGCGTGTTCTATAAAGGCTGTGGTAGATGTAAAAAAGAATTATTTCATACGAATCACAACTTACTTCTCATATTTGTTTAGCTTTACAGGCGGATTTATTGAGCTAATAGTAACTCGAGGTTACGAACTCGCTTGTGAAACATTTTGCATTGGTTATTCGTTTTAAGGGTAAAAGAAAGATTTACTTGATATCTCCGAATTTTTTGGCGCTCTAGAAAACTATATTCAAAGAAGTATTCTTAACAGGGTTCTATTATCGCAAATTTTTAAGAGGATATTCGATCAAATAGTTCATTCAGTTTGATTTTTTATGCCCAAGTCTTGTCTGGTTTAATGAATGTTCATGAGTTTTTCTTGTCCTTTAAGGCATCTCGCATGTAAATTGGCGTGGGAGTTTTAAGACACTGAACTTTCGGTTTTGTTTTCGCGAAAAAACGGAATCTTCGAAGTAGAGATAATTTGGAGGGTTTTAACCTCGATCGGAGCTGTACTGAGATGTAATATCGGTGTACACTGATGTATCGCACCACAGCTTAAAGTGCCTTTCTAATAATTTAATCTTTAAAAGCACTATTGAATATCGTTGTTGTTTCAAGGGGGAATTTAGAGATCGTAAACACCCTCATCGCGGGGAATATCAGAAACTGTAGTATTTAATCTTACAAGAAAAATAATACGATGATCCAGATGAAGACAATTCCGGCAGCTAGTTATTTCCGTTCGTCATCAGTGGTGAGAAGTTAGTTTTGAAATTGTAATTAATCAGTGTATTTCTTGAATATTGCTATATTTCGCCCGTAACTCGGAAGTGCGTGTTAAAGGTTGGAGAGATTGCGTGCGTGAAATTTTATGGAAATTTTCTCGCAAAGCTAATATAGCAGCCATAAAGTTCGCGTGAATTCAGGGAATGTTTCCTTCATTAAGGATCTATATTTGCGCGCTTTTTTTGTTTAGAAGGATTATTGAATGAAAAGCTTTCAAGGTATCATCGTACCGGCTTTCTGCTAGATCTTGAGTCCTGATAATGTGAAATCCGTGAGTTTCGTGTTTATGTTTCACCTTGGGTTGTACTACATGCGTTGTAGTTGGTCAAAATGTTCGAGTATTGGGCCAATGGCGCGAAGTTATGCTTCGGCTTACAAAGAAAGCTTTTCTAGAAAGTACCGTTTCAATTTATTTTCCCGATCGGAAATAGCTCTTCAAGTATTAGTTTATTTCACTTACTTTCCTTACAAATAACCAACGCAGCGTGTCTCGCCTTGCGCTTGAAGAGATGTTGTATTCGAATCAATATTCATTCCCAATTCCTGGTCGCTGCAAGTGTTATGACAGAAATTTTGGGTTTTTCGCTTATTTATCAAGTAACGTTCTTAAAACCTGTGATAACAGGTGTTACCTACCATTGCACTTAATCTTCTCGAAAAACTGTGGAGAAAAGCATTACAAAACAACAATAAGAGGAAGGACTGTACCACTGGCGAATTCTTTAGTAACGGCAATTTACTCTGGGCACGAAACACATCCTCTGCGATTTTAGAGCAACTAAGGCAAACAGAAATTAAGAGTAATAGTCATGCCTGGTTAGAAATTTCAAGGTGAGAATGCGATAGAAAAAGAGCACAAGTGACTGTTGTACGTGTTTTTAAAAAAAACCGTGGTTGTATTTATGCAAGATTAAGGTGGATATGTGCCTATTCTGGCATCGGACCAGTTTTAGGCCAGTTCAGGTAAATGATGTGATAAACAGAGACACTCGCCCTTCTCCTATCTGTCAAATTTTACTAACATCATCAGTGCCAGAAAGGCCAATTAAAATTTAAAAGCGTCGTTTGTGAGAAAACAGCTCGAGCTCGTCATTAAGCGTTCTTTTCGTAGACGCGCCAACGTTGTTTATTCTCAAATAGCGGAGAGGGTAACTTCGTTGCCCGGGTTAAAACTCGTCTCTAGCGAGAAAACTGTTTTAGTCAGAATTCACTCAAGCGTGGTAATTATTCCAAAGCCACGTGGCATGTGGGCCAGCCCCCGTTTCTTCTTTCAGCCAATCAGCTACCAGTATTTGCCGGTATCTTTAGTGACATGTGACTAGACCCGGCTGGTTTTCTGTTCCCACTCACACTTACTCAAGAACAACATTTCATTGATTCGTTCCCTATGCAAGGGAAAACATGGGCTCTCCCGAGCATTTGGTGTGTTTTCACTGCACTGTCACAAGATTGCCGTCAGGGGAATCGGACGCCGAGGAGGAAACCATCTCAGAGATTTCGTGGGTTGTCGTCGACGTGAAATCCAATCAGGTAAAAAAAATTTTCTTGCGGTAACTTGTTATGGATTGTGTAAGCTACGTTGGGGTTTCCCTTGTCGGACGCGAGAAAAATTTTCTCAAGGGCTCTGGGGGCGATACGGAGTTAGAACAATATATTGTTGATTTTTATCCTAACGCTGTGTTCATTTATGCCGAATTAGCCTGGTTCCGTGCATAGATGTGTTGTGAAATCGGGCCTGTCTGGAGCGAACGAAGCGTTAAAACAACCCACCAACAAATCGCTTGTGACCAGTGAAGCTCAACAGCTCGGGGACGCGTTAGAAAAGGTAACGTTACCAGTAGTGTGTATTTAATCCATCATTTCCGTTCACCCTTTGTTCGATCAACAACAAGACACGAAAAATGTCGATGTTAAAATACTCCGTTCTCTATTGCTGCTGACGTTATCCCGTCTTCGGAAGAGCGCTTTAAGGCCGAGGAACAGAGGAGGCGAATTTTCAAGACGTATATGTCATGTAAAATTCATACATGTTTCATTGGCGTGTTGTGATCGCTTGAACAGTCCTCAATCACATAGACACAATGACAACCAGCAAAGGCCGAAGAAGTTTCACCAAATTTATGTTTTGATCGCTCGACGGGGTAGGAGAATACATGCTTTTTGTACATTCGGCATTTCAAATGTGATCTCCCTGGTAAACAGGGGAGACGGGTCACACGACAGGAATTGGCCGCGAGTTTAATTCAAGACGGTGCCGTTCGAAATTAATTCTCGAAAGAAGTAGAAATAAAATATCTTTATAACCGCGCTGAAATGAAATATTTAAAAGGCAAACAGTTAATTCTAACAAGCTTTTATTCTTGAGGTTTTTGCGAAGTAAATATGTCCAAGATCAGAGATTGTATCGTTGGTTGCGGCACTAGGGCAAGTGGGAATGCGACGCAAGTGATGTACGTAAGGGGCCTACTTTCTCTCGCCCAAGACAACACTGTGTGTATCGGATATTCCAAAAAATTTTGTAAATATTCTTATCTGGTCTTTTGTTGAACTTTCGTATACTTGTGTGGCCATGCATATTCCCATAGTTTCCGAGTCGCCAGGCGTCTGTTTGTTATAAATCTCGGTTTTTATTTTACATTCTCTCTCTAAAACCCCCCTACGCAAGAGATATTATTTTCTCTACCGCTTTCGTATACAATATTCATGATCCTTATCGGCAGTTTAGAAAGAAAGTGTTAATACAGGTCTCTCTTTGGGCCAATGAAATATTTGCTCGTACAAATTCGTGTTTGGATGATTTTTTTGTCGTTTCCCCGGAAATGTAGGGAAACCCAAGATTTAAAATGTGCTCACAAGGTTGGATAGAAATGGTTCCCAAGGTTAAAAACTGAAGATTCGCATCGGGTCAAGAACTGAAGAACACCTCCACCGATCGTTCGATATCATGTGTTTCCCTCGCGATCGCGTCTAATCTCGTCCCAAAATAAATCTCAAGTCTTAACTGATTGTTTCTGGAGTGTCACGTAAATGCCCGTCCGCCTATTAGCCCAAAACAACACTTTCCTCTCGCACGCGTGTTCTTAAGTCTTAATTGACTAAATTCTCGTTAGGAAAATTCAATCAAGTAATCTATGAGGATTTTTTAATCGCTTGGTTGCCGCGTGCTAAAAAATTTGCATCGGACCGAAACATTAGTGATCTCAAATGCTTGAAGGGGCGGCTGTATTGTTTTGTGAACAAAACCTAGACACTTCTATTTCCCTTTGGTATTCTTTAAAGAACAACAAGAATGTGCGGACGTCCAGGTTCTTCTGTAAATAGCGCACTGCGTGAAATTTCTTTGTCCCGCCATTGTTTTGTGACTGCAATTGTGCCTAACAGGAAACCCCTTAAAATATGTCAACATGGCGTGATTGGCAGCTAGTCTTGTCAGGGAGAAGAGGCTATTGGTTGCTTGTGTTGATATATCAGTGTTTCTTCGTTGTGTTTCTTTTGTCCCAAAATATGCTGAAGAACTTTGTGTGATGTGATTAATTTTTCACCAGCTCATTCTAATTTGGCACAGGTTTTATCTTCTCAGAATGACTAAACCTAAATTTTATTGCTATAAGACCTAATTTATAATTAATTTTTAGGAAATTGTTTTACTTTATCTATTTTTTTATTGCTTTACATTTCTATATTTTGACATCTGCAAAACGTTTCTTCTGTTAATGATTAAAAACTCTGATAGTGATATCCTTTACCAAATGAATGATAGTCAGCTGTAAATGAAAAGCCTTGGCTTATTTCCATAATATGTAGACACCTCGTCTGTGGAAATAATTTTACACCTCTGAATAAATGAAGGCACAGTTTGTTTCACAAATGCATTTAAATGCAGACTAGTATTTCTTTTGGGTCCATTTACAACATATCTATCAGCATTTTGTTGTCTAGTATTCATTGCAAATGAAATTCTCTTGTCTTGGCTGACCAGCTAAAGTTGCTGCCATATTCCTTCTTAAATTATCACCATAGTAATCTTTGCTTAATATTTGAAATATGTGAATATCTAAAAAAAAAAAAAATCCAGAAAGAGGTTATAGTTCTCACCTTATTGAAGTCCACTCATAATGAACTATTGTAGTTTGTGTAACAATGTGATTGCTGGTGATGTAAATTTTTATGTTCAAATGGAGACTCCTTGTTGCTTGGTTTTCCATTGGCTCATTGTTCAAAAGGATACTGTGGTGTAATTTGTTTCTTTTTCACAGCTGTGTTTGGGGCATTTTAATCCAGACTGTTTCAGAAAGCTGTTCCCTTTCCACAGTTCTAATCGGAGCATTTTGATTTGGGATGGTTTAGGAAGCTGTTCAAATGTTTCCTGCTTGTGGCTACATTTATTAAGAAATTTCAGCACCACTTTCTTTGATGATGTTGTTAGGGAAAAGCCTTTGGTGAATAGTTTCTTTGACCCAGTCTGTTTTGTTGTGAGGATTGCATTCAATAAACTTCACTTCATTCCAAAAAGGGAGGAATCCTGTGTTATGAGCATGCTCTGAAGTGGGGAAGCTTTAGGCAGATCTGATACTCCAGTCTTCCTCTCTGATTTGATCATTAGTTCATGTAAATCTTGTGGTCTTACCAATGTCACCTTTACCAGGTTCACAAATTTATTAATTGCACAATCTAAGTTAACCAAGTCATTAGCATCTTTTGGATTTTAACTGTGATCTTACTGTGGTCCCCAAGTTATCAACAGCAGTGTGTGTTGTTGGCAACCATAAGGTTGCTCAGACAGACCTCTGACATAGAATAAAACTGTAAAGGTTTTGAACTCAATTATAGGCTTGAATTTATTGTTCATTGTGTTTTCCTGAGGAGTTATCTGAAATAGAAAGGGATGATAACATTGATCTTTTGTAGGATCCTTTTGACATCATTGGTCCAGAACATAGATGACTTGCTTAGCCATATGCATTATTTGATCCAAAGTCTATATTAACTTGCTATAACTCATAGTTTTACTTACAAAATTGAACCAAAAGAAAAGAGTAAAAGTTAATCAAACTGGTAAATTTTCTTATGGATATCACAAAGAAAGCTCCCAAATGCAGATCTAAATACAAAGCCACAACCAAGTACACCAACAGACCACAATACAAAAAATTATGAGACTTCAACCTTCTTCACATGTTGAAAAATCATTTTGTTTTTCTATAGTTTGACAACTTTGTTGAGAAGACAGTGACATGTTCTGGGGAAAGATGGAATCTTGTGACAGATGGACAGTTTCCATTAAGACATTACCTCCATTTGGAAGCTAGTAGAAAGAAAACCAAATTGTCTCAACATTTCTACAGCTTTTACGATCTTAGGAAGGAAGTCAGAAAGGCACTGAAGCATGATTCAGACTATAGAAGCCTTGAGGAAGTGGCTTCAGGTATCCTTATCTTACATTTAACTCAGTGTGTTTTTGTTATAACCTTATTTGTCATTATAATATTTTTCCATGAACCAAAAAGAGGGGGGGAATAAAGTGAAAAGTTCCAAATTATCAATCCCTCTCTTCATGCCTAGGACAAGGCAGCCTTTGCCCCAGCAGCTGTTCAAAGGAGTGGTGGTGGTTTGACAGTAATCTTTTAAGTTTTTAATTATAAGCAAAGAAGGCCATCTTAAAAATCCTACTTTATTTTATTCAAAGTGATTTTAATAAAGGGCGTAATTACAGGATAAATGCAGCCTAGTGAACCTTTGGAGTTGACCCTTCTGGGATCCATGTATGTAAAAAAGGAATTAGGAAGGGCGAAACAGTAATTATCAATCAGCTTTAAATAAAGACAGCAGGCAACATAAGCTAAATGGAAAACTGTCTTATAAATGACTAAAACAAAGAAGGCTTGTTATCTTAAGGGAATAATAAGGAAGGTCAAGCCCTCTACTACAAGGAGTCATTGTGACTCATTAAGACAATTCATCATTCAAAGTGTTGTAGCATTTACACAGGAATGCTTTCAAGCTGGTATTCCCTTTATCACTTAAAGTTGGATATTTTCAGTGTTTGTTTTAATCTGCATTTCAACTGGTGTCAAGAAATTGATATCAAGCTTAAATGGCTGTTTTCCTAGGTCAAATGAAACTGTGCAAAGACATAGTTTTTGTCAAACATTTGCATGGGTAATCGATTATTTTATGCAATTTGGAATAAATTAGCAAAAGTTAATTATCTTAAGACAAGGTAAAATGAAAGGCTGAAAATGAGAAATCATGTAAATTCTTGATACTGATTTACATTTTGTTTCAACATTCTGCACTCAATTTCAACTTTTTGCTTTGAATTTTAACTTTCTATACTGCTCTGATTAATTGAAATGCTCTCAGTCTATAAGAAAGCCATAATTTGATCAGCTCTGAAATTACATTATTTGGCCAAGTTTCCTTTACGTTGATCTCAGATTGTAGAATTGATGCTAATAACAACAGTCCAGCGGGTCTGGAACACTGTAAACTCATGGCAAGTGTGGTTCAGTATCTTGTTACAGAAGGTAAGCTCACAAAATCTTTTGATTAGATGCAATAAAGTGTGTCAGTAGAAATTCTTGCTCTTATAGGAGGTTTTACATCAAAATTGAAAGTAGAGGAACCTGATTATTTCCACTTTTATTGCGATATTCTGTTCTGTGAGTTTCATATTTTAGTTTTTAATTATATTGGAATGCTTGATTTAATATTTTGGGAATTTGGGTTCTAACTTAGATGAGTATTATATTTTGCCCTTAAGACTTGAAAACTATATTTTAGTACAAAGCAGAATATACTTTTTGTAATTTTAGATGTACATGCAGATTGAGAAAAATGCGTCTACTTTTAATTCTTTTTAAAAAAGATTTACAATTAAAAAACGGTTTGTGAGAACTAGAACCTTCACAAGGTTGTAAGTTGTGGATCATCTTTAATCCCAATAATAAAAATAACTATTCAAGCAAGAGGTAAAAAGTTATCTTGAAAATATTTGAACTGTGTCATGGAGACAAAAAAATGCCATGCACATATCAGCTAAATTTTTAGGACACATGCAACAGTATATCTTTGTGGTCTAAGTCCATCACTTTGCAGTTAATGGTTATCCTGCTTAACTTTTGTTATTATTCCTTTTGGACTAGCAGTAAGAAAAATTTGCATCACTTTGTGAAAGAAAAATTTCACTATATTGTTGTTTAAGCCTATGGTTGGCTAAGATTGGCCCTCTCTTTTGTTTGAGAACTGAGTAATTTATTTGTCATTTAAAACACAAACCCAACCCCGCATTATTTTAAGAACTTTGGAGACAATTACCAGAATTCCTGTTCAATTTCTTCGATAAAGTTTGTCCAAACTCTTGATTTCTTCACACACATTAATTATCAGAACAATTTTGTGTCATGGTAGCACTAAATAAAACAGACTTTACTTTCTCAACACATTCTCTGTACTGAAGAGAGCTATGTTCACATTATTTTAGGTCACAAATTTAAGGATCCAGAAAAGATCAGTTCCAAGTATGAGCCAGGAGCATGGTATGGTGCTTCTTTACGAACAAAAAAGTTGGTACCTCAATAACATTTTTAATCTTGCCTTTAGTAACATTTTAATAATGTCGACATATGAAACCATTCAAGGTGATTCAGTCAAATCTATTTACAATTCTGTATGGTAATATAACAGTTCATTGTGTGACTGTAATTCCTACCAAATAACACTTTAAAAAAGAGCAGCCCCTACAAAGTCAATTATTCACAGTCTTCCCAATGTCAAGGATTTATTAATTATAGGAATTTTATGATTCAATCTTTACATTTTTAAGGACTTTCATAAACAAAATGTTAGGAAAATAATCAAAAAAGATTACTGGAGGACTATTGTAAGCAAATCTTAACAAGGTTTTTTTTTCTTTGATACATTAAAAACCTTGTGCATTATGTGAATGATATAACATGAGGCAGTTAGAAGCTATAGGTGTTAGGTTAATTGCATCTATCCACTAACATTTGGCTTGCAAACATAGCTGATTTTGTGGTTCCTTTTCTCTGCCCTCAAAATGAGGAGGAATGGGAGCTAGAGTTCCATGGTACAATCACCTTAGTCAATCTTTAGGATTTTGTGTCACAATTTATTTTACCACCTGTGGTTGCAAATGTTATTTATTGAGCTTAGAGAGGCAACAGCCACAAATACCACTGTGTTTGCAAGGTAGCTCACATGGTAACTTTTATTGTTCTTTTCTATCATCTTTATTGCTGTGCAACCTTAAATTTAAAAATTTTCAGAAAAGATGTTTTATATGAGTAGTGATATCCTTTTGTCAATCTTTAGAAACCTCTCACCAGAATCAGTAATGTTATTGAAATCTTTTACCTAGTATAAATACCAATGTGACTTAAGTTATAACACTGTTGTGATTCATGGAGATTTATCTCTAACTGAGTTTTGAATCTAACATCAGCTAGCAGTAAAATTGGCTGCCAAAAAGTTCAGAAAGTGTGTAACTTTTCCATTAATAGAGGCTTAACCACTGAAAATTCTACTTACAGTCTTGGGCCTGTACTTGATGATACAATCATAAGAGCAAGGGGGCTTCCATGGCAAGCATCTGATCAGGATGTTGCAAATTTCTTTAAAGGACTTAATATCGTAAGGTATGTGGTGTTACCATTGAACAGGGAAACAAACCATTGATAACCATTTCTTAGTACAATAATTCTTGATAAATCAATTAATATTTACCAAATATTCATTATTTACTTTATTGAAATTAACTCTCTAAATTCCTGAAAACGATAAGTATTGCCTTTTTTCCATGGGCACCACATGAAATCTTGAGTAAAGTGTAGAAAGAGTGATCAATAATACAAGCATGTTACCATTTCAGCATGTGAACTCATACAACCTCAACTTATCCCTATTCCTTATCTTGACAAGGAGTCAAGTTGCTCCCCAGGTTGGGAAGTTAGTTGCACTTTAAGATACACAGGCACTGTTAAAAGATAATTATGACTTTCTAGGAACACATTCTGCAACCAGATGTAAAATTGATTTCTTGGAGTGTTTTTGTTGTTGATAGAGGTGGGATAGCATTTTGTTTAAATGCACAAGGAAGAAGAAATGGTGAAGCATTCATCAGGTTTGAGAAAGGGGAACACAGAGAATTTGCATTGAAAAGACACAAACATCACCTTGGTACAAGATACATTGAGGTGAGAGGTGACAGACATGAATTGTTTCCTTTACATCCTTCTTGTGTTTACATAATTTTAAAAAAACATGCTCATTGACCTTGCTTAAAGAGACCACACATTTAGATAAACTTGGAATCTTCCTTGGGGATTGATTTTGGACTTATTTCACAACACCATTAGTTCATGGTAAACAAAGTACTGAAGATCAAGCAAAATAAAGCATTGAGAAAAAATGTGAAATTTTCAGTATATTTGAATAACAAATAATTTTGAAATCTGACTCACAAGATTGAAGGAGTATTTCCTAATACACAAACCAAACAGTAAAATACACCAAACTCATGAGCCATCCTGTTTTAACTTGATCTTTATCAATGTCAATGTCATTGCATTGGTTCATGTAATTAGGCCCCTTTTTATACCTTACTTTTCTGTTTCACTCTTTGGAAGAGCATATTTTAACTAAGATTTTTATTCAGGTTTACAGAGCAACTGCACAAGATTTCCTTAAGATAGTGAAAGGTAATCTACTTTCATATGACCTTTCAATACCAGATTACTCAAATTGAAATATAATTCATGTTGTGATTGGGGCTACACTAAGTTGAACAACCAAAATTCTTATAAAATGCCCGGAAACTGCTTACCAATATCTTTTGAGAATAATGGAGGTAAGCCTTGACAGACTAGCACCCTATCCCAGTAAAATTAAAATGTTCCTAGTCACTTCATGCTACAGAAATAGGGATGCAGTCAGGTGTTGATTGAGCCATAAGGATTAGGAGCAGATTTTACCTTTTTCACCACCTTTTTCAAAAAATATTTTGGAGTACATAAAAAGCTTTTAATTCAGGGCTATTCTACTCATTCTGTTGAAAGGTTATATTTTACCAATTTCCTTGTTTTGTTTATCCCCATTAACTGACTTATTTATACATATAGGTCCTGTTGATGTCACCCAGATTGCTGCTAACTTTGTATCAAACAAAGCTGATGTGATCATTAGAATGAGAGGACTTCCATTCAACTCAAAAGAGAGTGATGTGGTGAGTGTTCAGGAGTGAATTATTGACATCTGATACATGTAGTCTCACTTTCTTGTATGTGTTATGACTATGTATTGATATATTTTGCATTTCTTTTTCCTATTTTTTCCCTTGTGTAGATTGAATTTTTTGAGGAGGATGCACCAGTATTCAAAAGTGATGAAGGAATTCTCATTGTTAGGAACAACTTTGGGAAGGCTACTGGAGATGCATTTGTTCTTTTTGAGACAGAGGAACATGGCCATGCAGCATTGAGGAAGCACAGATGCATGCTTGGCTCCCGTTATGTTGAGCTGTTCCGAAGTTCACAAAGTGAGGTTCAGCAAGTTCTAAACTCTTACAGCAATCTAATGCACAATTTTCCACCAATCATGTTTCCACCCTTGCCACATCATCCTCCCTTTCACCCTCCCTTCTTAATTCCTGGGCTGGGTGTAAATGGTATGAACACCAAAGACTGTCTGCGCTTACGAGGGTTGCCGTTCTCTGCAACAGTACAAGATGTATTAGACTTCCTAAAGGAACATGCTGCATTTGTAGTTCCTGGTGGAGTTCACATGGTGTACAACACTCAGGTGAGATGGGTTGTGTAATGCTTTAAAAAGAAATTAGTCTCATTTTCTGATAACTGTAGTTGCTGAAACAAGTAGCTGTCAAAAGTCTTTTTCTATCTTACATATTAAGAGCTGGTGAAGCAGATTCAAAACTGCTTTTTTAGAAACTTCATTAATATTCCCTACTCTTGTTCCTCTTCTCCATGGCTCCTCCATAGTTATCCCTCGAATCTTCAGAAATGAGAATAAATTATTGTAGTGAGGGGCTTGAGCACAAGTAAAAATTTCACCTCTCAGTATGACTGGTAAATGTTCTGTTATGATTATTTAAAGGGTCGCCCCTCTGGAGATGCATATGTCCAGTTAGTATCACCTGAATGTGCAAAATCTGCCACCACGGACTTGCACAGACAACACATGGGAGAGCGATACATTGAAGTGTTTCCCTGCTCAGGAGTAGATATTGCTGCAATTATAACCAGCAGTACAATGAACCAAAACAAGATGACCTCACCCAATAACACCCCCTACAGCCATCCATGTTCATACCCCATGACCAATGGTGTGGTCACCAGCCCTAATGGGACACATATGAATGGACACACAGACACTGTTGGAGCTGCTACATCAGCTTGTCGCAGTCCCACAGGATTGTATGTACCTCATTCACCCACATACTTCAACTGCATTATACCTCAAAATGGCATTGGTGGAGGGAATGTGAGTTATTATCCACCTGCCAGTGCAAATTTTAGGATGCGCATGTCACCATATTTGCCACAGCCCTATGAAGTGATGCCTCTCTTTCAAGGATACCAGGTAGGCTAGGCTTTAATTTTGATTCCTATCATTTTTTCAACATTGAGTTTGTTAAAGTAAGTCATTATTGAGTGAGAATGGTTTCCTGAGTCTTGTGTGGTTGTTTTGGTTCTGGATCTACCTTGGGTTAAGTCTGTATATCTAGTGAAAATCTGTTTGCAAAATTTACTTTACCAAAACAATATCCTATGCCAGCCAACATGTCTAGAATCAGAGCCAACAGATTTTTTGCTAAAGAACAGATAAAATCAAAAGATGTTGAATAACATCCCCAAATCTTTAGAAGACATTTGGAAGACTTCTGAGACTACCCCTCTCCTTAGCTGTGGAGTAGCACTGGAAAGGGGTTTTTGGAAAGGATAATCATATACCAAAACTTTTCTCTTCCTGGACTAGTATGAGCCTTTTTACCCCATTTATTTTCTGGAAAATGTGGTTTTTTTTTCTTAACCCTTTGACCCTGAGAGTGACTAGCATCAAATTTCTCCTTTCAATAACACCCCTGAATCACACATTAAGGTCACGAGAATAAAGGAAATGATCACCAACTAAAAAAGCTCTTGATTGTTAAACAAATTCTCCTTGTCAGCACCTTAGGAAATGTATGGAGAACAGTATGGAAAATATGTATACCAATGTAAGGCTGTGAAGGGTTAAGTTTTAAGAGTAAGAAACTGATCAGCAGACTGGAGTTGAGAAAACTTTCTCCTGCAAAAGTGAGAATCCTGCTCAGGGTGTGGGGGTTGGCAGGTGTGTTGTTACCTAAGCTTCGTTGGTAACAGCAATAGTTTTGAACAGAGACTAATAATACCCTTAACTGACCATCTTTCATTTGTAGATCGCAGACTATGGCAGGTAGTTCAAGCAGATCACCTCTCTGAGATCCTGCACAAAATCAAAGCAATCCTTAATAGAAAAGACTGGTCCTGCTATATGAAATGCTACTCGCAAAAGATTAAATTAGAGACAAGCTCTCAGAGCGAAACAGCTTTTGCTGCTGCTACTACTGCTGCTGAAGCATTTGCAATGTTTTTAGATGCCTTCCTCTTAGTCAACAAGAAAACAAAGTATGACTTTATCATTCAGTACATTTGAGTGAAGAATCCATAATTATTTTAGATGTAATGTACATGTAATTATGCTGCTAACATTCAAAACTGATACATTGAGTGAAATTCAGTATAAGAATGTTCTAGACATTTTTAATGTGTCACCCTGAAAGACAGTGGTAGAAATTTTCATTTGACTATGTTACCTGTGTACTACTTATTAACAATCAGAATCAGATGATTTGACAAACACGAGTCAAATCTTCTAAGAAACTTAGTTCAAAGGTCTGTTATTTAAATGGTAACACACCAAGAATAAACAGAGATAAAAAAAATTATGTAGTTCATAAAAATGCAAGCAAAAATTTGTCAAGGAGAAGTAGATGCCTTCAAAATTTTTATCATGAGATTGGATGAAAAAGGATAATTTCTGACAGCAGGTAGTTTTTAAATAAGCCCAGCGTTTAATTGCTGCAATATGGATTTCGTGCGAAGATACCTTGACAAATAAGGAAAAAAAATACAAAGGAGAAAACATACAATACTAATTGAATTATGAGAGTGATATTGTATAATTACAATGAATTGTAGAAATATGTTCAGATACAAATTTTATTTATTTTTTGCTGGATACCCAGACTCCAGCTCAAAATACAATCTTTTTAGCCTCGATACATGGGAGATAATACTCCTTAACCTCTGATGCACACAAAATCCCAACATCAGTGGTAAACAGTGCAAGATCTTTTTGCATTGTGTAATGATTCTGACAAAATGGTTAATGCATCAAGTCACTGAAAGATGTCAGAAGAATTAAACACTTTGAGGCAGAAAGGCTTATTTGGCTGTCAGTGAAATGCTGTAAATTAGAGCATGATGTACCCTGACTGTACATTAATGTAATTAGTATCAATTTATGCTTGATAGATAATCTCGTTCAATTTAGTTTTTAGAACTTTTTATACTAGTAACCAGTCTTAGTCAATGAAACATGAATTTGCCATGGGCTTGTTGTACATTGTAATTGAAAAGTTTGATTGACTGAATATTTATGTTAATTCCACAATCTAACTTGTGGAGGACTTTAACCATTCACACTTTGAAACGAATGTTCAAAATCTTCAACATGAGCTGAAAGTTTGTTTCAGAACAAGTTGGTAGATATTATCATTGTTTTAATGTATTAAAATTTGATTATTAGTATGTATTTGTCATAGTAACCGTCCAATCAAGTGTGTATTTTCAGGAAAAATCATAATTTAGTTCTCAGTGCTTAAAATGTAAATGGTTGAATCCTATAATTAATATCAGTTGAAAGTGGATAGTGTTATAGTTGGTGATAACAAAGGGCAAAGTTGCTGGTTAAAATTAATCATTCTGATACAAGGCTGGATCAAATTTGCAAACCAATTTTTTCAACATTTATTTGTCTCTAAACGTGCAATATTTATGGGCATAGTGTTCAAAACTAGCCATATTGTTTTTATTTACATGACAACTAATTATGTATGACAAATAATTGTTAATAGCCAGTCAATGCAAGAGACGCTGCTCTAAAAAGAGTCTTACAACCAGTACTTGTCACTCAGAGCACATCTTAAAATATATGAATTACAAATAAAAATATTATTTTAACCAAGAGAAGCTTAACTAAGCCAGGATAGACCACTTAATAAATGACATTTATAACACATAAGGCAAAGCCAGAGCATAATTAAATTATCACCATTAATAAAGTTGCTCTAATTATATTTTCCGAATGTGTTAGTGGTATGTGTGAATACATGCTACTGTCGGTAAAATTATTTCTTGAATGTTTATGAATTGTCATCATGTTGTTACCAAGAATATCTCATTTAACAATCCGGACTTGTTAGACAGTGATTTATGCCATAACTTGAAAACGTTTCTGATCCATTTACCTTATTTATCCTTGATAGAACAAGAATTATTTATGGCAGTGCCATGAATAAGTGCAAGACACTAACGCTCATTATAACAATCTTTGTCTTGTTTTTTTTTTAGACTGGTTATTCTTAATGTGATATTTTTGGTAACAGAGAGACTAAAATACAGATAATTATTTTAGCTATATTTTTAAACATACTAAAATAAATAACCGAACTCCAGTGTAAAATAGAAGAAAACTTGTTGGTGTTTTTCTTACAGATACAGTCATTGCAGTCACACATCTTTTCATGTTCTTTTTTCTATGTATGATTTTTACCTTAATCAAAAACATGCATAGCTCAGTAAATTGTACTTGTAACCTGGAAATGACTGTACTTTCTTGAAAATAAAAAAGTGAATCTTGTTACCTGGCAAGATTCTGATTTGAAATGATTTTTTTCAGTGTAGCAATATGGAAAATCCTTTGTTTGTGTGTTGTTGAGCCCAATGGCAGGAGGTAATGTCCTAGTCGGGGATCTAAAAAGAGTTTCTTAGAAGTGGGTTCTTTACACTAGTGTTTTACCATCATGAATGGGTCCCCAGTTAGTTTTCTTATTCTGAAATTTAAATTTTACCATTGATAGAGAAAGTAAGTGAAGTGAACCTCAACACACCCCCCCCTCCTTTTTTAACCCCTTCTTTTAGCCAAGCCCTTAGAGGTGATCAATGCATCAGATTCAAAGCCTAGAAAAAGACATAGGGTTTGAGTCACCACTGGCAGATTGGATTCATGGTAGTTCTAAGTACTACTTTGGCAGCTTGAAGATAGCTTTATAGATTGCCCCATTAATGGAACGATGAAGCACTGCCACTAAATGTATACAAACACTTGGAGAGACTAATTAAAGTCTGTCTCCGTCTGTGTTAGCCTTCTATGAGAGAAAAAGCAAGAGTAGATAATTCTCAGCAGCCTTGTACAATTGGGATTTACTGTAAGTTATAGACTAAAATTATGGGATTATCAGTTGATCCAAAACTGAATTCTCAGAACAAAAATTACAAGCAATGTATGGCAGACAGTGAGGAGAATTATTAAAGAGATCTTGGAAGTAAAAGGTTTAAGTTAACTAGCTAAAAATGAGCCCACTCAAAGTTCTAGGAATTTGTGTGGAAGGAGTTCTTTTCCATCCATTGCAATTTGGTAAGATTTTTCTTGTGTCTGACCTGAAATGGCATAGTGACATGAGATATATGAACAAATTTATGCACCTGAATTCTCCAGTGCATGTTGTCTCTTCCATGTTGAATTCTGCAACTGGGACCCCTCTGGCAGCCAACATTGGTGCAAATCCTGCAGCTGGGTACACCACAGATGATGTACCAACCTGAAAATAGGATTATTGAATCCACATGGCTACATATGACTTTCTGGTAAAATAGGATTTTAATACTGGTCAAAATGGGTCAAGGGAAGGGGGGGGAAATGCAGAATTAAGTGTACAAATATACAATTTTGGGTCCCTCTGGTCATCAGGAAATTTAGGGTCTACCTGGAAATTGGTTTTATTGTTGTTGTTCCATTTGGAGGGTGGAGGAGTGGAGAGGTACTTTGGGAGTAGGGGAGAGAAGGAAAAGGGACTTTTGGGGGAGAGGAAAGGGGAAAGGGAAGGACAGAATAATAACAGCAACTGAGAGGAGCCTGGAAATAGGGAATTTATCTTCAATATTTCAGAAATCCATACCAAAAGACACATATCACACTTTTCCAAGGCATTGTTTGTAGCTTTCAATACATTGTAGTCTAGATTTTCTCCAAACCACACAACATGAGGACGGGCCAATTGTCCGCAATTGGGCTGGACACACCTGAATTAAAATTTATAATTAATCAAAAAGATACATTAGGAATGGAGTACCTATTTTAATAATACAGCAGAGTACCATAAACACCATAATGATTGTATAAGCTTCACTTGTAGATGAGCCACACCTCGAGTTTAGCAACTCAAATATTGGAAAGAAATCAAAAGTACTTTAAAACTTTCTGGCCACCCTGAAGGTGTTTGTGTATAGCAGTCAGTCTCAATAATAAAAAAACCCGAAATGTATATGTTTGACTATATTTAGACACGTTATCTCAAGTTTCTTACCTGGGTAGATCTTTCTCCGGAATCTTTGCATCCTGGGCATCAGGATCAGGTGCTCTGAAATCATGAACAGTATATAATTTATAAAGTCAAAATCTGTGAAAAGTGACGTGAACAGTCAAAGGCACCGGTTGGAAAAGAATCAAAAATTCTTTTTTTTTTTCAATTTACATTTTGAGAACATGATCTACTTTTGGCAAGGAAAATTTTCCATTCTACATGAGTGCACCATTTTGTCAATGTGAAATGTGTGCCTGGATAATTTTGCCAAAGAACAAAGGACCCTATTTAAACTCTGCTTTTCTCTAAACTTATGAAAACTTTATGAAATGAAATAATGATTGTTTATTGTCCACTTAAGCTTTTATAATATGTATACAGGTAGCTTAAATAACACTTCACACCCTAATGTCAGTATCCATACTCTCCACACCCTTCTCTTAACATTTCATTTGGTACAGATGAGGAGAAATTGTTTAAATATCAAAGCTTCTTAGTTTAGTGATCAATTCTAATAGATGACTCAGCAGTATTACTGTAAGGAGAGATTAATGTATGATGGTTTCTCTTGGGATCTAAAGGCTTGAGACATTCATTCTGTGACTGAGAAGTTTCATCTGCTAAAAGTTGCCTGAAATTAGATGTCCTACCCTTTCCCAGCTAAAGCGGGTACAATTGGACTGTTCCTATTTTCTGTTACATGTCCACATACAGTACATCTTGTCTTAAACAGTGCCCCTGGAAATAAGAAATGGCAATGCTTGTTGCAGTTTCTGGTGGGCGGTATTAATAAATCCCCTGACCCTCCCATTCCTTACCCCAAAAAATTCTTCCAAAAGTCAGTTACACACTTGTTTATTTACTTCCATAAAAAAAACCTTTGCATTTCTATCGCACTTGATATCAGGTTTGGTCATTATATATTTCACATTGAACAATCCAACCCATCAAACTACATCTAAATAAGGGGGAAAATCCTAATTAAATTCACTATAATTTATCTGATTTTCTCAGTCTTGGTTCCTTTTTGTATCAATCTTATTAATCTTCTACTTAATTACTTTCCAATGAAGAAAAAAGAGCAACGAGAAAATTATCAAGCAATAATCAAGGCACTTAATAGTGATTCTTTGAGAGGTAAATTTATTACATAGAGGTATTTTCTGTGACTTTACCAGAAAAAAGAGAGAAGACCCCTACCATGAAGTTCTATTACTTCTTTTGTCCCAGCAGCCTGATGTAATCCATCAATATTCTGTGTTATCACGGCGACATTTCTATCTTGTTCTCCAAACTTTTTCTGCAACTCTGCAATAGCATAATGCGCCTTGTTTGGTTGTTTCGTGAGGACAACTTCTCGCCTGTAACTATAAAACTCCCATACTAATGACGGATTTCTACGAAATGCTTCGAGAGTCGCAAGATCTTGAGCTCTGAAAGTTCTCCAAAGACCACCGGAGCCTCGAAATGTTGGAATCCCACTCTCAGCACTAGCACCTGCTCCAGTTAGAACAACAACGTTCTTTGCCTTTTGGAGTAGATCGCGAAACTCTGCTTTGTTACAGCTAGTTGTGTGAAAAGAGCTTTTAGCCATAATAATGTTTCGGGAGATTTTAAACGCTCTGGAGCATTGACCTGCACCTGTTCTAAGGTTCCTAACTACAATCATCTGTGTTTCTTCAAATCAAGGAAGTGTCTGGAATTACCCAAAATATTAGAGTGAGACTGGAACTACTATTTCTAGTCTCTCTCTGTTAAACGTGGTAAAATCAAAATGGCAGGTCACTTTTCAGGTAAGTCGAAGAGTTTCAGGTAACAACAGGGTTGTTGTGTGCAGTATAACCCCTTGAACTCTAAAATTACGGGCTCTTTTTGTAAACACCATACTTTTGTTTGTCGAAATAGAAGTTTTGCGATGGTATACATTCATTTGATTTGTTTTGGAACACGTGTAACTTGTTTGCAACCGGGCCATCATGTGAGCCATACAAGAAAATTCTCGTAAAAATTATTGGATTATCAGTGATCTAGACGTCTTCATTCATAGCCATGAATAATTCAATCCGCTCTATATTTAAGGCTTCACTTCGTGGATGGAGAAAAGGGGTGACCTTTTGTCCGCCACATTTTCATAAATTTCTGTTCCAACATAATGAGTATATATCATATATATGCCATTTATTGCAAAATTAAACAGACCGGTGTCCTAGATTATCTTTACTCGTTTGGGATTGTTTTTTTTTTTTTTTTTTTTATTATTTTTCAAGCTGACACACATTTCATGTCGCAGTGTCAGCCTTAAATGCCAAAAACTTTTAAATAAGAATGGGGGTGTTTCATGCTTTCCAATCGTTTTAAGCAAGGGTATCTCAGTCATAGCTTGCTGGAGTGTTTCCCCACCATGTCAACAGGCATCATTTATTTTCCTTTTTTTGTAGAGTTTGGCTTACTGCCTGAAATTTGCAAGGCAGTTGAGGACATGGAATGGCTGTAAGTATACAATAATCTCATGATTTTATGAGAATTTTGAACTTGAGATATTCTGCAAGTTTTCATTTACATCATGGTTAACTTTGTACTGATATAATAAAACTTTTCTTTACTGTCTAGTCTTCCAACAGATGTACAGGCTGAAGCCATTCCTCTCATTCTTGGAGGTGGAGATGTTCTGATGGTGAGAAGAACAACGCTTAACTATATTGTTAGATTTTTGTGTGTGTGATTTACTGATTTTAACCAACCTGTTCGAAATACTTGACAAAAATTCATATCCAGGGGTGTAGACTTCTCTATTTCTTGCAGAGTAATTATTAGCTCCATATCAAACTGGTCTTGAATTTCTAAGGCTGTTGCTGTTTTTATTTATTTAAATTGCTCAATGTATTGTTCAATGTGGACCTCTATATACACTTTGCTTTCTTTGCAGGCAGCAGAAACTGGACGTGGAAAAACTGGAGTATGAGTTCACTTTTTCTAATAAAGCTTTTTAGATATTCATCAGAAAATGCTTGGTATAAAATTTCAAATGAGCTTTGAAAGGGTTATTGATTTCCTTGCTGAACAATATACTTAAGAGCCAGCTTCTTTTACTTGAACAAAATGGGTTTGGTGAGAATATTGTCATCATTTCTCACCAGTGTCAGTTTGTGTATCTTGAAAAATTGTGGCCAGATTTTCAAAGTTGATTTTTTTGTTTTTGATCCTTATTGGTATTTCCAATTTTAAGCCATTCTGATCACATCTAAGTATATTAAGCTTCTCTTATGTTTTTCTTTGTAAACTGACAAATTTCTTTTTCAGTTCAGTGGTTAAGGCAAAGGCTGTTTTGTATGTCATAATTAATAACTTGAAATAGTGGATGCATGAAAGTTATACACCTCTGATTTTCTTTTAGGCATTTTCTTTACCTGTGATTCAGATTGTACATGAGACAATAAGAGAAGCGCTAACTGGCCGGAAGAGCTCCAGACCCACATCTGCTGCGCCATCAGATGGTATGGACTCAACACTCAGCAAACATCTAACAAGGATAAGACAACATTATTTAGACTAAGAATAACAAACAGTGGTTATTTTGTGGTATATTTTGTAGAGACGCTGGAATAACCAATCACAGTTATGAAATTTGTTTCATACATTTAAAAATTTTACTGAAAACGTTGGTGTTAGTGTTTCTAATTAAGCAGAAGAATTTTTTTACTTGATTCTTCACCTCACAGTAAACAAATAGATCATTCTTTAAAAGATGACAGGGAGTCAAATACATGTGGATATGATCTAATGCACCAACATGAAGCTAAAATTGACAAAATTCTCAAAATTGTTAAAATTCATAAATACTATTTTCAATCTTATGATCTACCATATAATTGCTATGACCTGACAATATGTGTATATATACATACTGACTGAGATTTTCTGACTTCACATGTTATTTTGTGAGCAATTTGTTTTTCCATCTTTAACAGTGCCAACCAAGTTCAAAATGAATGTATTTGATCGAGATCAGGACTTTGGTGAGTACCCATCAACCTGATGAATTTGTGCCAGGGAATATCTGAAGCTTTACCTGATGAATTTGATCTAGGGAATATCCCAAGCTTTTATGTTTAGTTCATAGAGACTTCAGACATTACTTAATGACATACACTCCTAAGATCTCGTTTATAATTCTCCTTGCTGTCTGCGATATAGTTTTTTTAATGTTAGATAGGAGAATTTTTTATTGGATCATCTACAACTGATATAATCCCCAAATTGATATTTTTCTTAAAGTTTTTTCTCATCTTTTTTTTCTGCTTGATACTGTGTTCATATGGTAAGGAGAATTTTTGTCTTAGAAACTCATCGGAGTTAAAGGGTTAAGTGCTTACAACACATTTAAGATTAATTTACTTAATGTTTTGAAATAAATGTTAATCCTTTAACCCCTAAGAGTGACTAGGATCTAATTTCTCCTTACAATATTACCCTTGAATCACACATCAAGGTCACAAGGATAAAGGAAATGATCACCAGCTAAAGAAGCTTTTGATTGTAAGACAAACTCTCATTGTCAGCATCTTAGGAAATGTATAGAGAACAGTATGGAGAAAATGCTTACTGAAACTAGGTTGTAAAATGTTAAAGAGCAGTCATTAGATAGAGGTAATGATACTTAATATTGATTTACTTAAATGAAGTATAATCTTGATTTAAAGGACTGATGTCAGGCTGTACAAACTGGCAAGAAAAACAATTTCTTTTTGTGTTTGAAGTTCAGGAAGGTTGACTAAGTGTCATCTGATGGCAACTTTTGAAGTCCATTGTGGTCACCTGATACTAAACAAAGTTAACAAATTTCAGTGCCTTTTCCTAACTCCTGTGGTTTGACTTTTTGAAGCTATTGATGCCAAAGGTTATCTGTGTCAGAGTCGCGATCATGATAAGTGGCAAGGATGCCGTTCTACTTTGGGAGTGAACAAAGGTTTGTAGGGAAGCTGATAATTTGATAAAGATGAGCTGATTTTTTTCTCAAATAAAAGCTGTTTAAACAAATTAGGAAGTTACAAACAAATAAAACTTTTCCTGTTTCAAGTGACCCTTTTCAGCTATTTAAGGAAAGTTGCAAACATACATGTATGTAAGGTTTTTGAGATACTTCAAGAAGTGATCTTTCAGTTCTTTCTTGTGATAGTTGGCATTTATCTTTAAATGTGTTAATTTGAATTGGGGGATGATTTTCTGAAAATCTGCCATCTCATGAAATTAACTGTTGCAGTTTTCTATCTTCTCAGGAATGTATTATTATGAAGCAACTGTCACAGATGAAGGACTCTGTCGAGTGGGATGGGCAACAGACTTGGCTTCACTAAATCTTGGTACGATGACTGTTAATTGAACGAGTTATTAAGTTATTATAATGATATTGTTAGAATGAATTAAGTACATTTTGGAGCTTCATATCATCATGGAAATGGGTAGAAGGGTTATGAAGTGATATGATCACTTGATTCCCATCTCTGAGGCCTGGTTTTCATTTCCAGATTTGATTTTACTTGAATGTGGGATAATGTTTGATGTTTTTCCTTGTTCTTGTATCTGGGGTTTTACTTCAAATTCTTTGTTTTTTTTTTCTATTCCTCAACAAAAACCAACACTATAAAGTAATCTTCCACTTGGAATGAGTGGACTGAGAACTAATATGTGGGTGTGCCACTTTTAAATCAGGTGCTTATTTTATTTTAGTTAATATTACAGTTGGGGATTTCTTCAATGTAAGTTGACCTCACATGTAGATAGTTAACAGCTCACATTTTTCCAAAATCTTGCTCACTTAGTATTTCAACCTTTTCTAGAACTGAAGTTGTAAATTCCTTCTCGTCTTTTTTTCTCTTTTTTTGGTATCCAGGGACTGACAATCAGGGGTATGGATTTGGAGGCACTGGGAAGAAGTCATTTGAAAAGCAATTTAACACTTATGGGGAGCCATTTGGAATTGAGGACACAATTGGATGCTATATTAATCTTGACAATGGTTTTGTGAAATTTAGCAAAAATGGTACTTTTTTATTCTTTTTTCATTTTTTCTTAAATGAGAGTTAAGAGGTGGTTAAAAATGGAACAGTTGATGAGTTAATAGCTCCCCTGAGTCACCAAGACATAATTTCTCCTTACTATATCTAATATTGTATATAATATCATGCAGGCAAGTAATGAGAACAGGGAAAAATGTAAATTATGGGATAACTAATTGATCCGATACCAAATTCTCCAAACTAGCAAAAGGAGAATTGTTTGGCAGACAGTAAGGAGAATTACTTATGAGATCTTGGGAGGTACAGGCTGGGTTAACTGCCAAGTGTTGAGTACACTTTTGGGCAGTGCTGTATAAATTATGACTTGTTTCAAGAGAGTGTTACTAAACAAATTCTGCCTGCAGCTAAGCTGCGAGTTTTCAAAGTTATTCATCATGTTTACAATATATTGATTCTTAAGCATATGATTTAGTTGCAATTTATTTTAATCTGTTATTAATTTTTTTTTTTTTTTTTTTATTCTGGCAGGTGTGGATTTTGGCAAGGCATTTGAAATTAGTCAAAATCTTCAAGGAAGCACATTCTTTGCTGCAGTTGTGTTAAAGGTAACTGAATAAATGAAACTCTACTCCTCATGAATATCACGATCTTATGACTGGTTATTCTTAACCCTTTGACTCCCAGAAGTGATGAACATGACACTTCTCCCTACAACATCCATTCATTTTTCAGCAAACAAGTAATGGGAATATTCAAACTTATCAGGTAGAAGTACCATCTTGATCTAGCACCATGTTCTCATAACTAATTTACAAGGAAATGTGTAGCAGCTAGAGGGGAGAATTAACAATCAGATCTTGGGAGTTAAGGGGTTAATATATTGTTAGTGCTTTATATTTAACTGAACAAGAATATACAAGATTGGTGTTTGTATGAAAGTGTTCATTGGATATCTTTAATTTTATCGATCTGATAACCTCTCAATTCCTGCATTCAATTCTACCTGTAAGTGCGAGTATTCTCTTATACTTTCCCACCTTCCCAATGTTACTTATCAACTCATTGTGTTCTTATTGTCACATATTTATGAAAAGACCCTTTTTTATTAGATTTTGACCTGGATTTGCATACCTAGACTAACAATGACTTTCTTTTGGTCAGACCAGTTGAAAAAAAGTGTGTCAAGAAAAAAATATTGTTGTTGTTGGATTTGTTGTTGAACCATAAAAACATTTTCTTTGATTTGCAGAATGCAGAGCTCTTATTCAACTTTGGTGATTCTCCATTTAAATTCCCTCCCAGAGTAAGTCCCTTTTACATTAGCTTTAACTTGTTAAGAAGAATTTCAATGCCAAACTGTTAGGCCACAATAGAGAGAAATGTCAGATTTAAACTGACAAGTATCCAGACAGGAATCTTTTATCTACAACAATAGTCTGTTACTCTGACATTTATTCCAGGGTGGATATGCAGGACTGTCCAAGGCATCACCTAGTGCTGTGAGTGCCTCAAACATCAATGGAGGTATGTGGTCTTAAGTTTTTGAAAAGAGAGGGAGACTTCAGACAAAAAGTCATTTTTGTCTCCACCATTTTAATAGTATGTATGTAAAATTGCTTCTTACCATGAGTCAAGATACTAAAGAATTTCATAACCCTTCCGAAAACTCAAAATTCAACAACAGATGCTGTATAGTAACCTGGAGACAAATACGAGACGTGCCCAGAGTCATAATTCTATGTAATTACTACTTAATATATAAAAGATGTTAAAATTATGTGGCCTTAGAGAAATCTTACACAATCCTGTGGGATTCTGTTTTGGATTTTAACTGGAAATTTGGCTGAAAAGGCTTGTTGAACTCTGAAAACCATTAATACCTGAAATATATCTAGTATGTACATTGGGAATCAGGAAATGAAATAAAGAACAGAAACAAGGAAAAATTAGCATGATTGCATACAGTTAAACTTTTTCCTGGCTAATCAGCTTGTTTTCAATTTCAAGAACAATTAAGTCACATTCCAGAAACATTTTTGATGCTCAGGCTTTTCTGGATTTCACAGTTTATGTGCAGAATAAATTCTGTTTGGAATACCAGGCTCAGGGTTAGCTTGCTGGCTGGTGTTCAATTGCAGTTTCTAAACTTGAAAAATATTTGATTTTTACACATTTTTGTTTTTGATAAAAGGAGCATCAGCCTCAGCAAAGACCAAACCTGGCAAGTTTAAAAACAAGTGTAGTCCATCAGCTATTATAATGGAGGTAACTGTACTCACTGCTGTCCTTGTTTGCCTTCACCTTGATTAGTGAACACTGAGAACATGTGCAAGAGGATCACTTGAAACCTCTCCCAATCTCCCTCAAAGACACTACATTGTGACATGTCATAATCTTTATGATAGCATTAAGCAAACCATGGGATTTTAGTTTGATGAGAAAGAAAAGAACAAAAAAATGGAAAGGATGAACCAAATAAGAATTGGGATGATTGGGGTGGGAGCAGGTTGGATTGCAATTATTGGCAAATTTGGACAATCACAGATAAATTTCTTAAAATATGATTTAATTAGCTCTCTGAAGCAAAGTCAAAAGAAGTGATGCAAAATGGTTCCTTTAGCCTGCCCTATTTCTTGCTCTTCCTTAATTTATTCCTCTTTCATTATCAATTAATATGGATAATTATTTATGACTAATAATGCAAGAATATGAGCAATGGTACATCAGCTTGGAACAAGTTGTCTTTCTTTAAATCTTTGCTTGGTTTGCAAATGCTATCCATGCCAGAAAAACATGTAGAATTAATAAACTTGGCTACAAAGCGACAGAATCAAATCTAAGAATTCTTAGAGGGAGCGCAATTATTATCATGGACTTATCCTTCTTTCAAGTTAATTGTCTTCTCTTCCATCTCCTCATTAGCCATCAAGAGAATTAGCTCAGCAGGTGTGTATAGTTGATCATGATCATTCATTTCTTTTAAAAGAAGTTTTGTTCCAATAAAGTTTTTATTCAATGATAGTTATAACAGTAGAAATGCTCAGGGAAAACTATTCACTTTGAATGAGGGGTGAGTTCATCTCACTTCATCAGTGTGTGCATTCATGATTTACTATCAGAGTAATTAAAAGGATTGTAAACTTTTGTCTCGGTGCATCGTTAAGGAACATAGATTCTTGCAGATGGAAACTCATAATTAATACATTTGTGTTATCTGTTTAGACCCATGATCAGATATCACTTTTCAGGAAGCACTTACCAACACCACAAGTCAAGTAGGCTTCCCTGTTAATTTTTATATATCTGTTTTGATGAAATGCCTTGTGATGTTGTATTACTGCTGGAAAAACTAGCAATTCTTGTAACTTTTAGTTATTCTGACCACAAATAGTAATGCAGTCAGACACTATTGGACTATCTGACTGATATATCAAACTATTTGCAGAGAGGTGCTTTTAATTGGAGGAGAGAATATAAAGACGCAAATTCAGACACTGAATGAGGGGGTAAGAGTGCACCGATTACTTTGTAAAGTAAAACCAAATTAGCAACCACAACAGCCAAGAGTGGTGGTCATTCTTTCTTTCAACAGCCAATCAAAACAAAGGAAAAAATATCACATGGAGCCAATGAGAATTCAAGCAAATACATGTGAATGGGAAAAGATTAATGACAAAGTCATGTGGACATAGTTTTGAATCTGATTGGTTGAAAGTGCAGCACTAGGTCTCTGGACCAATCATGTAGCAAAGTAAAACAAAAGCAATATCAAAGCATTCTAGGATTACTTTTACAAATTTAAAGTCTTCTCCCGAGGAAGGTGCACTCTTAGTAAACCTTGTAAGGTATTTTCACCTGCCTTATGCCCTCTCCTTGTTTTTTTTCTTACTTGAACTGAAGGTGGACATCTTGACTGGAACACCAGGAAAGCTTGAGGATTTTATTTCAACTAATAAAGTCAGCCTTTCTCAGGTAAACATACCCACCTCTTTACTGGAGAAATATTTTGTTTTTACCTTTTACATCTACTGCATTATATAGTCCTCTTCAGGAGTAACTTATGGAAAGAATCTTTTTACTTTTTCTGATGAAAAACTTCCTTGGCTATACACTAATTCTCTACTTAGGGTGGCACAATAAAACGTGTGAGAATCAATTACAATTCTTCACGTTAAATCTTAGCCGATCCTTATCCCTTGTACTTCTTTTGACTAAAAGGTATTTTTTCAGTGTGTGAATTGTTAACAATTTCTGATTAAATTCCTTTTCAGGTTCGCTTTTTCATTTTAGATGAGGCGGTAAGCATATATGTATATAGTCACTCATTCCTTCATTATTTCTTTCTTTCTCTCTATTTTGTTTTCCTCTAGACTCAATCTTTCATTTCCTTTTGTCCCTTCCTTTTATTTTTTTATCTTTCATCTCTTTTCTTTTTTCCTTTAATCGCTCTTCATTCATTTATTCATTGCCTTGTTCAGAATCGTCCAAACTTTCACCTGTTCTTGATTTGAGTCTACATCCATTGGTTCTTTTGTTTATTAAAATGGTTTTTTTTTTTTTTAAATGATACTTCAAATGTTGTTCACCTTTTCACTCCCAACTTTTTATTAGTAATTCTCCTTTCTGTCTCCCACACAATTCTTATGATTTTAGTTTAGAGAACTTGATATTGGATCAACTAATAGTCCCCCTTTTGATATTTCTCTTTTTTTCTGATCACCTGTCTGCTTGATATTGTACTGATATTGTAAGGAGAAATTCTGTCTTGGACAATTATGGGAGTTAAATAGACTAAAAAGGAATAAAAGTCTTGCTTAATGATACGTGGCCTCGTAATGTCGGTTTCCCTTTATTTTGATCAGGATGGTTTACTAGCACAGGGAAATCAAGAGCTAATCATGAGAATCTTTAACAAGATTCCTAAAAGAAGCCCTGATGGTAAACGATTACAGGTACATTATCTACTCCTCTGCCTACTTTCAGTTCTTATTTTGACAGAAGTGAGAATTGTAAAAGAAAAAAAAACATTTGCCGGCTGATGAATGTATAATGATTCAATTACTACACGAGGCTCAGCCTAGTGCAGTAACAAGAACTGCAACTCCATTCTGAAAAGAGCGAGTTTATTTATCTGTGACCTGATGAAAAAATAAAATGCTTTTACCTTTTTCAACATGGTAACAAAGCTGATTGCTGTGCATTGAAATAGGGAGGGTTTTTTGAATGAGAAATAAGGGCAAATTCGGCGAAAAGTTTTCGGTTATCAATAGCTGCAGTTCAAACAGCGATGGATTCCAAGTTGGAATAAGCGTTCAAAGTAAATATAAGATTGTCTAAACATAACATTATCCTTCAAAGAGCATGAAATGTACGGAAAGAGATATAAAAGTATTGTAAGTAATTAACGCAATGAAATCATACGTCATAGGTCATAAACGCACTCTGGTCAACCAGTGAGGAATTAAAAATTTCTTTCTTAGAAATTTTACTTCTATCTCAGGGGTTGTTTTCCGTTGCGTGCTAAAATGATAGTACTTGTTTCATTTTGTTTGACAGATGATCGTGTGTTCGGCAACCCTTCATTCTATAGAAGTGAAAAAGTTAGCTGTAAGTACTTTTCCCTTTTCATTCAATTTACTTCTCAGTTTTACGCGGAAGTTTTTCCTCTTTTAATTTTCCAACTATCGTAGTTATAACTTTAGGTTGATGAAAAAAAATTGATTTTTCCCCCAAGTTTTTGCACTTATCCTCACCTTGATAACAAGCCGCTGAAGATAAAATGCGCCCGCGCTCCTCCCCTGACGGCATTCTTTGGCAGATACTGAGCGTCTATATTTCCTAAATGCTTCCACCTGAGTACCAGTTTTTGAAGGTCTAAAATGTCCTAAGTACATTTGAATTTAAAATGATGCAATGACAGCTTGCTGAAGTCGATCATTATTACAAGTTATGTCGTAATTGGTGGCTCGTATGAGAAGCTACGCTTACCGTCATGTTTACTCTTCATACTGAAATATAATTTTCTCTCTCAGGATAAAATTATGCATTTTCCAACTTGGGTGGACCTCAAAGGAAAGGATGCTGTCCCAGAGACTGTTCATCATGTGGTAAATAACTAAGAACAGGGCTCGTTAAACCCTTTAGCTCCCAGACCAAATTTGTAATTCTCCTTACTGTCAACCATACAATTCTTATAATGTCAGTTCAGAGAATTTAGTATTGGATCAACTAATTATCCCCAAATTGATAATTTTCGTTATTCTCATCACTTGTCTGGTTGATGTTGCATTGATATTGTAAGGAGAAATTCTGTCTTGGTCACTCATGGGAGTTAAAGGGTTAATAACGATGCTCTTTATTTGGGGCAATTTCTCGTTCTCATCACTTTGCTCCCCTCTATTCACATCGCTTGTTTGTGTGTATTCTCTTTCGCAGCTGTTTTTTGGATGTCACGCAAGCTCACCCCGCTCTTGGAGTGAGCGTTACGTGACATCCCAAAGAACGGCTGCAAAGGAGAACGGTCTACGTGACGGTGTTCACGAAACGCAAGTGAAATAGAGGTAATTTTTGGAAATTAAGGGATGAAGAGGCTCAGATCTTCTGTTATTTTCCTACTTTTTTTTTCAGTTCTGTCGTGTGGATCCAAGGGTGGACACTTCATGGCAACAACTCAAATCTGCGGTTAAGGTTTGTTATGTAAGATTTTTACTGAGACCTTATCCACTAGTGCTGACTTGTAGCTTCTATTTCTTAACAAAAGTTATAATTCTACGTCTGTCCGTGTGCATGTCTAAAGTCTGTACTGAAATTTCAGAGGAAAACAATTTAAGTTGTCAAAGTTTAAATTATGTCCGACCTATGGCCACGCGGGCTGTACGGTCCACCACACACGCGTGTACAAAACTTAAGTTCCCACGCGCCTAGAAATGAGGTGTTTCTCCTGCTTTCATATTTACTTTATACTTAAACTGTCTTGATCTTACAGACTGATGGAATTCATGCAGAGGACAAAACAAAGTCAGGCAGTCAGAGCCAAGGCAAGAGAATTGTAAAATTTCCGTGTAGGAATTGAGCGATGTAACTTTGTAAATTATGAGCAATTTTCTTCTTTCAGAATCCTTGTCTGAAGCAGTGAAGATTTTGAAGGTTGGTTACCTCGTTAAAGCTATCCAGGAACATAAAATGGACCAGGCCATTATTTTCTGTCGCACAAAACTGGATTGTGACAATGTGGAAAGATATTTGATAGACTTGGGCGGAGGTGAGTGAATTCCTTTTATTTATTTCAAACTCTCGGGCTTGTGCAGTGTTTGACCGCTGTGTTGCCTATTTTACTCCTTACCTCCGTCTGTTTGGCTTGCGAGCAGACTCTCGTGTTGGGTTATGCCTTAAGCCCCCCCCCCCGTTTTTGCAGGTACAGCTGCCTATTAACCCTTTTACTCCCAAGATCTCACTAGTAGTTCTCCTTACTGTCTGCCGCACGACTCTTGTGATGTTAATTTGGAGAATTTGGTATTGGATCAACTTGTAATCCCCTAATTGATATTTTTCTTCATTCTCGTCACTTGTCTGCTTGATATTGTAAGGAGAAATTCTGTCTTGGTCACTCATGGGAGTTAGAGGGTTAAACAATTGACAGCAGCCTATGGAAAAAGTTATTGAAACCCCAGCTTTTTACGTATCGTTGTTGTGTAAACATTGACAGCGTGGTAACTAATTATTTTGCTATGATTTTAGAGTTACTGTGGTTTTTTCCTTGAAAGCTCAAGTTTTGATTCGTTTGTCTGTGAAGCCTGTTCCAGGCGTTTAGTCGGCACAGGGGGTATGATTGCAACACAAAGAGAAAGAGGAGGGAGATAATCACGACCCGTTCCCAATCCCCTTCTCTTTACTCGACTCTTCGACTCTTTCTTCGCCTGAAAAAGGCTTGTTGTTGATGTTATTTTTAAGCACAAAAAAGTTGTTGTTGTTGTTGTTTGACAAGAGGTTGTTTCAGCGTCTTGCTTACTGAGTTTCTCCATTCTTACTCAGGTCCAAATGCCATGGTCAACGAGTATTCATGTGTGTGTCTCCATAGTGACCGACCTCCAAAGGAAAGAAAGGCAAACTTAGAGTCGTTCAAGGTAACAGAAGCCGATTAGAAAAGATGAAATACAGAGTTGATTTTTTGGATTCCTCAATTAAAGGGCCATTAGGTATGGCGTATTTGAATTTTTAATTACTTTTTACGCGTAGGATGGCGAGGCAAGATTCCTTATCTGCACTGATGTGGCAGCGAGGGGTATCGATGTATCTGGTGTACCTTTTGGTAAGTATATAATGTCCCATCAATTCTAAATACCTCTATTTTGTTGTTTTTGTCATGTTGTTCTTGGTTTGTTTATTTGTTTGTTTTTGTCTCTTCTGTCAGTCGTGAATGTGACATTTCCGGACGATAAACAAAACTACGTGCATAGAATTGGAAGAGTAGGAAGAGCACAAAGGTAAGTTAAAACTTAGTAAGTTAAGACTAACAATCGGTTGGAAACATCTCTTGCATTCGATATCAGGCGAGCTTCGTGCCTATTACCTCCCAGTTAGAGACGAACTGGGAAGGAAGGGGATAGTGCTGATGGAATTAAAGCGCTCAGAACAGTTAAGATGAATCTGTTATGAACAGATATGGTGTGAAGGCGGTACAGCTTTGTGGTTCAAGGGGTTTAATCGCAGTCTAAGGTTCAAATCCATACTGTTTCCAGTTTATCTCCGCTGCTTGTTTTCCTCCCACTAGTGTAGACTTGTCCATCCATACATGAGCCGATCAGTCAGTAAGTCAGCTAATTAGGTAAGTAGTCAGGCAGTCAGTCGGGCACGAAGGCCTACAGTCAGGCAGGTAGTCAGGTACGAAGGCCGGCAGTCAAGCAGGCAGTCGAGCAGACAGTCAGTTACCTTTGAGCCAACTGTTTTGACGTACTGTGTAAACCTTTCTCCGTGATTCTGCTACTTCTAACATGGAGACTTGAACCTAGCCTTTTTTTTTTGTCTTGTAGGATGGGTCTGGCTATTTCACTAGTCTCAGAAGTTAAAGAAAAGGTAGTAATACGCTTGCTACTGAATTATTCATGTAACATGGGAATTAGTTTTTAAAAATGTGCGCCATCGGCAGACAGTTTATGTCATATTTTTCTACTAATAGTAGCAAAATATGGGCACGATCGGGTTGGTGACTGTGACCAGGTCATTTGTTGAATCCTTGTTCGCGTGCTCTCCAGGTATGGTATCACACTTGTCCCAATCGTGGTAAAGGATGCTCTGACACACGGCTTAGGGATCAAGGGGGCTGTGCAATATGGTACGACGAGAAAGAGGTAAATATTAATACAGTCTTTTCGCACATCTCAACTTGGTTTTACACCATTTCCGCTTAGAGGGTGACGCCTTTGACCTCTTCACTTGTACAGGACGACGTAGTGCACTTATCAATGATCTCAAAGACGGAACGCTAGCTAGGAGGCCAACTACATGTCACTTCGATTGAGAAATTTGGAGAGCATAGAGTATCTAACCTCTCAAACTATGAGGCGAGCGGCTAGCCACTGGCTAAATTTTGGTTGTGGTAATCCGGACAAACCCCGGCCCATAATGCAATTGTGTCTGTTATCTTCTCTTATTTTCGTGGGGGTCTTCTCTGTCACTCTTTCGCCCATCCTGTTCTCTCTCCTAAGACCGTGAGCAAACCCATCCCCGTGGGTCTCTCTGCACTAGTTCCTTATTCAACATACTGCTCCTCCATTTGTGATTAAGTCAAGCGCTATACAATTGTAATTCTGTGTACCTATAATTTTTTACCATTGATTACCGGAAGTCAGTAAAACTTACACAGCAGGAATCTGGAGCCCTGCTCAGTGAACCGAAACTCTGGTCCGAAAGGAGTTTGTATTAGGTCAATAAGTTTGAAAAAATGTAGAAGAACGAATAAAGAAATATATGCGCATTTCTCGGTCGCTCTTACTAACGAGGCAATTCTCTTTCTAAACAGTCTGGTATCGACACGAGTGTCAGTTTTGAGTGTTCGTTTAGGTATTTGTGAGATAGAAATTTACTTAAGGGTGGGATAGTGTTCTATCTTTGCCACAGCTGAGATGATTGCCTTAGGGTGGCTAGCAGGGGTAAACCCTTCACTTGGATGGCGTAATATTTCTTTTGGGGGTGATAATCTCTTTTTTTTAGTTTTAATAGACACTTTCATTTTTCTTCGGCATAGTATCTCGCAGACGTGGAGGATCATCTAAAAGAGACGATCTCTTGTATTGAACCCAACATGAAAGTTCCTCATAACGAGTTTGATGGTAAAGTAACTTACGGCAAGAAACGCCGTGCAGCGGGTAAGTGTCATCTTTAATAATTTCTTTTGTAACACACGTTCTTAAATTTCAACGTGCTTATAGGGTGAGAGCAGATCAGTTTATTCTCACCGCGGGCTCAGAGCGATTTTTCTTAGTTAAAAAAATTTCCAAGCGGTTCCTTTGGTACCGCAAACTATAGGCCATTACAGCAATGTCTAAAGCTTCTTGTCTTAAAACGAAGCAAGAGCGAAGCTTTTGATTTGGATATTAATTTTCATCCCTACACACGTGAAACTAATTTTCCGCAAGAAATATGCAGAAAGATGTCATTTGTTGCTATTCGTTTGTTAGGATTCATCTTTGAGTCGCACACCGCTGAACTTGCACCCTCAGTTAGGGAACTGGCAGAAATGGAGTACAAGGCGCAGACGTCCTTTTTAACTTTACAGCACAAACAGTGGATGAAACACTAAGATACTCTGATTATTAGTCTACGATACACTGCCTGAGATACACTGTGTTTGCCTTGAAGTACTCCCCACTTCAGTCGTACTTAAAAATACATGGAGTGTTCAAGTTGGGGAAAGTTTGAATCGCACAGCTCGAAATTAACCAGAGGAAAATAGAGACATTTCATACAGAGCTTGAAATACTTAAAAAAATTAAAATACTTCAAATACACCACAGTTTATCTGGAAACCTACCCCCCTTTATCGATAGAGCTTAAAATACTTCTTTGGGAAGCCTGATTTGAGATCGCGGCGGAGAAACTGTTGACATTGGCCTTGTGATATAGCGTAGTGTTGAATCTCTTAAAGCAGGTTTTACTGGTCAAAAAAAACTTGCCAGACTGACTCTTTCTGACCGCCTTCTTCCTCTAAGAAAGATGATATATTTAAGGGTTGGATGAGGTTTCGTTTCCGTATCATTCCTACGAAAACAAAATTCAAATAAAGCTATTGTCGGATGATGCTGTCATTTGCCTTCATTCATGTTTTCAAATAAGCAAAAAAAACTCTGAATGTTCAACTAAAAAAGCTTTACTGCAAAAGTGTCAACATGAAGTCCCTTTCCTTTCCCAACGTACCATGATCTCTCAAGGGCGTAGCCAGGATTTTTTAGAAGGGGGAGGGCCTCACTATGTCAAACGGAGGTACTCACCAGTTTCGCCACTTGAGTGTTGAAACTTTGTTTCTTAAAAAAAGGCTTAAAGAGGGCGGGTTGAGGGGACCCCAGGATCCCCTCCCCCCAGCTACGCCTCTGTCTTCGAATGACAACTTTACTCCACATTTACCTGAATAACTTTTATTTGAGTCAGCGTCCCACCGAGGGCTTGTTTTGACTTTTTAATGTCACAATTTGAATGATTAGGGAACTTACACAGTTATGACGACGACTCTGAGGAAAACATCGATTCAGAAATTCACTTACATTTGTGCTAAGATTTCCCGCTGGTTTGATGCCTTGACTGCCTTTTTAGGCATCCAGCGTAACATGATGGTGTCGTGGAGTTCCGGGCAGAAACGATGACAATTTCCTTTCGGAGTTCCTGCCCTCGGACTACGCATTGTTATAGAGTGATTTCACATTAATTTTTCGCGGAGGACAGCTGAGGAATTTAAATAAGTTATACGCAACGGCCAAGCAGTAATTCTACCCTTTTACAGTCTTGTTTCTTATTTTAACCATGTTCTGAACGCAGCTGTCGTACTAGTTTGCGTAAGGCCCCTAGAATAACGATTTTGTGGCCGCCTGCAATTTTCTGTATAGAAAACTTAGAAGTGTTAGAGGCCTATAATGCGTGATCCTAATTCACATATTAAGGCGATTAAACACACGTTCCGCTGGCTGTGAATGAATTGGAAATACATTATACTGTACTTAGCAACGCTTGGTACAATATTTAAATTTCTCGTTCATTCTGCAGCGCGCCTGTGCCCACATTTATCTCTCAAACACTCTCACCGGTCTCTAACCTAATTAATTATTTTGTACGTAAATGCCCAATATAACCAAACCACAAAATGTTTATTTTTTTCGAGAGTTCTGCTCACTAGGACTACACAATGTTTAAAATTTGCAATCCTGTTGTGTCTCCCTCTATGTGGGAGAATACATAAATGCAAATTTTCCGTTTACCATCACTACATTATCGAAAACAATGTTTATACAGAGATTTTTACTTCACCGTTGATTATTTGCATAATTTTTATCAGTACAAATACCCAGGTTAGCTCATTACGCGTTTTAAGTCAGCACGATGTTGTTTAAAATGCTAAACTGACCACCTAACAGTCGATACATTGGCGTCAAAGTGCGCCACAGTTAGGTTTATTCTTCCGGTTGTAGTCCGCGTCTCAAAAACGAACCGCTCAAGTTCTCTAGCCACGAAACTAATATTCTCAATACTGTGAAACACTGCATTTTGCTGTGAAAATATTCCTAAGCGATCCTAGTTATTTAGGCGAAGGAAAAAGTGATTATAAAGTTTTGAAAGCCGTATAATACAGTCCTCCCACCAAAATTTCCCACGCAAGCGCTCGATAAAGACCGTCTATGGAAGTGAAGTATGTCACGCAATTGACTATTAGTCTTGTTCTACAAGTGCAATTCTCGCCATTCTTTTCTAAATTTTCTTCTCTGTCCACTAATTTCTTCTTTTTTTTTTCCCGTATTGAACTAAATTTGGGTATCTTTTGAACTAAAAGTGATGCCAAGGGAGCTTGAATGAAACGTGACACTGAAATGTGAATGTACTGTGACATAGATTGATATTTACATAAACATATTCTGGCGTGGCGTTACGCGATAATAAAGACTTTCGACTTCCGCAAATACCTTTCACATTCAAATTAGGTTCGCACCGAGATGGACGCGAGAAGCAGAGCGGCGGCTGCTTTACTGTTAGATTTCCTTGAACGATCCGAGAACGACGAGGGAGACTTTGAAGGAGACTTTGATCAGGAATTAAGCGACGATCTCGATGATCGTAGCAGCGACGAAGAAGAACAAGCCCGGCCAACGTTTGGAGGCTATGAATACGAATTTATAGATAACGTTTTGGACAATCAAATATGTCCGGTGTGCCTTTTGCCTATGAGAGACGCTGTCCAAACTAAAGAGTGCGGCCATCGATTCTGTAAAGATTGCTTACACGGGATTCTAAGGTTTGTCTTCAGCAGGATAATTCGCACCTTTAAGTAACGACAACCTTCTTCGACAGAGAATCGTTAGGACTCGTTACAAGGAAGTACAGCGCTGCGATTTTTGTATCAACTTTCATGGCGGACAAAACAATAAGTGATTTTACTTTCTTTCTTTTTCTGTACATTTTAGGCAAGTAGGCTTTGAATAACATGGCGAGTGCTGTGTTTGTTCATTTAAAAAAAATTATTGGCAAGCTGTTTACGTTTTCGTGCAAGGACCAATTCTTTGACGCAATATTTTCATTCGCGAAAAGTTTCAATGCAGAAGTGCGGCGCGGGCTGATGAGGAGATGTGAATTTCCGCACACAAATTTATGTCGTTGAGGTAAATCCACTCGAGGTCGAGAACTCAATTAATGGCCTAGTTTAGCGCTATACACTTGAAAAACACAGCAAAAAAATCCTTTCTTCCATTTTAATGAGATTCATTCCATGTGTTTGTGTCGGCGATGCCACAAAGCATCGATTTACGTACTTCCGGTAAGGAAAACCGCTTACCTCGGCTCTTTCTCTATCATGTTTAAACGTAACACGGAAAAGTCCAGATAAGAAATCGCTGAGAATGTTTTTCGTAATATAACATTATTTCGTTAAAACTTGACAATGTGATATCCTTTAGATTTTTTCAGAAAAGGCTATGAAAACCTTCTAGAAAACGCGTTCTAAAATATATTTACTCTTTCGTAAACGGCCAAAGGATGCAAGATGTTTAAGAGAATGGTTCGAGATCGAAATACGTCATTGTACTCAGGTTTACCCACTTGTAAATATGATTTTATTGCGTTGACAAAATATGTTTTACACCGTTAAGTGACACATTTCTCTGCACTGTTTTCTCCCTCGGTTTCATAAAACGTGCACGAGAAATTGACGAAAATGCATTGATTATACAACAAGTAATACCTTGTCCACGACCTTAAGTTTCATGATAAAATAGTTTTCTATTAAATTATTTTATTCACAATATATTTAATAACTGTGTAATCACTCTAATATCACACGTAAACAAAAGCGATTTCAAGGACATGTTCAGCAATATCTTCAGCATATTCAATAATTTTGTGAGAGTTTCGTAATAAGTTTAGTTACATGCCCCAGTGTCTTATTCCGGTGTGTTTCTGTTCTCGCTCCACAGAAGTAACCATCCAGTTTGTCCGAATGACAGGCAGAACATCAAACGAAAGGGCGGGGTAAGTGAAATTATTTTCAGCTATTCTTCGACTGATGGTTACACAAAATGTCAGCTTTCTTTTCTACATTATTCAACAATGGTTAGAGTACATTCATGAATCCTATTCTTACGGAAAGTTAAACTCAAGAGAGGAAATACTTAGATTTCAGTTTAAGCGTTCAGCTAGAGTATATTTTTTATTCATAATTATTTTATCATTGCTCTATGAAAAAGGTAAACCTTCTGGTTTAGGAACACGAGTTTGTATGAGGAAACCTTTTTTTTATTTTACGAAAACAGGCAAAACTGATGGGGAATTAATTTATCATACCGAAAAGGAATTTAGACCACTTATGTCCAGCAGTGTACGCAATGACAAAAATGGCAGATTTGAAGAAATTTCGTCAAAGTGAGGGAATGTTCATGGATTCGACGATTTTGGCGAATTTTAGTCAAATTCATCAAAACGAAATCAGCTTGGCGGATCAGACGATTTTGACAAATTTTCGCCATTTTCGTTACTGCATGTATTTCTGGACATATCTCATTTAGACAAGGGAACTTTTTAACCTCAAGGAAAATGTTTAATCCCGAGGGAAAATGAAACCGCCAGCGGGAACTTTTTAATCCCTATGCAAACAAAACCATTTGGGGGAAATGTACCACCCTAGCCAAAAACGAAACTGCCAGGGACAGGGAAAGGGGAATTTTTATTTCTGAGAACAAAATGACACTGAAAGGAAGACTTATATGTCCTAACGGAAAATGAAACCACAGGGAAAATTGTTTACCTCAACGTAAAGAAAAACTGTGGGAGGAAATGATTAATCTCTACAACAAGGAAGACTGTTGAAGTAAAACTTATCACAGCATGATACTGAAGTGTAAACCCAAAGGTAAGTAATCATTATTTATCGACTGAAGGGGTGGGGGTATTTTGGTTGTCACTCTTACTATTTACGTTAGCCCCCACAAGGCTCTGTAGTATGCTAAAAACCTTCTAATGATTCCGCCTCGTTGGCAGTCAATTTTAACAAAAAAAACCTCCGACCCCAGCCCCTCTCCCACTCCGGCGATAAATGACGACTGGTTACTAATCCTTCTCGGTTTTTTTTTAGTTTTTTTCAGACAAAGCCTGGGCTAGGGATATTTTGTGCCTCCGAGTAAAATGCAAACAGAGCGCCACAGGATGTGGCTGGATTGGTCAACTGCGACACGCGGAGGTGAGCGGACTTTTTTTTTAACTGGCATATAGTACTGTACTTTCTTGTTTTGTTTATACCACTTGTTAGTTTTTTTTCTCTGGACAAAACATTTCCAGTAGAGGATGAATCCTCACCTGGGAAACCTCACAAAGACTTGGAGCTCTTTTTGACTGAGTGTCGTAAAACCAACGTGTAATAATCATCACTACCAATCACAACATAAATTACATGGAACTAATCAAAAGTAAAAGTGAGAACAAACTAACCGCCCAAAGAGGGGAAAACGCGAAAGACCAAACCGCGATCAACTACAGTCTTATATCTGATTGGTAGAGTGGGATGCTTCAGTTTCGTGGACCAATCACAGAGCATATTGTAGCAAAGCCAATCCAATCCCGAACTTTGTGACACGCAGTTGGGCACACTGTCCTGTTTTTGCATTTTTGACTTTTCTTAGGACCACCAAAAGACCTGCCCCTATGTAGAAGAGCAGTGCCGCGATTGTGAAGCAAACATACAGAGAAGACACCTTGATACTCATTACAAGGAGGAGTGCCCAAGGAGATTAGTGGAATGTGTGCACTGTCAAAAAAAGTACCGTTTCTTGGAAAAAACTGTAAGTATCATAGTGAAGGCTCATTTTTTAGAACAATCCACAATGGATTACATACACTTTTCACAGACAACTTAGAGACTGAATGACAATTCTTTGTCTTTCTTTGTAATAAATCGCATTTTATACCGTCACATGATAGAACGTTGAGAACGGACAGGTTGGAAAAAAACCCAACGTAAGCAAATAACAAAGAAATAAGTGACTCATAAGTTTTCTTATGAGTCCCCTTTCGAAAATACACTTCCTCTCACTAACTCGTATTCGTGATTTCAAAGACCTTTTTTTTCTATGATTGCTTTTTTTGGCGGACAGTTTTGAGCTGTGTTACTTTTATTCTCTCAATCCAGGTACACGAGGACTTTTATTGTAGCCGTTACCCTCTCAGCTGCACCAATAATTGTGGAGCCTTGCAAATACCACGAGAAGAGGTACGGTGAAAAAACTTTTTACTTCTCAACACATCGTATCTTTGTAAAAGGAAAACTCCAAAGACGTTTATAGTGTAGTCCATAGCCATTCTATTCTGATAACATAAGTTTACTGAGATCAAAGTTTTGCTTTGGTTGTTTATTTCCCGCGCCCAAAAATGTAAATCTATGAATCACTGAGAAACACAACACTGGCACTGTAGTGCTTCGTGTTGTGCCGTACGTCTCTCTCACATCACCCGAAAAAGATTTGCTGGTCGACTCCAGCTTTACCAAATTCTACTTGATGCAAAGCTATCTCTCCGAACAAAAACCAAACAATGTCTCAATGCCTCTCAACATCAACCATTTTTCAGCTTTTTTCTCCTTACTTCCTCAGCTGGAAAGGCACATTTCCGAACAATGCCCGTTGACTGAAGTGACCTGCCCCTATGCCAAGGCCGGGTGTCCTTATAAGGTACATGATATGTACGAAGTGTAGTCATTAGTACTATAAACTGTCATGATCCGATGGAAAGCGACTGCTTGCGAATTTTACTTAACTGACATTTCGTCCTCCTTTTCACTAACAAAGCAATTCAAAGCAAACCAATCTTTGCGGGTAACAGTTTTACCTTGCCTGATTTATCTTTCGGGTTTTAACAATGAAATAGAGACGTGTTGGCATATCTATCACATCTCCTCAAAGCTTCAGCTATAAAAGTCGCTATGGCAGTTAAGTTCCTTTTAACGAACTTACTTGTTACTTTTCAACAAGGCACTAAAGATAAGATTATTTCACGGTTTACCTCGATGCAAGAACCTGTGAAGATTTTCTTTTTTTTTTTTTTGTCACTATCAATTCCTAGGCTCCTTTTGTTTTGTTTTCTTTGTTTTGCTCCACTCCAAAACTTTAAAGGTTCTTACACCGAGAATGATACACATCTCTTTAGCCACGCCCAGAGAACCCTGGAAATTCGTGTTACACTTGATCATATTTCGGCTAATCTTAATAATCTTTCCTGAAGATGGGATTTAAAGGTATTTTTTTGGCCCCATCGCTGCCCCATTACACAAAGGTGATTTCCAAGTAAGACAACGACAGTGTCAAACAACTTGGGATAAACTCTTCTAACCCTTTAATTCCCACGATCTTATTAGTAATTCTCCTTACTGTCTGCCAAATGATTCTTATAATGTTAGTTTGGAGAATTTGGTATCGGATCAATTAGCAATCCCATAATTGATATTTTTCTTTATTCTCATCGCTTGTCCGCATGATACTGTATACATATAGTAAGGAGAAATCCTATCCTGGTCACTCACGGGAGTTCAAGAGATAAAGCAATCCGTTTTCAATTTTATTTTAATTCTGGGCATCCTTGTCTCTCTTCGGCTTTCCTTTCTTCCTTCTGTAAAATTCCATTGATGTACAATTCAGCCTTTAAAAGAATCCCTCAAAACGAGACTAGGGGGAATAAACTATTGTGTTTGACGGGCTCGTTCCCATGGCTGCGGAACGATGTCTCATGTTTTATGATAATTTCTAAAATCACGAAATTGGAGTATTCTACGATCCAGGGTAATTTAGTATTATCAAATGAGTTGATAAAGTACCGTCATTCGCTCTGACGAAGGGCTAACGCTCGAAACGTCGTCTTTCAAACTCTTTACGGAGGCCAATTTACGTTATCAACTCAGTTGATAATACTAAATTACCCTGTTATACTCTTCCACCGACGCAGCACCGCAGTTTCTTTAGAAACGTACCCCCCTGTAGTCTTCAGCCGTATGACCTCACCCCTCAACTGATATCGCTATCACCATGGCAGTTGTGGATATCACTTGCTAATTCATTGACAGGATAAGAGAGTTCACCTGAGCAGACACATGGAGACCAGCGTGGATAATCACTTGTGGCTGACATGGTACTCGCTCGTGGAAACAAAACAAGAGCTTGGCAATCTGAAAGATCTGCGGCAGAAATATATCAAGGTTCAGTTTGTGAACGAGAGGCTGACACAGTCCTCTGCTGAGTTCGTTGGAGAGATCCGCGATTTATCGGCAGCTGTTAAACGATTGGAAGCACAAAACGCCAAACAAGTGAAGCAGATCGAAGACTTGACCAGAAAGCTTGAAAAAGTTCAAAAGCCTGGCAAATCTTACTCATCAAGGAAAAGCGCGCTTAATAATTCCTACTGAATTTAGTGTTAAAAAAAAAATAACGAAGCAATCTCAAAGACCGATTAGATCAAAGGAGAAGTCACAATTGGGAGCATATCAGTGATAACTCGGGGTTTCAGTTACTTTAATACTATGAGAGGTTGAAACACTCACCCCTTACTCCCGCCTTGTATTTAAAAAAAAATTTCAAGATATGGTCTTGAGCGCTTTTCCCGCTGACGAAAAGTAGCTTCCATTTAAACTGTTTACACTACGCTGCAAGTTGAAGTCAGCGATGGCAGTCGAACTGTTTCCGCTTTCAAACCCCTGGGGAAAATCATTTTAGTACGTCATACTGTTCTATAGAGGGCCCAGCAGGGCAAGAGACCTTTAGGCGCTAAAAAATATTAACGGAGTTTGTCGTTTAAAGTTTTCATTACACATCACTGACCGACCTGGATTTCTCTTCAATTGGGAAAGCTTCCTACCCTCCCCACCCAGACTTTGATGTAGTTTAATATGGTGTGATGTTTTCCTTGAGGTGATATAGTCAATATTGGATGTACGAAGACATCAACTGAGTTCTCGAAAATAGTGAAATATTGCGTGTAAATGTTCCACTTCAAAGGTCATAGTAACCTAGCATTAAGATAGCTTGTAATGCAGATGTTCAAAGACTAGCTCTGATTCGTAACGAGCGAGTATCATTGAGGTTAATTTGACAGGATGGATCAGCCATTCTGACTGGTTTTAATGCGAGAAGGAAAATTTTCTACTGGCTCTTCATAGAAATTATTCATTTTTTTCTCAAGTTTTTCTTGCTTGTAAACATGAAGTTATGATTAAAAATTTGCTTTAATTTCTCAGTTATCAGAATATTGGTGTCTAAACACTTTATCAAACTCTGTCACTGTTCCGTTGGGCCTTGAGCTGTTAGGACCAACGGTTTCAACGGCAACCAGTTTAGGTGGAGGCAATTGAATTTTTGCCATTAGAACACTTTTCCAAGAAACTTAATCCGACAGGCGTTGACAGAAAAGGTCGATTGAACCAAAGATGATTATTCTGGCAGAATTAGTGATTAACCTCGCGCAAAAATTGCAAACATTTTCCAGGATCTAAGAATTCTGATAAAAAATGGGACTCCGTTTACCCAAAACCGGACTTCTCTCCGAAAAAAAAAACTTTTATGACAATATTAATGTGAGCTTATAAAGGCCTCTGTTACTTAGGTTCTTTATAGGATTACGCACTCCTGACGAAAACGGACCATTTAGATAACAAATATGAATAACTCACCATTAAGATGATTTCATAAAAATTCAAAAGCTTTATTTACATGGTGAAAAAGATAAACAGTCATCATTGGATGACCTTGACATTCACCCGCTCACGTGTTTGTTGATATTCCTTACAAAAACTTTGCGCAGAAATGATTATTCCATTAGGATAAACAATGTTCCATCATTTGGTTAACAATGTTCCAGATATAAATGATAAGCAATTACATCTTTGATAATAAATCTATCTCTGCGGGATCGAATGAAATCGTTGAAAATTTTGTATTTCCATCACATAATTCTCATACGAGTTGTGGTAAACAGCATCAAGACAAATCTATTAACTATAGGAAGTGGTTATGGTGAGAATCTCGTCATGATATTGGATAGGCTGTTAAAACACCGACAGGCAGTTAGAAATAAATCTACATCCTGACATCGATTCGAATGTTTAAAATTTTTCTACATCTGTACTTCCGTCTTAAAAACTAAATGATGTTTTGAAAAGTGCTCTGAATTCGTCTTCTTTTAGGTAAAAGACCACAAGACAGAGCGGTCAGATATGAAAATCTTTTACAGTTTACCAAACCTTGCACAGACCTGACACAGTTTGTTAACTTCTAAGCAGGCAAGGTCATGATAATTCTATCCAAAAAACTGACGCCAAAAAGCGACAATCTCCGTCTCTTTGTCAGTTCTTTGAATTTTTTTTCCAGGACGCTTCCCATAGAGAGCTTCTTCCCATGGTGTTCCTTGAAGAGTTGATTCCCCGCTTAGCGGGAATGAAGCAATAAATGACTGATTATCGGTTCGCGCAATGCAATGATTTTTTATCTTTAGTTGGCTTCTTGTTGTCGTGACCTTATTTTCTTCAGAGGAGACAGAAATCGACGCCGGTGAAAGCGTGCGAGACATTCGCTGAACTGATTCAAATGGTTCAATTGCTGTCTGAATTTCTGAGCCTTGTTCTTCGCCTGACTCCGAAGCTGTGCTTGGGCTAACACTTCTCTGTGATTCCAAAATGTTCCTTGGAACGTCAAGTCGTTCCATTCCGGAAGTCCACATTGACCAAAAATATCAGTGACTGTCCAGATGACACTTCTTGAAACTGGATAGAATCTGAAAAGAGAAGAAAATTCCTTACCCAGGAACGAAGACTGCACAGTTTATAACCAGTATGTTTGTCGGAAAAACTCGTACGTGCTCTGACTTTCAATGCTTACTTAGGTGAAAAGCACTAAAAGCTATTTAATTAAGTCAGAGAAATTAATTTAGCACCTCTTTGTAGTGATCGGCCAGGAATCGGCATGCTTTATTAAATCAATCCTGTTTTGTCTCAAGAGACCGAACAAGACTGAATGAAACAACTCACCCTCTTTCCTTTCGATTGTTTTTGGCAGCTATTACTAACAAAGAAAACCTAAAAACTCAGGGATTACTCATGAAAACAGCACTTTGATCCCGAATATTCTAGCTGTCTAAAATGGTTCGCTACCAAGCTAATGACGCAACTGCATTGCACAACTGTCTTCGCTTATGCTGAGAAGGTTCATGTGAATGGACGAATTTATAACAACCCAGTGCAAAGCTTACCGATTCTAAGAGTCCTGTGTTCGGCCGCCGTTAGAACAGATTTAATTTATCATGAGTATGCATTGAGTTTCACCGTTAACTGAGTACGTGATTCGCGGCGGAACATAAACCCACACTTATACCTCTTACATTCAGCGGTTACATTTTTAATTAGCTCAAAATGAGTTGGTAAAAAATTGCTTTCACTAATTGAGCTTTTCTTTCAGTTTGTTTCCCCTGAGATGCGTTTCTCTTTCGAACACCTCCACATAAAACACCGACATTGTTACATTGTGAGTTCATAATCCGTTCATCAGTCATTTTGTTGTAAATAAATCTTCTTTGAAGAATGAAAAGTTTGTTCACAGCTATACTGTTTTCTCTTAGATCACCGCCTAAAGTATTAGCGTAATAAGAAAGATTTGACGAAGGAAAACACAAAAAAACAAAAAACGAAAAGGTCGATGGTCAGACGAAGATAAGGAATCAGATAACTAAGAAAGACTTTAATTTTATTAGAGTATTAAAAGTTTTCTTCAAGTCTCCGCTTTTGACGTAATGGAAAATCATATTTTTTTGCGAGAACGACAAATATTAAAACACCAGATAGCTTAAGGTGAAGAGAAAATCTTTTCGTGCGACGCATAAGAACAGCAGCAGATTGACACAAACTTCATGGATTCCGTGCAGAAATGCTTCCATTTTTTGATTGTGAAGAGCCAAAAATTAAACCATCCTAAACAGTTAATTGTAATAGAAATTGAAATACATGACAAAAAGTATCATTAACTGATGTTAAAACCCTATCGCGGTTTTATCAATTTTACCATCAAAAACTCAAAGCTATCGTCAAATTTTCGAAGTATAAAGAATCGGAAAAACAACATTTTGAAAAAGGAAATTGCTGCATGAAATCCTTCAAATCCTCCCTATCTTCTAAAGTAAATAATTAAAGAAGGCGAAGTAATTTCATTGAAAAAGTAAAAACAAAGTATGTTGATGTTTCATACAAAGAAAAATTCTTCCTTATCACTTCGTTAACATATTTTTGAGGAGTTTATGAACTCTACGCTATCATTTTATAAATTCCAATCCGGTACCTTTTTACTTCGTGTGCCGAAGGCCCTAATTTTCACAGAGAAAAGTAGACTTATTTCTTTTCAAAACTCAGTCTCTCCTGATTATGAACTGATCATTAATGCTTTCGTCTTTTGGTCTGACGGTCAGACAAAAGTTAAACCATTTCAGACAGTTTATTCAGACGTTCACAATTATTCGCTAAGTCGCTTTAGCCAGAATTGATTATTATGTATCAATAAATTTCCCTCACGAGCGAGGTTATTCGGCAAGATGGCCGTAAAAACTATAGTAAGAACTTAATTGTGAGTTTATTAATTTCCCTATCGAATTCTTTGGAAGAAGAAAAAACTATTAGTAAATTTTACCAGCTTCTGGGATCGGGTGCATGTACTAAACTAGTTTTGGTAGCTTTGAATTTACAGTCTTCAACTGAAATTCCATCTTAATTTTAGTTTTTGTTCTCCTCTCCTTTGAGGTATATTTCTGGTTGTTAAGCCAATTTTTTTGACGGAGTACACAAACTAAAGCTTCTCTTGAGAGAATGTCATAACTCATATCGTCATTACCCTAAGACTCTCGACGATTCCCGACGAATTCGAGAACGATGTACGACGTGACCGATGGTTGTAAAGACAAGAACGTGTTGAAAAGAAAAACCTAAGTCGGAAATTAAAAAGTCTCACAAAGTCCTCTCTTCCACCCCGTTTCGCGAAAAGCGATAACAGTTGAAAAAAAAATTGAAAAACAAATACGTATTATTTCCTTCAGCATTAAACAAGCGGACAGCCCGGCATCACATGGAATAAGTTTTCACTCCGGCCCGTGAAATGTCACATGTTCATTAATATTTGACAGTAATGTCATCAACCTCCGGAGATGAAAATCTTGCGGTAAGTTTTCGCAAAACATTAATTTTGGATGAGAACGCGATGAGATAAAATAAGGTTGTACCATAACAATTTACAAGAGGATGATATTTGTGCTGACAACTACACGAAATATGCACGTCACTTGGCGTAACTAAATTACAATACTAGATTGGGAGAGGTAAAATAGATTAAGCGAAGGAAATGACGCGAAGATTTCGTGAGTCTACGATATCTTGATGACACGGAATATGAACCAAAAATAACTAACGGTACCGTTGCAGAGCTAAGCGGAAATACATACGACATCAAATTTGTGCGCTAATTCGAAACGTCAAGTGACTGAGACATAGGTGCGAAGATAATCAACGAAACATATATAGGGGTGCGATTAGAGGAAGACCATACGAAATCGCGCTTTGTGTTCATATTGCATCTTCACCGACGAAACATCATGTTCACGATTTTTGGTTGAGGGTTAGATATATATGGAAGAAAATAAACCAATTTAAGTTTGATTTAAAAATATTGTAGGTTACACGCTTTTCAGGCAATTAACATGAGCGACTTTTGGTTTAAATGTTTGTAAACCTACCTTCAGATCAAGCCGCGAAGTCTACAGCTAGCGATGGTAAAGTATACCGAGTAAATACAAAAAACTGGTAGGGCAATACTCCTTATATTCAGGCACGCAAGAAGATTGACAACTGAGTAGTTATTTTTAGCGACAATTGTTAAATAGAGATATAAACAATCCGATAATCAACAGATAAAGCTATTTGGAAAACGGCTGAATCATAATAATGTGTTTATTATCACCATCCCTGCTTATTGGCTATCAAACACGTCAAACACGTCAAACACATCCATTTACTCCTAAGAGTGACAGCCTTCTCATTTCCCTTTACATCATCGCCATTGAATCAAATTAAAAAGTCATGATCAGTACCACAGGAAATTAAAAGAAAACAGCGTGGAGTATATGAATACTTAAGTTAGCGTGCAAACGGTCCTCTTGTAATTCAAAATTGCAGCCGATGTACACGCAAAACACCAAATCGCGCAAATAAAAAAAATTTTCAAAACTTATTTCATCGTTGGTTCCGTCAAATACGTATATCAATCAAATAAACTTTACACCCGCATTGCTATTTCCTTCTTCCTTTCAAATGATCTTATAAATTCATGATAGAAAAGCCTAGTAAGAGGTAAAAGTGCTTTTCTAATATCTTGATGCACACCAAGAGTTTAACCGGTATTTACACGAAATGACAAACAGCTAAGAAATAACTTGATAAAACCACCGACTAAGTGTACAGTGGGAGTAAGATATCTTTGATTTTTTAGTGAGGAAGGAGAGCCTCATTCTTTCCACCAATATCTGAAAATTAACTAAACGAAGTAGTGTTGTACATCTCTCCCTGAGCTATCACTGGGAATTTTTTATTATATCGAGACTAAACCGACTGGTTAAAAATTTCTTTTTATCAATTCCTACCTGCTTGACAGAATGTGACGAGAATTTACCACCCGATTACTCCTGTGGTGAAAAGAATAAATTCTGGAAATGGACCTGATGTTCAGACACACGCGGTGCTCGGATGTGAGTCAACGTTTCATTCAAGCTTCGATCTTTTAATTTGGACTCTCGTTTGCATTTCTTGTAGCATTACAGCTGTTGCTGTCCATCATTGGATCATTATTGGCAGCTGGTTAAATTGCTATTTGTTTTCAATTCCTCCTTTATCCCAAAATAGTAACGGGTATAAGAAAAACGTGTTCTAGACGATTCTCGGTGCACAGTTTAGATACTGACTATACTTGTCGATAGAATTATCAGCTGCACTCAGCCCATAGTGTACAGTTACAGGAGTAGCCGGCAATTTGCTTTAGATTCCCCAACTCAAAAGACATTGTTTATTACATAATATATATCTAGCCTTTACTTGGTTTTGAATGACATAAGAAAAACTAACAGAAATAAAATACAAGACGAGAAATAAATTAAACTAAGGGACAGAAAGCAAAAAAATGACATCATGTCGATTTTAAGGAAAAACTTCCGTTTATCTTTGGATGACTGGTCGATAGCGCAACTTCCAAATTTCGTGGACTCGAAAATCAATTTCACATCTTTCGCAAATTTGATACCGACAAAAGTTAATGCAAATTATCACAAGTAAACCAAGAAGCCTAGATACGGTTACAATAACTCTAAATGACTCTTCTAATGTCTGAAAATTACCATTGTACATCTTCTGGCGACTCCGAAAAGCCACACTCATTAACGTCACGTTTTATCCTATATCAAAATATAATTAGCTGGGTTGTCCATCACTTCATTAATCACCCTCATGAATTTTACACGCCTTAGGTGATTTAGATCAGTCGAGAAAAAAACTCACCATGCTATTTTTAGTGCAGAGTATTTGTATGATGTTGCATTATACTGCAAGCTGGTTATTGTGAAGAGGGTGGCCGACAAGCTGGTTTGTTTTAGCAAAGGATGCAAATTTATTTTTTTAAGGATAAGGACCTTAGCATACTTGAAAGTGAAATTAACAATGAACCTGGAAAAGTACATCTTTGGCTATCGGCAAATAGCTTTCAGTAAATATTGAAAAGTCAAAAAGTCTTTTTCATCCAGTGCAAAAACAAATTACCAAAAAGGTTGTGCTATTGATAAACAATCAATCATCAACTGAAGAGATTTGCATTAGATATCTTGGAGTTTATATAGATTCAAATATTATTTGGAAGAGCCACACTAACTACAGTGGTTGGAAAAAAAACCAAAAGATGTATAGGTATTCTCCCTAAGCTCTGTTATTTCCTAAACACAAAAACGTTACTAAGCCTGTATTATACCTCAGTAGAGCCATTCTTCAGTCAATTTTGCAACATTTATTTGCATTACAAAAGAAGGCTAGATAATAACCTTTTCTGTAAAAGGGAAAAAAAGGAAAACAACAAGAATTATAAATTAACTTTCACATATCTTTTTCAAAATGTTAACAATCCTTAAACAAATCCTTTTACAGATATCAGATATAAGCACATCAAAATGATAATAATTCAGATCGTCTCACTCATTTATAGTAGCTCGGATGAACAGAAAAAATATAAATATGCCAATATAAGATGACTTTTCTCCTTTTTAAATTTTGCGTTGCGTTTTTTCTTTTTTTTTTTTTTACAAGATCCACGCAGTATTTCACTGAAAGCGAAAATTTGTCGCAGGAGTACAGGGTGTTGAATGCCTTGTAGATTATTTGGAGTTGCGTTGTTTCACCATCTGAATAACAAAATTTAAATTATTTTGACTTCAAGGGGAAAAAAATCATCTCAAAAAGGGCGGGGATGGGGGGTTTAGGGACGTCGTGGTAACTCAAAGACCTACCGCCCTCCCATCCCCGACCTTCACATCTGTCCCTGATAACTTGCGTAGAAATAAATTGGTTTGTCGCGTACACGCTTCACAATAACCAGCTTGCGGTATAATGCAACATCATCCAAATACTCTGCTCTAAAAAAACCTAAGTAAGAAATTACAAGTAGCATTTCTCACAAACAAGATTTGGTTGTCATGTATGTTTCTGCACCCTGCTTTAGGGATAAAGAGGAATAATGAAATGAAATTTAAAGGTGTGTTTATGTAGTGATAGTCTTTAGAGATGGCGCCATAAACTGACGTAATCAATATTTTATCTCTCGACTGATCTAAATCACCTAAGGCGTGTAAAATTAATGGGGGTGATCAATGAAGTGATGGACAACCAAGCTTATTATATTTTGATATAGGATAAAATTTGATGTTAATGAGTCTAGCTTTTCGGAGTCACCAGAAAATGTACAATGGTCATTTTCAGACATTAGAAGAGTCATTTAGAGTTATTATAACCGTATCTAGACTTCCTGGGTTTACTTGTGGTGATCTGCATTAATTTTTATCGGTATCAAATATGCGAAAGATGTGAAATTGATTTTTCAAGTCCACGAAATTTGGAAGTTGCGCGATCGACCAGTCATCCAAAGATAAACGGAAGTTTTTCCTTAAAATCGACATGATGTCATTTTTTCGCTTTCTGTCCCTTAGTTTAATTTATTTCTCGTCTTGTATTTTATTTCTTTTAGTTTTTCCTATGTCATTCAAAACCAAATGAAAGCTAGATATATATATATATATATATTACGTAATAAACAATGCCTTTTGAGTTGGGGAATCTAAAGCAAATTGCCGGCTACTCCTGTAACTGTACACTATGGGCTGAGTGCAGCTGATAATTCTATCGACAAGTATAGTCAGTATCTAAACTGTGCACCGAGAATCGTCTGGAACAAGTTTTTCTTATGCCCGTTACTATTTTGGGATATAGGAAGAATTGAAAACGAATAGCAATTTAACCAGCTGCCAATAATGATCCAATGATGGACAGCAACAGCTGTAATGCTACAAGAAATGCAAACGAGAGTCCAAATTAAAAGATCGAAGCTCGAATGAAACGTTGATTCACATCCGAGCACCGCGTGTGTCTGAACATCAGGTCCATTTACAGAATTTATTCTTTTCACCAAAGGAGTAATCGGGTGGTAAATTCTCGTCACATTCTGTCAAGCAGGTAGAAATTGATAAAAAAGAAATTTTTAACCAGTCGGTTTAGTCTCGATGTAATAGCAAATTCCCAGGGATAGCTGAGATGCAGATATACAATTCTACTTCGTTTAGTTAATTTTCAGATATTGGTGGAAAGAATGAGACTCCTCTATCACTAGAAATCAAAGATATCTTACTCCCACTGTACACTTGGTCAGTGGTTTTATCAAGTTATTACTGAGCAAGCACCGTAATGTCATTTCGAGTTTTTTAATATCGGTTAAACTCTTGGCGTGCATCGAGATATTCGAAAATCACTACAACCTCTTGCTAGACTTTTCTATCGTGAATTTATATAATAAGCTTAGTTATGCACGCATTCTGATTGGTTCTCACTTATGATCTATTGGAGGACAGACGTATAGATGACGTCATCATTAAAACTTTTGTAATCTCTGCGAACTCTGTTTTCTTTTTCTGTAATACGCTATCGACATCATGTTGTTATTGTGGAAAACCCCTCGATTGCGAGTCACTTGTCTTCAATCGACAGAGTCACGTCGTGTCAGTGACAATTTCATGCGTTGGTGGAGATTCTTTCAATTGGCTCTCCTCCCCCATCATGGGAGGATCTCCTCCAAAGTACTATGTAAATTTGAGGTGAGCACTCTTCTATTTTTTGCTCGAAATTTACTGAAATTTATTATCTCGGTGTTTTAGAGTTTTTGTTTTTTGTAACTGGTCACTTATCTGTCTCTTTTTCATAGATTGATTCATGGAGTATTGTCCTGTGGCTTGAGAGAGACACAATACACAAGTTTCTGTCAAGCAGCCAACATCGGGTCAGAGGGAGAAAAGACCTTCGACACAGGTTAGCAATGCACATTCTCAGATGCTCTGAAAATCATGTAGTCTTTCTCCTTGCAAGGAGAAGGCAGTCAACAGCAAATACAGGTTGTTAAAAAGTATCTCTTCTTCCAAATTAATGATGTTGAGGTAAGGGCCATAAATGAGTTGGACAAATTCATTTTCCAGTTAAAGAAAAATCACCCATAATTTGTTGCCTTCTTTAGTGCAGGGAAACATATTGGATTGAGTCTCTCCATTCAGTGATGCTCATTTATGCTGCAAAGCGGATTCATTATGGAGATGACTCATACAACATGCGCATGGAGTTAGCCATTCTTGATTGGGTAAGAAACTTATGTTGTTAATTCGTTAAAATAACTTTGGCACTTTTTGGATTCACTACTTTCTCATGCTTATTGACTCATTTGTCTTACAGAATGAAAATGTGAATCGAGAAGCATCGTCTCTACAGATATACCAACATGCCAGGAATCCAAATCGCTTGGCAGAGACCAAGGTGCTTACTTCAAAGACATTTCATTTCAGAGAAACTATCTAGTCTACCTTTTTTAATATAAACAAATGATGTCTCATCTGTTTTCCATCGCACCACAGTTTCTGTGATTATTACAACTAGGAGCCCAAATGTCCTGTAAAATATGTGAGGTCATTAGGGAGGACCAATTCTACCAACTGCTGGTACTAAGTGATGAAAACATGAGTATTAGGTTTGACACTAGGTATTTTCCAAGCAGACTCATTATCTGTTTCCTCTTGTTACTTTTCTCTGCACTGTATATCTTTTCCTAACTTATAGGAAAGTCACTATAATTTGCTGTGTGGACATTGTAGAATGGACCATAAACAATTTGGTACTTGGGCTCTCTTTGACGTAGGCATTTGAATGAGAATTTTATTATTCCCTTTTATGCCCCATATAGGGAATACCATGAGGGTTAGGAAACCTTGACCTCACATCTTTTATAACACAATTGGGCATCCTTTCCCGCACAGCATAAACATGGTCCCCCAGTTCGACTTTTCTAGCCTGATAAATAGGGTCTTTCCAGAGCCCACATTTGTTCAATGCTCTCCAGTACGTCTTGTAATCTTTTCTTCGTCGCACGTGATTTTGAATATGTGCTTCGCGATAGCCAAGGTATTCGCGACTGTCGGTCGTTACACATGGCGTTTGCCGACAGTAAATACACATTTCGAACTCGTTCCCTCTTGCATCAGCTATTGTGGAGACAAAGTAAAACAACTGTTAGAGCGAAAGCGTAACTGAACAGTCATGAAGTCTGATATGATCGAACAACTGGTCTCCCCACCTGCATTTTATTTTGGACAATTTTTGTAAACATTTTTCATGTTTCATTGACACGTTTGCCCAAGGTTTAGTATAAAATATTGCAATAAATACAACCTGTAGTTCTAAAGAAATAACTCCTTTCAAAACATTCTTAGGCAGGACAAAACGCTTTGTAGGTGTCACGCAAGGCTGCATTTCGGAAAATGAAGGCATCAAAAGGAAGCAGTCTAAGACATGAACTGTCGCATCATACGAAAAAATCTGTGGTTTGCAAGTATATTCTAACTAGTATTTCCTAGTTAGTAAAAAATCTGCGATTAGTTACTTCTGAGAAATTATAGCGTCACGCGAGTGTTTCAATCTTGGTGATACATTATCACAGTGATTGTTAGTGACGAACTGTAGTCCTAAGTTACCTTTCTAATGTATTGTTCCAAAGGTCAAGGATCATCCAGTATTGTTGTAATCATATTATACTTAGATTAAAAAAAAAGAAAAAGAAATCGCACCATTTGTGGAGGAAGCCTGTACAGATGATTCGTTTGGCGACATCGACGCCTGGACATGTTGAAGTGAATCGGTGGTCGGCGACGGTTCACTCGCGCGCTCCAGAACTTCGCCTCTGCTTTTACTTTTCTTCCGCTGGGTTGACAGCACTTCCCCTTCGCATTGTTGAAGAAATGCCTTGAACATTTCTTCATCTTTTCTTTTTATTCTTACAGTCATCTACATCCAGTATTTGGAAACAGACATGAAATTACGCCATGGCAATTTTAGGCGATGGCGAAGCGAATCATTTCGAATTTCAAATTTACCGCCACAAATGAAGACGGTTTCGTTCGGAGGAAGGTAATACAAATCTCAACAAACTCTTCCATTTTGATGAAAACGTAGAAATTTACCTAGTAATGCGCCTCTGGTCAGTGCCTTGCATTGACTGCAGCTCAAGCTGTTTTGAGTTCTGTATGCCACGACGGTTGATTGACAAATGATCCAGAGGTACCTAAGGCACCTCTCCTTTTATAGCGCGCCTTCGTGTTTAAGAGAGGACCGCCATGGAAAAGACATTCCCGAGTGTTTTTGGATTAGATTTACTCACAAAATTTCGACACTCATAGGGCTTTTAAACGCTTTTACTGTCGGTGTTTCAGTGAAAGCCATCGCTCTTATTCTCGCTGTCACAATCATTTTCGTATCAACCGAATGTACCACAGTCGATTGAGCGCATCATCTGTAATTTGAATATCACTTCCTTAACCCTAGGCCATTACACGCTAACTTAAGTGTTCATATACTCCACGCTGTTTTCTTTTCATTTCCTGTGGTACTGATAATGACTTTTAAATTTGATTCAATGGCAACAATGTAAAGAGATCAACCACATGTTTGATAGCCAATAGGTAGGGATAGTGATAATAAACGCCTTATTATGATTCAGCCGTTTTCCAAATAGCTTTTATCTGTTGATTATCGGATTGCTTCTATCTCTATTTAACAATTGTCGCTAAAATAACTTCACGTTTGTCAATCTTCTTGCGTGTCTGAATGTAAGGAGTATTATCCTACCAGTTTTTGTATTTATTCAATATATTTTATTATTGTTAGCTGTAGACTTCGCAGCTTGATCTGAAGGTAAGTTTACAAACATTTAAACCAAAAGTCGCCCATTTTAATTGCCTGAAAAGCACGTAATCTATAATCTTTTTACATCAAATGTCAATTGGTTTATATTCTTCTGTGTTTCTAACCCTCAGTTAAAAAAAATGTTAACATGATGTTTTGTGAAGATGCACTATGAGCACAAAGCCCGATTTCGTACGGTCTTCCTCTACGTGCATCCCTATATATATATGTGTGTCGTTAATTATCCACGCGTTTACCTTTCAATCACTTAATGTTTCAAATTAGCGCACAAATTTTATCTCGATTATATTTCCGCTTAGTTCTGCGACATTTGGTTATTTTTTGGTCCGTTTTCCGTGTCATCAAGACATCGTAGAGTTATGAATCTTCGCCTCGTTTCTTTCACTCAATCCTCTTTTTCTTCATCTCTCATTTTCGTATTGTAATTTAGTTCTGCCAAGTGACATGCATATTTCGTGTAGTTATTAGCACAACATTTTCCTCTTGTAAATTATTATTTTACATCCTTATTTTATCCCCTCGTGTTCCCATCCAAAATAAATATTTTGCGAAAAATAACCGCAAGATTTTCATTTCCAGAGGTTCATGACACTTCTATCAAATGTTAATGAATATTTGGCATTTCTAAAGTCGGACGGAAGATTTATTCCATGTGACGCTAGAGCTGTCAGCTTGTTTCATGTTGAAAGAAATAATATGAATTTATTTTTCATATTAATTTAATTTTTACTTTCATAAATTGTCGCAAAACGGGACATGAGAGAGGAATGGGTGAGACTTTTTAATTTCCGGCTTAGGTTTTTCTTTTCAGCACGTTCTTGTCTTTACAACTCTCGGTCACGTCGTACATCGTTCTCGAACTCGCCGGGAATCGTCGAGAGTCTTAGGGAAATGACGATATGAGTTATGGCATTCTTTCACAAGAAGCTTTTGTGTTGTATACTCCGTCAAAAAAATTGTGTCTTAAAATCAGAAATATGCCTTAAACGAGACGAGAACAAAAACTGAAATCAAAATGGAATTTCAGTCGAAGACTGTAAATTCAAAGCTACTACAACTACTGTTAAGCTAGAGTTTGAGTATCTTGAAGTAAACTCAACGATGACGGAGTTTTGGTTGAATCAAAATCCCCTTTTTTTGTGGAAATCAGGACTTTGGCGCAGCACCAGTGGTGACTGGATCGGAGTGAAAATTATGATACAGTAGACTCAACTTAAATCCTCAAAAGTGACTGCGAACTGGGAAGTAAAATGTTCCTTTGCGTGAATCATTGCTCAAGACAAACTTTTACAATAAGGCTAGGTCTCTCCCCTTATTACTGACTATTTACGTGTGGGTGTGTACAACGTCCGGAAAGCGTAAACCTCCTCAAGCAATTGTGTTAATCAAAGTTGAGTGCCTGCACCCGATCCCAGAAGCTGGTAAAATTTAGTTTTTTCTTTTTCTTAAGAGTTCCATACGGAAATTAATAAATCCACAATTAAGTCCTAACCATAATTTTACGGCCGTCTTGCCGAATACCTCGCTCGTCGTGAGGGAAATTTAATTAGACACAAAATAATCAATTCTGGCTAGAGCGACTTAGCGAGTAATTGTAAACGTCTGAATAAACTGTCTGAAATGGTTTCACTTTTGTCTGACCTTGAAACCAAAAGACGAAAGCATTAATGCACGGAATCCGTCCATGATCAGGAGAGACCAGGAGCTCATTACTAAATGATGGGCTCCTGGAAGAGATGAGTTTTGAAAAAAAATTCTGTCTAATTTTCTCTGTGAAAATTAGGGTCATCAGACCACAAAGTGGAAGTCGTCGGATTGGAATTTATAATTTGATGGTAGCGTAGAATTAACAAAATCCTCAAAAATAAGTGATAAGAATAATTTTTCTTTGTATTGATCATTGACAAATTTACTTTGTCAATGAGATTACTTTGCCTCCTTTAATTATTCTTTACTTCTGAAGATGAGCGTGTTGACTTTTTTAAAGAAAGAACCTTCAAACAGCAACATGTTTCCTTTATCAAAGTTTTGTTTTTCCGATTCTTTATACTACGAGAATTTAGCAATAGCTTTTAGTTTGAAGTTTTGATGGTAAAAATTGATAAAACCGCGATAGGGTTTTGACATCAATTTTCATGAGCTTTCCTGATTTCGTGCTTGAGGGAAATGATACTTTTTATTCACACCGGAGCTAGCAATTGTTAACTTGTAAATAAGCTGTCTGAGATGGTTTCATTTTTGGCTCTTCACAAACAAAAAAAGGAAGCATTTCTGCACGGAATCTCGGCATAAAGTTTGTGGCAATCTGCTGCTTTTCTTCAGCGTCGCACGAAAGGATGTTCTATTCACATTAGGCTATCTGATGTTTAAATATTCGTCGTTCTCGCAAAAAATATACATGTACATTACATCAAAAGCGGAGACTTGAGGAAAACTCTTAATACTTTAATAAAATTAAAAAGTTTTTCTCAGTTTTGATTTAATTCCTTATCTTCGTCTGTCCATCGACCTTTCTGTTTTTTGTATGTTTGTTTTTTTCCTTTTAACGTTTGCATTCATCAAATCTCTCTGTACTTTGGGCGGTGATCTAAGAAAACAGTACATCTGAGAACAAACTTTTTATTCTTCAAAGAAGATTTATTAAAATGACTGGCGAACGGATTATGAACTCACGATACAACAATGTCGATGTTGTATGTGAAGGTGTTCGAAAGAGAAATGCATCTCAGGGGAAACAACCGAAAGAAAAACTCTATTAGTGAAAGCAATTTTTTACCAACTCATTTTGAGCTAATTGAAAATGTAACCGCTGAATGTAAGAGGTATAAGTGTGGGTTTACGTTCCGCCGCGAATCACGTACTCAGTCAACGGTGAAACTCAAAGCATACTCGTGATAAGTTAAATCTGTTCAAACGGCGGCCGAACGCAGGTCTATAGAATCGGTAAGCTTTGCACTGGGTTGTTATAATTTCGTCCAGTCACACGAACTTATCGGAATAAGCAAGGACAGTTGTGCAATACAGTTGCGCCGTTTGCTTTGTAACGAACCTGAGTTTTTAGGTTTTCTTTGTTAGTAATAGCTGACAGACACCAAAAGAAAGAGAAGAGGGTGAGTTGTTTCATTCAGTCTTGTCCGGTCTTCTGTGATAAAACAGGCTTGATTTAATAATGTATGCCGATTCTTGGCCGATCGCTACAAAGAGGTGCTAAATTAATTTCTCTGACTTAATTAATGGCTTTTTGTACCTTTCACCTTACCAAGCATTGAAAGTCAGAGCACGTACGAGTTTTCTGACAAACATACTGTTTGTAAACTGTGCGGTCCTCGTTCCCGTATAAGGATTTTTCTTCTCTTTTCAGATTTTACCCAGTTTTAAGAAGTGTCTTTTGGACAGTCACTAATATTTTTGATCGATGTGGACTTCCGGTATGGAACGACTTGACGTTCAAAAAGATATTTTGGAATCACAGAGAAGCGTTAGCCCAAGCACAGCTTCGGAGTCAGGCGAAGAACAAGGCTCAGAAATTCAGACAGCAAGTGAACCATTTGAATCAGTTCAGCGAATGTCTCGCACGCTTTCACAGGCGTCAATTTCTGTCTCCTCTAAAGAAAATAAGGTCACGACAACAAGAAGCCAACTAAAGACAAAAAATCATTGTATTTTGCGAACCGATAATCAGTCATTTACTGCTTCATTCCCACGAAGCGAGGAATCAACTCTTCGAGGGACACCATGGGAAGAGGCTCTCTATGGGAAGCGTCCTGGGAAAAGAATTCAAAGAACTGACAGAGAGACGGAGATTGTTGCTTTTTGGCGTCAATTTTTTGGATAGAATTATCATAACCTTGCCTGCTTAGAAGTTAACAAACTATGTCAGATCTGTGCAAGGTTTGGTAAACTGTAAAAGATTTTCATATCTGACCGCTCTGTCTTGTGGTCTTCACCTAAAAGACGACGAATTCAGAGCACTTTTCAAAACACCTTTTTGTTTTTAGGACGGAAGTACAGATGTAGAAAAAATTTAAAGGATCGAATCGACGTCAGGATGTAGATTTTTTTCAAATTGCCTGTCCGCGTCTTAACAGCCTTTATAGTTTGAGATTCTCAACATAACTATTTCCTGTGGTTAATAGATTTGATGCTGTTTGTCACAACTCGTATAAGAATTATATAATGGAAATACAAAATTTTCAACGATTTGATTCGATCCCGCACATATAGATTTATTACAAAAGATGTAATTGCTAATCATCTATATCTGGAACATTGTTAACCAAATGAAGGAACATTGTTTATCCTGATGGAATAATCATTTCTACGCAAAGTTTTTGTAAGGAATATCAACAAACACGTGAGCGGGTGAATGTCGAGGTCACTCAATAATGACTGTTTATCCTGTTCACAGTGTAAATAAAGGGTCTGAATTTTTAAGAAATCATCCTAATAATGAGTTATTTACATTGTTATTTCAATGGTCCGTTTTCGTCAGGAGTACGAAGTCCTTTGAAGAACTTGAATAACAGAGGCCTTAAAAAGCTTAGATTAATATAGGGATTACAGTTTTTTTCGGAAAGAAGCTATATTTAACATTACCGGTTTTGGGTAAACGGCGTCCGATTTTTTATCAAAATTCTTAGATTCTAGAAAATTTTTGCAATTTTTGCGCAAGGATGATAAATAATCTCGCGATTTGAATCCCTGCCTCACAGAACCCATCAAAGTCTAAAACTTTCAGGCTTCTTCTCTGCAGTCCATCCGCGAGAATAATTTATTTGCTTCAGTTCGTCTTGGGCACAATTAGAATTAAACATTTCGTGGAAAGTACAGCTATATGGGTCAACTGGATGATTTTATTTGTTAATTGTAGGATCATTCTCACCAGCTACTAAACACAAAGGTGTTTTGTTTTGCAATTGTTAATAGTTTGACTCCTATCGTTTGCGGAAAGAGAAAACCACCATAACAGCAAACACAATGCACGTCAACTTAGCATATATTCTTGTGAAATAAAAAAAAACAAGATTTATAAAGAAATACCAAACGGCGTGGGTAAATGGCCCCAAACATTAACAAGCTGTCACACCATTGGCTTCTTTTCACGTATGTGATTACAGAGCTGATTTCCCAACAACATGGTAAAACAATGCCGGATGATGCAATGGTTGCGTCTTCTTTTGTCATTCAGTACCCTATCAGTTTGCTCAGATACCGCAATCTTGACACCCGTCAAGCTTTTTGACACCAGCAGTGAGTCATCTGATTAAATACCTTTTCCGTTGAACACTTTTAGAACACGAGATAACGTGGAAATTAAATGAAACGAGATAAACACATGAATTCGGCCACAAACTCCGTAGTTCACCACCAACATTTTAGGAAGTTGAGGCTAAGTTGTGTTAAAGAAAGAACTGTTTCTTCCTCAGCGAATCTCAAGTACTCATTAGAAGATTAGAATACCCCGTATATTCATTTGAACCATTCCAAGATCCTATTCCTATTCTGAATTACCCGAAGGTTTTTGAATCAACGAAAAATGATGTGATTTTTATCATAATTATCAATAGTATCACTGTGGGACATTCAAAGAAATGCGAATCCATTCTTTGCTTAGCTAGCATTTCTAAGAGTGCTGCAATATTTTGTACGTCCCCTCTGCTGTTACTTACCCACTTGTGATCATTAAGGATACATTATGAGTTGGGCTAAATACTGGATCTCTGTTTCTACCTTTGGAAATTACAAACAGGTTACAATAACTACCACGAACGACGCAAAATAGATTTAAATATAATGAATAGAAAATGCAATTTAACAGAATTATATAAAAAGACAAATGTTTGACATGCTCTTCCTTTACATAAAAGATCTAAGTTATAGCTCGAGTTGCTCTCAAGTCGCCGTCCTTTACTTCTCCTCCGTCGTGTGTACAACTTCAACTCCGTGCAACTCCAAACCAAGTCCATGCCATGCTCATGGATAACAAAATGTTGATCTTAAAGCTACTGTTTTCTCTCCTTGGACCTCATAGTCCAGTAATCCATGTTATATCCCGTCTGTGATAAATAGCAAAACAGCCGTCGATCATTGAAGATCTTAGCCAAAAAATTTCAACCAAAATGCAACGCATTCTTCTTCTTGTTTACTTTTCTCGCGCCTTGGTTTTCGATTTCTTCTTGATGCAATAGGGTTCCATCCGGCATCTTCCCAGGGTGTCCCCTTTAGCGGCGATTCCAATTCCGAACATTCATTATAAATTCTTATGAAATCTGAGCGGGACCACGGTACCTCTGCCGCTTGGGAGACCCACTGTTCGTTTCCAAGAGGTTTTCTCGATGGAGATGTACTTAGTGGAATGTTATCGTCTCTTTGCGCGTCGTCAACTCGGTGTTCTTCGCACGACTTTCCTGTGACTGCTATCTCCTGAATCGAGAGCTGATTTGTAACGATTTGATCTTCCATTTGGGATGGTTGTAAGTTTGTGGACGTCGTTCGGCTTCCTCTTCGTACAGCGAAGACTTGGATGTAGTGAGTTTTTAAGGCGTTAAATCAGTGCCAGTCTTAAACCCTGCAACCTTGTTATATAGATAACGTTAAGAACCTTTTGCAATGTATGTGTCGATTCATTCTTATAACACAAATACATATGATATTTACTCGCGGGCATGCCTAACACATTGTTTCCTTTTGAGTATGTTTTTTTTAATTTGCACTACGATAAGAAAACAAATGCTATTGCTAAATCGCTGAAAACTTTCATTAACATCGACAGCTCCATGATCCGGTGGTTTTCATTTGCTAATTTGAGTAATTTTGAAATTGATTAAGCATTTATGCTCAACAATAAGAAAAGACACGTCGTTACAGATTCATTATTTTCTTAAAACTACCAATAAGGATAATTGAATATTGCAACACCAAACAAACGCAACTCAGTTTGTCCTCAAATGTTGTGGGAGTTAAGAAATCTTGCCCGGTAATGACCATTTGTCAACGAGGCTACATATAACAATAAATCTGGATTTGCTATATTGGCCAGAAAAAACCTCTGAGAATCCTCTTTCTGATGTTCATATCATCAACATTTCTTCGTTTTCTTTCTCTTTCTTTTTTATTCCTTCTTTATCGTAATCAGACAAATTTTTTTTTTTCGTCTTCCTAAAGGCCTGATTCCCTTGTGTCGTAACATGCATTGTTTAGAACCCCAACAATAAAACTGGGCTTTGGGAGCGCTGTAAAAAAGTGGTATGAAAAATTGCCCAAATTTCGGTTTATCTCATTCAGTGAGATATTAAGTCTTTTTCGACGGCTAGACTTAAAGATTACGAATGATAAAGGTTCCTCACAGGACATGTAAGACCAAATCAAGAGAAAACCTTTTGGATCAAATAAAAACATTCATCATTCTTATTTAATCCCTAATGACACATGTTACGTATGACATGAATTCAATTGAGTTCTATGGAGCGAAAACCCAGTTAATTATGGGAGCATTCCTGTTTTGTAGATTTGATCGTAAATTTCTGTAGCTATCACATCTGTTCCTTTGCCCAGACGAATTATTCACTTACAAGAACGAGATTGAACAAACAGTTTTGTACACCCTTCAATACTTGACACTCACTTATGCAAATTAATGCTCAGTTCTTTTCCTATGAACATGTGAGGATCACAAAATGAGAGAAGCCACACGTGAACTAAGGAATCTCCATGTAGGTCTGTTTTCATCTCTATCTCAAAATCTACGCTTGGGATAGTTTTTGTTTTTATAGTTTTCTTTTCTTTTTATAGACCTTTCTAAGAGAGGATGGAATTGGCATATGCCCCAAAGTGGAATTTTCACGAGCGGATCCAGTCATGAATAAGCGATTAAATTGAAATTATAAATTTAATCATTTCTGCTCTAGACCAGGAGAAAGTCGCCGTCCCTCATAAACTTATTAATGTTTCGTTTCATCAAACTGTTTTTAAATGTAGATAGTACGCTTGGCTGGACTACATTACTATCACGTGTAAACGGACAGGTGCCAACATGAACCCGTGTTCAGTGACTCGCAAAAGAGACTAGAGATACTTAACATCAATCACTAACCACATTTTTAGTCTAAAACGACGGAGAGAATGTTAAATCGAGTTAATCGATAAAAATGAAATAAAATACATAATGCAGAAACCTGATAGGACTCAATGACTTTTATATGAGGTATTTACTGATTACAAAGAGTCTTCACACTTACCCGTAAGAAATACAACTCCTAATAATTTTTCTGCCGATGCAAATCAGCCTAATTTTCAAACTCTCTGCATAGACTACATAACCATCTCAAAACTAAAGCAGTTTCTACTGTAAACCTCAAAGTAAACCAACACAAGGAAAAACTGTCATGTTCACTCAATCATCTTCCATTTTGTCCAAGAAATAAAACTGTCAATATTCATCCAAAAAATTTCATCCAAAAGTCTATGCATTCTTCCTCTTTTGCGCTCCGTTGACCGATTAGCTTTCGATATCTCTGTGGTGAAAAAGAGGAAGATGTTACCGACCTTGACCTGAACCGCAGAGCGTCCTCCCATGGAGTTCCTTTCAGGGGTGATTCGCATTCTAAACATTCGCGATGCGCCGAGTGTATTGCTCGGCTGGATTTAAAACGATGTCTTCGTAATTTTGCTTCGATAGCATTTGACTGCGCTTGATAGACTTGCACTTCGCTTTCTGGGAGTGTTTTTGATGTCAAATCACGTAAATGCGTCTTGGAAACTGTTGTATCCGTTGATATTCGGGCGACTTCGTTAAGTTTTCGTTCAGAATTTGTTTCAGACTTGGCCGAAGATTGTTTTCTTTGAGGCTTATCTTTCATGTTTTACCAACAGTTTTTCTTGTGGTGATCTGCAGCGATATTTCCCTCAGTGTCCCTTTAAAAATGGCGAACAAAACTGTTGTAAAATCTCATTATCACACAAAGTGCTCCTTGGTACGTTTGTATCTGACACAGATAATTAATTCTAACTGATGTAAATGATATGAAAGATTCGGGGCTATCCGACACGTTTGCTGCTTCAGAAAATAAAGGTAACAGTGTTATCTAAATAAACTTGTTTAGAATAAAAGTCTATGTGCACGACTCTTCGCAATTACGTACATTCGCGATCAAATGAAAGAAGGAAGCCGTTTTCACGTCCAACCTGGAAACACGTGAGATCCACCAACCGATCGAAAGAACGCGTGACAATATATTTTTTTCCCAACCACAGTAAAACCAGGCTCCATGGGAGCCGCATTAACAACGTAGAAGAAAATTTACGGGAATTCGCAGAATACGATATATTCTAAAATTTTTGGCCTCGGTTGTTCAAAGGCCGGATAGCGCTATCTACCAAATAAATCTCTATCCAGCGAATCAATGTTTACAAAACTTACTACGCTATCCGCTGGATTCCAGTGGATAGCGTTATCCAGCCTTCGAACAACCAGGGCTTGCACATCAATAAGTTTCCAAATTAAATAATCTTCCATGTATTTGCGGCGTTTCCGCACTGTCTTTTCGCCTCTGTAGCCACTTCAAAGCAAGTTTTAAATTATGAATTGTCTACGCAATAGGAAAGACCCGTGACCATGACCATCGAGTGATCAAATTTCTCCCAACAGCGCAGGGAACACGCTACATTCGATAAATGATCCAAATCATTATATGGGAGTAGACGATGATTAAAACTTTATTTTTTTATCATCAGTTGGGCTTTTGTAAGTATATTGGTTATTTTCAATGTTTTTGTTCGTTGTTCAGAATCGTGAAGACAATATCATTTTCTCGAGCACTAAAATAAAGACAAGTTCGGATCGGAAAAACCCAAAGAAGCTGAGAAGGACATGAGTGTCAAGACCCAGGTCTAGTCAGTCTTAAGTAGGACGTTCATGACACATCTTCTGAAAACTCATCCACGCAAGAACTAAAACGCCTTTTTCATCCTTTCAATCCCTACTGCTCATTCATTTCCGATTCCTCTACATTGAAATTAGTGTGACGAGCATTTAATTTCTCCTCACGATATCATAACCAAGTCAAACATTAAGGTCACGAGAATTGAGGAAATGATCGCTAACTTAGGAAGCTTTTGACCATTACACAAATTCTTTTTGTTTGAAGCATAGGAAATGCGTGGGGAACGTTATGAAGAATTTACTTAATTATGATATTGGATGTAAGAGGTTAAGCCGCTTAGTTCCTCATTTCAAAATTAATAATGATCCGAAATGTAGTAGAAAGATGGTGAAAATAAACCTATACATGTTATTCTCAAGGCTACTGATCATGCAGACGGTTGTATCGGGAACATTTAGATATTAACCACCAAACAGTGGCAGCCTAAAATTTTGTTTATTGCATAAATAGCTTCAAAAAAGGGACATTGAAAGATTCAATTACGAACCTTGGGCTTGTAGCTTTGATTTCGCAAAAAAGGAATACTGTGCTCAACAAATACGATTAGATTTTATAATTGACACATAACCCTAGGCTCATAAAATAAATTCGAGTTTTCCGCGTGTATCGATACACGCGAACTATTAATATGATGAAGGCTCTCACGTTTCATAGCGAGCACTACGTGATATTTGGACTTTCCCACTCTTAATATTTAAAGCTATTTTCATTTGCACCTTGCTGGTAGCCGTATTACTTACACTGATAGCTTAAACCAATTAAATTCGCTCGTAGTACAAAATTTGCTCTCCGCTTAAATTAGTTTTTCAAGTAATTGGAATCATTTAGCACTTTTGGTTGCATTTCTCTGCTGAGTGTTAGAACTAAGCTTTCGGTATCTCTTTTGCTCTGGTTTAACCTGCCTCGATAGGAATAAATGATACAGCAATATGAGAATAAGATTTAGAATAAGGTACAGGACACTTATCAAGTTCCGCACACCAAGGAAATGTAATTAGCGCCCGGTTTGATAACAAAAGATTGGTAAAGAAAGCATACAAGACAGAGGGCAGATGACACGCGCAAATTTCGTCAGCCACCATAAGTTTACAACCCTTTGTGCCGTATGATACCAACTTTTAATTCGTGGTACATGACCAAGAAATAGCAGAAACTAAATTTAGCTCAAGGAGAAGCCGCAAGTTATCAAATCAGTCGTAGACGGAATCAGTTTTCGCGGTTTGGGTTCTGAGCAGATGTATTCGACAGTGAACGTGATCAATCTTGGTGAGAGATTCGACAAGGCGACATCTACATCCGTCAGATCTGTAGCCGCGGCAAAATGTTAAGTGAAATTATTGACTAGAGCTTAATGTATTTTTACTGTTCTTCCATATGCTTTTAGTATCTTATTATTGTTTGCTGACACGGCATGCAGAACATTACTGAAAACTAAGCAAGCAATATTTGCGAACATATATTTTTCGCTCCTTCAGTTTGTGAAATGGTAACAAGTCCGTATTGATGAGAGCCGAAAATGTGCTTAAGAGGAACTAAATTGATTAAACTAACTATCCACTGCCACCTACCAATGTGACAACCAAAGAGGCCTTTTATTAGCAAATATCTGACCACAATTTTACATGGATCTGACACGACGGTAACTCAAGTAAAAGGAGGTTAGTTGGTTAGTTGGTTAGTTGGTTAGTACTTTGTGTAGGCACACTACAAAAGCATTGAAATAAAAAGAAGCGCTCCTAATCTAAACAAACTGTAATATCAGCAAAGTGAATTACACACAGCTCTGTCAGGGTTTTGCAATTTGATTTACAATATGTCACCAGCTGCATCGGTTACAAACAAAAGCAATCAAAGAAAACACAATTAGAAATTCAAGCGTTGCAGGGCGAACGTGATCGGACAGAATTCTTAATAAGATATTGTCAACACGCGCCACTTCACCTGACCAATTGTGGGACAGTAATAACACTTTCGTGAAGAGTATTAAAGCTTGTGAAAAGTTTGCAAGTCTTAAACCGTACACTTTGTTCAGAGGAGAATAAGCGCTGATCTACTTTGATGACGAAGAAAATAAGTTACCGTCCCATTCTAAGAGGGAAGGTTCCGCCTTGCTTGACAAGAAAAGGAAACTTGATCCCAAAAATGTGCCGTTCAAGTCAGTGTCCATCATACTCAACTGAAAACCAAAGCGAGACTGAATCTAAAGCTGCTAGATTGTTCTTAAGAGGAAGAAACCAGAATGACAACTTTCGAATCCTCGAACGAAAGGGGAAAGATCTGGGAACATCTTCTGACGGAAAATACTATCAAGACCTTGCAATTTCAAGATCAGTAAACGAGGCTCTATCAACAAAGAGCGTTGTTTATCAGCTTCCGGCTCAGGACCTAAGTGTCGCTCTTGCAACGTTCCCAGAGTTCTTCTCTCAAGGACTGGCTAGTGAACATAAGGTTTTGACTAAACGAGTCGACCCTAGTTTAACAAATCAGGACTTTAATGATAGAAAAAGAAATCTGTCGAGCGAATACAAAGGACTGGCCCTGTGGTATATCCGGGAATACGGATTATAGCCATGCACTGTACTTAGAAAAAGAAACAATGCAGCTTATGAAGATCCAGTGCTTCCAACATAAACGTAAATCAAATCTGAAATTTATTTTTAATTACTTCTGATGATTTAAGCCTAGTCAAGTCTTACGACAGCCTTATTTCAGGCTAATCGCGCACTACCCCAGAATTCCTTGTGGTAGTCTCACACTCCTCTGCCATTTCTAATTCTCAACAACCCCAGGCCCTCACTGTAGCGAGGAAATATGAGCGAAGAATACACATTTATTAAAAAAAATCTTATCAAATTCTGAATTAAAAAAATCCTTCAGTGCTATGAACTTATGTAGACTATTTTCGTCTTTTTTCACGGGCGTGACCGCATTAAATGCACGCTGTCCTGCCATTTTGCCATAGCTTAAGATGGACATTCTCGATTTGTTGACTTAATGGATTAAAAAAATACCTTGTGGAAATAAATATGTTTGTATGGGAATAAAATATAAACAATTATGTACCAAAGCCTTTATATAGTTCCTTTATAGTTTACCCCGTTGGAAGACAAATACACTGGTATATTGCATACTTTACGGTGGTCCACAACTGTCACGGAAAAAGAAATAACCTTGCGGCAAAAGAAAAACCTCACGGCAAAAAGGAAAAGACTCACAGCAAAAGAAAAACCTCACGGCGAAAGAAAAAACCTCACGGCGAAAGAAAAAACCTCACGGCGAAAGAAAAAACCTCACGGCAAAAGAAAAAACCTCACGGCAAAAGAAAAAACCTCACGGCAAAAGAAAAAACCTCACGGCAAAAGAAAAAACCTCACAGCGAAAGAAAAAACCTCACGGCAAAAGAAAAAACCTCACAGCGAAAGAAAAAACCTCACGGCAAAAGAAAAAACCTCACAGCGAAAGAAAAAGACTCACGGCAAAAGAAAACCCTTACGGCATAGGAAATAACCTCACGGCGAAAGAAATAACAAGGTTACTTCTTTAGCTGTGAGTCTTTTACTTTTGCCTTGAGGTTCTTCCTTTTGTCGTGAGTCTTTTTCTTTTGCCGCGAGGTTATTTCTGAAATTTATTTTTAATTACAGTTGTGGGCCACCGTACATATTGAATAAAGGAGAAAAAACATTCTTGCTATTATAAATTTATTCTTAATTCGGTTGGACAAGATGAGCGTAACAAGGAAGAAATTTATCTATAATCACGGAAAATCAAGTTTCTTTTTGAAGAAAAAGTTAGATCTGTTTTAATATACGGAAACATTCCTTGCTAATTCCCGCTCTCTTAAGCGGACAGTTCTACATACAGACTCTTTTTTCGATTGTTGTTTTGTCTCCCCGTCAAACTCGTACACATTCCTGTAAGCGGACACTCTCTCTTGAGCGGACGCGGAAACTTTTTAAAAGTGAAAATTGGAGTTTTCTTTTGTTTACGCTCTCTCTCGTCAGCGGACACCCCATGCTTAATAATTACCACATGGCAATAAACTCGTCTTGAATTCGCAATCCAACAAAAATATGACCTTTGACCGAGTAACAGAACAGCGGAAACCGATTTTTTCAAGTCTCTATCTGTCCGCAAGAAAGCAAGCTTTCCGTTCGTTTGACATAAACACTTAGATTGAAAATTCTCATATTTCAGACCGTCCCGAAAATTAAATAAGATAAACAAAAAAAGAGGAAGAGACAGAGACAAGAAAAAAAACAGAAAAGAATAATTTCGCTCTCACTCCTAGCGCTGAGTTCTGTTTTTTCGGTAAGTTTTCCTATTTACTTCAACTCTGTCTGCGATTGAACGAATATGTAAACCCCAAGGTGTTTCCGGTCTCACTTGAGATTGCCACGAAAGTTTGCAAAACGTCACTGAATCACTTACTTGAAGAGCATAGTGCCGTTGCTGGCCACTCCGTTACTCTATTCAGTAGCACAACTATCATGTAGTAGAGGTTTTTAGTCTCAATTTTAGCAAACGTGCTTGTACACATCAGTTTGGAATTCACGTGATCGACTAAGTGAAGACTTTCACTCACAAATACAGCTCTCTACTGCGAAATGTAGAAGTTCCATCTGGTTTGAAAGGGAAGAAAGACTCTTTACTCGTTTACGTTCGTTGAATAGCATACAACTATTTCTTGTTTCAATAACAGATGGAGCCGAATCATACTCGTTTTTTTTTGTAACTTTGGCCTTAATCACGCATCACGTGTAAACCAATGCCACCCTCCCTCTCGGAAGTCCTTGTTCGTTCATCCGTCTCCGGTTACCTCAGGCCTGCGATCACCTTGACTTCATTTTGTGAACTTATGGTCAGTCAGTGACGAATATTTCAAGTGGTTGAGACGTGAGAAAAATCGAGTTGGCTGTTTACACCCCTTTTGATTGTAAGCATTCTTACCTCAGACAGTCTGGTTTCCTTCTCAGTATCCTACCAAGCGAGCTTAGGAGAAACAGAAGGTGAGCTAAACTTTGTTCTAGGTAACTGTGATAAATAAGCTTAAGACAAAATATTTTCAGTCACACTGGAGTTTTCTTTCTGCTCTAACCTATCCACAATACCTACGGCGTCTCTAGTGTAGAGCAGCACGTATAATACGACGAAGCGCCACAACTGAAGAAATATTTCAAATGTTTAGGGCAAGTAAGGCTTTCTATAATTTGCGAAACGAAACAAAATAAAAATCTGTAATTTGCGAAAATGGAAATATGCTAATAAGGTAAGTGTCGTGTCACGCATTCGAATAACTATTCATCGACAATCCTTACTTTTACGAGGCAACATGTGATTATTTTTTTATAACATAAAGGGCAAAATTTTTTTTTTATTACAGGGGTCATTTATGAAATTTCGTATCACTGAGGTCATTTTAGTGTTCAGTCAGCGTCAATGAACTGTAAAACTCACGAATTAGCTGTACGGAGTTTTATTCTTGTACAATAATACCAAAGCAATGCAACCAAGATTGCTAAAAAAACATTCGCCATCCATGAAATTATAACACTTGAAGGAACAATTTGAGCCGTTTTTGATGTTTTTTTAAACGTTTAAAAATTATTCAGAGTCAGGTGGGTTCTTAGCTCCTGTGGTACTTGCTGAAATATCTCCAGCAATATTCAAAATGGCGTAGCAATAACTGAAGTTGTACACATGGCGGCTTGAAGCACATGAGGCAGCAAATGTGAGCAAAATTTCGACAGTAACAGCTGACTCAAGGCACTTTTTGACTTGTCACTGATTCCTAAATTTATTTGTTGTTTCCGCTCGTCTCCCGAGTCGTGGTCGTCCAAACATATGCGTTATTAACCGAGCATGAGGTCAGGATGGTTAGAGATTATATCACTAATTTTTTTCCGGCTGTCTTTCATTCGCCCACCGTACGAAAACATTTCTCCAGTATTCTGTGCCTTTTTGTTTTCATTTTCGCCTATTTGTCTCAGTTCTTTCTTAAATTCATCGTTCTCTCCGTCGAAATGAGACGTAATTGTTTCAAAAGCCATTAAAAAAACGAAACAATTTTTCGCTATTGTTAGACGACCTAAGAACAAATCAATTTCAAGTGATTTTGTCTGAGGCAGTTACCAAATGAACGAAAAATGCCTTCTGTCTCAGCCAATCAGCATTCAGAAATTTTGTCCTTTATGTTATGAAGCTAGAAACATAGATAAGCAACAGCCCACAGAACCGGCGTAAGTTTCTGCGTCTTACAGGCGGACGGCGGACAAGCGCACGAGCGCGAAGCGCGAGTTACGCGCGAGGGGAGGCGGCTCGCGCTTGTCTCCGTTTTACTGAAAAACGCAAAAAAAATTACAACTGTTCTTCAGGCTAGAGAAGCAACCACTTTTTGTGGTTACTTTTTCCTATAGGGAATGTAAGAGTAAGCCAGATTGTTAAACAAATTCTCCCTTTCAGTGCCATAGGATATAGAGAGAAGTGTGGAGAATTTGCATAGTGATAATAGTTTTACAAAACTTTTTCGGTCAAACCGTAGTTACAACCAGTAAGTCTTGATTTGACTTTAAAAAAATCCAAAAAATTGGCTTTTGAAGGTCTACCGTATTCTTATTCTGAATGTGTACCTTCAAACGTTCCCAGAATTCCTCGGATGGATATTACGTCTTCTGTTAAGTCAGCTCCAGATGGAGGATATGGCTGGTGTGTCTGTGCAGCAGCTTTTTCAGTACAATTCGTCCTGGCTGGAATACAGAACAGCTTTGGAATTCTCCTTATTTACATCCTGGATGAATTTGGCAATGGGAAGGGCACGTCAGGTACACGGGCCGTTTATACGAGGAATTCATCTGTGGCCTACAGATGACATGAACTTGATAAATAATGGTGCACCTCCACTTTTAGAAGCAAATGCTTATGTAAGATTAGGGTTTGAGCTCGTTTTCAATTAACTGCGGCTTAAATAAGACGCTAAACCACTCGCATAGATGGCATCGCAGCTTATTCGCAGCTTACGTAAGACGAGAACTTACACTGCGCTGGCGCAATTTTTTCTCGTGCTTGCAATTGCGGCCGCATAGTGGCACAGTGGAATATTTTCTTTAAATTCCCTGACGATGCCATAGATTGGCGAAATATTGGAATAAAAGAAAGGAACACAGTAGCTCACAGTAGCTTCTATTTTACGGTCAATTTTCCATAGTCCCTCCCTTTAACTAAGACATGTTTATTGCTGTTGCTTCCTAGCATGGGTGGGTTCCATTCACCTGTTCGCTCTATACGCTGTGGCTCCGTTTGTTACCATCGCTTGTGACATCTGGGGTTGCCGTATCACCGGATTTGTTGGTGGTTTAGTCTGCGTGACGGGTCTGGTGGCATCGTCGTTCGTCACCCGGCTCTACCTGTTATTTGTAACATATGGAGTGTTGTTCGGGATCGGTGCTTCGTTGGCGTACATTACAACTTTTAGGATCATCTCGCTCTGGTTCGACAGGTTAGATTTCGTCAATGAATGATGCATAATTTCTTGCTCATCAACGTTTTTTTTACCGTTATATAAGGGTTGTGGGAGCCAGAAAATTGAGTCTAGCTCAAGCCTCCTTTGTTTAAATTACGATATCATTGAGCTGTGTGAAGTTTGGGAGAGGGGGGTTGGGGGAGGGGCATTGAGATTGCGGCGTTGCCGTGATACTCCGTGATTTTTTAGAGCGCTTTTCCATTCACTGTTATAAAACCAGAACCAAAGCAATCTGAAAAGCCAATCATAGGATAGAAAATATGACGATTAGTCAATGAAATATCGAATTAAAAACAAGAAAACTGTCTGACGCGCGGGAAAACGCGAGTGACCACGTCGTGATTGGTTTTAGTCAATTTGATTCTGATTGGTTGAGAAAGTGGCGCGAGTTTTCTAGACCAATCACAAAACGAAGTAAAGCAAAAGCAAAGCCATCCCGGGTCACTTTCGCCACTCAATCGAAAATTCCTTTTGTACAGTATTTGGGAGAATAAAATCCCACTTTGAGGTATTGCCAAACTCCTAAAATGTGCTTCAAATGCTATAGAGTGCTTCGCCTGCGTCATGAAAAGGTACACTTACACGAAATTTTTTTTCATAGTAAGAAGATGGCGAAGTAACAAGGTGACAGTTAACTGGTAACATCAGTGAAAAAGTCAAGCACTTCACTGCTTAGGTGTTACATGTGTCAAACACTCACTATTTTTAAAGAATAGGTTCAAGATTTTTTTTGTAACCATGTTTACAGAAACCAGTCTGGCGTGGCTTCTCACCTCAGTAAACTGAGAAATTAAACAATAGGAGCAGCCAAATTTGCAGTAGCCTACAGAACAGCGGTAATTGTTTTGCGTTTTACAGGCGAAGGGGGACAAGTGCTGGGCAAGCGCGAGGGAGGCGCGAGTCACGCTCGATGGTAAATAAGAGAAGTTTAACGGGGGAATGATTTAGATACAGAGCAACAGAGTAAAAAGGACTACTTCGAACCAGTCAAACAAAAAGTTTAAATTTTCTCTTTGACCGTAGGAAATTAGCACTGGCCAATGGTATATGTGGTACTGGTGCATATTCTGGTACCATTGCCCTTGGGCCATTCCTTCAGCGGATGGTGAAACAAACGGGACTCTCCAGAACCTTTATAATTTTGGCGGGAATCGTTGCTCTCACTGCAGTCTCTGCGCTTGCGTATCGTCCCCCGCCCAAGCTAGTCAGTAAAGGCAAGAGAGACGTCCATGTCAAGAAAATATTCGATCTAACACTATTAGAAGATAAATCTTTCCTAGTGTTTTTACTAGGGTTAGGATTATACGCCAGTGGCTGTTTCATACCTGCTTCGTATGTGGTAAGTAAGGAATGTTCATTTGAGGATGTGGTTCATATTTGTGCTTTAACCCTGTTATTTTTTACATCATATCGACCCTAAATCAAACATTAAGGGCACGAGATGAGGGAAATTATCACTGACGAAAGAAGTTCTAGACTGTGAAGCAAATTAGCACCTTTGGAAATGTATGGAAGAATATATGGAGAACATGCAAACCGATGATAAGGTGTAAAAAAAAACATGTACAAACACAGGATGTGCATTTTACACTGAAACCCTGCACAGTGGGAGTAGAGCCTTCTATGTAACTGAAAACTGCATTGGCAAGTTGACAGAATTCTTGAGTTTATGCTTTTTATATCATTTCACTTTTGGATCAAGTTCCAGTTGAGTTTAGAAAGTGATTCAGAATAGCATTCCTTTACATTACTTCACCAACCACGCTGGTTAAATGTTATGATTTCAATAATCCTTTGTTTTTGAGATTGACACTCAGTCGTAAAGCGCTCTGACTATCTGGCCAGTAATGCAGTAAATAATTTGAACCCGAGGTTAACATTTGATCGCCGCGGTTGTCTTACCGTGTTGGTCAGGGTGTTCTTGAGAATGACTGATTTTGAGAGAGGTGAATGACATTTTGACAACCTTAGTATCATCAGAGTCAAGTCAGCATATATCAGTTATCATATATGTTATTCACCAGCCGGAAGGTCCGTGAGAAAAGAAAAAAGTCTGTGACGTATAATTTGATAAGTCAGTTTTCTTGTGATGTCACAACAAATTTTCTGTTTACTGTAACTGAAAAAAATTTTGAATGTTAGAGAAGAGGTTAAGGTAAAAGTAAATCTGGACTGCTCTTGACCAGCCTGGTTCCCAGGGCCCCACTTCTTCGATCCCTTCCCTTCCTCTCTCTTTCTCTAAAAGAAGGGAAAGAGAGAGACCCTGGGAACGAGGTTCGCTCTTGACTAGCTCGTAATAGTCAAACGCCAAATAAAATATCGGCTACTCTTTTCCTGCATTTTCAGCCCTCATTTGCCAAGGAGTTAGGAGTGCCACCACACAAAGGGGCTCTTTTGCTTATGGCCTGGTCAACATCATCAGTTGTTTTCTCCTTTTTGACTGGTAAACTTGCTGACAAATTTTCACGCTACCGTGTGGAGATTTTTCAATGCGCTATGGTCGGGGTCGCCATATCCACATCTCTTTTGTCGGCAGCATGGAGTTTCCAGTGTTTCATGGGGATGATGGTAATATACGGGGCTTTCGATAGTGGCTTTGTATCACTAAAAGCAGTAGTTGCTGAAGACTTGGTTGGTAGTGACCAGGCCTCCAGGGGTGTTGGGATCATGTTCGCGGTGCTTGGTATCGCTTATTGCGCAGGAATTCCATTGGCTGGTAAGTGCTTTGGAGACTACAAATTACCAAAGCAAATATCTACCGGAAGGGATCTTTCATCAATCGATAACCGAGCCATCTACTCCTTCTTTTAACTCGTCACACGAGAACCTCGCAAGTCTCTGAGATCGGCGTTGAAAGCATAAGGCCATTAACTGAAAGCGAGAGAAAATAAGAGCCATTCAATTTATCGCCACTGACTTGAACCAGAAGGAAACCAGTCAAGGTAGTCGGGGTAGATGGAGTTCACTCGTCCCTAGTCTTGTCGGCTTTACTGTCAAATATCAACAAATCTTTCTAAGTATGAGTAAAGATCGATAAAATAGACACGGATTGTAAATGAAGACGTAAGATGCAGGCTTGATTTTTCAATGCACAAAAAGCTATATAAGGAAAAACTACATTCGGCTTTCAGTAATAAGCCTCTAGTGGGTCATTGAAACCTCGACTGTACCATCATTCGTATGTGTTGTTAACTTATCAATGTCTTGCTCTTTCCCCAGGTTGGATATACGACTCTACAAATTCATATCCTTGGAGTTTTGTTGCGGCGTCCGTTTTTAGCGCTACAGGCTGTATCCTACTTTTCCTCATCCCACTGCTCCAGAATCTAAAAAATGTAGATCATGTCAGCCCCCTGAAAGGGAGGGAACTTCACTCAGACACAGATAAACTCAAATTCTTACCTACACCATTAATAACTGAAATATCCTTTCAAAGTGTGGACATAAGAACGTTACGAGAAACATATTTATGATGTTTTGTATAGTCGACAATAAAAAATAAGGATGTTAAAGAGTGAAAAAAGGGGGTAAGTTTCTTAGGAAACTGTGGTGCTGCGTCAGTCGGAGAGTATAACAGGGTAATTTGGTATTATCGACCGAGTTGATAACAGAGATCGGCCAGCGTTAAGAGTTTCAAAGCTGACGTTTCGGGCGTTAGCCCTTTGTCAGAGCAAATTGCCTTTTAACAGCTGTTGACACATCGATTATACACCACGATTTCTGTTTTTCTGCAACTACAACTGATCTGTCTCTATATGAATTATTTAAGTTGTTTCCCCGCTGACCACTCGTATTTCGCCCTTTTTCCCCTCCACCGCTCGTCGCTCGTGATGTAGAAACTCCCGAAAATTACTGGGGAAAATGTCGGGTAAAACATCTCAAAGAGCTCTTTCAGCAGCTATATCCCAGGGAATTTTAGGCTCTCCGTCTCTTACTTATGAACCAGGAAAGCCCAAGCATGCAGGTCTGTTTTACGATCTCGATGAATTCGAATCTGGACTCGACAGGGCAGAAGAAGCTTTTGGTAAAGGTAAACAACTCATCGATCGATTTCCTGTGTAGAATGTCATTAGTTCAGGGGTCTTGGGGTCGCCAAGACGGAATTGATCCCGAAAAATGTTTCATAAATTCCGCAAATCGTACCATTTCATCCCCAAAATCCGCTTAATGACAGTCAGATAAGTAAAATATGGAATGACACTCGCTCGCTCGCTCGCTCGATTGGTCGATTCCTGTAAACTTTTTTTTCGATTTTAAGCTTTTGATAGTTTGTGGCGAGTAATAAACAAACGAAATGGCGACCTTTGTTGCCAAGAATAGTGGTGGGGTGAAAAGTTTCCACAAGCGGCGCTAGCGACCGGCAGGCGTGTGAGGATTCACACTGAAATAAGAGAACAACCTTCGTTTTTCATAAAATTGTAATTTACAATCCTTGAACTTTGAAAACAATCCGAAGATTTGTTAAAGATATCACTTACTCCGAAGCGCTCGGAGTTTACAGGTGTTCAAAAGCTTTTTCTGTTGTGGCGTGAGATTGGGACAAAGTCGATCATTACATTTCGTATCGTGTGCTTTTTTCTGTGAGAAGCAACAAAAAGTGCCAGCGACTGACGAAATTACAGGTTAAGACGAAAATCAAACACTTAAACAAATAATTTTGGCTACCGATTTTCAGTGAATTTTTAAAGAACAATTCTCTTTCAAGTTTCAAGACAATTTGAAGATTCAAAATAAATATTACGTACTAAAATGCGAAAGTTATACAATACAAAATTGATTAATAGGCCTGAAATGAAATTCTATCTTGTTCTTGATTATACGTTGCCTAGCTCGTGACCAAAATCTACCCAGGTGGACATCCAAAATGACGGTGGCAGTCTGGGCTTAGTTATGTCACTCAAAACTCACTCCCGTTTGTCTCATTTGATAAAAAGGGAATCAGTAATCTTTTCATTAAGACAGTATTGCCTTGATCTTCCAATATTTACAATGACAGACAGTAAATTTCACTTTTCACCCACATTCACTTCCAATCTTTTCTTTTAAACCAGAAAAAAAAATGATATATTATTGATTTCTTTTACATACTCTTCTCTTTGTGCTTACTATTCTTTCTCTGTGGTGCTGATGCGGAGAATTTGCTGAACTATCAAGAGTTTCTTTAGTTGGCAATGGTTTCCTTTATTCTGTTGACCTTAATGTTTGATACTGTGGTGATATTGTCCAAAGAAATAAGTCACTCATAGTAGTAAGAAATTTAAATTGTGGCTTTTTCCTTTCATGGATGAGCTAAAGGTTACTAATTTTTTTAATGTCTCTTTCACAGATGTTCTCCATGCAATTGCTGTAAAAGCCAATCCTGTTTCAGCTATGCTAAAGATTATTCTTAAAAAGGCATGTAACTAAAATTTGCTCTTCAATTTCATCCTCATAAAACATTACTCCAATGAAGTAAGTTCATTTAGGGGTGTAGCTTGGAAAGGGGGGGGGAGGAATTGGCTTCCCATAATTCTCCCTTTGAGGAGAAAAAAATTTTAATTGGGGTGGTGAAGACATGTCAATCTGAAGAAGCTGTATTACATATTAAGATCTTTTTCAAATCTAGAAACCCAATTTGTTGTTCCTCCTTGCCATATGAATACGAACCTGCTTACATTCAAGGACAAGCAGTGCTAAAACTAAATCATGTAAGATGTGCAGAAATTGTTAACAACATACCCCCCTTTCAACAATTTTTTTATCTTTTGCACCCAGTGACTACTCTGAACCCTCTATGACCCAACCTCAGCTGTGGATATTCCCCATACTGTTCTCTGTACATTTCTCTCTCTACTGACAGAAGAATTTGTCCATCAATCAATAGTTGTGTTTGAGTTGTTGGTCATTTCCCTTATTCTAGTGACCCTAAGCATTTACGCCCTAAATTCAGTATGCATATTCTCCATACTGTTCTGCAAATTCCTAAGGAACTGACAAGGAGAATTTGATTTACAATCAAGAACTTCTTCAGCTGTTGATCATTTACTTCACTCTCGTGACCTTACTGTTTGATTCATAGGTGATATTTAAGGGAGAAATTAGATCTCAGATAAGAGTGACAAAAGGGTTCATTTTTTATTTAGTATTCATACTGTAAAGAGAAGTTTGATGTTAATCATTCTTGGAGGTTGTGTTAATGTATACACCCCTAGAATACCAGAAGCCAATTTGTGTTATCATTTATCTAGGGTCATGGTCTTGAGTGTGCTTCAATCACGGAAGTGCTACACGGCATGGATCTTGGATTTCCACCTGAGAAAATTGTGTTTGACTCACCTGTGAAAACAGAGCCAGAATTGAGTATGACTACTATTGAATATTATCTGAAAGACTGACCAGTAATCTTGTTAATTGATATGAGACCATTGCAAAGAGGCTTTACATTGTATGTAGTAGCATTAAAAATATGTATAGTTTGTATTGAGATAAATTTCATTATGAACTGTGGATGAAATTCAAGTGCAGAAATGATCCCTGCAAGTGGGCTGTAAATTAACCCTTTAACCCCCATGATCTGATTGTTAATTCTCCCCTCTAGCTGCTACACATTTACATGTAAATTAATTATGAGAATTTGGTGTTAGATCAAGATAACAACTTCTACCTGTTAAGTTTGAATATTCTCTTTACCTGTTTGCTGGATAATGTAAGGATATTATAGGGAGAAGTTTCATATTGATCACTTCTGGGAGTTAAAGGGTTTAATAAAGTATTGCAGTTCTTCTTATTCAAAGCCTTGGCTCCCAGATGCTAGCTGGGTGCTACTATCAACTGAGCTACAAAGCTTTATGTTGAGGGTGAGGCAAATCTTAGTGGGCTTTTTGTTCCCTCAAAGGAATCTGAACATAATTTTTAATGAAATTTCATTGTGCCCTTTGGATGGAAATCAAATGCAGGAATGATCCTTGCAGATGGGCTGCTATATTCTTGCAACTGCAGGAAAAATGCATGAAATTATTCAGGATTTGACAGGAATTAAATGCCTATGCCTCTTAAGTATCTGAGAAGCATTATTTTGAATCCTGTTTAAGGCTGAATTTTTTTCAGTCCTCTTCTCTGCAGTTGCTAAAATTGAAGTCCACCTTGGTTACTAAATTTTAATACTTAATTTGTAAGATGTGAATTGTGTAATTTATTTGACTGTCATTCAGCGTGTTTCAATGTTCACGTATTTTTTCTCACAAAGAAGGAATGAGAAGGCTTTATTTGATGTTCACTCTGTGATTAATTGCACTGTTTTAGAGTTTGCTTTAGAAAATGGAATTCATGTAAATGTGGACAATTATCAAGAACTTGAGAGAATAACAGCTATAATAAATGATCAAGGGTAAGTCTGGGTAATTTTATCAGCTGGGTGGTGATATGAGAACGATTGGATCAATATCAGTATCTGGCCAACTGCCCACATACCCCTCCCCTAACTCAACAACAGTCAATTGACAACAAGTTGAGGTTAATGTTGGGTTAGGGGAGGGGTAGGGAATTACGGTCAACTCGCCGACGCCAACTTGCCGACGTATAAAATCGAGTAGAGACGTCGGCGAGTTGGTCCTCAATCCAATACAACTTATTAGAAGTTAAACATACAGAAAAGTAAACGATATTTAGTAAAAAAAACACTGGCGAACATTGGTGAACATCAAACAGAAGCTTAAACATTGGTGAACATTGGTGAACATCACCAATGACTATAACAGCTTAAGACGCGAACGAGTTAGACAAGATCTCTGGTAAAAAGCAATTCTTTCTATTTGCAACAAAGTTCATAAGGATCTCAAGGCGAATAAAGCGAAGTAAACATCACCAATGACTCTAACTGCTTCAGACGCGAACGAGTTATTGTGTGACAACAACACTGTAAAGACTCATCATGTCAATCGGTCAGATTTTTTAAGAAAACTTGGCGCTCTAGACAAGATCTTTAGTAAAAAGAAATTCTTTTTATTTGCAATAAAGTTTAAAGGGATTTCAAGGCGAATAAAGTAAAGTAAACATTGCCAATGACTATATCCGCTTTAGACGCGAACAATTTATTGTGTGACAACAACACCGTAAAGACTCATCATGTCAATCGCTCGGATTTTTTAAAGAAAACTTGGCTTTCTAGGCAAGATCTTTGGTAAGAAGCAGTTCTTTTTATTTGCAACAAAGTTTATAAGGATCTCATGTCAATCGGTCTTATTTATTTAAGTCAAGTCGCTTGGTAAAAAGTCAACGCACAAACGGTGGTGTTGTCACACAATAATTATCTCGTTCGTGTCTGAAGCGGATATAGTCATTGGCGATGTTTACTTTGCTTTATTCGCCTTGAGATCCTTATAAACTTTGTTGCAAATAAAAAGAATTGCTTTTTACTAAAGATCTTGTCTAGAAAGCCAAGTTTTCTTTAAAAAATCTGAGCGATTGACATGATGAGTCTTTACGGTGTTGTTGTCACACAACTCATTCGCGTCTAAAGCCAATTTTGTTCATTGGCGATGTTTACTTCGCTTTATTCGCCTTGATATCTTTATAAACTTTGTTGCAAATAGAAAGAATTGCTTTTTACTAAAGATCTAGAAAGCTAAGTTTTCTTAAAAAAATCTGAGCGATTGACATGATGAGTCTTTACGGTGTTGTTGTCGCACAATAACTCGTTTGCGTCTTTAGTTGTTATAGTCATTGGTGATGTTCACCAACGTTTAAGCTTCTGTTTGATGTTCACCAATGTTCACCAGTGTTTTTTTTTTTTACTAAATATCGTTTACTTTTCTGTATGTTTAACTTCTAATAAGTTGTATTGGATTGAGGACCAACTCGCCGACGTCTCTACTCGATTTTATACGTCGGCGAGTTGGCGTCGGCGAGTTGGCGTCGGCGAGTTGGCGTCGGCGAGTTGGTCCGTCGGCGAGTTGACTGGATACCGGGGTAGGTGGGCAGTTGCCCAGATACTGATATTGATCCAAATGATTTATCATTAGTATTGTATTTCACAAGTATCCTATTTAAATAATTATACTACATGGATTGTTCTAGAGATTCTCCTCTAAGAATAATTTGAAATTAGTAATGCATTTCACAAGTATCCTGTTTATACATATTGGGTGGAATGAGCTGTAGAAATATTAATCAATCAGTAAATGGAGTGAAATTGGATCAGTTTGGCACAGAGGGGTTGAGCATAGAGGTGCCATGTAAATCACAAGGGTGAAAGGGTGGGCAATAATAGCTCAGCTACTTTTTCTCAGAGAACTGAGCTGAATAAATCCTTGTGGAACTTTAAGTTGTTATTTGTAAAGATATTATAAAGAAGTTATCACATAGATATTTCATAATGAAGGTGGTAGACTTCTTGGATTTTTTTTAGAGATTTCTTCTGTTTTTGATCATGACTTTTTTAATAAGTTTTCCACTCTAGTTATTTCTCATAATAAGATTCTGGAAGAGTTGAACTACCACTAGTCATTTCATGCTACAGAACCTGATAAAAGCTCCAGCTGGATGAGTCACTGTTTTCTTTTTCGCTAATCATTTTGAAGAGTTGTAATCGGACAGTGTAATCAGACAGTTGGCTATAATTGGACACAGGTAATTGGACAGTTGAAGCAGCCAATCTCACTAGGTCTACCCGGCTAAACCCACCAATCACAGAATTGACCACAATAACCATAGCAACAACCATTTATCCTTAGAAAAAGTGGGGAATTTCCAAAATGGAGGAATTTTTAACTTTAAACATCATCTCTTTTGGAGATATTTGTTGTAGATGTATTTTTTTTTTCGGAAAATTGTTATGGTTATGATTAAATGGTGACGGGACTTTGTGTCTTCCAATTCTGTCACTCTGTAATCATGCTCGTGACTGACAAATCAGACTCCCACTTTGTGGTTGTCCGACTTTTAATAATTACTTGTATGATTACAGACTGAATTGGACTCCACTCAGTCCTATTGCCATTATTAATAGAAATAAAATGAACTAGCTGGGGGATACAAGGCTGTCAAAGAGACTGGAGTAAGTGGACTGTGATCCAGAGTATGCAACACAATATCATGCTTCCATGCTGAAAATTGAGCCACCAATGGTAATATTTTTGTTTTAACAGCCCTTTTATTGGAGGGAAAATGTATGCAATAGTGGAATTTATATATTTATTGAGATTTTCTTGACATATATCCTTTTGTATTCTTTGGTGTGGTAGACAAACAAAATCATCAGTTGGAATAAGATTGAAACCTGTTCTTGGGGTTGGTGCTGTTAAAGCTCTAAGGTGAGCAACATGTTAGTAACTAAAATTAGATGAAAAATGTAAATAATTATGATCAATGTTGCTGACTGTGTAACATTACTTTGACAAAATCGTTTAATATCATTGTGTATATGTTGTTTGGTTGATTTGTTGATTTTTTCTGTTGTTATTTTTTTTTTTGTATGTTTGTTCTATAATGTATTTGATATTGAGTTCTGTAAATTTCTTTAATTTAGTACATGTACAGCAGATTCAAAGTTTGGAGTCCAGGTGAATGCAACAAGATTAATATAACACATCTGTAGAAGAATACCATTTTTGATAATTTTTTAACAACAGTAGGAAATTGGGGTTTTCCCTTCCCCCTTTGAATAATTGTGGTGATGAACTTCTTGAGGTGTATATGAATGTATGTAGAATAGTGCACTGCACAACCTTGAAGTGTTGTTATATGACCAGTTCATGCATCAATCTTCTTGCTGATGTACTGTTGTCCCCTTAACTCCCAGGATATGATTACTTGGTATTATTTCTCCCCTCTAGTTGTTACACATTTCCTTAAACATTTGGTAGGAGAATTTGGTGTTAGATCAACAAAACACTCACTACCTGAGAAGTTTGAGTATACGTATTACCTATTTGGTGGATATCGTATGGATACATTTATTACAGGGAAAAGTTATGTGTCAATCAGTTCTTGGATTAAAAGGGTTCAGAGAAAAAATATAATCCATGAAGAGACCATGAGACACAAGAGAATCACACTGCCATTTTGTGCCAGTGATGATGGTAACAACTCAAAAAATAAATCTATGTTAAATTGTAAATATTGTTTTTGAGCAGCTGACAGATTCATCAAAAGAAGAAATCATCGGCTGGTATTTGGATCGCCCCTGGTTAACAGCAGTTCATATACATATTGGGTCCCAGGTTTGAAATAATTTGTGGATATACATACTGTTACAACTAAGTAAACTTACTGTAAAGCAATTTATTTGGCTGTCAAGTAGATTTTTGACTTGTAAAATAGTATTTTCTTAAACTGATAAAATTAAAGGTGGTCTCTCAATTACAATGAATGGTAAAAGTCTTGGCATGCTCTACTTAATCATGTGCTTTTGAAATTTCTTCTTTTACCCTTTACTCCCTAACATGAGTGTGCATACTCCCCATGCAACTCCTTAAGCATTTCCAAGGGTTCTGACAAGGAGAATTTGTTCAACAATCAATAGTTTCTTTAGTTGGTGATCATATCCTTTATTCTCATGACCTTAATGTTTGATTCAGAGGTGATATTGTAAGGAGAAATTAGATGCTAGACACTTTTAGGGGTTAAAGGAGTAACTTTCATATATTTCCCCCTCCTCGATCTCCCCTATTTCGATGTTGCCTGGTGTTAACAAAGTGCTCACTTATTTAAGGCAGCTTTGTTTTGTTTCCATCTGATTTCAGAGTTATGACTGTAGTGATCTTACCTGTGGTGTTAAATGTGTTGTTGACTTTGCTTTGGTAAGGACATATCATCATCTAAATAAGTATTCTCTGCTTCTAAAGTTATACATGCACTGTTGTTCCCATGGTAACATGCACCTATTTTTTGGCAAAGCGTCCAGTAGTATATAATATCCCAGCTATTTCAATCAATCAATCAATCAATCAATCAAGCCTTTACTTCAAAACAATGATTGTTAATGCTGTAAAGCTTGTGGGGTCATTTCAGGTCTATTTCATTCTACTTCCAATGGTATTTGGCAAATAATGTTTAAAACTTTTTTCAAAAAACTGAAGACAGTGCTATCTGTGTCTTTCCTACTTTTTTATTAACTTTAACATAAATTCTGGAATATTAACAATTTTTTGAGGAGTTTCTTCAAATGCATTCATATAACTCTAGAAAATATTGTATTATAATGATTGTGTAACATTTTGCTCTCTCGTCAATTTGTTTATTAACCCTTTTAATTCCCAAGATCTGATAGTTAATTCTCCTCTCTAGCTGCTGGAGTATCCTCATAACCTGTTTGCTGATGATGTATGGATATTGTAGACAGAAGTTACATCTTTATCACTTCTGGGAGGTGAAGGGTTAAATGATAAAGCACATGGATTTTTTCTTCTACTCAGTCCAGTGGACTGTGTATCACTTGAGTAATATGATCACTATATTTTCATGTTCTGTTTTTTTTTTTAAGGAAGTGAATGGAAGATTAGGAAAAAAACAGATCCACACTATTGATATTGGTGGAGGATTACCTGTAAGTTTCTACCTGAAAATAATAATGGTATAAATGGTAACTGAGTATTTCAACTTTGCAGCCCTCGAATTCAAGTGTTTGAATGTCAATTTGATACTGCATACAGGCTAACTTGGAGGATGACACTACTCGACCATCATTTCAAGATTATGCAGAGACCCTGAAAGTAAGTATTGTTGTGTGTGAAATAAGTTCCATGAATTAATTATTCAATTTACTCTTGAATACATGGCAAATTTCCAGCACAAATTGTAATGTAGTTTACTTAATTTAAACTTTTTGTGCTTTTTCTTACCGTGAATTAAGCTATCTGTCAGTCTGGTATAACATTTGTTTTTGCAAATCTAATTCTATATTACTTAATTCAATAAGAAATTTATTAATATTCTCATTTGGTGGAAAATAAAGTTTAGTTTGGTCAAACAATCCATTTTAAACACCTTAGGTGAAAGGAAGCATTAGATTGAACTCATTTGGTTGTCTGTTGGTTTTGAGATTAGTTGGATTTTTCTGAAATGAATGTGTTGAGCATAATGTACCTATCAATGGTTTACTTCAGGACTGGCGGGGGGAGCAACCTTAGGGAAATTTGATGTTTTCAGGTTTTCAAAAGTAAATTTTCTTTCCTTTGGGTTTCCATTGTATGTTAAAATTCCATCTCTGGGAACCAAAGATGTTGTATACCAATTTCACAACAGATTTGGTCAGGTGACTTCCAAGATGTTAGATGTAATTTATTTCCAGTTTTCCTTCCAAGATGGTGGTTAGGTCAAAATGCCAACCATAATGCATTGTGCAAATGTCCATTAATCCCTTGCCAAGTGGCATCCTCTCAGTCAATCTCATCTATAGGGGAATAAATAAAAATCTGCAGAGTTAATCTTCACTGTCTTCTGGGCAACATCTTTAGTTGATGAATGATACATGAACCAATCTGAGAAATTTAGCCAGTTTCAGGCACCCAGTTTGTAAAAGGGACTCAAAGAAGGGTGAACCTCCCCCTCCTCCTCCTCCCCCCAATAAATATTATTTATTTGCTCACTGATGTTAGTAAAAATAATTTTATTAGAAAGAAGTTCCAGAACTTTTCCCTAGCTATGGGGCTTTCAAGAAAGTAATTACAGAATTTGGCCAAGCATTTAATGCGAAGGTACTGTATTAACAGATGTGATTTAAATGTTAAACTAAAACTTTTTGTTTTGGTTTTTTTTTTTTTTTGTTTTTTTACCCGACGAATTACACCAAGAAGCAGGGACATTAGCCAAAACCTGTGGCTGAGAAGGCAACAGTATTCCAGACATATTGGGTCAAATCTTTAGGTCATCTTTGGGATATATTAACAATATCTTTGGAAATATTTGAAACATGTACAGAAAAGTTTGGACTTCTGTGGGTTTGATTAGGTTCTCCATGAATTATGCTGATTACATGAGAATTAACAATTCATGAATTTGAAATAATGTTTCTTACTCTTTCCTGACGAGAAGAATTGTTGTTTTGTTTAGTTTGACTGCATTTTTTATTTTCTGTTAGGCTGGCTGGCTGGTTAGTCGAGTGGAATACACAAAGAAGGCTTCAGATAACCTAAAAATAGTTCTTATACATTTTGGAGCGGTATGTTGTGCTAATAATAGGAAATTGACATAAATTATGGAATCACCAAGAAATCGTCAGGCCGTAGATGACTTAGTGGGTATAATTGGAGCTGGTCACAACTTTGTCAGTTAAATCTGTTTTTAGTCCTGCATAGCTATGCATAGATTTATGGCCATCGAGCTTCTTGCTTGGGCCATAAATCCTATCTTCTCTAGATTGTATCTTTATTTGGTTTTTTGTTTTGAAGTAATTATATTAATCCTAAAACTGTCATTAATGTGATGAAATACCCTTGTGTTAATAGGATATGATGATGAGGACGTGTTATTGCCCTAACGTCCAGAAATACCAAGTAGGTGCATTATACAAATATAACAGTACCCAATTTTCAGTTTGGTCGGGCAGCTTTACATGTAAAGCCTGATCTTGAAGTATTCTTTTTTTGGCAGAGACGAGTTGAAGTTTTTAGCGAGGAAGGACAATTAAAAGAAGGAGAGGTATGTACACGTAGTTGTAAGTTAACTGCTGAAAAAAATCATAACAAAGAACTGAAGATCGATTACATTTTGATTAGAACCTTTTTGGTAGCCAAATAATTACGTACAAAAGTTATACAGTTATGAAGCTTTTTAAATCCCAGTCGTTTTAACCCTTTAAACCCTAAGAGTGACCAGCTTCTTATTTCTCCTCACCATATCACCCCTGAATCAAACATTATGGTCACGAGAATCAAGGAAATGATCACCAACTAAAAAAGCTCTCGAATGTTAAACAAATTATCCTTGTCAACGCCCAAGAATTGTACAGAGAACAGTACGGAGAATGTGCTTAATTAAACTTTCAAGACACAGTCAAACCTCCACTGACCGTCATCTCAACGCCCCACATCACTTCACTCTTGTTTTAGCCATTCTTCAATGGCCATCTCTCCGTAAGGGCAGTGACAAGGAAAGAAATTGAACAACAAGTTGATGTTTTTCCGCGTTTCGGTACGGAGTTAACAATTCACGTGCACTGAATGTGACGTGCGGAAAGCATAATTTAAGATAGGAAAGAATGGCTGTGAGGGAAGGTTTTACGCCACAATCGGGACTTATCTGTGAACTTATTGATGTAGTTAGTTAATGAAACTTTTCATTTGTCAGGGAAAAGTCAGGGAATTTAAGAAACTTTTAGCTGTCGCAACAAACCATAGGTTTCAAATAGAACTAACCATCAGGAGTTAGATATGTCTTTTCTTATAGACTCTTTTTTATGACCACAGAGAATGCGCTATAATATTGCCGGCCCTCTGTGCTTTTCTGGTGACGTAGTAAAGCGAGATGTACTTCTTCCGACGGTAAGTCACAAGTTATGTAAAATAATTGGGAACTCAGATCTGTTGACTTAGCTCTCGCTGTCTTATTTTTATCTTTAAATACCATGTAGCTTGAAAATTTTTATTACGATAACACCAGAAAAGTTAAGAAAAGTGATAATGATATGAAAAATTCTCCAAGTGTCAAGTTGTATTTTTCAAATTTTTGAACGTTCTCGAAGTACTACTGTATCCAAAGATCATTTATGTAACTCTCCTCGGTATAAGCTGACAAGTTAGAAAGTTTATTGTCAATCAGTGCTCTGTTGCTTATGCAAAAAATTGCAGGATTAGTTCCGTACGGAAATGATATTCATCTCAAAACTGGAAAACCTGGTTCTGCAAAACGTTAAACGTTACTAGTTCGTGAAAAAATTCCCACAAAACTTTCAGTTGCATGTTAACAATTACACTTAATCTTTTCTACCATACACCTTTGAAATTAAGGAGTGTTTCAGGTCAAGTGAGGCTCCTTTTTTCAGATTTCTTGACACTGTTTGAATTGTTCTTACTTATTTTGTCGCCAAGATCCTAAACCTGGCTTTTAATTTGTGACAATGTCCTCTAAATATGGATTAAACGAATTGGAAACTGTTATATAGTACTTAGTTTCTCTAAAGTGATGGAAATTTAATACACAGAAGTGTGCGTCTACCAGTCTGATGTAAAATGCAACTATTTAAGTTAACAAAGTTGTCATTTCTTAGGTTGAAGAAGGAGATTACCTCATTCTACATGATTGTGGTGCAAATTCCCTATCACTTTTTTCACGACATTGCAGTCGTCAAGCACCTGCTGTTTTAGGTAGGCATGGTCTTGATGATTTAAAGACCTCAAGAGTTTCACTTATTCATCTGTATTACTTTACATGGAAGAAAAATGAACTTGTTTTGTAGAGTCCAGTGGTAGTTTCTTTAAAAGGTTGATCTCAAATGCTGCTCCGCAAAGTTCAAAAAAGGCAACAACATTTGCTGTCGACGCGCGATGGGAAAATAAATGTGAGGGTTGTGAAATAAATAAACCCCGTTTCTAGCTTGCTGGTTCGTTAGTTGATGATGTCCTTGGCTGAGAGATCGTCTTCAAAATTTCACATCTGCTTTCGAAGCTTCGCTTCTCGGCCAAATATTGATCTTTCGGACAATCTTTCAGCCGCGCACATTATCAGCTGCCTGAAGGGGTTGACTTACCAACAAGTGTAAAGTTATTGAATTCTGCTTACTTGGTCTAGGTTATCGTGTGCTTGAGGATGGCAGCGTGAGCTTTGAAGTATTAAAAGTATGTTTAAGTTTTTCATGATCACAGATAAGTTTATCACATATGAAGTTTACAAGTGGCAATTATGAGCAAATAATTTTTTATCTCTGACTATTGTGTCACAAATTTAGGCCTTCTTTTAGTCTTTGATCTCAAGGTAATCCGTAGAGGTAAAGAAATTTACAATGGAATGTGGAGATTAATCTGGGATTGCCTCGGGTTTGCGTTATTTCGTCATGTGATTGGTCCAGAAAACGCACCCTTTTTCTGAACGAATCACATTGAAAACTTAACTGTGACTTAGTCGTTGTGTTACTCAGGAGTAACATTTGATGGTGTAGTCTGATCGCGTGGGTGAGGGTAGTCCTAAGAACGATTTTCCTTTGATGATGTCTCCGCTAAAGTTGTCGAAACGTCATTCACTACAGCGGAAATCAGTTCCTTCTCAGAGCTACTCCCGCGGATCAAACTACACAATAAAATGAGTCCATCACTCCCGTTTACCTGCGCCTCTGGCGGTTTTCTTGTCTTTACTTTGAGTCCTTATTGGTTCCTTGTAATATTTTCGTCCTGTTCTTATTGGCTGTTGTGATTATTTTGTTTGTTTTGTTTTGTAACAATTGAAAAGAGCTTCGTTGGGGTCAGCTTCAGCTGGAAAAATTTAGATTGGGTAGTGTGACATTTAGACAGAATTGCTCAGTTAATAGTCATCGTTATCCTCATTACCCATCTACATCTTATTGTATTAAGAAGTTTTAAGGAAAATTTTATAGACATTCCTCTTGCGGAGATTTAAATGTATATTTTAAAAACCTATCAATGGCTCTTTTGCAGAGTTAAATTATCCACAGGTCAAATAAATTTTATTTCATTTATTTATTAAAAATTTTTAACACGAATATATTATGCTCTCCATCTCCTCCCAAGCAGCCAAAACTAGAGCTGATTGGTTGTCTGATGATTATGACCAAAGAATTTGTTGTTGACTTGTTAAAGCCTGTTGAACCAGTTGGCATAACTACCATACTGTTGTGTTTTAGGAAGCTGAAACAGTAGATGATCTTCTAATATTTTGGAAAGGTTTGTTCCCTTTCGTAACCATTTACACGCTAAAATCAGTATGCATATACTTCATACTGTTTTCTACGCATTTCCTAAGGTGATGACAAGCTGAACTGATTTAACAATCAAGTACTTCTTTAGTCAGTGATCTTTTTCTTCATTCTTGTGATCTAAAGCAACATAGGGCTGATATTTTAAGGAGAAATTCGAAGCTAATCACTTGTTAAGGGTCAAAGAGTGAAGTACAATTTCAAGAATTAATTGACTGATTAGTAAGTTTTTACTCAAAATTACTTGTCGTCAGTAGGTGGTGTAAAAATTATTTTCAAATTAGTGTATGCCTAAACCTATTTGATGCGCTGAAGCTGTTGTAATTGGCCATATTTAGCCAAATGAAACCGCAGAATAGCCAGTAATATCTCCCGTCCACAAGCCAATCATACGATTTTAACACTATCTTTTTGAAATTGATAGGTAGAGAAATGTAACCAGAACCAGACAGGTGAACAGAAGTGTTATCTACAGATACAGAACTTGTACTGGCCACTTTTATATTTTTAATGAAGGATAGTGTGTAATTGGAAGGGCTTGACCCTCAAATAAATATGAATAAATGTTTGTCGTGTTCGGGAATGCAAGCCCGGCTGGGAACGCTTTCCACATTTAGAAAAAAATTTGATTTGAGGAAGGGGGGGGGGTGTGGTGCTGAGGCTCTCAAACCTTGAGCTTGTTCAAGAAAGAACCCCTTCATGTAATATTCTGCCATATTTTTGAGACAATTAACTGTGTAAATTATATATCGACCTCGGGGAATCTAGTGTGGCATCTTGAGACAGAATTCTCAGAATTCGATTTACAAGAACTTTTATCGCTCTCCATGAGCAAATTTGACACGGAAATTGCTTTACTATTTTGGAAAGACGGCATCTGAAACTCACGTGCAGTATTGCTGAATAACGTTCACATGATCCCCATCTTAAGTTCAGAAGGTAACGATGGATGGTTTCCTGTAATAACACTCGTGACAGACTTTAAATGTTTTTTCTTTTTATTTTGATTTAACATGCCAGTTGGGAGCTGGTCATTATGTTGGTTCCAAACAAACCCGTGATGTGATGAATAAATGACTGTGACTATATGAAAATCATATATGTGAACTGCGGATAAAGACGTGAATATGGTAGATGTTGGAAGAGCACCGCACCGGTATCACGGAAGTCATGGGTTCAAATCCCATACAGGCCTGAATTTTTTTAAGGCCTTGTTTTCACTACTGCTCAAGTAGTGTTCATTACTGCGAAGGTCACTTTCACATTCACATTTCCCTTCTTCTTGTGACGTTAATTTGTTATTCGGGGATGATATCGTAAGGATAAATGAGATGCTAGTCACTCTTAGGGGGGGAAAGAGTTAAGGAGGGTGGCATTGGTATTATCGGTTTTGCGGTTTTGGCTATTTTTTGGATCATTTTCTCGGTTTTTGTGCCAAGAAAACTTCCGTTTTTCGGTTTTTGTACGGTTCACTGCGGTTTGCGGATTTTCCGTTTTTAAGCACTTGGTTTTCGGTATTCGTTAAAGACACTAATGTGTTTTCGGATTTGGTATCCTATGCGGTTTTCGGTTTTTGCTATTTGGGTTTCGGTTTCTCTTTGATCTGAGTGGCAATTATGCGCCTCCACAGATCTTGAAAAGCCGCGAAACCTCTGTATGCTCCGCTTGTCACCACTGTATCGGATCGATTAGAGTGTTTATAAGTGGGATGTGAAAATTTATCGGTTTTGACGGTTTTGCATGCGGTTTTCGGTTTTGAACGAATTTTTTTTGCAGTTTTGCGGTTTTGGATGATTTTCTCTACGGTTTTGCGGTCTCTAATAGACTCGATCAATGCCCCCCTCGTCTAATACGAAATCACTATTACTGTCATCTTTAGCAGGATACACTAGAATACCCCTCGGCAATGGGCAAGCTTGTAAGTCTGCCTCAGCAACAGTAGGCCCAATCTCTGTCGCTATAGACGCCCATGATTCGACCTTCAGGTTTTTATAGAAGTGGAGTGTACGACAGTCTGTAGGTTCATCTTTTACACTTTACACCCTAACGACAGTATAGATATTCTCCATACTGTTCTCTATACATTTCCTTTGGCACCGACAAGGATAATTTGTTAAACAATTACAGCTTCACTGGTTGGTTATAATTTCCTTTATTCTCATCATATTACCTTAGAAACGCTTCAACAATGTAACTGAAAGGAGAATTTAGAAGCTGGTCACTCTTGAGGGTTTAAACTGTTAAGAGTCAACACCACACCATTGGTGCCAAGTCTCTTTTATCATTGCACAGAGCCCTTCTTGAAATAATTGCGTGATATCTTAAACATAACAGTTACGGCGAACCAGCGAAAGAAGTGAAAAAATTAAATTTTTCAGTGTACCCTCGGTCTTATGATCACTGGCGCGAAACTATTTGTATTTGCATTTATCTGAGAGTTTGCGCGCCCTCTGAGCTGATTAACCGAAAATTGACGAAGACATCGTGTGTATTAGCTTTGCCGTTGCCTTGCCATAGCCGTGAAATTTGGTGTCACCCATAACTTCATTGACAGGCATGAAACTCAATACATGTATTAATCATAAAAATGTTATGAATGACAAGGCAAACTCACGTGGGTGCGTCACGCAATTGCGTGATGCGTTAGATATGGCGGGAGATAGGCGAAGAACGGATTTTAACGCTTTCTTTGCAGGGGAGTTTTCATTGACTTTGATCAAACAGGCTCTGCAGCAGCACAATGGTGAATCATGCCGTCCTCGTCGTTGGCTATGGAACATACACTGGAAAGGACTATTGCCTAGTTAAGAACTCGTGGGGTACTCTTTGGGGAATGGAAGGGTGATGTCAAGGAACAGGAACAACCAGTGTGGAATCGCTATCTACGCCAGTTACCCAATCGTTTTAGAAACTTGAGGTTTGGATTCATTGATGAACTTTTACAATTTTAATCCATTTTTTATTTCACGATCAATGATTGTATCCAGACTGTCACAAAGACTGTTCAAGAAGATGGAAAATCAAGCATCAAACATGTCGAGTGTATTGACGTTTCACCCATGTTTTCTTTTTCATCAAAATGTCGGCAATTTTTTAAGCTGTCACAATGCTGTTGAAAAAAAAATTTAAAAAGCGAACGGAGACCAGTAGGAAATGGTAGACATAAGTTGAAAGTTCATGAAATGAGGGTGTGGCTACTAGTTTTCAAGAAGCCATTGACCATATATCATGCGCCGATCAACGCCCTCCCCGGGAAACTCACGGGAATTTGACCGTCGCCCGTTCCCGGAAATAAAATTTCAACCTTGGTGGGGAATTTCAACTGGAACCTGCAAGTCTTTCCAGCGGAATAAACGTGTTTTGTCTTTCAGTATGAAGGTGTTTTAAGAAAAAAATCACATCTGTGGGCAGATAGTTCAGAAAAAAGGGTTCACAGGAAAGTCACGGTCACTGAAGTACTAATCTTGCTTTTTACAAGAAAACTGAAGATCAATTCCAGCGCTTGAGTAGGGCATTTGTACACAACTTTGGCCTCGGCCTCGGGAGGCGGGAACTTGAACAAACCAATCGTCGTGCACAACAATATAAGTTCGTGACTCGTCGGAAGCTTTCGGAGCAATCTCACAAAATGACGCGAGAGAGCGGGAAATGTTCCCCTTGCGCTCGCGACAGGTGAAGGATACATCTCTCTTTGGTCATATGAGAGTAAGAGATATTTCCCGAGAGGATAAAAGAAGATACAACGTTTGAGTCCATTTGCCTTCGATGTAAGTTTCGTGTCAAAGAAATGTGAGCATTATTCCAAGGATACAAAGTTTGCATGAGGAATATAAAACTTTCACGAAGAATATGAAGTTCATGCAGGAAATTTAAATTTTGTAAGAGGAAAATAAAGTTTGTGCAAAAGGTAAATTTTGTGCGAGAATTATAAGCTTTGTACTAGGAATACAAGCGATAGGAATTATAAATGTTTGTTCGCTCCCAGCATATTGTTTTGCAGCTCAGTTGGTGGTGGCACCCTACCAATTTCTGGAAATTCGGGTTCAAATCCCGTCGAAGCCTGAATTTTGTTCAGGTTTCCTTTCTGCAATTTTTTTAATTGTACCTCGCCTGGGAAGAAAATTTTGTTTAACTTGTATGGCACCTGAAGGTCAAAAAGTTATTTATTTTATTAAATAGTGATATAGAGTTTGTGCAAATGGTGGGCCTTACGGGCCATCATTAAAAATAACACCTTAAATAAAAAATAAGGATGAGCAAAGTTCTGAATAAGGATCAAGAACAAAACACGTTTAAAGAAAGTGTACATGTGATGTGAATCATACGAGGCTTGTGCATGGATCGTGCCGTTCCATGGGTGTAATAATAGCTGACAACATCCACAGAAAAACCATCTCTAAATAGAGAACTCTTTAAAAATAAATCCATGACGGCATGCTTAATTTAGCAAAATGATATGTTCATCGTTTGCATGACGTCCAGGTTATTTTTTTTTTTTACCTTGCTTGCTTTTTATAGTAACTTCTCTTCAAGTTAACCTCTTCACTCTTCTCTACAGTTTAGTGGATCTTACTGACCAAATAGATTGCAGACATTTCAATAACTTTTTCCGTAAGCGGCTGCCGATGGTATAAACCCGAACACATTAGCCTACTCGCATGCTAAACATTTGGTGGTCAGAGGTCACCAAATAATGACGACCACGCCGTTGAAAAGAAGCCAAAATCACCCTGGCCTCGAGATTGCCGGTAAGCGGCTTCTAATGAAACCGCTGAAATTGGGATATTGATCTAATGAAAAAGGAAAAGTCATCTAAATTTTTTTTTGTTGAAATTAATGGGATTTTGTATTCGAGAATGGTTGCAAATTTGTACATTTTTATTCGATTTGGATAACCTGAGTTCATTTCTGTCGACTTTCAGTAATCTGGGAGAGCCCGAAACCAATCCCTACAAAAAACAGTTTTATGAGGGAGGAAGGGGAGGGAGGAAAGTTGGTGGACATAAGCTCGATATTCTCAGAAGTCGGCTGGCGGAGTTGGCTGCTTAATAAGAAGCAAGTAAGCAATTTTCTGCTGCTCAAATTGGCCCTTAAGTTATCTTAATAGCCCCATTTACTTTCTTAATAGTCAATGTGCTTTTCAAGAATTACGCTCTTCGTTATTTTTCATAATAGTATTACACTTGTGTCGGATGACAGAATTCTGTAAACTGTTCTAAACTCTATGCGATAATTTTGACTTTTTCTCAGACTGAAGTCAATCGTTTTGACTGACATTTCTGAATATTAGAGTCCGTCAACAAGACCATAAATGGGGTTGCTTGTCTGTACAAGAGCGATTATGCATACTGTATTCATGTCTGTTTTAGGTCGAGTTTATTCTTGGCCTCTTCGTGTCCCTGTTTATATGCCGGTTTGGTGACAAATGATGATTCAGCTGAAAAATCAAAACATGGGTGAATAAGGTAAAACAACAAACAGAACAGACTCAAACTGCATCATTTGGTCTTCAAGTGAACGCTCCATTTTAGCCGGTTAGATTTGGTTTCCATCTCATGCTTTTGGAAAACAAATCTTCTCAACAAGACAATAGAGACAAGACAATAGAGTTCTGAATAAAGACATAAACCAACCCTACCCCCCTACCCCCGTTGAGATCAATTCGCTGAATCACTAGATGTAGCCGTCTCGTGACTAAGAAACTGATCCTGTTACCACGAGGATATCTCGTGACTTCTGTCTATAAATTGCTAGCGTTTTTTTCTTGTAGACCATCGTGGCCGTAGCTTAGCTATTGTTCAGTGGTAAAGATGAAGGCTGTTCTTGCAGTTGTGTTCTGCCTGTCCGTGGCAAACAGCGCTGTGCTGAAGTTTCGCGAATATGAGGAGCAGTGGCAGGCATGGAAGAGCTTTCACGACAAGAGTTACCAAACAGATACCGAGGAACAAGCTCGTTATGCGATCTGGAGAGACAACTTAAGGGTATGTCATTCACGCATGAAATATTATATTCTCCTTAAAAGAGGCAGTTCTTACTGCCAAAACCATCCAATAAACCTTGCTAGATTCATCGGCGGCGCATAGATTTCACCACAATTTTATCTAATATTTGTGGTCGAGTGAACTAGTATGCCCCATGCAGTAACGCTTCAGTGCTTATTCTGATTTCGCAGTATTTATTCGCCCTAAGGTAAATTGACGAGAAGTCGTTTGGTAGACTCAACCAAAATTCAAACAGCGATGTATATCTCAGAATAGATATTTGCTGTCGTGGTTTCTAATATAGTACAAGTTTATGAGTTTTGTATTTTGTACTCATTTTGTATTCATTTTCGCGCTGTTTCGTAACAGTTCATCGTCCTTCAGCCGGCCTACTCGTGCGAATGAGTCTATTGTAGTTAAGGCATGATTCAGCTATTTACGCATGTTCTCTTTATCATGCCCAACTCTTGGCCTTGCTCAATAAATCTTGCGATTATCTGCGTGATACTTTTGTTTCTTCTAAACGGGAATGCCGTTCAATAAACGATTGATCGCCTATCATCGTTCCTGGCACCGAAAGCTCTGACGTCATGCCTCAACTAAAGCCGGCAATCTTTTATTCCACCTTAGGACCATTGTGCTCAAATTTTATTCAATTTTGACCGAAAGTTGCATATCTCAATAAATTACGTGCATTTTCGAATTCTTCCCTATGATCTTTGGTTTATTCAGACCTGTAGTTCATTAAATGCTTTCTTTGAAGAAGCCTATTGTTTCCTTTTGTAACAGCAGTTTCCGGTGTTACTTAAAGGGTTGCCATGTGTCAAGTAAATTAAATTAGGATACGCTACGCACTAGCTAGTGACAAATTGCACTTCACGATCTATGCTTTCCAATCTCAAAAACTTTCGTCCCCGCCGAACCTTGAATCTGGTAATTGCGAGCGCGCTTAAAATACCCAAAGTAATCTAATAACCACAAAATGTCGATCACGTCGACTTCAAGTTCCGCTCGCGGGAGAGCATATGTTTTCATATAACGTTTCATTCTCGAAGGAAAATGCTGCCTGGTCACACAATTGCTTATGTCTTGTTTTCTTTTGTCGTCTTTCGTGGTCGTTGTAGTCTGCGCTATTCTCCATCTTCACAGCCCGATTATCGTGTAAAACTGATTATTTATGCAGGCTTCTTCAGTTGATAGACATTTTCTTCAGGATCAACGCCTGCAAAGTGTCAAATCTGACAGCTTTGACGCTTGAAAAAAAGTTTCCTAGCTGCGAGGTCCTACATTTAACATTTGAAATTCGGTAATTTTAGATTTTATGATGATGGTTCCGTTGCAGGTTGCAGTGAAAGGGCGTTTTATTTTAGCTAAAGAAATAATTTCACAAATAACAACATCGCTGTTAGAAAAGGTATTTTGCCATTGTCTAGTTGCTTTCATTTCTCTCCTCTAAATGATTTTTCTTTGTTTTTTTGTAGAAAGTTCAACAACACAACTCCGAGGGACACTCTTACACCCTGGCCATGAACCAGTTCGGTGATCTGACAGTCGATGAATTCCGATTTTACTACCTGGGACTTCGCTCTCACTACTCCAATGAGACTAAACGTCAAGGATCGGCCTACCTCCCTCCCAGTGGAGTAAGCCTCCCCCCCACAGTGGACTGGAGAACTAAGGGATACGTTACCCCAGTAAAGAATCAAGGTAAGTTTGATCGTGTCTTTTTTTTTTAACTTAGCTCCTTCGACTTTTTACCTTAAAGCTAAATGTCTTGTAACAAGTCGTATTTTCTATTTACTCACCGATCTGTGAAAGCCCTCTTGATGTCCCTTTCTTTTTCACTTAGTTTCATTCGCTCGATTGACCTCCTCGCTTAATGTCACAATCATCTGATTTTTCATTCACGAGGAAAAACAGCAAACGAAAATTCAGCCTTTCCTCGCAATCCTTGAATCTGTTGCAAACTCATGAAAATGAGGAACTCTGAACCTGTCCAATTTTTTGCAGAAAAAAAAATGTCTGCACCTCAGCTATAGGTACATATTCCTTCAACTAACCATTTTTCAATATTAGGGAATCAAGGTTTAAGCATTTTGTAAACATTTACAACTTGGCATGGAAATTTATGTATTTAGTAGATAATCATGTATCTACCACAGGAGACGTTCGTGAAATTGTGTACATTTAAAGATAATTTCGCATAGATCATGTTGGTGATTTGTGCCTATTCTTTGTTCTGTTTTAGGTCAGTGTGGTTCTTGCTGGGCGTTCAGTACAACAGGATCACTTGAGGGACAACACTTCAAGAAAACAGGAAACCTTGTCTCACTTAGCGAACAGAATCTGGTTGACTGCTCAACTAGCTTTGGAAATCACGGTTGTGAGGGAGGACTTATGGATTACGCCTTCCAGTAAGCGGCGAAAACTGAATATTTGTCACCCTTAAGGAGTTGCTACACAAAAAATACTGTTCCTGCCGTTAATTTAATCACAGTTCAGGGCCTTTTCCACCAAACTAATCTCCGCGTAAACTGGGAATTATCAAAGAAAATAGTGTACAGCCTGATATCCATATCTGATATTTTTTTCACTCCGTTAGCCGATGTACATTTCCTTTTACATTACTGGAAAGAATATGATGCTAAATTAAATGAACACCCTCCGGCTGATCGAACTGTCCATTTTTATTTCCTGTTTGTAGAGTAATATACTGAGATTGTGATGAGAATCTACATGTTAATCCTTTCTGAGAGTTAGTGGGTTATGACGTGTTGTCATCAGCTGAATCGTGGCTTGAGATTACATCATTGAATATTCTAGATAATCGCGGAAAATATCCTCAATACAGTTTTCTTGTTTTCCAATCTCGGATTTGCATGAAAACGGTAAAGATCTTGCGTTTCTAGCCATGTAAGCTTTATCTTTGTATTGAAGAGTTCTTATGCTATTCATTACTTTATTATTTTTCAGGTATATCAAAGCTAATGGTGGTATCGATACCGAAGCAAGCTATCCCTACACAGCCCGCGATGGACGCTGCAAGTTCAAAGCAGCTGATGTTGGTGCTACTGATACTGGTAAGGGAAAGGCAACGAATCATCATCGGCGGTTCGTGATGATTCTCGAACAGCCGATTGAACGAGAGTATGCCGATGTTTGCCATCGATGTTGCGCAGGACTGGATAAAAAGCAGATATCTTTTCTCAATCATAATATTCAGGTCTTCGTAAGGCGCTTTATTTATCAATTTATTTATTCATGTAATTTTTGGTTCAAAAAATAAGTCTATGGTGGCGTTCCTGTTAGGTTACATGGATGTCAAGCGAGGAAGCGAAGCTGATCTTCAATCCGCTGTGGCCACAGTCGGCCCAATCTCTGTAGCCATAGATGCTAGCCACGGTTCATTCCAGTTATACCACCAAGGAGTCTATGACGAGCCGTAAGTACATTTAGAACTATTTTATATGACAAGATCAAACAGCAGCTGCATAAGAGACTGGCACTATTAGTGCCATACCCTCGCAGACCTCTAGCCAGCTCGCTTTGCACGAGGCTTCAAACTTTCTTGCGGACGAAGAAACGTTGGTCAGCGTCAAAAGTGAAGACTTGCTGCTCGTATGCTAATATTATGTATTTTTTTCATGTATTGTTTCTTATAAAGGCCGTTAAATCACGCGATACCGACGCTTGAGAACTCGCTTCGATTTTCCTCATGTGACAGTGAACGTCATAAACGAAATTTAACATATTAACATCGTAAAATTTGCCTTACAGTGCCTGCAGTTCTACATTGTTGGATCATGGTGTGCTAGCTGTTGGTTATGGAACATACCAAGGACAGGACTACTGGCTGGTGAAGAACTCCTGGGGAAAGGGCTGGGGCATGGAAGGTTACATTATGATGTCGAGGAACAAGAACAACCAGTGTGGAATCGCTACCAGTGCTAGTTACCCACTTGTTTAATTCACGTGCCTGTTGAGTGGACCACAATCTACTCGGCTTTTTTACTTCAAAACGTACCCCTTTGAATTCAACATAGTGTAACACGCACAAAGAATAGGAGCAAAATTATTATGAATTTGTAGGATAGGTAGTCCAATCTCGCTTTGCGATTGTAGAAACTGAACGCAAATTTTCTTCCGAAGTTCCAATGGCATGAATCAGTCATGTATTTGGAAGTTTTCTTTTTTCATATTTTATTTTGATGATGGGTGTTATTTGCTTTATTTTCTTGTTGTCGCACTAAAGTAAATTAAATGAATGGATTTTATCATAGTTGGTCTCTTGATTAAACGCATTTTCGTCTTACTCCCGGCTCCCCCCATTATCTTTTTAGACAATGCACTGTTCCTCCCTAAACGTTGAGTGTCATGCGCAAACCTAGTGTGAACAAGACAGCCCCCCCCCACCCTCACCTTTAAAACGTTGTCGTAGTGTTTAAAAAATTCGAATGAGACGTCGGTGAAGAACCCTCCTATGTTGAGAAAAGAAAAAAATTGCTTGTCGCCTGAGTCAATCAAAAGACAAGACAATCTTAAAATAGTCATGCTGTTAAACCTTTCCACTATAACATCAGTATCCAAGTTCTCCATACTTTCTCTGTTTAATTCCTATGGCACTCAAAAAGAGAGTTCGTCAAACAATCTCTACATCGATTTTTGATTCAGAGTGATATTGCTCGGAGGAATTAGATGCGTATCATTCTTAAGGGGTCCAAGGGTCCAGAGACTACCAGATAACTGAGACCATTACTTTCCCATAGCTGCATGAGACCAAACCACGTCAGGATCGGTGATAAAAACTGTGGTTAGAAAAGAGAACTATTCCATCATTTAGCCGAAACCTTTTACTACAGGGACAATCAAATAAACCCTACAGGAGCATCCAGGAAATCTCCGGTGAATTACTGCCGATGCCTCAGGCGTCCATGTGGACGTGACATGCATAGCATGCCGGACTAGGTGCAAGTTCAGTTGGTTTGCCTGTTTTTTTTCGGTTCTGAGCTCCTAAACCTTTTTCGAATTTCGAATTTCCTCAATGATGACCCAGATAGCCTTTTACCGAGGCTGCAAAGCTATCACCTGAAGTGGTCTGAAATCCTGGCTGGATTGCCCAAGAAGAACGTTTAGTGTTTACATTTGGGAGTTTTGCTGACAAAAATCTCGCGTGACAGGGTAGCATTGGTTTTTCTCAGGTGTCAAATTCCATGCGTGACACAATTACGAAAGGTCGGCGAACAAATCTCTAAGGATCTGCAGACCCAGTAGTCGCTGTCTGATTCAGTCCCAAAGTTTTATTTACAGACTCTTGCTTCATACCATCTAAAAATCGGACCAGATATTGTGAGGTAAAATGAACTACTTGTGCGTTTTTCTGCTGTGCGCTTCCTTTGCAAACTGTTTGAACCTATCGCCTGCGACGTACAAGCAGCACTGGCAGAAGTGGAAGTCTTTTTATGGCAAGGAATACGAGTCAGAAATTCATGACAATGCCCGCTTCTCAATATGGCAGAACAATTTAAAGGTGAGATGAATTAACATTATAAATATAGAACACGAAATCCTAAGAAGGGGGTGTTTTTTTTTCCAATAATGTACGCGAAGATAACCACATGACAAACTGAAGGGTCGAAGAACCATCGGTGATACGGGGGGGAGGGGGGAGATGGAACACTGCTCGTATCACGCAAACCTTAATTAAGTAGATGATTTTTCCGATTCAGCTTAATAAAACATAGTAAAGATTTTCACTGCTCTCTGAATTCTTAGGCATTATTGATCAGGTGAACACTTCCTGTGTTGCTATCTGCAAACAAAAATTAGTGAGTAGGCGCCAGATAATCCAAGTGAACGACTAGTAACTTCTTTTGCAAAATAAAATGTAAAAGAAAAAAAAAATTAATTTTTCTTTCAGTATGTTTTAAAGCATAACTCAGAAGAACACTCCTACACCTTGGCCATGAACCAGTTCGGTGATCTGACAGTCGACGAATATCGATCATTTATCCTAGGAGTTGGTTCTCATTTTCCAAACGAAACAGAACGTCGCGGTTTTACCTCTCTTCCTTTTAGTGAACTGACCCTACCCCCCACGGTAGATTGGAGGACGAAGGGATATGTCACTCCTGTCAAGAATCAGGGTAAGTTTTGAAACTTCAAGTTTGTTGGTTTCCCTTGATTTCACGATCGCGTTGTTTTTCTCGGTATCGGCTGCCAGTCGAAAAAGAAAGCAAGCACAACAGCAATAAGAACAACAACAAAAACGTTGCACAAAAAATGTTTGTATACAAATTGAAGGTCGGATGTAATTTGGGGTGGCACTCTTCGTTCTAGTATTATTGAAGAAAAAATTGCATCGGTCTCACAACAAATCAAATGCGAAACAAAAACCAAACGCGGCTTGGTCACAGACGTGTTACTGCTCTTGAGGCAGTCTGCTTTTTACTTTGCTTTTTTCTCTGAATTGTCATTGGTTACCAATTCAACCCGCTTTTTCATACGTGTTGCTCCACCTGATGTAGCTTGGCTGCGTTGCCACAATTTGACTTTCGTTTGCAATTTTTTTTTCCTGCTAGGTCAGTTGGGTGCTTCATGGGCGTTCAGTGCCACAGGGTCACTGGAAGGACAACATTTTAAGAAAACAGGAAAACTTGTCTCTCTTAGCGAACAGAATCTACAAGACTGCTCTGGATGTGGCAAGGTGTCTCCTCCCTTGATGGGATTTATAGACTGTGCATTCTTGTAAGCCAACAAGGTTATTTCTTTTTCTTTGTTTCTCGCGCCGTCTCTGGTAACTTAAATCCAGTGTTCGGTCGGAGGTCAAATTGAACAGTGAAGTTCAATTATCCTATTTTATTACATGCAGCCATGACGGTGCAAAATATATTTGAGCCAGGCAGTCGAGGTTATTTTCAAGCCTAAGACGAGAAAAATTGACATATTTCGAGGTGAAGCAATTGAATATCGAACTAGCAAGGGATTGCGTTAGTTTTGCCGTGCTAACTGACTAGTCCAGAAACATTCCCCTTGCAACTACTTGGATGCAAAATTCTAAAAAACAACAGTAACTCGGTCGTCAGAGATTTTCAGACCGCCTTTCCGATTGGTTCTTTGATGTATTCTTCTCTGATTGGCTGTCGCTATTACTCTAGTTTTGTTTCACGACACGCAGTGTAAGTGCGCTCGAAACATTTGATATCAAAATAACGGCGCATCGCGAATATAGCATATGTATTCAGCTGCAATTCGACAGGCACTTTTGCGTCTGTCGGTTCTAACGCTCGTGGTTAACAGAGTGGTTTTTCAGTTTCATGGAGGAAGCCGAGTTTTAATTACTCTTTCAGATATGTCAAAGAAAACGGTGGCATAGACACCGAAGCCGGTTACCCGCATCCATGTCCAAAGAGTTGTTGCTTTGAAAAAGCTTATATAGGTACCACCTGTACTGGTAAGTAAAATGCACAGATCGTGGTTACCGAAGATTTCTGATGGTTATCGATGAATTTACGAAAGACAGGCCAAAGAAGAGTGGTTTTTATAATGACAAATGTGTTTATTTTTCTTTCTCTTTACTTCCCTGTTTCAATCAGGTTATGTTGATATCCAGCAAAGAAGCGAGTTAGCTCTTCAGTCTGCTGTGGCCGAAGTGGGTCCCATCTCAGTGATCATCGATGCCAGTCACGCTTCATTCCAGTTTTATCACAGTGGGGTGTACAATGAACCGTAAGTGATTCATAATAAAGTAACACAGCTCTCATTTTAGCTTATGGCAGGAACTGTCCCTTATCAAGATGTTATAAAGTTTTTAATATCTCGCCCCCATCTATGTACTGTCCGTTTGTCAGTTGATGAGCTGTTCATGTCAGGATATGAGTCTGTCAGTCAATCTAATTGTCTGACTGTCTGTTCCTCGGCCTTCAGTTTGTTTGTAAGTCATTCTTTATTTCAATGTCAGTAAGTCAATCAGGGTTTTTCACCTGACTAGTGTTCTTCCCCTTTGTTGTGTTTTTTGCCGTTGATCAATCTGCCTATTTTTCCAGCCTGTCAGTCAGTCATTTAATCCGTCTGTTTGTCTGCTTGCCTGTCTTTCCGTCTGTTTGTCTGTCTGTCCTTCTGTCTGTTTGTCTATCTTTCTGTCTGTCTGTTCGTCTGTCTCTCTATCTGTCTGTCTGACTTTCTGTCTGTTTGTCTGTCTTTCTGTGTGGCTGTCCTTCTGTCTGTCTGTCTTTTATTCTGACTGTCAGTAGGGATAAACTAGTCCACTCCAACTGGCTGCTGGCGCAAGCGGCAATTGGCAAAATATTGTTCGCAATTTCAAAAATTTTCCTGGATCATTTACGAAGAATCTTGGATCACAACTAACTTTTGGGTGTTTCAGAAAAAATGTTATTTTGTAGACAATTACTTAATCGGGGTTTGTCTTGAGATAATTTTTTTTGAGGATTTATTTCAAAAAGAGAGTTTCAATGTAAATTTTTGGATTAAAAAAAATACTTTTGGTATAAAGCCGCGGTTGCCTCCTGTCGTAAGTCAGATCTTTTCTTTCATGGGTGCGAAATCGAAAAATTCCTAAAGTAAAAAGAAATCATACCAAAATTTATGTTATTTCAGTGCCTGTAGCAGTTATCAGCTGGACCACGCAGTACTCGTTGTTGGTTATGGAACTTACCAAGGACAGGACTACTGGCTGGTGAAGAACTCCTGGGGAAAGAGCTGGGGCATGGAAGGGTACATTATGATGTCGAGGAACAACAAAAACCAGTGTGGAATCGCCTCGAGCGCCAGCTACCCTCTTGTTTAATGGAAACCTGTGAAAGACTTAAAATAATGGATCTGCAATTTTTTTTATTTTCAATAAAATATATATTTTTTTATTTTCAATAGGCGACCTTTAGTCTTCAAGAGTTAAAAAAAAAAAAATAGTTAACAAAATATGAAACAGGAAAATTACCACTGTTACAGTTCTGAGAAATAACTGTTCTGATGGACTTTCTCAGCGAATTACATATCTTTCCGAGGGTAACTTTCCTCCGTGATTCACCAGTAGAGGCGTCATTAATTTTTTTGCCTGATTTTTGCTTTTTTCAGGCGTCCGTGGCGTCTTCCTCTCGCTCAAGTTTTCTTTTTTATTTTGCGCCTTCACACTCGCGCAAAGTGACACGCCTTTGGCGTTTTTACACGCTATCTCCTGAAAAGCGCGAAAAACAAAACAACTCTGGGAGTGAGGCAAACACCAATTAGCCTCAGTTTTTTTCGCGCCTCGCTCCCAGAGTTCTATGCGAAGCGCTTAACTCGCGCAGTACTTACACATATGAAGCTTTACAAATAAAGAAATAACTAAGTAAAGGAATATAACTGAAACTTTGAAATAGATGAAACCTTTAATAATATTCGTCAATTGTCTTCCCTTTTTCAGTCCCCTTACTTATTTGTTTGCGCTCAGGGCTTTTTCCGAAACGGAAAAGTAAATATTAGTGCAGTGTCACGCATGGGCGAATACAAAATATCTCTCTAGGTTCGAGAGTAATCTGGGTCTAGCTTAAATAACGGAAGAAAAAAATCATGGCGTTGGATGGTCAAGTGACTTTTTTGTCAACAGAATCGTCATGGGATCCTCGGAGACCAAGAATTCCAAGAAGAAGCCCGAGGTTTAGAATGGACGTGGAAGATGAAGAGGAAAGTGGTAACGAAAGAAATCAATCAAATATGGGAATGAGAGCACCGATTATTGGTTATGAAATAGTAGATAATCGTCAGAAATTTACGGTACGTTTGGGCATATGACCTGTTTATATTGCTTTGATTTTCATTTGTTTTCTTGGTGGATTAATTTTCTTGATTAAGTTTAGCTGGCTCAGATATATGATCTATAAGAGTAAAGAGAGCATCGTTTCAGCACTCGCTACTTTCTACAGAACCTGATACTTTTCATTTCCTGTAACTCACTCGTACTCGTGACTTTGACCTACGACATGATCAGCTTTGATTTAATGATGGCCGAACAAAAAGCGCGAACCTAAAAAAGTGTTCGGTGTTTTCTCCTGAACAAATTGTTAAAATCTCAATTAAAATCTCTCTTATCAAAAACTATGATGGAAGATTATGATGTAAAATGGATGTGAGCTTAACTGTACACTTGATGTACATTGTACATCAATACGCACGTTAATGTTTTTCTTAACAATGCAACTTCGTGAAATATTTGAAAATGAAATAAGCTTCGGTTCAAGTAAACTGCGTGAAAGCACACCTATGTTTTTATTGTCAACAGGTGTCAGTATCCCTCTGTATAGAAGAGAGATTACTTCCAATGAAAAAGTTTTTTTTTTAAGTTTGAAACTGATTTGAGGAATTTAAAGCACTAAAAATGAACCCAATGTAAGTGGATATCAACATGAAAATCTGATGAGTGAGTCATGGTGACATACCCTCTTGGAGAAATCCAAGCTGTGCTCCTGTTGAATCAATTATCAATTACCCTATAGAACCACTTGAGAAAATCAGAGGTTGCAGTTATGCTAGGGATGATCACTGAGAATAGTCTCCAATTCTTTCATTAATTTAATGTATGCGTAAATCTAAACATGCTCAATAATTTTACACAATGCTCAATACTAGCACAATTTGTCATTATTTCCAGTCAGTCTTCCTACCGTTTTATCATGATTTGTTTCAATACACTTTTTTGGATTTTTCTTTTTTTTTGCTAGGTTTACAAGATTGAAGTTAAAAGTCAAAATAAAAGTTGGTTTGTATTTCGCCGTTACACTGATTTCACAAGGCTAAATGAAAGGGTAAGTGGTGGAGTTAACCCTTTATACCCTAAAATCAGTATCCATATTCTCCATACTCCTCTTTATGTATTCCCTTTAAAACTGACATGGAGAATTTGTTTAACAATCAAAGCCTCTTAGGATGGCAATAATTTCCTTTGATTTTATGATCTTATAAATGATTCAGTAGTATCCCTGTAGGGAGAAATTAGATGTAGGGCATTAGTAGGTTGTAAAGAGTTAGTAGTGCAAAACCATAACTTGCAGAGGGGAAATCGAGAGTGACAGTCAACATTAAATCAAAGTGTGTGGGTTTACCACTCATGGAGATATAAGCTAAGGCCTGAGTATGAACACCATACCTCTTGAAAATCTTACCACATTTCAGATGTAATGAAAATTTACTTATCTCTTTAACTCTCATGAGTGACCAAGACAGAATTTCTCCTTACAATATCAATTCAATATCAAGCAGATAAGTGATGAGAGTAAATAAGACTATCAATTTGGGAATAATTAGTTGATCCAATACTAAATTCTCTGAACTAACATTGTAAGAATTGTATGACTGACAGTAAGGAGAATTATAAATCTGATCTGGGGGTTAAAGGGTTAATTATGATTGGGCAATTGAATGTGTAACATGGTCAAGTGAAAAAAGCAGACTGCTTCTAACAGTGGATCAAAGCTAAATCAACAGGAAACTAATAAGATCCAGTTTGATATGGGCAGTCAATAGGCTGAGCCATTCCTAAGCAAGATTGTAGTCAGGTTTGGAGGGAGGAAACATTTTCAGATTCCTGCAAAGTGTTCAAATGGTTAGTTGCAAAGGAAAAAAAGTTATTAAAAGAAAGAATTGCTTGCTGAAAGTGTTGGGGGACACTTAATTATGGTTTAAGATGGTGGATAGTTTATTATTTAGTTATTTTTTATTTACAGTTGAGAGATGCTTTTCCAGAGTTTCAAATCAGGCTTCCTGGCAAACGCCGGTTCAAGGACAACTTTGATCCAGGTATAACAGATTCTGAGAATCAAAAAAATTGGAAGAATTTTTAGTGTATAGTTGTGTTGTATGGTGCATAGAATATAGACATGATATTTAAATTCCATATAATCAAATTTTTTAATACTAGCAAAGTAAACAAAAAAAAAATTTATTTCAAATGTGACCCTGACTGAGATTATCTTTAGGAGTTGGCAGCCTCCAAAATTTTCTTATTTTGCAAGGATCTGCCCAGTTTTTAAATAAATGTGTCCATTCAGTTAGGTATATCTAAAGGGCTCAGTTGTTCAAAGGTTGGATAAAATCATAGTGCTATCCTACATCTGAATTTCATTGTCAACAAAATTTATTTCACTATCAACCAGATAGAGATCTGTCAAGTGGACAGCACTACCCACTTTTGAACCCTTTAACTCCCAGAGGTGATTAACATGTAATTTCTCCTTATAATATCCATATATTATCCAGCAAACTGGTAATAAGAATACTCAAACTTATCAAGTAGAAGTTGTTATCTTGATCTAACACCAAATTCATGTAACTAACTAATAGGGAAATGTGTAGCAGCTAGAGGGGAGAATCTACAATCAGATCTTGGGAGTTAAAGTGTTAAACAACAGGGGCTAGATCCATAAATTATATATTCATGCTGCTTGTACTTACCAGTAAGTAAAAGCTCTGAGCGTTCAACAAAAATTAAGTAAAAGTAGATAAAGAAAAACTGCTAACTTGTTTTCAGGATTAGCAGTACCTTTTATAAATGTTTTGGAGGTTACTAGGAGAACCTTTTAAATGTTATGTATTGTATTTGCTTGCAGCATTCATAGAAGACAGGGCAAGAGGACTGCAATTTTTCATCAACAATATGATGAATCACTCTGAAATATGTAACAGGTATTGTTTACTCAGAGTGCTATTTGTATGAAACTATGTCTGTGTTTTACCCCATTTCAAACTGTATTAAAAAGTATTATTTCCCTGACAAAATTTAATACTCTTGTAATATATGTATTTTGGCTCTTTTTGAAGAAACAGCAAAGATCAAGTTATTTTTCAGCACTTTATATTCCCTTAATTTATCTATAGTACCACATAGTATAGCATCTAAACAAGTTGAACAGGACATAACTGACTAATAATGTAATGGCTACATTGACACAGGTGAGGTAAATATGGAAATTCTTCCTGGTCATAGAAATGTGTAGGAATTTTATGTTCAATTTGAATTGTGGAAAATTGAAATTCTGACAAAAAAATTCAGCAAATATCAACTGGTGTGTGTGAGTGTGTGTGTCCATGGTATAAGACCCTAATTATCCTGTGTGAATACGCAATGAGTGGCTGTCCATCTTTCTAGATCGCTATGGTTATTACAGGTGGCCTGACCTCCTATTTGTCTCAGTCAAATATATTTCATTTTTTTAAAAAACCGTTGTAGATGTAATAACATCAATTTCAGTTTTCTTATCTCATATTAATACCATCACAGGAAGAAGAGGTACTAAATAAAGATGATTATTGAAATAACCAACTAAGTTATTGTTTGCAGTCATGAGGTACAAGAGTTCTTCTGCCTGAATGATCCTCCTGGACCTTATGACAGCTTGGAAGAAAGCAGAGTGAGTTGGAATGATTAAACACTTTGATAGGATTTTATTGACAAGTCAGTTAATAAGTAGCAAAAACAAGATGCTGAAGCATATGGCAGTGTCACATTTTTTCTAATGTGGAAATGGCTCACTTTTTCTATTTAAACAATAATTTTTCAGTCTTTGTTACTCTTTGAAAAATACTTGAAGCTTTAAAAGGTTTATACTTTTGTAATGGTTTACTTAACACTTTAATTCAATCTTGTATTCATAGTTACTCTAGCTCTAGAATTTTAAACTTTTCACTCCCAAAATCTCATCAGTAATTGTCCTTGCTGTCTGTCTCACTTTACTTGTAATGTTACTATAGGAGCTTGGTGTTGGATCAAATAATCATCACCTAGTTTATATTTTTCTTTATTCTTATCACCTGCCTCTTTGATTTTGTATCAATGTTGTAAGGAGAAATTAGTTTCAGATCATTGCTGGTAGTGAAAGGTTTATAGTCTCTATGATTATAATGGTGTTTTTATTAGGCTTACTGTCAACACTTGGAAAACCAAGCTGAGGACTTGAAACAGAAGGTGGATGAACTAACGGCAGACCTCAAAATGACAAAATCACAGCTCTTACAAGCACGAGTGCAACAGGAAGCTCTTGTAAGTGCTCTTAGATCAGAGCGAACACTGAGAAAGCAAGGATTGAAAGGAAATGAAAAAGATTCATCCAGGACCGATGAATTGATAGAGAAAAGTGAAAAAATGGCACATGTTGATAGTCTAAAAGGAAAAGTTTGCCACTTGTTGTCAGATTATCAAACCAAAAGCAAGGGAAGGGTGTCAAGTACCTCAGAAAATGAACCTGAACCTGGTGAAGATCAATCATTTTGGGTGGGAAGTGTGGAGATTGCAGAGCATTCAGATGGAGCTGATAGAATGAGGTCATCTAATCTGGCCAGGCGGCTTTCAACTGAGCAGAGAAATCCTCGCACATCCACTCCTGTGTCTAGTCATAACAGCCCAAGCTGTCTGGAACCTTTGCAACAGGATAATCAAAAAGACCTTGGAGTATCTCAACAGACTGATGAAAAGAGTGAAAACTCAGAAGTGTTGCAAAGTAGTAGTGAGAAAGGGGCAATAAAGGAAATAAATAACACTGAGGGAACTGCCAAACATCCATCAAACAGGAAGTCAAGAGATCAATCCAGTAAAAGAGACAGTGGAATAAGTGTTGATACCTCACCAACGCCTAGCACGTAAATTAATTTTATTAGGGGAATTGTAAGTATGAGGTGGATTTTTGGAATCCTCATAGATTGTGTATTTGAGTGTAGTAGTACATTCTTCTAAACAGTCTGTTTTGTAGTTTATGAATTCCTTCTGGGGAATTCTTTAGTGGATTTTTAAGTGTAATTCTGCTAAGTACTACCCCAAATGGAGCTAAGATGAAAAATTTTTAGAATTAGTTTTAGGTATTTATGCTTCTGGAATGATTTTTTTGAATGTGTTGAGTTGCAATCTTTTTCCTTTTCAGGGAAACTGAAATTTTCTTGTTTAGTTTGTATCATTTCTGTTCAAAGCAGCTTTAAGGAAAAAAAACCTTTTCCAATCAGACAAAAAAATGAAACTGGCATTTTTTGGAGCGTTTACTACTTTCAATAAACTCTCTAGGGGTAATCAACACTGAAATATTAAATGCCTAATAATTATTTGGCAAATTCCCAGGCTTATAAGTTGCCAAACACTAGTTAGATTTAAATGTGCCTTAAAACTTGGGCTTCCAATGCAAAAGCTCAAGTTTAAAATTTGGTTGCAGCTGTAGTCTATCTTCCTAAAAGGCACTGCCAGCATTTCTGTGCACACCCTACTTATCTAAATAAAACGATCAGCCAATGAGCTTTAACTGCTCAAAGGATCTATTTTCCACATCAGATTGCAAACAATCAAAATGATTCACAACAGTATTGAGCTTGCACCTAAACTTGAATTTGCTTTGTTCAACAATGCTTAGAAAAATAATTTTTAAGATGAAAATTCATGTGTTTAGGTGAGGAGTGATTAAAAGAACTCAAAAAAAGTCAATTAGAAGATGTTTTTAGTCTCACTGCATGAGATTGCTCTGAAAGCTCCCAACTGAAGAAAAATGTTTGTTTCATTTTTAACATTTTTTGAGTGTCAGCTGCCACTAAGATTGCAGTTGCTTTTACATGACTGTATGATATGGTTTAAATTTTCTCTTTACAATTTAATGATGATGGTTAACTAGTTCCCATTGGAGGAAAACAAATACCTACAGTTCAAAACTCAATGAACATAGCCTAATGCATTTAAAGCTGCAGTATACTGTTCATATGCATTAGTTGCTATTATTGATCGTAGTTGAGCATAGCAGGAGCAATCATGGGTTGAACTATGAAAGTTTTAGGTTTGTAACAACAGCCATAGGCTTTGGTAAATAAATATATTTTAAGAGAAATATTGAATAGAGCATATGCACTTAAATAAAAAGCAGAATACTTGTTTACAGAACAAAAGGAAATGTTTGTATGAATTAAAATTTAACTTCAGCATGATGGAATTGAGAAAGCAAAATGGCAGTTGAGGTTAAAATTGTTCTTTTATAATTTTTAAACCAGTTTGATTTTCTTTGAGATGTGCTCATTGATCTTCATTGTTACAGGGTTGTCAAAATTAGGTGGCAACCATATGTTTCAACTTCTCTTGCTAAAACACACTGGCCATTCCAAATGCTTGTGGCCTAATTTTCAGCATGGATGCATGACATCGATGGAAATAAAACTGGTTTTTTAGTGCTGTCCGCCTTGCATCACAGTCTCTTCACAGCCCAGTTTTCATAATCTGATAAAAAGTAGAATTAAAGATAAACTCTTTTGAAAGAAAGGACATATTTATTTTCCCCTCAGTATCTTGGTAAGCATACACCAATTTTGGTATACTGATGCCATGTGCATATGCTCTATTATCAGTTTTTATTCTATTTTAATAGTTTATTGCATGGATAGCTTTTAGTAAAGATTATAATACATTTTGTAAATTAAGAGTTCTTCAGGCATAAATAAATTAGCTGTTTAAATGGTCTTGTATTGTGATTTCAAAGTTGATGTATTTGGCTCTGAGTTAGAGAAAGACACTTGATAGGCAGCTCTTTGTGTAACAGTCCCGTTGCTCTGGTAAATGATTTAGTGCTTCTGCTGGTGAGGTAATAATAGTTTGATAGACAATGAAATTTAAGGTTTTCCTTACTATTCATTCAAAACTTGCAGGTGTAGTTGCTTTTACTCCTGATTCATCTGGTAGAGCTATCACCCAAAGATGTAAACTAAGGATAGTAAACCCTTATACATTCATTAGACTATCAGTGTTACCCAACTACCATTTTTTGGCCAGTGCCTTATGAACTTAATGGTAAAATGTGCTTTGACTGTCCGGTCTGGCTGTACTTACCCGCAGGTGAGATGGTTGATTATACATGAGACCAGGGAGAGTAAGATTTCAGGGGGAGGTGGAGGTTTCGTTCGATTCTCGTATTTCATGTACGTGACATTTTGTCGTTTCGCCTTATTTAAGACATTTATGCCTTGTTTTAGATGGTTTTAGATAGTTTGCGAGTGGCTGTAGATGTTTTTGAGGTGGTTGTAGGTGGTTGCTGAAATTTTTGAGGTGGTTATAGATGGTTGTAGGTGGTTGTAGGCGGTTTTAAGTGGTTTTAGGTCGTTCCATGTTTAGTACTTACCAAAGCTGAATACATTGTTCTAATTTTTTTAATTTTAAACAAAGTCCATATGCTCACACTTGTTTAAAATAATGTTAGTAGAATATGCGATCCCGCTCTCCACATCCGTGGTATAAGCACACTGGGAGGCCTCTGTGGGACTAGAACTCAGACTACTTCGGCCAGGGTGGAAGTCTTTAAAAAACGTAAGAAACTTTTCCCCTCAACCGGGGAATCTAGACTTCCTTGTATTTGCAATGCGTCGTAAAAAGTAGTGTTAGCAGGCTTCGACAACAACATGTCAGATACCCTAACAACCTCAACTTCTCGCGGTGGGTCTAGACGGATGGTTAGTCCTGTAACGTTTAAAAAGGACAGAGATACTGCGGATGCACAAATCAACCGAAGCTCACTGGAAAATGGCCACGGCTTTAGCGACACATTCACGATTTCTACAGGTTCTTCAATTTCTATGCCTCGAATTGACTCGTGTATTCTAGGAAAGGAAACCCTGGAACAGAGGGAAAAGTTTACTGTAAGTAAAACCGGTAGATCCTTCGATATATTGCTATTGAGGTCAGCTTTTAGGCTTATGTCTGCGACCTGTCTCTTCACAGCTTTACAAGATCGAAGTAAACAATGGTCAAAAAAGTTGGATAATCTACAGACGTTATGGAGACTTTGTTCTTTTGAATAAAAAGGTGATCATTAGGAATACTTAAGTTTAGATACGGATGAAAAACTTTCAAAGAGTTATTGTACATTGTAAAATCTTCGATTATATTTTGCAAAGCTAAGCGAATATTGCAGTGTGCGTTTTGATCGATATATAGCGTTTTCCAGTTATTGAAAAAGATTACGTATTTTTTTCCTATCTCAATAATATATATATTGAGATAGGTAAAAAAACAAAGAGGCTGTACTCTCATCCCTACAAGCCTGTTTCATGATTACTCACTCATTTGGAGATTTTATTGTCAAGAATATTCATATATAATCGCGCTCTACTTCTACGTATTGAGCTCTGACGGAAAAATCAAAACACAGACTCCCTGTTCTTTATATATATATATATATATATATATATATACATATATTTATATATATTCTTTTTTTTTTTATTCAGTTACGCAGGCTTTTTCCAGAATTTCGACTGCATTTGCCTGGCAAACGTTTCTTCAAAGATAACTTTGATAAAGGTTGGTTAATCTAAGTTAAATCAAGTAAAACTACTTAACATTCACTCGCTGTACAGGTTTGTAAACAAATACTAAATATTTGTACATCTTACTGTTCTAAATTTTAATGTATCTTGAAACTTGCTGGGGTAGATGTTCGATTTAAAGGCCATCTACTTCATCGTGGATGTTAAAAGTAAATTTTCCTGGTAACTATTAAGTTGGTTACACGTGACGTCTGTGTTACGTTGTTATTACAACACTCGTGACAAACACGTTTAGAGCCAAATTATTAATAAAAATGTGACAAGGCATCATTTTCTGTATTCATTTAATATTCTTTATTTCCCTGAGAATTTCATTATAATTACCAGTTAGTTGATGATGTATGTAGCAAAAAAACCCCTCTACTGAAGTGTGTTGGAAAACTGAAGTTCATGAGGTGAATGCTCTGCTATTGTGACTGAAACGTGTAAAATTAGCAGTGTGAAACATTTCCTTTGTATGGTATGGAAGTAGGAAGCATCTCCTATAACACCCTCCTATCATATTTTATGATCTTAAAGGAAAGATTGGACAAAAATATCATGACAAGTATCATAATGATAGCTTTTATTTTAAGATGGTGTGTAACAAATGTTATTCTTGATGCAATTTTTTGTAGTATGTAACATAAGTACAGGTAAGAACATGATTTCAAGTACAACTTGGTGCTATTAAGCACAAGTAATTTTTTAAAGACAACAAAATTGCAAGAGGCATTAGGGCAAGTGGAATTTGCGGTCTTTGAAAAATTTATAGCTGCTTATTTACAACAAATTGCACAAGAAATCCTGTTGTACTTGTGTTACATGAAAAATGCACTCATTTTTGTGCTAATCAGAAGCGCATAATTTCTTCATGTATATTTTTATAATGGTGATATTCCAATACTTCACCATAATGAACATGACTGATAGTTTGTGGTTTGGAATAAATTTATTTCTTTGGGAGAAAATGTATGTATAATCACCTGGTTTGGTCCAGTTCATAAGTGTAAATTCATGATCTAGGACAAATTGGATGGATATTTTTTTGTAAACCAGACACAATGAGTTGTATAGTCTAAAACTGAACAAAGGGAGGTTATTTTCCCTTTCAATTGTTAGATAATAATATAGATACATTTTAGGAGGGTCTCCATGGGGGAATGGCTATTATGGCTAAGGGTTCAAATTTTGGCCAATTTACAGCTAACTGTTAATATCTTTCCATTGTAGTCACAATAATTTTTTTGCAGTTTATGACTTATTGTTAAAATTTGTCAATTTTAGGCCTAATGTCTAAATGTTTTGCCCTTTTACAGCTACCATTTTACCCCATTGAGATGCTCTTTTAGGTGCCTCCTGGTTTGGAAAGCACGGGCAAAACTGTAAAGAATACTTGTCCTGATCTAAACTAAATTTTAACTTAAGCTTGAGGCTGTTTTTTTATTGCCAGCTAGGTAAAGTTTTACAGAGACAAGAAAGGGCAAAACAAAAAGACCCCTGTTGTAAATTTGTAGCGAAAAATTCTCTTTTAAAACCTAATTGTGCTGAAGCCACTATGTTTTGATATTCTACAGGCTTTATTGACAAACGCCAAAGAGGTCTTGAAGTGTTCACAAACAATTTGTTTGGCCATCGAAATCTTGTTCTCAGGTATGTTGAAAATATGATGTTTATAAAGACAGGAAGTGGTGAGCTTGGTTGTTAAATAGAGAGAGCATTATTTTGTATTTTCATGTGAAGTATAAGGCACTTGAACTTAAAGTGTGGTCAAGCTTACTAATGAAGCTCAGTGTTAGGCTGTCAGATTGTTTATCCATGTAAATTAGTTACAAGAATTTGGAGTAAGATTGAGATAACAACTTTTACTTGATATGTTTGAATATTCTCATTACCAGTCTGCTGGATAATGTATGGATATTATAGGGAGAAGTTACATGTTAATCACTTCCAGGAGTTAAAGGGTTAAATTAGTTGGTCTGAGGTTTTAATCTTCACAAGGAACTTGCTTTTGTTTTCCTATACTTGGACAAATAAATAACATTTCTCATAGTGTAATGTGTTTTAGAAATTTTTATTATAACTTAAATTTTTTCATGTTAATAGTAGCTTAGTGATGTGTCATACAGGGTCCCTCCCCACCGTTACAACCCATTTGACTGTTGTCTGTGCCCGGGGAATGGGAATTTGAACTTTGCCTGGCCATGGTAGGGAATTTAAATCAGAAGATTTCAAGTCTGTACAATGTTATATCTTTAAAATATGGAATTGGCAAGGGTAAATAGCTCACTTTCACAACAATTTGAACAAACCAATCTTCAAAGTTTAAATTACAGTGGGTTGCTTGGGGGCAATGTTGAAGCTAATTTGCATTGATCATCACATAACAACTTAAACAGGGGATTCCCAACACTTCTTTATTAATTTTACATGGTTAAATTTACTGTGTTCTTTAGTGATCCAGTTCAGAGATTCTACAGATTGAATAACCCTCCTCAACCCAGTGAGAGTCTTGAGGCTTGCCAGGTTTGTTCATTTGAGTTTGTGTTGCTGTGACCTGCTTCTTTTTACTGAATTAATCAAAACTATAACAAAATTCTGGAACGTGATTGATTATCATGAGCCTGATTTGAGTACCAATAGGACGGCTAGTCCTATTGGTACTCAATTGGTACTATGCTTGTAATAGGACAGTTAACACATTCTTGCCTGAGTAAGTGGACAGAACTTGTCTTACATTTCACCAAGTTAACTAGGTTTTTTTATGAAAACGTATCATCAATGTCTAGATCCTTTCTCAAATTTTGTTATAGTTTTGATTAATTGGTAACAGTGCTTCGTGTCCTCCAATTTGGTCATACTCGTGATTGACAAATCAGAGTCCCGCTTTGCTGTCATCTGATATTGTTAATCACCCCTATGATTACAGACCAAATTGGACTCCACTCAGTCCTATCAACATTATTAACCAATTTTGTACTCGAATATAAGGTTGCTTTGGGTGAATTTTGATGAAAGAGAGAATATTGAATTACATTGCCTTTGTAAATACATGTTTTGAATAGAATGGATATTTATGTCAGGAAAGGTTTTGTTTTTCTGCTAGATTTTTAATGAGTCATATCTAGTATAGATCTAGATGTGTTTTACATTAAGGTCTTGAAATTGTGAGTGGCATTAATTGGCGACAGAAAACTGAATGTCAATCTAGTTATTGTGAATGTTATTGAACCCAAAACATTATCACTGAAAAACTCCTCATTTGATTGTCACGATCAGTTTTATCAAGGCTGTAACAACATAAGTCACTGCTCCAGGAAATTGTGGAACTTTTATCAGTGCATGCAGTTAACATTATCCAATACTTAACTGTTAAAAACATTTTCTTTCTTCTACAGGACTATTGTCAATCCCTTGAACATGCTCTGGCAGATTTGCGTCAAAAGTTACGTAACCAGACTGCTGAACTTAATTCCTTGAAAACAGAACTATCCCAAGTGACTTATTACAGGAATGAAAATCAGCATCTCTGTGAACACCTACAGCAACAGCAGACTAATGTTGATCAACTCACTAAGGTTTATTGTAGATAAGTTGGTGAAATACCATAACTGCCATAATTAAGCTGATCAGGCTCTGGGCTAGGGTTTTAATAGAAAATGCTGGAGGAATGTTGCAACTTCTTCAAGTTTGTGGAAAATGTTTGTGGTAGTTGTTCTTTAACAGGCTAGAGTTATCATGTAGCAGTTGTCTTAATTCAAGAAGTGTTTTCCCGCCCTTTTTACTTCCCTTTTTTCTCACCATCAGTTCAGTCAGTGTTAACTGTTGGAATGAAGGCTCTACAAGGTTGGGTTGCAATATTTCCCAGTTATGGGATGTTATTCTTTTTGGGGAAATATACCGGGACAAAATGGAAGACCATGGATACCTCAGACAGCTACCCTTGTTTTGAGGGGGGCAGCTTGTTAGCATGCATGAACAGCCTGGACTAGAGAAATTTAATGTAATTCATGGACCAAAGAAGATGCTCTGACTTATCAGATTGTTTATAAACAGACTCACAAGAAGCAGTTTGATTTTATTGATCAGCATCATGAACTTTAGATAGACATGTACTTAATTATGCAATAAAATTTGTTTTTAGTTAATGGCAGGCTGTCCAATATTACTTTCTAGAGTCTACAAGATCAACTGAACATTGCTTTAGAGAATGAAAGAAGAGCTAAGGAAGAGGTGGAAACCTTGAAGGAAGAGATGAAAGCTGAACGCGCTTCTGTACAGGCTGCAAGGGTGATCGAAAAACAAAAGAGAGATGAAGGAATTAATAGGCAGATGGACTTGTTTAAACAATCACAGGAGGCTGTCAATCAAAGAGTTGATTCTCTTGTTCATTCCTTGGAACAGCAATCAATAATTGAAATAAAAATTGCTGGGGTGACACAAGGTATGATGATGCTGTGTTCACGTCGCTATCATAATGTCTCTTGATTGATATACTCTTGTGAGAAATGTATGCAGTATCCTCTAATGAGCTAATAAACTGGAATGTAAGAATTTGATGAAATTATGAGTACATTTTTCTTTCTTTTTTGTTTTGTGCAGAAATGAAAACTGGTGAACGCACAGAAAACAAGGCAATTCAGCTTAAGAAAGTATGTATGTAATTATAGTCTGTTCTCATCACCTGTTTGTGGGATAATGGGCTGGAATCACGAAGAGAAGTTAATTGTTAATCACTTGAGGGAAATATGGGTTAATGAATAGTATGCTCCAAACCATAGTATCCTAGCCTCTGTCCTTTAAACACACATATGTATAAAATTGGAATATTGATGTGTTTTAGAAATGATCTTTGTATTGTGCTTTGTGGAGTAATCTTTAAGTATCAGCAACTAAGACATTGCTGTTTATTTATATTTCATGGATTGAAATTGACCTACTTTCTAGATGAGATGGATTTTAACATTCCCTTGTTTTTTATTACACTGACTATCATTTTCAGGCTCTTGATGAAACTAGAACTCAACTTGACAAAATTCACAGAAATTCATTAGAGGTATAGTCAACTCTTTCTACACCCTTTGCTGATAAATTCATTAAAGGAGTGATTTATTGGATAATCAAGGTTTTCACTGTTTTTAAGTCTTAAAATTCTATTGACCTTTTCTGTAATCATTTCAATGGTTTCCACGACCTTTGGTTTCAAAATGAAGTTAGAGAGACCTTGTAATGAAGGCATTTTGATGTTGTTGTTCTTCTCTGACTCTTATGAACCCCGTAAATATGCTGTGAACCGCTAAAATGTTTATTCCCCTTAGAGTGAAAATTATGCTCCCAAAGTGGAAAGTTTATGACCTGGAATTAGGGCAGGAAGCTGTACAATATCAATTATAAAACAATTATAGCAACATCTTATTAATGTAATAAGTATGAACTTAATATTTTTGTGCATGTCTGTAATGATAAATCGGGTTTTGTTGGCAGTCCTGAAAGAATATATTATATGAATGAATTGATACTGTTTTCCTCCCTCAACAGATGTATCAGCAAGAAGTTGAAGACCTCAAGGTTGAGTTATCCAGAGCAGAATTTTTTGCAAAGGTACACTTACTAATAATATCCAAAATTGTAACTGACTTAAATAACCATCACTTGGATCAAACTCCTCGTTTTCACAGGAATTAAAACAAAACTCTCAACAAAACTTGAGGAATTGATAAGGAGTATAGCTTGTGATGGGCCAATATTCCTTGCAGAAAGATTGATTATACTTCTGTTGGTATCATGTAAATGAAACCAGGATGTGCTCCAACAAAAAGAGACCAGAAGGCTTGTAAGGCCTTAAGTCTGCACTCAAGCTGATTGGTCCATCAAGGGGGAGCTTATCATGTTTTCTGTGATGTAAGCAACCTGGAGTATTGTCACTTGCCCAGGATGTTATGCTTGTCTGATGGTTCTGCAGCACTAATTCACACTGTGGAAAGAGGTACATGTACAGTAAGGGTAACATTTTGGCCCTAGTGGTGAAAAAGTTGGATAATCATCTTTATTTGACTGAAATTACTCTTACTCCATCAGGCTAAAACTCAAGAGGCAGAGTCACTGAGGGCAGAGATTTCTGGTCTTCATAGAAAATATCAGGATTTCAGGAAGGTAATAAAATATTCTAGTTGATGATTTTGCAATATGCAAGGTATGCAAGCCAGCGAGAGCAGATTTGGTATCAGAGGATAATAATACAATATTCAGATTTGAATTATTTTTTATTTGCCTCAAAGGCTATTCTGATGTGTGATTTTCTTATCCTTCAGGCACAAGATGATTATATTTCAGACCTTCTCAGTAAATTCAATGACCTTCAGCGATATGCTGTTTCAACAGAGGAGGTAAGTGTGGTAGTCTTTGTGGTGGACCCTCAGTGCAAGGGACATTCTTGTGTCCTGGAAAAAGGCGTTTAAAGTATCCCATTCAACATTTTTATCAGAGCATGACTGTGTCATACATCCCAGTAACTCCACACAAATGAGCAATGTAAAATTGCCATACTCATTTACTGAATCTTGAATTTTGTTATTAATATCACCCAAAAAAAATCTTCCAGGACTTTGTACTAGGTACCATATAGACATCTATTTGATTCCTTTTCTAAGAGGAAAGCAATACTGTCAGAAATATTTGTCTCAGTTTTATAGTTTGTAATGAATAAAATTTTTAAGCAGAGGTTGTTACCAACAATAAAACCAGTGGCAGAGATTCCAACCCTCCCGATTTGATCGGGAGTCTCCCGATTTGATGTCTTGCCTCCCGCTCTCCCGATTTTTACCAAATTCTCCCGATTTATCGTAAAATTCTGAAAACTAGGGGAAAATTGCTAATCTTTAGAATTTTTGGTGATCTGTCACTGTGAAACACCCATATTATACTTACTTTCTTCGCGAAGAGCATTATGGTATGTTATAACTCAGGCCGGAATGATGTCAAAATTCAGGAAATGGCACTTGAGAGAACCTAAATTTGCAAAATTTCCCAGCCCCCTGACCCCCCTAGAAGCTCGCGCCTTTGGCACTAATAATTACTCCCTATTTTCCATCACATGGGGTTGGAATCTCTGCAGTGGGCACATCAAAATTATGTGAATAAAATGCCATGATTACTGTTTTGTGTACAACTGCACATGCTCAATGTGATTAACTCAATGTGCTGTTGTTTTTAGAAATATTTCTTCTCTCTTGTTATTGGTGTTAAACTCAACATGGGTGTATGCGGATTAAGAGTGGACCATATAAATCACCTCAAACCATCGGTGAGCTTAGTAGATTCTTCAATATTCAATACCTAAAACTGATGTTGTTAAACCTTTCACCCCCAAGATCTAATAAGTAATTCGCCTTACTATCTGCCATACCATTCTTATGATGTTAGTTTGGAGAATTTGGTATCACATCAACTAATAATCCCATAATTGATATTCTTCTCTATTCTCATCACCTGCCTGCTTGATATTGTATTGATATTGTAAGGAGAAATTCTGTCTTGGTCACTTGTGGGAGTGAAAGGGTTAAGCACTTCTCAATGACATTACTCTATATAGACTGGAATAATTGTACTTTAGGATAATTGACCCAGTGATTATAGAGATGGGTGCGCTTTGATTACTAAAGGATTGTGTCATATCTCACCATAATCACAGGAGTGCTAAATTTCAAAATTGTTGCCTCATGTTTTTTTGATGTTTTTGAGGAAGTGATAGATGTTTGAGGAAGTGATAGATGTGATAGAAAAAACTTAATTTGCAAAGAGGACAAAAGATGGTCAGAGATTGGCAGTCAGAATTTTTTCTGATTAAATTAAATTTGTTAAAACTGCTGGCTGATCTTAATACGAGTAATCAACACAATTGAAACAACATAGGTGCAATGCTCTCTTTATTTACAGAATTTACAACAGAATTCCAAAGCACCTAAGTTACCTGATACTAAAACAATTATTGACATTACTTTAGATAGACCAGTATAATTGTAAATTATATAGAGAGCAATTTTCAATCGAGAGTCACTTTACTTGGTGATTTGTTCAGTCATGGCTTGGTCACTTGTGTTTTCCTGGGATTTAGGCATTTGGGGTTTTTTTTTTTTTTTTTTCTTACTTTGAGTTCTCATTGGCTTTCAAAGGTATTTTCCTTTCTTCTAGTCTTTGTGATTACTTTGGTTTCGAGTTTTATGACACTCATCAAAAAGTGCCATAGATAGAATAATGATTATGATTACTAGAATAGTAAGAATAAGGATTGCAACATGTAATGTAGAACTATTGCTGGAAGAATTCTACAGTAAACATTCAAACCCACAGTTGTTGGATACAGCTTGCCTTTAATTGGTTATTATCCTGTGGCTCTGTTTAGCCTGTACAAGAATTTGTCACTGTCGTTATCATCATTAGTGTGGTTGTTATCATTATCATCACCATCATCATAATTAATAATTCTTCTCATTACACTACCTGGCACAGAACACTGGTCAGCTTCTGTAATCACATTTAATTATGATACAGCAAAACTTACATGAAGTAAATCTTCAGTTACTGTGTCTAAATCTTATGCAGTATGTGAGCACTGCAATGCTAAGTGTAGAGTGCTAAATAATTAAACATTGTGACCCAAAGAGTGGTGTAAAATGAAATATCTAACTAGTATATTATTTTTGCAGACACTTTTTGATCAAGTACGTAATCACGGCTACTCCATAGAACATTGGCCAAGTTGGTTGTCTCGCACACTGTCAAATGCCTCATCAACACTTGATCCTGAGGATGAAGATTAATTTTGCTTCTTAGCTCTTTCACTCCAAAGATCTAATTAGTATTTCTGTCTCACAACCTTTTGTTATTACATGGCAGAATTTAGTATTGGATCAACTTAAAGTTCCCCAAGTTATTTTCTGCTTTATTCTCATCACTTTTCTACTTGATATTGTACTGATATTGTAAGGAGAAGTTCTCTCTTTGTCACTCATGGGAGTTGAAGGGTTAAAATCAGAGTCTGTATGATTGTTTTGGTTTATGTGTGCGTGTTTTTAATCTTCTGTCCCTCAGGTAAAACACAATGTAAATTCTGCCAGCAAAATCTTGTTTTTTCATTGTTTAAGTTTGAAAATTATTTGCATTATTGAGTTTTGTTTTGATCGTTTCTCTCATGAGCGTGTTATACCCTCAACTCCCATGATCTGATTAGTTATTCTCCATTCTAACTGCCTTACATTCACTTGTAAATTAATCAAGAGAAGGTGGTGTTGCATCAGGAAAACTTCCTTTGGGTGATAAGTTTCTTTCTTTTCAACACCTTCATGTCTGATAATACACTGATATTATCATTTCAAGGGCAGATTGCTTCCTCTTAAGAATAATTTCATTTTTTTTCACTGGTATAATCTCTCTTCCTTTTTTTCTAATCCTTTTCGGAAAAATCCCACCAATCTTTTTTTTTCTCTTGTTCATAATTTCAATATTTTAATACATAAATAATTTAATTTCAAGGAGAACTGAGTGAGTCATATCAGTATTGGTAATTATGTCAGATCAATCCTTGAGAAAAAAATTGAATTATTTATCATAGCAACATGGATTGATATAGGTGTCATATTTTCCCAATAAATTCCATATCAATCCTCAGGCCTTGAATATTATCATATTAAATAAACAACTGGATATCAGTACAACTTAGAATTATCAAATAAGATGAACATATCAAACTTATAGACTAAAGCAATATGTATAGAAGTTAGACAAATTATTGCTTTATTTTTATTAGCTGTATTAAGTGCCTTTTTATCCTGTTACAGCCATGGATGTGAATGTGTAGCATTTCAAAGATTATCAACATAGGTCTCATTTATTTGTTACAAATTTTAGGTAGGGGTGTTTTGATTGTAAGATAGTTTTTTTTTTTATAATTGCCTTTCAGATAGCCAATTAGGTGTGTGATGTGATGTGAATGTGCTCAGGTTTTTTGGAGGAAAGGTAGAGAAATATTGAATTTGTTGAGGCTAATTCCTTGAAAACAGAGCTAGAAAAATATGTGCTGCTTCCATGCTCTTAGGCCTCACTTGTTTTTGTTCTTTGGGTGCCTAATACACTTATACTCATCAACTTTGATAGAGTCTGATGTAAGGGATTTCTCATGGAGGAACAAATCATATTGTATGACCAACAAGGATTTCCTTAGATAATTTAAAAATGCTGGCATCACTAAGATGTCAGACACAACCTCCTCTTCTGGGCTCTCCCTTCTAAAAATAATGATCTCTATCAGATAAAGTATGATCATTTAAAAATTAACCCTCTCCTTTTCTTGGATTGGTAGAAGTTTGTCAATTTAATAGACATTTAGAAAATGGGACAGACTAAGCTCTTGATGTAAGCATAAGTTTTTTGGTACATGCAAACAGTTTCTTGGCAGATGTCACAAGGTGTCACCTCTTGCTGGCACAAGGTCAAGGTTTTCAATCTGTTAAAATGCACATGAGACAAGTTATCCAAATTTGTTATATGTTTGCATTAAACGTTCCATATTCTGTTTGACACTAGCTGAGCTAGCATTTCTGAGAAACTTGTCAAAATAAAGAGTTATTATTTTGATGTCTTCTTTTCCTATGAAGTTATGAAATTATAATGGGCATGTTTTTCATTTGTTTCCTGTGTTACCTTTTCTCATGACATAAGGATCCTTGATAAATCTCAATTAAAATCTATTGACTTGGAAAAAAAGGTTTAAACTTTTAACTCCCCAGATCTGAAAGATTACTCTCTCGGCTGATCGACTAACAGTACATTCTTTTCCGGACAGTTGTAAGGATTTGTTGTTATATCCACAAAATGTCTCCTAGATCGTGACTCTCTTAATCCTTAGTACCTGTCTGTTGATGCTTAGAATCCTGGAACTTAAATTGGTGGGGAACAGGGGTAGGGGGTGTTTTGGAGGGTGTGTTGTGATAGAGCAGACATTGAGTAGACTGCAAATGGATATGAGAATTAACAAATAGAGAAGCCTTGACTGTGCTCTGTTCTGTTATAAAGCACGCAGGAAGCGGCTAGAGCACGAAAGAAGTGTAAGGAGAAACACGAGACGTAGTCGAGTGTTTCTTCTCACTTCTTGAGTGCTCTAGCCGCTTCCTAAGTGCTTTATAACAGAACAGAGCACAGTCAAGGCTTCTCTATTTGTTTTATAATAAAGAATCCGTTAAATTACCCAAGCATTACTTTCAATTTTCAAAACAAACTTTATTTCCAAAGCGAACAACAATGTCGTCAGCATGCTCTATACTCTCATAAAGCACGCTACAATAAGCCAATCAGAATCCTTGTTAGAATGGTTCAAATAATCTGATTGGCTGTACAAGACTAAAGCTGTCAAAAGTGTCAAACCATCAAAGTTCAAAAACCATCAAAGTTCACATTCTACGATAGTTTACAAACTAAAATAGTTCGGCAAGTCGAATTTAACACTTTTGCCTGAAGTTTTTAAGTCTCTAATACAGAATCTCGAAGTGAAATGTTCAGTGAAATTCAGCCGAATTATGGCTCATAAAAACACGCGAGTTTTTTCCACATGACAAGGTAGAAAACAAGCTGTTCAAGGCGAATGTTTTTTGAATGAAAGACAGCCGAATTCACCGAAAAATGAAGATCGCTCGTGATGACAGCGCCGCAAAACTCGGTTGCAGTGACTGATGTGAATTGCCAATCAAACGTATTGGAAATGATATCAGAGCAAGCTCTTATTTTTTCACTCGAAGGGCGGCCGATGTAGTTTCTGAGGCTTGCTTTACTGTGATGACCGGAGATCGCCATGATGAGCGAGCCGCGATGAACTTAGCATGATCATATTCGCTCAGACACCGTTATGATTAGTATGAATTTTAACAATTACGCCAGTTTGGTTATTTTTTTCATCATTTCTGTTTTGTTCTGTTTTGTTTTTGAACACTGAACTTTATATACTATACGAGTGTTAGCTGTGTTTGATTTTTATTACCGTACGTAAGCTTGCAATTTAACTGAGCGTGAAAATCTTTAAAACTCGGAATGTTTATTTTGTTTTTCCTTTGAGGATTTTCGTATCTGCTCACGTTTTAATAACGTAAATTACGGCGCCTGGTATGTTTACAAACCTTTGTTTGATTCTTCTGTTGCTACTTGCCGGCTCGCTTCAGTTCCGAAATTTCACTTTCAATTATCGGGAAAAAGCTAAAAAGAAGTCCCGGAAAAGGTCGAACATAGTACAATTGGCAGATGGCGTGACAGCTTTAGCTCAGTTCTATGCTCTATACTCTCATAGAGCACGCTCTTTCAACCAATGACAGCGCGCGTTATATCCGAACTTTATTATAACATGCTTTAAAGAGAAGAGGATATATATATATATATATATACAGAGAGCCGGCCAGTGCCTAATGAAATACTAAATAGCGAAATGTAGTGTCATATCGTACGAGCTTGGTTACCTATAGTTAAGCGGATTAAGGGCTATTCCCGCAGAGGGGTCTATCAAGGGGGCTGAGTGGAAACTAAATGAGGTTGGAAAAAGGAAATAAATAGCCAAAAGCGAAATGCAGTTAATCGTAAGTGAGTAGTGTTATCTAAGGGCTCAAAGTTATGGTAAGGTGGGGCTCCGCGTGAGAAATTTCCAACGTTTCCTACACTTAGGAAGTGTTTTATTACCACTATTGATAACAAAACTTTTTTAGAGATAATGATAATGTGAATCTCCATTATCGAAAGTGTAAAATGATATGAAGTTCCTTCGCTCAAGTCTTACATGCAGGGTTGGCTTGCCATCAGAAATAATTATTTTAAGGGGTCACATAAACCGTATAATTGCCTAATCCTCCTATTTTGACCATTTGGTCGTTCAAGACAATTTCCATCGTGCCTGATAATAAGGTTCTGTTTCAAAATTATACTGCGGGCCAACGTGTGCCCACCCAAGGTGAGGTCCTTTTCACTTGTCTTTCAACAACTCAAATTACCGTGGGTGAACCCGCGCGAAAATCGTCCTCTATAAGATGTGAAACCGCGTGGGAAAACGCGGGATTTTCTCTTGCGAGCGTGCGCCCATACGTGTCGAAGCATCGAAATTCTTCAGTGTGTGGACTTGTGTATCTGCGGAGAAAACTTCGATCTGTTATACAAATTTGTCACAGGATATCACATGAGTCTATGAGAAAGCACTGAACTAAATCTTTCATGAATTTCGCGAAGTGGTGCGACTCGACGAAGTACCCCGACATTCTCCCCCGCCCCGCCCCTCCCACAGGGGTAGTCGTAATCGTTCTCGGCGATCTTTGGACAACTTGCGAATATGGCGGAGGGTACGGATCAAGCTGAGCAATTACCTCCACAAGAAGGCCTTGTGGAGGAGAAAGGAGAGGAAAAGTCAGAGCATCTTGAACTCCAACCTGAACAGGAGACCATGCGATGTGTTGTGCTCACTGGATACGGTGGTTACAACAAGCTCGAAGTGCAGAAATACGCAAAACCTAAGCCGATGAAAGGACAAGTTGTTGTTCGCGTTCATGCATGGCAAGTGTATTGTTTGTCATTTTTTACCATCATTTCCCCTCTTTTGTTGTGGACAACCATATTAAAACATATTCTGTTATATTTCATTGGGAATTCATACTATAATAGTAACCAACGAAGCAAGAAATTATTTAAGAGTTATGAAGACTTGATAGTAGTGGGAGGGGCGGTAAATCATGATGCTAAAAATGTTCTCATGTTTTACCAATGAAAGTAATGTTTACAGGAGTGAAAGCATGTGGAAGAATTGTTCCAAACCAATTTCATTTTGCCGTAGCTCTTATTCTATATTTAAAAGTTCCGTTTGTGTTTCTGTAATAATATTATTCATGCTGCTTGCAGTTCGTGACACATTTGAAATTTAAGGAGGAAATTCTCTACGATTTCAATCATTTGACGACGTCAAGTGATGCTTGTTACGCAAAGTTTATTTTCAAATGTATTACTATGATTTTGTGTCGATCAAATTACAGTTTTGCTTTTTGAACTTGGATTGGCAAACTGACAATGTGTTGGTCAATAATCAATATTGAATTGTTTAATTTTGAAATTTGACCTATATAATTAATCAGTTTGGTCTAACTTGTTGTGAACTCTTTGCAAAATGAATTATGGAATTGGGAGCAATAGGGGTATGAATTTCTGGGTGAAGTCCAAACTTGCAATCCCAATAAAGTACTTTGGTGGACTTTCAGATGAATACCAAGAAGTCTCCAGAGATTCCAAGAAAAACTTCTATTTCGTAGAAAATCCTCTTCTAAAATGATTAAGCTACAAATCACTCAATCTTCATAATTGTTGGGCCTAGATTAATCAGGTGCTTTTTAAACCCACATCAGCCTTTGTGTTAAAACTCTTTATTGTGAAGTTAAATGTATTGCAATGAAATATGGACAATTTTTTTTGCCTCTTGGAAAGCAGGGACAAAATTTGCAGTTGATCTGTAACCAACAAACTTCTAAATCAGGAAAACTTATAACCTACTTTTTTCAGCCCAGTTTTCTTATCTTTATTGATTTTCTGTAAAAGGAGTGCCTTATCACAGAAAATGTGATGGTGTATTTTATCTCTGATGCAGTGGCCTAAATTTTGCGGACATTATGCAGCGCCAAGGAATGTATCCTAGCCCTAAAAAACCTCCATTTGTTCCTGGTTTGGAATGCGCTGGAATTGTGGAGGAACTTGGAGAAGAGGTGACTGACGTAGAGGTGAGATCTCAGTTTCAAACTCACTAAGGCCTAATTGTGATTATTTTCAGGGTAAAAGGAGTTTTTTCATTTCTAACCTCAACTCAGGAAGGTACTAAATATCTGTTTACCTGCTTGACTGGCTGCTTTATTAGGATTCTTTGGTATCGATGATTGCCTGTGTTCCTATATTAATGATTCTGTTGTAATTTCAAAAACTAAAACTGAACCACAATTAATCCCTTACCTAATGCCTAAGCTCGAGGACCAGGGTTTTCTGTCAAGGTTTTGTTTCCTTAGCCATAGGTTCTAATTATTTAAGATTTTTAGACAAAAGCCTTTCCCTACCATCACTCAGCTGTTAAAAGCCCTACCCAAGGGCCAAACAACACATGACTCCGTTGCAAAGCCCATATTGGGCAGAGAAAGGCATTTTTCAACATTTATGAGAATGACATTGATGACATTTCTTTCGACCCCATTTCCCAATGTTCCAAAAAGCATAGTTTTTTTTATATTAAAGTACATTTTTCTTGCTTGTTCAACAGGTTGGGTCCCGTGTGGTATGCATAACAGGAGATAGTGCCTGGTCAGAATATGCCTGTGTCCCAGGGGGTTCATGTTTTGTTCTCCCAGATAGTATGAGTTTTGAAGATGCAGCAGCAATCCCTGTCACATACCTGACCGCTTATTTTATGCTTTTCCTCTGTGCAAGCTTGGGTCAAAGGAAAAGTGTTCTGATTCATATGGCAGCCGGAGGTGTGGTAAGGATGGGTCCTGGTATTAAAGGGGAGGATATATATGATAAGAGACCTGTTATGTTTACAATCATTAATGAGCCTCAGATGGTTTTCAAATTGCGTTGGAGTATGTTGTGGATTAACAAGAAGAATTTAACTGCTGTTCTAGTGCCTCTGTGGTGAAAAATGTATCAATGAGTACTTGTAAGTAACCTATGGCCTGCACCAGCCTGGCAGTAAGTGAAGACAATAAAAAGGGTTGGCACCAAAAAAATTTTAATCTTGGTTAGGAATGATTAGTGAAAGAGCTTTTGAGCACAGTCCTTCATTCTTCTTTACCAACCGCCATTATGTCCAGTGATCGGTTAATTTCTATGGTTTACAGTGACAATTGCTTTTTTCCTCAATTGGTGGGCTTCTTGTGGCTGACAACTTACAGAACATGTGTTGCATCTTCCAAGGACTGAAGCTTTATTATTTATTAATTTTTTATCGCTGTCATTGCATCAAAGAAATTGTGTTATATCTTAGGGTGTTGCAGCAACACAGCTTTGTAAAACTGTTGAAGGCATCACAACATTTGGTACAGCCTCGGCTTCTAAGGTACTCTAACTCAAAATTTTTAGCTCTGTTTGTGGCTGAACCTGGAAGATGTTTTGGATCATAATGGTCTTTCTATCTCACTGATGTTAAAGTGCCAGTGAGAATTTAGAATTTGTCAGATCTTACATGGTGGATTCCTCCATTGTCTTGTATTCTGTCCCTGGAGTTCGGCATTAAGCAACATTTCCCATTGATTAGCCCAAACAAAGGCCATATTTCTTAATTTATTTATCTGGAGTGACTAGACCTATTACTTTTTGCTTTCGATAGTTTTGTCAACTAATGCAGATATACAGACTGAAATAAGCACATCTTGAGAGGAAGAAAAAGATAAATAGAATAAGAATTTCTAATTTCCTTAAGGAAAAAAGCATAACATACATTTTCATAGATAGCATGTTTATTTACGTCAATTTGGACAAGAGCCTTGACGGGACTAGAACAATCTCCCTTCTTCATCCTCTAAAGTAGAGCCATTATAAATTTTGTGTATATGTATCTCTCCGGAGGATGAATAAAGGGGTAAGTTTCTAAAGAAAATGTGGTGCTGTTTCAATGGGAGAGTATAACAGAGTAATTTAGTGTTATCAAATGAGTTGAAAATGTAAATTGGCCACTGTAAAGAGTTTAAAGGGTTACATTTCAAGTGTTAGCCCCTTGTTGGAGTGATTGATGACATTTTGGGAGAATGAGCTTTCTCCTTGTTAAAATTCATCACTGAGGTTTCTCACACCAACACCCAAGGTTGCAATCATTTTGGTTACTAGAGTGATTAAAACCTTTTTTGGTGTCTAAATTTGCAACATAGGTCACCAATTTGGTGACCGTATGGCCACATAGAGTAAGTTGTTATATTTTCATGTGATTGCATCAATGGCCTGAAGTTGAAGGGAGAAACATTTTAATTTGTAAAATGTTGCTCATGCTTGGTCAGGAATGTGTTAGACTTTTGATCTCTTGCCTTTATATTGATACAGCATGAAACCATCCTTGCCAATGGAATAGATCATGCTATTGACTACAGGACAGTGGATTATGTCCAAGAGGTGAAGAAGTAAGTAAACTGAAAAATAATCAATTAAACAAATGTGATTTTTAGAGATTTCATTCAGTATTCTGTCAAATTTTGTTATGCAGCACCTACAAAAAATCAGCCTCTTTAAGCTGTGTATGTTTCATCTGAAATGTCCTGTTTAGCTGTAAGTGAAAGCATAATTTGGCTGATGATATCTACTTCAAGGGTTTAATTGGCTCTTACAGCCTTGTGCAAAACTGAAACATAGTGTCTATCATGGGTTCTGAAGCATGAAGTAAGGGTATGACCAGGAGTGTTCTTTCACCTTTTGGACGGAAGACTTTTCTGGTTTAGGTTACCCTTGTGAGTTAATCAGGTTTCTCTGAAGGATAGCTAGTACACATTTATGTTTCTGGATGTAAAAAGGCACTGTGTGTTGTATTGTCTTAATAAGTGTTGAATGAGGCACATTGAATGTTTTTTGACAAGGTGTTGACCATAAAATAATGATGTTGTCACAAGCAAACTTCCTTGTTTACAATGGTGACCAAGTCTCAAGAGCCTTGGGTCGTCAACTGTTAGGCCTGTTCCAAACGTCGTGCTACTGCCGTGCCGAACTCAAATGAATTTGGCTCGGCAGTGGCACAACGATAGCACGGCAGCGGTTTCAAACGTCGAACCTAATGCAGTCGCGCCAAATTCAAAAGACAAAACAAACCATCCATCCAGCGGTATCGCCCCATCCAAATTTGTTTAAGAAAATTTTAAATGCCAGAAGGCAACGCAGGCGAATGCAACAGTCCATATTGAATACTGTTATTGCAAGGAGAGGATTACTTTTGAAAGTTTTTTCATTTATTCTTCTTCTGGTTTCCCTTGACGAGAGCCAGCAAGTTACTGTATTACGATCGTGCGGCGTTTCCAAACCCTAACCCTAACCCTAAGCAATTTATTGTCACCGCCGGATTCCTCTTCTCTCAAGCTTTCGGGCAAAACGGGTAGATTTGTCTTTTTTTTATTAGTGCGCATGCGTAATAGTATGCAAATAATGCAAAATCCGTTAAATTAATTTATGAATTGAGTTCGGCGCGACAGTAGCACAACGTTTGAAACCAAGTCGTGCTACTGCCGTGCGGCACGGCAAGGCCTGCCGCGCTAAGTAGTCGTGCCGAACCTAATTCAGCCGTGCCGCGCTTAATGGTTTCAAATGGCGTGCTACTGCCGTGCTTAAATCGAAATTACTATTTCATTTGAGTTCGGCACGGCAGTAGCACGACGTTTGGAACAGGCCTTAATTGTGAAAGCCTATACTGGAAATGCTGCTAGCATTTTTAGCACAAAAACATGGTCACCAAATTCTGTTGTGCTTCTCTCAACTGAAAACCATCGTAACATCTGAGAGGATTCGCCTCCAAGAAACAAACTTATTTCTTCCCTCAACATTATTTCCTTTGCTGTTACTGATATTTCAGCGAGGAGAAGAAGAGGGAAAAGTTTCTAAGGAAAAATAATTTTGTGGTGTTATAGGTTTCCTGGTTGGCTAACATCAAGGAGATTTGATTGAAACTAAAACATTTGGGAATTTCAAATGTAGATCCAAATCTAAATGAATCCTTTGCTGAACTCAGCACTCATACAAAACTGTTTATTCATCATTTAAGGATTTGTCCAGAGGGAGTGGATATTGTTCTTGATCCCCTCGGTGGTGCTGATACAAAGAAAGGATATAATCTTCTAAGGCCTATGGGTATAATCATTTGCTTTGGTAGGTTGCACCTGTGTCAAGACATTTAAAAGAAAGTTTGACATGTGTTAATTGCAGTAAGCATAGCACTAATGCCACAGGATAAATAAACAAAAGTCTTCATTTGGCCCAAAAATATATTTGGATATTTACATGTGGCCATCATATGTTCCGAGATGCAATCAGTTTTCTTAGAGGAAAAGTCAAGGACAACTGTGAGCTATGAGGAACAGATTACACCTGAGGTATATTCTCAGATATTCCCCTTTTTTCACCATCACATGACCTGCGTGCAAGAAAAAAGTACGATGGATTATTTTGTCATCTATGAGCCACATCTACATTCTCACAGTAGAAGTTTGTCTTGCTGTTTTATAATGTTATGATAATATCAGTTTTTCCAAAATAAAAACTGGTGAATATTTCGCTTTAGTTTGAGCGAGAGACATTTTCAAATTTGTTTGAGAGTGCAAGGTCCAGCTGTCAGATATCTGTTTTACACTCCTGCATGTTATTCAATTTGTCTTAGGATGAGTGGTAGACTTATCATCCAAACTTCTTGCAGGAAAGAAAATTGTACTTTTTGGAGCCCTTCCCTGGACCTAGGTGCAATTGTGTTTCAAATTGGATTTCTAATTTTTGGAATTATTTTGTGGGCAGGTTATGCAAATGCAGTTGCTGAAACAAAGAGTGTCTTTAGTGCAGCAAAAAATGTAAGCTTACAGTATTAAGTATAATGATATACACAGATAAGCCTTTTTTTTTGGTTTGAAATTGTGCTCAGCATCTATTAACTTTGATATATACCTGGTATATACTTAGCTGGTACATTTTTGGCCTTATTCAGACAAAGATCACATGAAATGCAACACATATACAAACAGCTTATTAACACTTCTTTCCCAAGATCTAAACATTAATCTCTCTAGTATTCTCCATAGGTTGCTTATGATTCGAGTTCTGAGAATTTTAAGTTAAACTAAGCAGTATCCCCTCATTGATATTCATTTATTCCACTCTTTTCTTTCTACTTGAAAACATATGGATACTGTTTGGAGAGTTTCCTTGTGGGTCACTCCTAGCTAGGAGGGAGAGGGTTAACTAAATTCAGTCTCTAGTAAATAAATTGTCTCTCTTTTCCACTTAGGTGACAATTATTAGAAATTACATAATCTAATAATGGATTTTATTACTGACACTCATTGATTCAGGATCACTTTGCAAACTAGATGGAGGGCTCCCCCCTTTGATTTATTAAGTTGTATTATAATGCATCTATGGGTCAATGTCAGCATCTGAGCAACTACATGCCTGCCCTTCCCCACCCCTAACCCAACAACAGTACTGAAATTGATAGTAAGTGAGGGTTAAAGTTTGATCAAGGGAAGGGTGGGTGCATGCACAGTTGCTCAGGTACTGATATTGATTTTCCTTTATTTTCAAGAATTATACTCAACTTGATCATGATAATTTCACTGAAAATTGTCTTCTCTCTAATGCAGTGGTTTCAGGGAGCAACTTTCAGTCCTTTACAACTGCTGAGAGACAGCAAGACTGCTTGTGGATTTCACTTGAGACATATGCAGAGTCACCCAGAGCTACTGAAATCAGGAATGAAGCATATATTTGATTTGTACACTGAAGAGAAGATAAAACCTCACATAGATGAGGTATTTGCTTTTGAAGAGGTGTGTAGATCACTGTAAATTTTGTCATGTCTTCATGAGACGTGAGATAAAAATAATATTTAAAAAGTTGGGTGTAGAGGTTTTCTTAAGCATGGGACAAACATAATTATGAGTATGTTTATTATTGAACATATGAAACAAATCTTGTGTGAGTGCTTTTTTCCTCTTAGTAATTTGGAGACTGGTGTGGTACAGTTTTAAAAGGAAAAGATGGGCTTTATACAGTCTACTCTTTATCTGCTTTTTGTTCTGGTGATCTTGCCAAAGTGCACAATTAAAATAAAAATCATTCTTCTTTCTTATATAGTCAGTTTTAAAGATGATTTGTTTGATTTTGCTTTGTCCTGTGCTTCTTCCTGTTTCTCTGTCTGTCTGTTTTTGTTCATCAATCAGTTCAGGATAGTGGAGTAAAGACAAAATATTTCAAATGCCTATGCAAAATAGTCCAAGCACTCTTTTATTTGATTAAACTCTTTAACATCCATGGATCTAATTAATAATTCTCCCCTTCAGCTGCTTCACATTTCTGTGTTAGTAAGTTATAGGGATTTGATGTTTAAAACTTCTACTTGTTAAGTTTGAGTACTCTCATAACCTGTTTGCTGGGTAATGTAAGGATGTTATAGGGAGAAGTTTCATGTTAATCACTTTTGGGAATTAATGGGTTAATATAGTACTCATTTTTATTTTTTATTCATTTCATCAACCATGTGTATTCAAAATCCTAGTAACAAACATTGCGATGTGTGGCTTGATTAATTTTATTTTTAATTTTTTTTTCTCAAGGCTACTCTGATTTGGAATCAATGCTTGGTAGAAATTTGGAAAATTTTTGATCATGCAAACAGGACCTATATATTGCTTTGATAAATTCTAATAGCGGATCTTCAACATTCCGTTATTTATTTTTCCTCAGGTTGGCAAGGCCATGCAGCGAATGCACCAGCGTAAGAATGTTGGTAAAATAATAATATCACCCATGAAGGAACCAACACCTGAGCCCACGCCACCGCTACCACCAGCTCAACCTACACCCCCAAAGGTATGCTGCAAGCTTAAAATAAACTCAATGAAATAAACATTTGGAATGTGGTGTGTTCCTAAGCAAGATTCTTAATATTCACAGTACCTCTCTCCATCCAGTAGTTAAACAGATTATCAGCAATTTTTTAGGGAAGCTTGCCAAAATTCTGGGGGTTCCCTTGTATAGACAAGAATACTGGTTTGGAGGAGTAGCAATATTGCTTGTTGAATCACGTATGCATTGCAAGCTCCAGCAATATGGAGTCATAAGGCTGGTAGGAACTTATATTACAGTTCAATTGTAGCCATTGACATCCAACCTGATTTGAATTTTGCAGGAGGAGGATGTTAAATTAGAGGATAAAGAAGGAGAAAAAAAAACAGAAGATAAGGAAGGAGAAGAAAAAACAGAAGGAGAGAAAGAGAAAGAGGAACCCAATGCTGAAGAAGAAAAAAAAGAAGAGGCTTCTGCTTAGAAGCTGGTATGACTTCAAGTGTTACCTTGTTAATCTAATGAAAAACTGGATTTTGTGTGATTTGATTGTGGGATTTCTAGGCTTTATCTGTATGTAACACAGCTAGTTTGCCTTTTGAACTCATGGGGGTATATGTCAGTCAGACATCAGTGATCTCAGTGAAGCAGGTTGCATTTGTATTTGTTGTGGGACATTAGGGTGATTGTTTTGTAGCTTGTTGGCCATAAGAGGAGCTACAGTAGGACATTATGATTTGTTTTTTGGGTCGTTTTTATTTATCATTAATTGGAAATAAACCTTTCAAAAACTGTTTACCAAGGCAGACAAACAAGAAGAAGGTAAAGAAATACTAAAACCAAATAAGGATGGCAAAGGATTGAGGAGATTATCACGGATTGCAAATGAGGGAGTTGAAAAACGTCTTCGTTTGAGTTCATAAAACCAAAACCAAAGCAATCACAACAGCCAATCAGAGTTACAAGTTACAATACAAGGAGCCAATGAGAATTGAAAATGAAAACAAGAAAGCCCTTAGCGCGGGAGAACACTGGTGATCAAGTCATGATTGGTTTTAGTTTTGAAGCAATGCAATCCTGGTTTAATTTCGACTTAGTTGAAAATTGTTTTAACCTTTTAACTCCCAAGATCTTATCAGTAATTCTCCTTACTATCTCCTATACAGTTCTTGTGATGTTAGTTTGGAGAATTTGGTATTGGATGAGCTTATTATCCCCTAACTGATATTTTTATTTATTCTCATCGCTTGTCTGCTTGATCTTGTATCGATATTGTAAGGAGAAATTCTGTCATGGTCACTCATGGGAGTTAAAGGGTTAAAACAGCTGTAAGCCATTCATCTGAGACCTTCTAAAGGAGGGAAATTGGCCTCGGCGATGTTGGCTATTATAGATACGTGTTAGAAGGGTAACTTGGTAGGTCATGAACCCTTCAACTCCCATGAATGACCAAGACAGAATTTCTCCTCAAAATATCCTTATAACATCAAGTACACAAGTGATGAGAATAAAGGAAAAGATAATTTAGGGGATTATTAGTTGATCTAATACCAAATTCTCCGAACTAACATCAAAAGAATTTTATGGCAGACAGTGGAGAGAATTACTGATAAGACCTTGGGAGCGAGAAGGGTGAATAGTCTAACAACACTTGCTATGAGAAGCACGGTTTTAATCATATCGGTACAAAAATTAAGAACCACGAATTTCATTTCTTTTTGCAGGTATCAGTGACTCTTATACAAGAAAGTGATGTTTGAGTAATTCTATTCGTTGTTTCATCACTGTGATGTGAATTTATCGTCGGGAACTAAGACGTTCACTTGACCTTACTCAGCTACTGATCAAAGTTGTTTGAATATTAAGCTCTAATTTCCTTAGTAAGGTTTTTTTGTTCACTAAATACCACGAAACTCTCCTTAGTGTTGTGAAGGATTGTTTGCGATCAGGTTTCTCTCCTATTTCGACGCAAAATTGGCTGTGGAATGTAAACGGAATATCGCGGCGTTAAGAAACCTTTTCCTTCTGTTTAGCAATAAATCACTTCTCGTTTCTCAAATCCCAAGACCTGACCCAGCGCCTCTTTCAGCCCTGGATAAAGAAACCTGATCGCAGGTTGGAGTAATTTTGCGGTCATTTAGAAACAACTACTCATTATATTAATTTTATGTTAAAGGCAAATAGCTGGTAGAGGGTGGTGACGACATGAGGACATTTAAACAAACTTGTTAAAGCAATGCTAATTTCTCCATTTGAAGTATGAGTGTCTAGTACCCCCAATCTTCCCCGAAGAAAGCTTTCGCAACCATAGACGCTGGAATTAATTTAAGATAGCTAACTTTTTGGAAATTACTGCCGCTGTGAAAAGCGTGTATTGACATAAATTTAAGGATATTTGACCAACCAATCCGTTCAACCGATTTAATCCTGAACATCATAATTTTCCCCTGTTCTATTTACATTTCCTCCGGTGCTGACACGGAGAATTTGTTTGACAATCAGGAGCTCCTAAGTTAATGATCATTTCTTATATTCTCGTGATCTCTGCATTTAATTCAGTGGACCTTCGTAACCTTTCCCTGGATCCACCGCTGCGGGGTCAGTAAGGCTTGGTATGACAATTGTTTCTCACTTTACCGGGGTGTTCTCGAATCCCGTAACCCACTACGGGTTTTACATCTTGTTGTAAAGATTTTCTCTTCACTCATCTTCAAGGGAATGAAAGTTGACCGAAAGGGAGAAACACTTTAAAGGTCCAATGGGTAGAGGGTGAAACCATCTTTCATTTGATTTTCATTACAGATTTATTCGTAACAGTAAAACCAGTTTGGAGATTCAGTTCTGCTCCACGCATTTCCAAAAATGTTTTTTCCGTGTTAAAATTTCGGAAACAATTACAGATTTATTTGCTCCAATAACTATAGCGGATTCATGTCCGTATTAGAGCAACCCTGCAGCTATCCTTCTCCTAACCGAACATTAACCCTAGCTTGTTATCGGTTGACTGTTGTCGTCTTAAGGGATGGGTAGGTGAGCAGTTGCTTAGTTACTGACATTGATCCCGGTAATCGTAGCAAATAACTTAGACTATACAAAGACTTAAAATTATAGACAGAATTATTTTCTATAAGCAGTAATTCAATTATTAAAGTAATATTTTATTAGCGAAGGACATCGAAAAATTTATGATAAGTAAACTACGAGTGAATCGTCAACTGTATTAGTCAATGTGTAAATTGTTCACTTTCGCAAGCGAATGGCCTCTACAAATGAATGACCTCTACAAGGTCTAGGTTTTGAAGCGTGGTCAATGTGTAAACTGTGACGGTCGGTGATTTTGCCTTTTGCGAAGCAAAATGGGTGGGGTGTTTGAACACAATTTTTGATCGGGGAGCGGGAATTTGAACAGACCAATTTTCAAAAGCTCGGAGGATTACCCGGAGGGATGTTGTAGCTTCGAATTGGTCGATGCACAATAAGATATAAATTGGCTGTGCAGCTAGAACCCTCTTGTATCCAAGGAAAATCGAAGCACTAGCCAAGGTATTCGCCTAGAGGTGAAATTTTGAAAGTCCCTTCTAGGTTTTAAGGGGTCTAGCCCTGACCTCCTGATATAATTTAAAAGAAAAAGGGAATGTACGAGTTCCAAACCGGTGAAAGTGTCAAACTGGTCACTCTCAAAACAAGGCTTAGCGCAAAACCTTTCTGATGGAATGAGTCTGATGGTTTGCGTGAGTACAATATTTCAGTTTCATTTACAAGCGTTCACACTTGCCTTCGTTTCAAAACAGAGGCATTAAAGATCTGGGAAAAAGCTAAATTCTTCATAAAATCTGATATGTTCCGAAGTTCTAATTACACACTATATAGCGCCTCATTGTCTCTTTCTTTGAGTACCTGTTCCGTCACGAGAAGCATTTGATCACGTACATGTACGTTGCTCTCGTGCTTTAAAGAAACATGTAATAGTGTAATTTGATCGTCCGGGTGAGTGTAGTCCTGAGAAGGACTGTTGTCGGTAATGGTGACTGACGTTCCGACAACCTGAGCGGAAGTCATCATCAGAGTCAAGTGAAAGGTTGTTGTCAGTCGAATGTACTTAGTCCGGTTTGTGTTCAGTTCAAAATCACCAACCGTTACCACAAACCGGACTAAGTACATTCGACTGACAACAACCTTTCACTTGACTCTGATGATGACTTCCGCTCAGGTTGTCGAAACGTCAGTCACCATTACCGACAACAGTCCTTCTGAACACTACACTCACCCGGACGATCAAACTACACTATTACATGTTATCCCCGGGCTCAAACCCTTTACTTTAAGGAAACAGTTAACCTCCCACTCAGAGCACTTTCCTTTAACCCTTAACCCTCTTAAATCAGTATACAAGCTCTCCAAACTGTTTTCTATACATTTCCTAACGTACTTACAAGAATTATTTATTTATTTAGCAATCAAGAACAACTTTAATTGCCGGGTGATCATTTCCTTTCATCTCATGACCTTAATGTCTGACTCAGGGGTGTGGCACAGTTGGGAGAAATTAGATGCTTATCACTGTAACGAGGTGAAGAGTTAAAAAACGTTGAAAGCCATACTTAAAGGGATCAGTGCCATGAGAAAAAGTTTGGAACGCGATCAACGTGATCGTCGCATGACCTATAGGGAACTGTGGAGATAAAGAAGTGCAGTTAACCTTAGGACTCCGCGATACGTACGTCGGCCTGCCTCGTTCAAAGTTTACGTTTCCAGTTAATCATTTACACCCTGGCATCAGTATCCATATTCTCCATACTATTCTCATACATTTTCTAAAGTGCTGAAAAAGAGACTTTAATTAACAATCAAGAATTTCTTAAGTTGGTGGTCATTTCCTTTTCACTCGTGACCTAAATATGTGATTCAGGGGTGATATTGTGAGGAGATATTAATAACAAATACAGACTGTGTTGAAAAAGTCCTCTATGTGTCGCACGGGTTAGAGAAGGTGTGCCCCTAATGTTTTGAAATTCTCTTTTTGGAACACCTGTTCAAGGGTCTTGTCTGAACTATACTCTCGACTAAAACGTGCTGTAACGCTTACATTCATCAGAAGGTGCAACTCTGTTCAGAGGACGTACACTTTTCTTAGTCCTGAAAGGGCCCACGGGACGAAGCTTCCACTTTAATGCGCGTCAGAAGACCATCAATTGGGCTACTGTGCGCTTAGTTTCCATAAGATAGATGTGGTCGACCCGGGATTGATATCTTGCTTTAATTTAACTTCAGTTGATGTGAACACAGTTTGTTATGATATCTAAAAAGAGGTACGACCTACCATTTCCTAGGAAAGGACGTAGACACAACTACGCATAAGCAAAATATTGTATGCAGAAAAACACACTTTTTTCCAGCAGTAGTCTTCTATCCCAGACATCCCACAGCTAAGCTTGAAAGTTCAGTTGTGGGCACGAGAGTAGGTCAGCAGTGTTTTTCAGGTCAAATGGTGGCCTCTTGGCCCCTCAATGTGGTGATGGCTTTTACGGCATACGGTTAATATCTCTCCATAGTGGTCACCAGAAAATTTTTACCTATATTTTTTCACGACTAACGGTTAAAATTGCTTAATTTTTACGCCCCTAACCCCTTTAAGGTACTCCCAGTGGTTAGCTTTGCTATATCTGGGATGATTCTAGGGAGTTATTTTGGCTTAATTTATTGCGAGAGATACAAACAGTTTTCCGGAAAAACGGAAATAGAAGCTGTTTAACAATATGCAAACAATGCCACAGAATGGCACCTACTGCAGGCCTCATTAGAGTGCCACAGGCATACCATTCTCACCCTGGTGGAAATAATTGAATTTATCACGCTCTCACACTCGAGATAGCACGTTGCTGTCGAACGTTTTCGTGACATTTTCACTTTCCAGGCATTTTTCTAAAGGGCAGAAGGACACAACAGATTCAACTGACAATTACTGCCGGTACACAGTGGCTCCTGAAACGAAACATATTCTGTTAACTGGAAAGGTAAAGCTAATAATTATTGCATAATATGTGCAAACGAAGATGAAACGTACATTTTAAAAATGACAAGTCATATGGAAGCGTGTATCGTGGTAGAAAAAAAATATGTCACATAGGTGTAAGCGATAGAGAAAAAAAACAGAAGCTTTTTAAAAATTTTCACGGTTGAGCGCGACCAAAAACTTTGATTTTTCATCTACCTCCGAACTGCGGAAGGAAAATGTTCCAAGTCTTAGTTATGGATTCAAAACCAAATTCACGTTAATTTGCTTGCAGAACACAGAAAGATAGATGGCTAATTTTGCACATAGTTTGCAATTGAATATCAAAATAATTTTCCAAGGTTTTGGTCGTTGGTAGGGAATTCGAATTATAACTTGGAGTTCTTGAAAAGGAAAACTGTGATATCATTGATGTGGGTGGACGGTTAAGTCGTAGAATATTTTAAGAGAGCGCTGATCTCTCTTCTTCTGTCGGTCTTATTCGAAAATAACAAATAACTATGGAAAAATCAGGAGGGGGGGATTTTCCTTGGCACATTTTTCTTGCACGTTTTAGAAGAGTTTTAGGGGATCACATCATGTCACCGCTTTCGCTTTCTGGTTCCATTTGGTTTGTAAGAAACACGTGTTTTGTGATGGCTTGATCAGCCGTAATGAATGCATGTAAACAGCAGAGATCCACGACAAGTATACAGGTTTCGGCAGGTGGATTTCCCGAATGACCAATAAAAAAACAGGATCAAACAATGTCTTACACGCTAAGTAACAATATCACCTATTGTTTGAACACTCAAACATGGAAATCCTTTTGATAGTCCACTTTTTGATTGACAGGCTTTTACGATAGGCGAAGTGAATTTCGGTTCTTGCAAACTTTACGGGGTTTACGCTTGTGAAAGGTGAATTTAATAAGCTGAGCGTGACCTGAAAGAGGACAAAAAAATTTCTCAGCTTGAATGTGTAGCTCTGTCTTCCTCTTTCCACAACGAGCGCAAAAACTGCTGTTACCATGATTGTTTTACTTATATTCTGGGGTAATCTCAAAATCAACAATTAAGCTTTTATTCTGATATGAAGGGAAAAAGGGGAGGGAAGAACATAGAATGAGAATTTTACTATTTCACAACCGACCTCTCTCATCGCAGACGAAAAAATTATAAGATCATGAGCGACTATGTTATAATTTTCATGCGTGTAATGATGACAAACGGAAGACCGAAGAGAGAAAAAAAGGAAAGAAAAAATTTGCGTTTCCTTTTTAGTTCGACCGTCAGAAAACTGTCGTCAGATGTTCTTTTTTCTCTTGTCCTGTTTACAAAACATTTTGAACTGTCAACTACATTTTCTGTCCGGAGGGGCTGTAAGTTCACTATCGGGATGAGGCGACCGCTGAGCCGTTGACAAATCAAGAGACATTCCCACTATTGGGAAAACGTGATATGGTTAAGTAAAAGAAAAAAAAGAGGAATAGAATAAACAACAAAACGATCAGCTAGCCGGCTTAGTTGCCATTGAGGACAGTGCATGTGTCTCCATTTCGCTGTTCACTAACAACCAAATAAAGTACTTCACAGACAAAGGCAAATATGTGAGTTTGTTCATAGAGGCGTTAAAATTGTAATTGCTTTCTGTGAACCTTCCTGCTATCTTAAGACACTGTCTACAGTACGTTGCAGCAAGGATAAAATGTTGGCAGCTTGTCGTCATTGGCCTTGCAAAAAAGGGACTTGATTTTTCGTTCTCATAGGTCACAAAAGATGCTCCATGACGATTACTCAGACTTAATTTCGATTGCACTAAAGACCTCTATGCAGACAAGGTTCCTCAGGAGTACGTCTCAGCAAGTCGTATTGCATTTTAAAACCCTTCATCGGTTGATGTAAATGAGAAGTCAACCTCACTCGTGCCTGCATTACCGCAATACCTTATTTTTAGACAACAACTCGGAAACTGAGCCGGATTTTCTTCTATGGAAACTCAAGCTCGGTCACCGGAGATAAATTTGGAAGATTGTACCCTGTTTCTCTTGGTATAGCAGCCGTCTCAGCGGGTAATATCACGGAATTTTTCCATTTGAGCAGAGGCTTAAATTCAGCCCCAAACAGGACTACCCTAGTTACCTAGTTGTAGTCGAATTCAATGCTATCAAATTTAACGTATTCCGTGCATCAAAGTCTCGCCGTGGGCCTTTTTGGAAATGATTTTTTTTCGTTTAGGTTATTTGAATACTTAAGGTTCGTTAAGTCAAGCAAATTTTGCCATATTTTGACCGTAAATCCTTGTTTTAAATGTAAAAAAATCTCTGGGGTAGTCAGACGCTAAGTTTCACGGATGCCGTGTCATGAAACTGTAAAGCATCTTTTACTCTTTTTCTTTTTTTTTTTCTTTTCTTTTTTTTTTTTCAATCGAATAAAGAACCTTTGTACTAGCTTTTCGTGTCACACAATGAAGATGACGTTGTACGGATTGCCCAAGAGTGTTGATTGTTTTTTCATCCTATTTTAGTCGCGCTTTCTAAAAAAGATGTCACATTTTTTGCTAGTCCGGACGGACGATAGACTCAGACAAATAATCCTAATTATTCCGTTAGCTAACTAACTATGTATATTAAAGTTAGATTCGAAGTTTTCTTAGCGAATGTGTTTCTTTGTCAAACTTGGCCTCAGGGTGACCCCGTTAATATATGCTACCCCCCATTCATCCGGGAACTTTTTCTTGAAGCTGCGATCTGATTGGTTGTCAGCAGGTAGTAACGTGGTGGCCAGTGAAAGCATGATATTCGTGTTCGAGTTCATCTCAAAACCTTTCGCTTATTCACCGAAGGGGATTTTTTTCTCGGCCTTTTTCCATTCTTCGAGTTTGGTAGACGGGATTTTTTGTAGGTTAGTTTTATGTTTTTGTGTTTGACCATGTTTTAATCGCGTTGTTGACCCTGTATGACATCAATTACTTCACTTGGAGCGCTTATGAAGGGCAGCCAAAATATCCTTCGTGTTTCCCACATTTCGCTTTTGTTCCCTTGACGTTGCAAACAAGCATGGACGTTACCACTTGGCGTTTGCATACTTAAATGCTGTTAAAGGGTACTCGACTTTTGAGGATTTTTGGAGACTTTATGGTCCAAATTGTTGAGGTTATCGAGGACAGGCATCAATTTGCACATATGAATCAACTAGTGAACACGAATTTTACTTTGTTATTGTGGACAAGTTTCCTACACCTGGCCTGACTTGGCATGAAAGCTTTTGTTTTTCCCTGCTCGCTCCACTTGTATGAATATTTTTTCTTGCTTCGTGGTTCTAACTCTCGACTGGAGGTTGTCACAGTAATTGAATCTGGTAGTAAACGAAGACTGTAAAGATAATAATAGGTTTTGACAGGGGGAATTTTTTTATCGGCTTTGAAGCTATGCCCGAACCGGCTTCGTCCGCGTATTTCAACACGAACACACTTAACTTTTAATTTAGAGTTGTTTAGGAGAACGCTTCCTTTCTTTATCCGATTGCGTTGCTTTTGAATAACAATCAACGGTTAATTCGAAGGGTTTTAGCCGTTGAAAATGAAAACCCTTCGAAACTGGTGAGCATTCCGTAGGATAGCCGGCCATGCAATGCAATGTATGAACGCACGGCAAATGTCGGGTTACGCTAAACTTTCGCTCGCGTTTCATTCATTCGTACCGACACATTTAAGTAGTGGAAGTTGGTGTGGTTTTTCCGTTTTCCGTCGTTTTGCTTTTCTCCTGTTTACATATCATATTACCATTAATTGACTCTCTTCTTCTTCAGTTTTCCAAGGATTAGAGTTGTTGGTCTTTAACTTGGTTCGTCTTTCGTGACCTTTTCTCTCTTTTCAGAACGGCTCCATTGACGGCGGCAAATAGAGTAGCCAGCTTTAAGAACCTATCCTCGCTTCCATGGCCGTTGAAGGAGACACTATCGAAAGGATTTACAAAGGAACATGATGGTGGGTAATTTCAGTCTTATCGGTTAAAGAGAAAAATCGGAGAGCGATTCTGCCTCGATCTCCGATGACCCATCATGGCGGATCCATTTCTGGGCATCTTCGATGGAGTCAATAACGGCTTGGACGAGTTAGGTCTTGGATCAACGCTCGGCTCAAATGGAAGCCAAGGAGGACAGATGCAAGAAAGGCTGCAGCATTCTGCGTCTTTTGGAGGATTTCAGGCACAATCACCGTCAAACTCGAATCAACCAAAGCTTCAACATTTCGATGAACGGTCATCCGCGTCACCATTTTTACCGCCCTCGCAGAAACTTCAGCACTTTAACGATCCGTTATTGTCGTCATCACCGCAACGATTTCATTCTCTGCAGTCGTCTTCCCAACAACAGTTTGGCGAATTTCGTCCACCATCGCAGATAAACATGTGTTGGCCGCGTGGCCAAACGTCACGAAGCTCTCCTAATTATACTGGATTTTCACAGGCATCTGAACAATCACCGTTTCGACAGCCATTTGGGTATGGGTTTCCGCGGTCGTCATCTCCGAGACTTCAACATTTTGCGAATCAATCTCCCATGAATTCCTCTCCAGATATCTTCCCATCCGGGGCTTCACAATCTCCTAGACTTCAGCACCCAAATCAGTCACCTTCGCTTCCTTATTCAGGTTCTTCTCCTAAGGGTACAAGCCCTAAGACGATGGAGTCAAATCAGCAGCAAAAGCAGAAGCAAATTAGTCCACAGCAAGCCCTCTTTAGACATCTTCAAGGTTCAGAAGGGAACCAGCAGCAAGTAGAACTAGGGGGCCAAGGTCGTTTACAGCACTTGGTTTCTGGTAATACCGTGGATTTGGATCATAATAAATCTTCACTTCCTGGAGCAGCTGGGGATGGAAATTTCCCTTATAATCCTTTTCAAGGTGGACCTAGACCACCCATGGGTATGCATCAAAATTCTCCCCAGTCAAATTACAATTCACAACAGTTTCAAAATCCACAGTATGCTGCTTTCAATGGAGGAGTTTCCAGTGGAGGAGTTTCCAGTGGAGCTGATCAAGATATGTTCAATCCTGGGAACCATAATAATATGGTAACTCCTCAACAGCCAGGATTTACTTTTACTAATTTACAAATGTCAGACCCTCAGGACCTGATGCAGGTAAAGACGTCAGCTATCTTGCTTCAAATGCAGCGGATCCAGCAACAAATTCAACAGATGCGAGACATGGGGCAGCCGTCTCAAATGCAACAGCTGCAATTTCAGTTCCAACGGCTTTATCAGATTTATGCCATGCAGCAGCAACAACGTGTGCAACCTAACTTTCAACCTCAAAACTATGACCAAATGAGGTTCATTCAACAGCAAAGGCAACAGGAGAAGGCCAATAGAATTGCTGTGGAGGCCATGGCCAAAGCAGCATTACAGAATAGTGATGGAAGGTCCATGATGCCTGGGTTTCCACCAATGTCATCAGGCCAGCGAATGATGACAAATCCTTCAGCAGTGAATACAGGAGCATTGGATTTTTCTAGGCACCCTATGCCAGCAGACCCTATCAGTCTGGGTCCTTCAATCGTATCTAAACCAGCACCAGTACGGAGCTCACAGACCTCAAGGTTCTGTTCTAGGCATTGTTTATGATTAAGTTTTTTTTCCCCTGATGTCTTCTTTGTTTGTGTTTTGTTTGTGTGTGTGTGTGTGAGCGCGCGCACGCGCATGTGCATGTGCGTGTGTGTGTGTAGGTGAAAGTTTCATCTTTGTATGAAGTTACAAATTGTTAGTTTTTGTACAAAGTTACAGTAGAGGTCATTTGTCTAGGTCATGCAAGGATTAAACTCAAACTTTTGCCAATAATGTGATTACCACAATGATATTAAAACCACCTCTTATGTCTCAGCCAATATTTGATCGGTGCCCTCTGAGAATGCACTGAGATTACACAGATGGCACCTTCAATTCTTGACTTCACCATTGAAACACTTTTTTGTAACAAGCCTGAATTGAATTGTCTTTCATATATTATCGCAGGCCCCCAGCCACTGTGTTGGCAAAACCAGCACCTGTACGAAGTAGGAAAGATTCATCTGATGCCGAACCTTCGCCTCCCAATTCTCCAAGTTATTTAGAAGAAGATCATGCCTCCAACATCACTGTAAGTCAAACCTGATCAAGATTGAGGTGGAATTTTTAGGCATTTTTGAAATTTGGTCTTTGCTTAAGATTTCCAAATTTTGTAACGTCTGGTAATTGATTTTACTGACTTGACTTTGGGACTATTTTCAGCGACGATCACTCAGAGAACGTAAGAAGAAGACTTACAAGGATGACTTTGATTACAACTTATCCGAAGAGGAGGGAGAGAAAGAGACTGCTGAAGGTGGAGTGCCAGCAACATTTCCAGGTGATAGCACTGGTCAAGCCCATGTACCAGTGGGACCCGAAGTGGAAGAGACAACTACAGTTGAAAAGATATTGGCCATGAGAACAAAACAGGTAAGACATCTCTGACTTATTCACTGATAGAAAATAATTGTCAAATACTGTAAAGCAAAAATTTGATTTTTAAAAACTTTTTTAGGGTTTTATTTAAAGATTGGAATATTCTCTTTGCAGGATGAAGAATTTGGAAGTTATGAAGAATTCTTAGTGAAGTTCAAGAACTAGTGAGTTCAATTTTGGTGTTGTTGGTGTTGGTTTGTTGGTGATGCTGAACCATCATCTTATCTTTTCATTTTGCTGTCCTTCAGCTCTTATCTTCATTGTGAATGGGCAACAGCAGAAAAATTGGCAAGAGGAGACAAAAGAATACACATGAAAATAAAACGATACAGAGTTAAGCAGCAAAACTCCATGGCCTTTTTCAGTGAGGTATGCAACCAAATTATTTTTGTTTTAAAATATTTAAGTTGTACTCAGTAGTCTCAGTAGCAGTATGGGACAATAGAATCTTGCTTTATCAGTAAATATGCATTGTGTTTGCCCACAGCTTGATGAGGAACCTTTTAATCCTGATTATGTTGAAGTAGACAGAGTACTGGATATGTCCACAGGAGTTGATCAAAACACTGGTGAGGTAAGTCAACTGGATAAACCGCAAGCAGTATTTGCATTTCTTTGTTAACCTGTGTTTACTTAAGTATTAGGAATCAAAGTTCATAGTTGTGTTTTGGTAAGAGGCATTTGCACATGTATATTTTTTGAAACAAAGTAAAAATGTTATCTCAGAGTTCGTCTTGAGTGTAAAACCCAGAAGGTTGAGTGTTTGACATGTGTGTTTTGGCCAAATATTCTGCAATCATAGGAAGTAGTGCGTGACGCTGTATCTAAAAATAAGCAGATTGTTTTATTTATGCTGTCATCATTATAGTTTAGGGGATAAACATACATTTATTCACTTGAAGGTCATTTGTGTGTACTCTAATCTCTAATCTCTGTTTGCTTCTAAAAATAAAATTAGCGGACTCTTGAGGAAGGAGTTTATATATGTGTTATCTTAATGTTTGATGTGAATTGAAACACTTGATATTGAAGTGCTGATGGTGACAATTATGCGGCACATGCTGATATTCTCACTGTTGTCGAAGGATATTGATGTCTGCGGTAAAAGGGTCATGTATCAGTTATTTAACCAAAATGGAATCACTTACACAACTTTGATAGACCATGCTTCTCTTTGAAAACTTTATAATTGCATTTCCTTTTCATTGAGATTTTTATTATTTGAGTCAGACAGACAAATTGATAAGGGCTTTGTTCCTTTGAGTTTCATTCTGTTACTATTTGTTTCAAATCTTTAATTGATTCGCTGTGTTTAGCTTTTGTCTATGTGAGGCAGACATTAGACAATCAATTTTAGTGATAAGCAATGAATACCTAGGCCTTTCACAGATGGTGGTGATGATAAATAAAATCTTCACAGTTCAGCATACTTGGATTTCAATGTAATTATGAAAATAGGAACTCCTATCTTCAAAGGTCACAGATGCGAAACAAGAGTAGGAAAAATGATATGAATTATGTTCTTTCATGTGGACTTTTCTCAGTCTATAGACCTTGTCAAGTTTTTTTATGGATATTGTTAGGTAACATTTCAATTAACTTAATATAGATTGTATTGCTTCCAAATGAAAGGAATGTTGTTTTTTTGGCTTTGCAGTAAGCCAGGTTCACCATCTATGTCTAAGAAATATGCAAATTTGACATGTTCCACCCTTCTTGAACATGAATAATTAATTCTGCCCTGCTTTTGTTGTATGAAATTTAGTATTTTTTTGGCTCACCATTGATAAATCTTTCCTATATTTAGTGGATATGTGTTATGAAGTTATTGACCATATTTTCTCTATCGTAAAGTATGATTATATTGTTAACAGAATGAGAGAATTTATAGGGTGTTGTACCCTTGATTTTGTACACACACAATGTTTTTGTCTTGGATGTTTAATACATAAAATGTGCCATTAGACAGCAGGTTTGCTACAGAATATGATTTGGATGGACTATTTAGGGAATGGTGTAAATTTTCTCACATTACCTTGTATTGAGAATTTGCCAAGGCTTTTGAACTTGAATAAGATCATTGCAACCACTCTCTTCGTTAATTGTGATCTTGGAGTTGATATGCGTCTACAGTGACAGTATGCCCTTGACATTTTGATCTGCCATCTGTGTTTGGATATCACTCTGGTGTTACGGCGGTGCTTGAGAGTAAATATATGATATAGTTCAAGTAGTACCGTTTCTGATTGTTTGTCTGGTGAAACAAGGACCATAACTTTGTCCTGTAATGTATAATCCTGTTTTGCCTTCTGCTATAATCAATCCCAGTGACTCTTGTGAACTAGAAAAATACTCTTTTGTGTCATCTCCGAAATTGCAACTGCGCATTTCCTGCAGGTGTTTATACTGTCTGGTGCATTGCCCGTGGAGGCTTGTTTTGGTGGATAGAAAATTGATGTTATTTATAATGATGGGAGCTTTGATATTGTGTAGTTTATTTCACTGGGAAGACTTAATTTGTATTTTTCTTGTCGTGAATGTGATTTGTACACTGTTGTTGAAATTTCCTTTCATCGCTGAGTTTGACAAATCCTCGTCACCATAGGGTGTGTAATTTAATTACACAAAGCTGATATATGCAGACCTTGATTTGAGAAATTGCTAACACCAAATCATTCATTGCTGATTGCGTCTGTATTTGTTACTTATTCCAGTGTTTTAATAGGACAAATACCCTTTCTTACACAGTTAGCTAGTTTTGATGCATATTGTGGGGAAAAAATTGTCTGTTTACACTTGCAAATTTATCAGAGCAACAGCCTGAATAACGTTTTGATATCTTGGAATGTCCCTTTTTCCTTCATTGCTCCCTCTACTTGTATTTGCCCATTTTTTTTTTTTTTGTTTCAACCATTTGGTCACTCATTAAACTGTTATTTGTTGCAAATGGTAATAGGAGTGATATTAAACAATTATTTAGATGAAGCTCAGAGTTGTTTTGGTTAAATTGATTAGTCTGTTGAGAATGTTTTCCTATATTTCCAACTTCCTCAGACATTCATAAGAGCATCTGCTTAAACTTTCCTTCTATAAATTTAAGATTATAAAACATCAGGAAACTGCACAGCAGTCTTCTTTTTTTCAGAATTTTCCTTTACCATCAAGATCAATGTTTGTAGGGTTATTCAAGGATAATTTTCTTTAATAGTCTTTGTCCATCCAGAATGTGTTTTTCTCTACAACTGTAGTTTGGGTACCTAATTAAACCAAGAGGAAGTATTGTTCAGGGTGTCAAGATCTTTGTAATTCTTTGATTGACACAGTACATTGAAATCATTGTCAGTAGCTGCTAGACAAGAATGAAAAGGAACAGTGATTATGAATGTAATTCTACCATACTAGTGAATTGCTAAATCCAGAGTTGAAGGAAGTAATTTGGGCTTTTACTCATTGATTTATTGTCTTTTACTACAATTTTCAAAGGAGGTTTTTTTGAAAAAAAAATTCATTGTTATTTGTTTTTGATTTATGACAGTGATATGTTGAATCTCCAAGAAAATTTGTTGCTTGTCAGACAAGTTTCTGAACTCAATTTCAGAGCACTTCACTACAAGCGTACAAATACAACATCATAATTTCAAAATTGAGTTTGTGCCTGGTGGCATTCTGTTTTGTTGGGGTTAAACTTTTTAAAGCAAGATAGATTGATTGTCTTTTGGGAAGAGATTGATCCATTCCTATTTGTAAAAAATCATTTTAACAGTATTGAAAATATGCTAAATAGATATACTGACTTTGGCAATTTGTCCATATTTTTTCAGCCTGTATGGAGTATAGTTATTTAAATACAAATTATTTTTCTCACTTTTGCAGCCAATCACCCACTACCTTGTTAAATGGTGTTCACAACCTTATGAAGAAAGTACTTGGGAAATTGAGGTAATTGGTACAGAGAAAAATCATAAGACTGTCTGGCTTTACATTTATCTGGTTGTCTTAACTGAACTGTTTGAAGTCCTGAGTTAAACATAGCATAGCATAGTTACAATTTTTTGCTCATTGTTCAATGTCAGGCTGATGTTGATGAAACAAAAATCAAGCAGTTCCACAAACTCAAGGAACATCCACCTATGGCTCTAAGACAGGTAGGCTTTTTGCTCTGTGCTGTAATGTTGGAACCCTGTCCAATGTCAACTTGTAGTGCTCAATATCCCAGCCACTTGAGTTTTTGTGCATCTACATGTATATCTTGCCTTATACTGATGCTTGGAGAAGAGCATATTAGACTTCTTAGGCTTACATTGTAATGTTATCTGATTTTTATTTACTCTTTAAGCAAACCTGTTCAATCTTTCATGAAGAAACAATTTAAGAAGTGTTATGGAATGAATGGGAAAAGCGCAGGAAAGAAATGCACAAAAACTCTAAAATTTGGGTGCTTAAACTGATTGTAACCAGTTCTCTTAGTGGCATTTTCCAGCCAAAAATAATTAAGTTAAATATCACAGTGGAAGTGCCTCTCTCAAGTAACAATTTCTGCAAAATTATTTGTAAAGTGCCAGATTTTTGCATGACAGAGAGTGGAAAGCTTTCATGATAAACCACTTCTTATAGGAAACCACAATTAATTTTTGTGTGCTTGTGGTAAGTTCTGCCATTTTTAACCTCTTGACATGGTCTGACCTTAAACACAAACATCAGTCTGGTAATGAGATCCCTCTAAGGCTAGTGTGACAATATGCAGGCCTGATAATCTTCTTGAACAACCAGACATGTCTTAAAATAAATCAGTTTGAGGTTAAAGATGATTTCGTACGTGGAATAAAACCCTGAACTTTCTGTTAACCATGGCTTAACATGTACACTCCTTGTGTTAATGACCCAGACTCCTAGAAGTAACCAAATAGGGGTATCTGTTTTTTTTTTTTTTGTTTTTTTTTTTTTTTTTTTTTTTAATGCAGTTCCGTCCTCGCCCATACCCACATGAGTGGTGCAAGATGGCTGCATCGCCAGTGTATAAAGAAGGAAATACGCTACGTGACTATCAGCTTGAAGGTGTTAATTGGCTCACCTTTTGCTGGTGTAACAGGTACATGATTCTCAATAGATGGCATGAAAAACTTTTTGTTCCTTTGTGGTCTGAAATGTGGAATTTTTTCAAGAAATTTCATCACAAAAGAACAGTGTCAAGTAACAGTTTAAAAATAAAACAACTCGAGCAATGGAAAATAGTGCAAGAATTCTGTGTAGTGGGGAGAGAATTTGGTTATCTATTTTACCTTTGAGAAAATCTTGTAATGTGCAGCTTTCTCACTAGAGTTGATTGCTTTCCTTTCCTGTTTTACATCAAAGCAGACTGAAGTAGTTCTTTGTGCATGGTACTTCTATTATGATTTTTTACAGGCAGTGGAAATATATTTAGAGTAATTATGTGGAAAAACAAAAGAATTGCAGGTCAAATGGCATTTGGAATTGATTAATTACTCTATTGTAGACTTAATGGAATGGATTCTAATGTTTACTTGCAAAATTCAATGTTTGTTGACATTTTTATTTTATTTTTAAACTTTTAATTCAGGCAAAATTCCATTCTAGCTGATGAGATGGGACTTGGAAAAACTATTCAGTCCATTTCATTTCTGGTTGAGATGCAGGTAAGTTGGAATGATGTTTGCCTTAAAGAATTTTTGGCTCAGGACACCTTTGCAACAAGTATGATACAAGAGCAAGGAAGGGTGTCTTTAAATCTATGTGATCTATTTGCAGTTTTGGTTGGTTGTTAAAAAACCAAGCCACTAGACTAGTAGTAGTTTTAAAAAGGACCATTTATAGTCTACAGTTGGAGTAAGTTGTTCATAAGAAGACCCATAAATTGTTGTTTTTGTTTCTGTTTTTGCAGCGGTATGGTGTCAGGGGTCCATTCCTTGTAATTGCACCTCTCTCTACAATCTCCAACTGGCAAAGAGAATTTGAGACTTGGAGTGACATTAATGCTGTTGTCTACCATGGAAGGTAAGTCCTCAACATATATAAGTATTAAAAAACATAATTATTTTTCAACATAAGGTTAGAATATTGAAATCGAGAAACTCAAGGAAAACTGGCTAGATTAGATGTTTCTGCTGCATGCATCACTATACTCTATTAAGACTGCACCTTTGATTTACATGTGGCCTTTTTGTATTCTAGTGCGTCAAGCCGTCATTTGATTCAAGAATATGAATTTTACTTCAGAGATGAACATGTAAGTGACCTTTGCATACATCACAAAATAGTTGAGTGAGGTCTTTTTTTACGGAATTAAGATAGACAAATACCCATGTCTATAACATTTTATTCAGTGATTAGAATGCAGTTGATTTCTTACCCCTCACTCATTAGCATGTTATCATGAAACTGTATGATCTGAAGATGTTTGTGAAAGGTGTCATTTGATTTTGACAGGTGTCTTATTCAATTGTGAAATTTTGCAGCACTGACATTTATACTGTTTGATAATTTTTTAGGGCCAACCCATTCCAGGATTGTACAAATTTGAAGCAATGGTAACAACATATGAAATAATCATAGGTATGAAGATTTTAAATTTTTTGGTACAACCCCTTTTTAATCATCCCACTCAAATAGTTTCCTTTCCTTAGGATAAGAAATTTGTAAGGTTTGCCATTCCATTCAATCAAGCTGAGAATTGTTTTATGTGGAGTTTGGGATATAGAACTATTTTCTGTGTGAGAAATAGATATTAATGGTAACAATGCTGTACTCTATTACAATCTTTCCATAAGCTGACAACATGCAACTGAGTGCAGTGCCTTGGAGATGTGTGGTTATTGACGAGGCTCATCGTTTGAAGAACCGTAACTGCAAACTGCTGGAAGGACTTAACAACCTCAGCATGGTATTAAAAAACTACTTTTTTTGTTCCTTCTTGTTTAAGGAAGTTACCATTTGCATACACTGTAAGCTTGTTCCCATATTTAAAACAGTCAAAATGATACAGTATAAAACAGGGAAAGTCTGGGAAACTTTTCCAGAGGCTAGTTGAATTGTCTTGTCACTTGCAGAAATAACTGCTTTTGTCGAATCTTAACAAAGGCTTGAGAGCAGTATAGGTTGTTGACTTGAATGGTGGTGGCTTATCCAAATAACTGAGAAAAGTTTGGTGAGTTCAGTGGGGTGAAGGAGAAGTCAGTCCTGTGTGGTCTTATTGATTGGTTTTGATGACTATACACTTCATATTGAGTAATGAAGAGAACCTATTTACTTAAGCCACTGCCATCAATGAACTGAATGTATATATTTAAACAAAAATTGATGTAGTTATTTAGAGAACCTATTTACCCAAGCCATTGGCATTAATGAACTGAATGTATATATTTAAACAAAAATTAATGCAGTTATTTAGACACACTGTCCTGTTTGTTTGTTTATTTGCCTTTTTGTTGATAGGAACACCGAATACTACTGACGGGAACCCCTTTGCAGAACAATGTAGATGAGTTGTTTAGTCTTTTGAACTTCCTGGAACCAGCACAGTTTCCTTCCCAGGTTGCCTTCCTTATGGAGTTTGGCGACCTTAAAACTGAGGCTCAGGTTGAGAAACTCAAACAGGTTCGTCAACAACTTTTAATTTGCCAAAGGAAAAATTTTCTTTCGATACTGTTCTATTATTTGCTCTGAATAATGGCTTCATGTGGTGGAGGCTTCTATTTAAGTCAAACTGAGTATTTATAGCACTTTACATTTGTCCATGTTGTGATCTTTTCCTGGTCTCTCTTTGGCCTTTATTTATTTATTATGAGTAGCACTGGTTGTTTTTTTGTTTTTTGTTTTTTTTGGTTTCTTTTTTGTGTGGAAACTAAAGTTTGAGCCAAGAAGTAAGATTAAATAAGAGCATCCTTATGCATACTCTCAGGAATGGGTAACTCAATATGTTTTCTGATCACTTTTTATTTTTTTTTTTACATTTTCACCAGCTTCTAAAGCCAATGATGTTGAGAAGACTTAAAGAAGATGTTGAGAAAAACATTGCACCCAAAGAAGAAACCATCATTGAGGTGGGATGTTTATTTCTTCCTTTTGTGCTATTTATTATTACATTAATCAAGAAAAGCCAGTTTTGAAAATGTTTGTCTTTGATTGATTTATACCTATAGGTTGAACTTACCACCATACAAAAGAAACTGTACAGGGCAATTCTTGAGCGCAACTTTGCCTTTTTAAGCAAGGGAGCAACATCCAGTGCAAATGTACCAAACTTAATGAACACCATGATGGAACTCCGCAAATGCTGTAATCACCCTTTCCTGATCACTGGAGCTGAGGAGAAAGTGCTTGCTGAGCATAACTTGTCATTGGTTGAGAAGACAGTCAAGCATGTAAATATCATGATTGACGCTTCTGGAAAGCTGGTGCTTATTCATAAACTTCTACCAAAACTGAAATCCAGTGGGCATAAAGTCTTAGTTTTTTCGCAGATGGTTCGTTGTCTTGACATTTTGGAAGACTATCTTGTTCACATGAGGTATCCTTATGAGAGGATAGATGGGCGTGTGCGAGGAAACCTGCGTCAGGCAGCTATCGACAGGTTCAGTAAGCCTGACTCTGATCGTTTTGTGTTCTTGTTGTGTACCCGAGCTGGAGGTTTGGGAATCAATCTGACAGCAGCAGATACTGTTATCATTTTTGATTCTGACTGGAATCCCCAGAACGACATTCAAGCTCAGGCAAGATGTCATCGTATTGGGCAGAGCAAGTCTGTCAAGGTTTACAGGCTCATTACAAGGAACTCCTATGAGCGTGAAATGTTCGACAGGGCAAGCATGAAATTGGGTCTGGATAAAGCTGTTTTACAGTCCATGAATACCAAGGAGAATGCAAGCAATAATGTAAGAGCCAAAGTGTTAGAGTATTCAGTAGTAGTTAAGCACTGTAAAAGGTGTGCTAAGGGACTCTATACATGAAAGAACTCTAATGTGTTTGTTATGCTTTGAGGTCAGACTACAATAAATACTTTTGGTACCTCTGGCTGATGATGGTACCTCTGGCTGATGATGGTCTAACTTTAATCCCAGTGATTCAAGTTAAATTTTCCATTGTTTCAAGACTGAATAACTGGGAGGCATTTTATTGAAACAAAGGAAACAAAATAGGTTTTTGCTTTGAATGAAGGATGTTGTCAGGGAATTCAGCATTACAAATTCTACCCTATGTTTATTTCAAAATTAAATTCAAACTATAGCTAAGCAGGTTCTTTGTGTTCTGCAGCAATCATTGTCTAAAAGAGAAATTGAAGACTTGCTGAGAAAAGGTGCCTATGGTGCAATCATGGAAGAAGAAAATGATGACAGCTCCAAGTAAGTGTGTTCTGCAAAAGTGTCAATTACATAGAGAGGTTTCCTAGCAATGCACTTACATGTTCCTTCCTTTAATTTTTCAATTTTATTTTAGATTCTGTGAAGAAGATATAGACCAAATTCTTGAACGCCGCACACAAGTTATCCAAATTGAGTCTCAGGGGAAGGGATCAACTTTTGCCAAGGTAAAGAAGAGGCTTTTCTCTTCAAAATTTTATAAGCTGTCTTTTTTTTGTAGTTGCTATTATTACCCCAGCCCTATTTTCTTGTGCACAGTCACTGAAATTATCATTATCTTGTGGATCATTTTGTAGGCAAGCTTTGTGTCATCCAAGGGTGAAGAGGACATTGACATTGATGATCCTGACTTTTGGCAAAAGTGGGCTAAGAAGGCAGAACTAGACGTTGATCTCATGAACAAGGCAAGTCATGAAGGCCATAGCCAGCCTATATTTAACGAAGGGGAATGTTAACTTTTTAATGGGAAAAAAGGCCCAATGAAGTGTGGTAATCAATGTTTTATTTGTGATTTTACATTATGTTGCTTTACTTAATTTTAGAGGCCAGTTTGCAAAATTTTCCCACCAGAAGTGTAGTAGGCTATATGCTTTGAGGCATATAGTTTTACATATATATCCTTAAAAATTTGACTCTTTGGATTAAAAGTACAAAAACAGTTAATATAGCTACCATTTATGTACTGACTATAGCTTACATTACTTTTACTTCTAGGACAATCGTATTATTGATGCACCTCGGCAAAGGAAGCAGACTAAGCGATATGGCAATGAAGATGGGGATTTTGAACTGTCAGACTTGGACCTTGAAGAAGATGATGAAGCACCTTTGCCAAGGAGATCATCCTGGACTAGGGTAGAATGTTTCAGAGTGGAAAAGAACTTGCTTATTTATGGGTATGCAGTGGAATTTACTCTATGTTAGGTTCTGTCCCCAAAGAATGCTTGATTGATTGATTTGTTATTGTTCTTATTCATGGTTTTTCTAGCTGGGGTCAGTGGAAAGATATTATTTCTTCAGGAAGATTCAAAACAAAGGTCTCTGAAAGAGATGTCGAAGCCATTTCACGCACAATACTAGTCTACTGCCTCCACCACTACAAAGGAGATGAGAAAGTGAAGTGCTTTATCAGAGACCTTGTCAAAGCTTCTGTTACACGGGAAAGACTTCCTAGTGAGGAGCGAGATGCCACCTACACACCCTTACCATTGACTGGCAAGACAAAGACAAGGAATAAGAAAGGAAAGAGTTCCAACAAGAACAAAAGTGCCATTGCCCTTCTTGAAGTTGGCAGTGAGTGGCGCACATGCGACCCAGAGAGCATCATATTGGATGAGGGTTATAAGAAACATTTGCAACACCACTGTAATAAGTAAGAGAGCTTTTCAATCAAATGTTCAGGAATAGACTAACCACTTAACTCCCAGGAATGTTCAAGAAGCAATTTACCTTTTCCATATCAGTGTATTGAGAAGCAGGGAGTTGATCAGAAATATGAAAAATCTCAAGGAAACAGTTTGTAATTTAACACAAAATTCTTGGCTATAACATTAGGAGTAGTATATGGTAGACAATAGAGAGAATTTATTTTGCGATCTTAGAGTGACAGTGATATGGAGATTTTTATTGAAATAGCTGTAGTTTTCTTATTTTTTTGGTTCTTATGGTCACTAAAGGGGCAAAGTATTTGGTCTAAGTCTTAATCTTGGAGTGGAGGCACTTCTATTTACTGTTTGTTTGTGTGTCATCTGTGCCTACTTTAAAACTTAGCCAACTGTGGTTTACAAAGAATTTTGCTAGTTCAGTTAGTTTCAAACATTCTGTCTTACTTGTTGTTAAGGATTCTGCTGCGTGTCAAGCTGCTTTACTTCCTAAGACATGAAGTGATTGGAAAACTTGGACCAAAGATAAAGGAGGGGTGCAATGCAAGGTAATGCAACTTGAATATCAGTCTTGAATTTTTGAGAATAGGATTTTGTAATTCTTGAAAGGATTAATTTTCACTTTATCATTGTTACTGCTTTTATTATAGTGCAATGATATTGTCAGGACCTTGTTTGCTGAAGATTTTTTCATGTGTTCAGTATAAACTGGTAACATCCTGATATATCGTGTTACATGGCAAAAGAAGACAGAGGAGGCTTTCACCGAGGCCTTTTGAAAAAAGGAAATAGAATTTCACAATAAAATAGTTCTTAAAGAATACCTCAAACATTCTTTTGTTATTTTGTATGGGAGGACTTACAAGCCTAGAAGACCCATTATTAGATGGAATCTATTAGATTAGAATAGCAGTAGCATATTGGATCCTTAGTGCAGTTGATTACTACTGTTATTATTTATTTCAGTGAGTTAGACATAACCATTTACCCCCCTGAAGGAGATCCTCCAGCCAATTGGTGGGATGAAGAGTGTGATAAGTCACTTCTAGTGGGAGTCTACAAGTATGGTGAGTGTGCCAATGAGGAGCTTGCTTTTTAAACACAAACAGTGGAAGTGAACATTGTTCAGTGTTTAGTCATGTAATGTTCAGTTGTTTTAATACCTCTCCAAATGGAAGTAAGTGGCTATAATTGTGGTTTAGAGTTGAAGGTAGTCATTTGAAAACCTTCCTCTTTCTCACTGTGTTCTGTTTTCCTCCAAGGGTATGAGCATTACAAGACAATTAGAGCAGATCCTAGCTTGTGTTTTCTCTCAAGAGTTGGCCTTCCTAATAATATGAATGAATCTATGACTGGTGAACCTACTGATCCAGATGATAGGTGAGTTCATACTGAATTAAAACCCGTGGCAGAATTATAGCTGTATACAGATATTAAGTGGAAAGTAGATGTATATCATTCCTCCCCATTTCTGGAAAAATGTATTCTGGCAAATAATTTCTCCTCACACTCTAAATATGAAGGATTTATTTGTATACCTAAACTGAAGCATCCTTGAAATGATGCAGAAACATGTTAGACTACTGAGACACAGGAAGAAAATTGATCAACTGATCAAGGATGTTAGTTGCAAGCTGGTTTTAGCCACCAGTTTAGCATTTACAAAGGATTTTACGGTTCAGTAGAAATTTTCACTTCTAACGGTATTAATGTCTCTCTTTGTGAAGAGATGAGGATGATGGTGATGCTAACGATGACCCAGACTATCAGCAACCATCCAGTCTGTCGCAGAAAGATGATGACAATGATGATGACGAAGATGACAAGGTACAGTAGATTTTCAGAGTTTGACTTCTTCATTTTCGATACTACAGACCTCTGGTTAGCATGGGTCATAGGAATTACTTCACCTCTTATATTACAAGTTTCCAAAGTCTTAAATAGCTCTTGAACACTCCAGGAACTTACTTCGACCTTATCAGTCCTGAATACTGATTTACTGTAATGTTAATCAGATTATGTGGGATTGTAGCATCAAAACGATTGCTTATGCAGTAACTCTTTTATTCCCAGAAGTGATTAACATTTAGCTTCTCCTTACAGTATCGATACATTATCCAGTAAACGGGTAATGTGTATACTTCTCAGGTAAAAGTTTTGATCTGATATAACATCAAATACTCTTAACAAGGACATGTGGAACAGCTGGAGGGCAAAATTAACAATCACATCTTGGGAGTTGAAGGGTTATTGAAATGCAACGTTATCTCTGTTACCCTGAGTTTCCAAGGTTAAAGTTAAAGGTTCAGTGTCATAGTTATTTAACAACTTTTCTATTATATTTTAGGACACTGTGTCCGCTGTATCTTCACCTGGCACTCCGCGTAAAGCAGACAAGACCTATGATGGTAGTGTAGACTTCTTGTTTATTTTCCTACACTATTTTTGAGAAGTACTTCCTGTTCTGATCATCACATCAAGCACACAAACACATTATAAATTTTACCTTTCTGCTTTTTCTTCAGCGGCTGCAGGTGAAGTTAGGGGCAGTACACGTCTACGGTGGCCGACATCATCTGATTTGAACACAAGGTTGAGGAGAATCATTGCAGGTTATCAGAGAGTAGTGAAAAAGCAGGAGCTGAAGAAAGCAGCAGCCGAAAAGGTGTGTGAGTACTCTTTTAAAGAAGTAAACGTACCACGGTCTTAGATATCTGGAGGGAAAATGTCGGTGTGTTTAAGGTCTCGCTCTTTAGTTTGATCGTTTTAAATAGTGGAAGGTGATGGATTGTCTATTTGTCTGACTTGATGGTGGATTGTTTATTGCTTTATAGGAACGGGAAAGAAAGGAGAGGTTTGAAGAGGCTGTCAGGCAAAAAGAATTGAAGAAAGCTGAAATGGCTCAAAAGTATGTCTGTACACAAGTATTATTTTACCTGGATTTAACTTAGTAAACATGGTAGAGTTGGGGCTTGAATTGTTGTTGCTGGAGTAGATGACATCCTTTACTCGCCCATTTGGTGCACTTTTCTACGCACAATTATTTGAGTCTTTCCCATTTTGTCACATTCCTTCATACAAATTTTTTTGAAACTGGCATTGCATTGACCCCCACTTTGGCATCTTTGTGCAAAGATCTGAGAAAAGGTTAATCATGGCACCTAATGCTGCAAGCTTATCCTTATTTTGAGCTCTTAGAATTTACCCACTTCTTTTTTCTTCTCGAAGGTGGTCAAAGCGAGAAGAGGTGGACTTTTATCGCACAGTGTCCACGTTTGGTGTGGAGTTTAATAAGAAGGATGGAACTTATGACTGGTCACGATTCAGGTAGTTTTACGTTAAGCCTACATGATTAGCTTCTGTATTAGTGTTACCTATTAGGTTGGGCTTCTGCACTACAGTCGATGATTATAATCTTTGCTGTTCACATCCTGAACTACGTGATGACAAGACCTTACCTACAATGAGACTGTGGTTTCTGTATAGTAAAAGCGTCCTCACCAACTCATTTACTTGTTACCTGTCAGAGTTCAGCCTTCCACACTTCACTAAGTTTGACATATATAGTCTGAGTTAATAGTGTACTTGCTGCTTTTTCTTGCAGACGTTTAGCTCGTTTGGACAAGAAGAATGACGATAGGTTGACACAATACTACCTTGACTTCATGGCCATGTGTAGAAGAGTTTGTGGCCAAGCTACAGAGGAAGATGCTGGAAAAGGTGAGTAAAATACTCACTGAAATAAGCTACTGCTTGATACACAGCTGTACGTTGACAAAGCTCATAAGAGAGATCGTTTTTTCCTCTGCTTTGTTTCAAGCGTGAGAACTTATTCACAAGAGTTGTACACTGTAGGTCTTATTGTTTAATGTTTTTTAAATCGAAGAATGACCGCATTGTAGACTTCACGCACAGCTCTTATATATGTGTACCTCATATGGTCTCGGAGCTGTCTAATCACACCCAAAATTGGTAAAAGTGCGTCTTCTTGTATCCTATCTGATATTCTTAAGAAACAAATTGGTTTTAGGTATGCTTGTTGAAATGTTGTGTTCACCGTAGCATTGCTGAAGTGATACTTAAACGTTAGGGGTTCAAACACAGTGGAACACTTTTAATATTTATTGAGACTGCAACCGGAGTGAAAGTGTATAGTCAAGGCATGTTCTTAACGTAGATCACTGCTTACGTTAAAGGTACAGGTGTGGAAGCTATTTCAGAAGAACGAGCCAGTAGAAGTCTTTACAGAATACAGCTGCTCTCAAAGATCCGAGAAGAGGTAAGATATTTTCTTGTGGTAGTATTCACTTGAAGCGTGAAAATAGCAAACAGTACATACTTACACACAACCATGTTTTAGCCCGTTGAAATTGTCAGTTAGTGTAGAGTGGGTATAGAAAGTCAGTATTGAATCTCTGGTGAATTTCTTGTGCAGGTTCTGCCTCACGAGAAGCTAGACGAACGCCTTCAGCTGGCTCAGCCTTCTTCCAGTTTCCCTGACTGGTGGCAGTGCGGCAAACACGACAAAGACTTGTTACTTGGGGTGTCAAAGTATGTAAAGAAATAGGGTAGTTTAGTGTTATATACCACCGACGCAGCACCACAGCCTCTTTAGAAACTTACCTCCTTTATTCATATGTAACGAGATAATTATTTTACTAGGCCTATTTAATTCAATCAACTCATTTTTCGTTTTTGTTTATTTTGTTTTGGTGTTTTTGTTTTGCTGTTTGAGGAGGTATACCACACCTTCCCAAATGCGTTTTGTTAGTATTTTTTTCTGTTAGGTTAAGTTCCTTGTTTTGACCTAAATCATAACCTTGTTGACAGTTCCTCTCATAGTCAATCTTCTAGAGAAGTAGCAATTGCAATTTTCAAATAAAGTCAAACCTCATAGGTTGTCTGATGAGTAAGGACGGAAGTGTTCATTTTTGATAGGTAGTTCTTCTGTTGATGTGAAGGTCATTTGTCGTTGTCTTTCTGAACTGAGATTTGACTTCGTCATGTTTGTAGACATGGGATCAGTAGAACAGATTTTAATCTGCTGAGTGATGCTGAACTGTCATTTATGGAAGTTATTTCCAAGTTACCTTCAAATCCCGGAGGCCTACTCGTGAACAAAGGTACAGGTTTGCAAACTAAGTAATATGATCCTTTCCGTCGCTGAATATGTGAAGGTACATCCTTTTTTCCCCTCTTTACCTGTTTTCTTTCTTCCAATTTTCCTCTTTTTTTTCCCCTTATACCAGTGGTAGTCATTTTTCCAGTGTTTATTGGCTGCTTGTCACCCACATTTGATAACTACTAGTTGCATAAAGAAATTTTATTCACGTCGTTCTCTCTTTCTAGTTCCTGGAGATGAGAAAACACCATCTCCAGCAGGAGGCATGAAGACAGAATCTTCACTTCCATTTGATCGCCTCTCACCTCTCGAAAATGATCTAGGGGATGGACAAGGTGACCAGCCAATGAAAAGCTTGTCTCAGCAGCTACCTGATTATGGAACACCATCCGAAGAAGTGCTGTCATCACCCAGCGAGAAGATGCCTAAACCTCCTCCCCCCGAATCAACAGCACTAAGCTCGCCTTCAGTGAAACCTGACCCAGACGCTTCAGTGGCTATGTCCTACGGGTCAGTATCCTCTGACCAAGATTCAGCAGTTCTTGCTCAGGGGCAGAGAATTGTCAAAGACGCTGCACCATCATTAGTTGTGGAACCTAAAATTGAGGACATGGAGGAGTCCAGCAGGCAGAACACCCCTACTCCTTCTCAACTAAATCCAGGGGCAGGCCAAGATGAGGAGTCACAACTGAGCTTCAACCAAGACAACCAGTCCAGCGACACCTCCCTTTTCTCTGTTAGGTGGCCTAAGGTCAGTGGAGCTGGTAATTAGTTAGGGAACTAGAACACAGGCATTTCTTTAACGAACAGCGACCGATGGAAGAATTCAATTTCTTCTTGGGTGCTCTGACATTGGATAATCTAGTTGAACGCCCTTTTTTTGCGTGTTTTAATCCAACAATGACATGCTTGAGAGTGGTTGCAAGTGCAGAGAAGAAAACTCTTAATTTCGAGCTGCCGTCCCCGCCACAGAAGTGTCTGGCGTTTCTATAAGTTTATGCATTTTACCCGCTCTCGATGTGCTCGGCCAATTTAAGTATACTCCAATTTGTACTGAGTTCACTATGCTTTTCTTGCAACAGGACAAAGTCGTTATCCAGCGTCTGGATCAGCTCTGTGAGTGTGTGTTGAAAGGCGAATGGCCTATTGTAAGTAAAGTGGCAGACGCCTTACTTCAGAATCAGTTGGCAGCAAATTCACCTATGTCTGCAGGGTACCCGGGTATAGCAGATGTTGATATGGCTTCATTGCCACCTGGGTTTGCTGTTGGTGAGGATGGAGTGCCAGAAGACCCCTCCAAAGCATTTAAACTTAAGAGGGTTAGTTCAAACTAGCATTTAGAGTTAATTAGTAAAGACCTTATGTTTTATCTAGTATCAGTGAATCATAATACGTTTCACACTTTGTCAACTCGAACGTCTATATTTTGCTGAGGAAAGCACGAAAACCAGTAACACCTTCTCTACCTGTGTTGTTCTGTCAGCTTGATGGCTTAAAGCTTACCTTCAAGAAGAACAGAAGAAAAAGGAAAAGAGATGCAGGTTTGTTTACAAAATTGCAGCTTTTGTTGTTGTTGTTGTTTCTGTTTTTGGTGTTTTCTTGATCCCGTCCGAGAAGGTAAAAATGGTTGGCTGTACGTGTCTGGTCGCCATAGCATGTTTATAACATCAGTATAGGTGTTGAATTCTACGGAGTGACCTGTGTTTGAAAGAGTGACTTGAATTTTTCATTTAGTCTTGACTTGGCACAACATTGTGATAGTTAATCAAGGTGTAATGTTGGCTAATCTTCCAGTTTCAAGCTGGCATTTAATAGATAATTTACCAACTTAGTAAGATGAAGAGGATTCGGTAAAGTTTGTTAAAAGTTGGAAAAAAATTTGAAAAGCTTAATTTTGGCATAACTTGAGAGCAGTGTGCTTTGCAATATTTGCCTTAAGGGTCCTCGTACTTACGGTTGTTCTTGCGTTGCAGAGATGAGTGAAGGCCTCGGAGAGGATGGAGGACCAGGTCTTCCGGAGCCAGGTACGAATTTATTAACCTCTTCGCTTCGAAAACGCGATTAAAAGTTTAGGAAAACTAGAAGTGGGTGCGTCGACAGTAAACTTGACTGAAATCTGTGTCCCTTAAAAAGCACTCTGAAAGAAAAAAGCGCGGGAGTGTAAAACTGGACTTCAAGCTTTTAATATAACACAGTAAATTATGCCTCCTTAGCCTAAATCGATCCTTTTTAAAAAGAAAAAAAAATCAATATACAACTACACCTTAGTCCCCGAAATGACACTGGTTAACCGTGTGCGTTCCTCTTTCAGTAAAAAGAATAAGTCTCCTACTTGAATCTTATATTCTGTCTGGAATGTTAAGGTTATAGAAAAATGCCCGCTCAAGTTCACGATGGGGAATGGAACGAAGGCATGATGAACTTGGAGGCCCAAGGCCACGACTTCAGGTGGGATGCCGCTCCTATTGGTGTGAAACCTCCCAGGAAAAAGAGGGCTTCCAAGAAAGAAAAAGGAGAGAAGCCCGAAAAGCCACCTGGGAAAAAACGAGGGAGGAAACCTAAAACCGATAAGCTCGGATCTGCGGGCAGATTGGCCGACACTGGTGGTGTAGCAATCCCACCTGAAGGCGCTGCCCTAGAGTGGACTGGGTTCTCTCTCTCGGGTAGAGTGGAAGGAGACATCAACCGAGTGTCTGTGATAGAGGAAACCAATGCTGGCCACGGGAGAACTGCTCTTCCAAAATCACCCCATGAAAGTGGAGCCAAACCTGCCTTCTCGACTTTTGCCGAAGAGGTATGTTTTTGATAAACTTGAATGAGTAAATTTCATAGCTACCTTTTTGGGTGAAGTTAACTCAGTGACGTCGTGGTTAGAAAACTGATGTCTGCACTTTTTCAGGATTATTTAAAAGGAAGTTTAGTCGATCAGAGATGAGACTCGTGCAGGATGCAGAAATTTTGAAATAGAACGGTTTTTTTTTATTTATAGTACAAGAACTCGTCGGGTTTAGAAAGTGACTCTCTTGGCACAAGCGGACAGGACGATACCGTCACCGTTATTGACAGAGATACAGGACGAAAGGTTTGTGTATTTCAGTGTTTGGTCAGACCATTGCTTTCTTGTTGGGTGACAGAGGAATCTTCGATTCTACTTTAGTATTTTTTTTTTGTTTGTTTGTCTGTTTGTTTCATGCTTTCTTGTACGTTTTAGTTGGTAGGAAATGTAGCGCCAAAGCTGTCGAACCTTGTGGAGTGGTTGCAGCTCAATACCAGTTACGACGTTGCTGAAGAGTCTGCAGCATTTGTACGTAGCAAGGTAAGCTTATCTCGGGAAAGAAATAATAGTGATAAAACGTTGAAAACTAGTCTAATGAGCAAATTGTTCCAGGAAGCTCGCTCCATCCTCTCGGCCAATCTGATCCAAGATAAGAGGCAGTCACCCCCTGGTCATTGGCATTTTCTCCCGCTCTAAGTCTGTTGGGTGTATTTGGTGAATAAACCCTTTCGGAGCGGCTGGTATGTCGGCTGATAATATCCGCGGCTTAGATATTGTCCGATGATTTATTATTTGGCCGAGAAGCGAAGCTACCTGGGCAAATTTACAATTTTGAGGACAATCTCTTAGCCAAGGACATTATCAGCTGACAAAGCAGCTAGTCAGAAGGGGGTTTATTTATTTTATAGCCCTCACATTCATTTTCATATCGCGCGTTGACTGCCAATATAATATCCAGAGCAGCATTTAACTCTACGAAAGGAGTTTGTTTTTCTTACATGTAAAGTAAAACGTGAAACTCTTGAGCTGGCTTTGTTTGTTTTCGACGGAAATAATCCTACGACTAATATCGACGTTAATGGAAGGGTTATTGCGTGATAACTTTTTGGCGATTTTGCCTCACGTGATGTAAAGTAGCCAATAAAATCGCGAATGGTGGGTTATACTTACAAATCCCTGTACACTATGATATCAGTATGCATATCCTCTATACTTTTTTCTATACAATTAACTTTGGTTTTGGTTTAACGACACTCCATCGAAAAGCGCTCTGTCCATAGCTTAATGATTATGTGGGCGATCAACTTGGTATTTGATTCCAGTAGCGGATCATACAAATTAAGTTTTGGCTGCGAGTTAGAGTATGTCCTATTAACCAGCTAAGGAGTTGAGGTGGAAAAGAAGAAACTTAAATATGACAAAATGACGCTAGTGGTGAAATAAGCAAACAGCTGCTAGTGAATATATTTTTCTCTTCCATTTCTTCGTTTATATATTTAAAGACTGACAAGTGTTGCTTATGGTTTATTTCAGGGTATTCTACCTTCATCTCTGCTAAACAGATTGTCCCCCGATAAGAAGTCTAAGCCTACCACACCCAAAGCATCTGGAGCGCAATCGTCACATCACTTACCTGGATCCTACAATGACATGAACTACGGTGCTTCGATGCCTAAATCTCAGTTTGATTCATCTTCGTCAACGTCTTTGACCTCAACAGCCAAATCGGACTCTCACAACGAACCTGCCCGGGCTGCATTTCCTTACGACTCTTCCCACTTTGGAAACTTTTCGCATGCTATGCCGTTTGGCCCATTCGGTCACATGTCGCCTTACTACGCTTCTTATGGGATGGGTATGGCGCCAAATTCTCAAGGAAGCACTGCGTTTGGTGGCGACAGTGCTGTGTCGAAGCCTGCGCAGTCTCCAGTTAGTCCGAGTCGTTCGTCTGCGCATGTCGCTTTTAATAACTCATCATACTCGTCACTTTACGCAGGACAACAGCTTGGAAGTGGAACACAGGGATACCCATCTAATGCTTTTTCGTATCAACTTTTGAACAATGGTAATCATCCTACGGCATCTTCGCTGTCGCCAAAGGGAGATTTACTAGCTGACAATGCAAGCCACGGTTCTTCCAGTATGGGGAGCGACGTCTCCTCGCAAAGCAGCCCAGAGCATGACTGATTTAAGTGCGTTATTTTATCTGGGGAGGTTTTTGCAGCTTTTAAACATATCGCAAGGCTATGCCAACGGTTAGACTACTATGAATTAAAGCCTAACCTTAATAGTAACTTCAGGTGTTTCTTAAATTGCTTTAAATGGTTGTGATAATAAGTATAGGGAAGGCCTTTGTATCGTTTATTGTAGCATAAGAATTTGTAGCTATTAATGAGCGGTAAATAAGTTGTCATTATGCAAATTCAGCTGGACTTTTTCTGGTAACTTGGAGCGTTTTACACTCAAATAATGTACGTGAATTTGCTTTGTGGTGTGAAAATTAGGCTTAAATCTAATCGACAGGGAAAAGTCAAGAACTGATCAATGTTCGTTGCACAGCTGAAAGTTCGCAACTATTGCTTGGAGACCGTCACAGCCGAATTTACTGTAAAGAAAACACCTTGAAATAATACTTTATCTTCACTACATTCGTAATTCGCTTTTCTTTTCTTTTTTGTTTGATCTTTTGTGAGAAAGCGAGAGAGGTAGAGTTTGTTAATCATATAATTATTCTTATATACATATGCATGATTTATAGAAATATATAGTATACAATCTTGCTACGCCTTTAGGCATATTGTACATTTGAATTGACCTAAGCAAAACATCGGACGGTAATTTTTATAACAGCAGTCCTCTCTTCGTAAAAAACCGGATATCAGCTTTTTGGTCTCCTTATCTACAGTGAAAGAAGAAAAAAAAATTATGGAAACCACTCGGATACTGCAATTGGTGAAAGATTAATATATTGTGTGGCCGACCTGGTATTTATTTTGTGATCAGAATAAGTGCGCAACTTCTGTGCGTCTTTTTGTACTTTTTATGGCCAACTTTACTCTTTTGTGGCTGACTAACTGTAAAATGGAATTCAATCAAATCAAGAAACTACCTCAGAGAACAGAAACTTATTTATTTTCACGAATCAACTTAGAACTGTCTAGTAGATGCTCTAAATTCGTATCTAAGTCCGGAAATTGCCCAGTTGACTGCTTAGTGTTTTTGGTTTTCTTTTGGTTTTCTTTTTGGTTTTCTTTTTGGTTTTCTTTTTTGCCACTAAATATACCAAGGCCTGCGATCTAAATGCAAGAGAAAGTTAATACTTTATATTCTTGGTTAGAGCCTTTTCAGGGCAGTGTTGAAACCAATGTGGTGTGAATTGGCTTCGCTGTTCGATGTACTGAACGCCTTCTTGAAAATCAAAATTATGTGTTTGAATGAGTTTATTGCCTAGTTTAGTTTTTTTTTTGCCTTGTGTAATCTTTTTTCCATGGAACGGAGAGTGTTCCGGCTATGGAAAGTTTTAAGGAATGATTTTTGTTAACTCACGCAGTAAGGTAAAGGAAATAGAGAGCTCCTTCTCTAGATGTTACAATCATTGTAGGACGTTAGCATAGTAACGGTCTTTGTGGAAAGGGCGTGCTTGTAAATGTTGTCTAGTTTTGAGTGGTTTTGAGGGTCGCCACCTCAGAACCTTGATGACCCTGGACTGATCAAGTTGTTTGGACCAGCAAAATGAAAGCTGTTCTAACCTTTGTCTGTGTGAATATTCTAGTGGCTTTTAAATGAATCTTGAACTGACTGAGTTAATTTTGATATAAACTTGTCTGTATTTAATGGACTGTATTTATTAATTTGAATGAAATTTTTACAAATATTTTTAATAAATCTCTGCTGCTCTGGTGTCTCTTAACAGTCCTGACTCAAAGTGGCTTCTTTCATCTTCAATTGTTTACAAGCGTTGTGCTACTGTGAGTAAGCCGTATAATAGAACTGCAACCGTTCTCCGACGCTCTTTCACAATGTGAATTGTTTAAGATGCCCATAAGTCTACTCAGTGCGGTTTCAAGGTTTCTTTTCATAAAAGTAGGTTTAACCCTTTAACCCCTAAGAGTGACTTGCATTGATTTCACCTTACAATATCACCCCTGAATCAAACATTAAAAGGTCATGAGTATGATGGAAATGATCAACAAGTACAGAAGCTCTTGATTGTTAAGCAAAATCTCCCTAGTCAGCATCTTAGGAAATGTATAGGATCAGTATGGAAAATATGCATACTGATTTTAGGGTGAAGGGGTTGAATAAACTTTTTGACCCCTTGGAGTGACTAACATCTAACTTCCCTTTACAAGATTCCCCCCCCCCGAATCAAACATCTAAAAGGTCTCGAGAAGAAATGAAATGATAAACTTAAGAAGCTCTTGATTGTTAAACAAATTTTCCTTGTCATCACTTCAGGAAATGTAGAGAGAACAATCCGGAGAATATGCATGTTGATGTTAGATTGTAAAGGGTTAATCTAGAAACGAGCGTTTCCCTCACTGTCAATCCGATTCAAATCTAGAACCTATGGAGCGACTTGGCCGACTGCGTTGGCCGTGCTTACAAAAAAATTGGAAGACTTGCTTTGAGTTTTCATTGGCTCTTCCTGATATTTACTTCAAGAACAATCTCGCATGAACTTCATTTCGTCTGGAATTTACCAAGTAGTACATTGTTGGGAAAAACATAATTCCGAGCAGTTGTGACTCTTTTCACTAACCGGGCTCCGTGGAAGGCCCAATCTAGATACGTCCCAGCCAGCGAAGTAGACTTACCGTTAAAAACCTTCGAGGCACGCGCTCTCCCGTATTTGACCAACTTCTCTTCTTATTCTCAGATGCAAATTGGTCATTTAAACTTATAAAGGTAAAAAGTATTTGTTAACGGAGAAATAACTTGCGTTAGCTTGCAAGCCGCGACCTCAATTCTTTCGGTATGGAGCCACTGATTACGCCTGAAATTGGGCGAAGTGTCTATGGCCAGTGTGGTGCTCCAGAATATTAGGGATCTCAAGATCCGAGGACGGCGGATGTCTACGACGGCGGGCGGAAGTTTGAATGCGTGTTTATCTACTTCTGGTAGCCGTTTTCCGTAAATTCCCGCCGTAGCTGTGTTGTCTGCGACGTCAAAACAACTGGTTTGCCGTTTCGTAAAAAAAACCTGAGTTGATTACAGTGTTTTTATAAAATATTTTTTATAATTTTCGAATATTTTGCGCTACGGAGTCAATAACATTTTTAATTCGTTTGCCTACTCTTCTGGGACCTGATTTTCGAGAAAAAACATTTTTTTTTCTTCTCCACTAAACAGGTCATGGCTGCAGCCGTCACGAGTGCCAAGGAGATTGCTCAGTAAGTCCTCTTATTCTCTTTACTTCACGTTTCTAACAATGAATGTGGTGAAACTAAACACGAATTACGCTTAGTAAATGATAATCTCTCGATTATTTATGTTTGTGAAAGTGTCTTGCATATTTGGTGAACAAAAAAGGGTTCTGGTTGAAGTGAAAAAAAAGATAAACAACATGCAACACAAACAAAAAGAAAATAAGTGTTAACATTTTTTTTATCTTTAGAACCAACACGGAGTGGACTGAACAACATGACAATATTCTTTGTCAGGAGATTCTCGTTCTTGAACTATTCAAGGCAAAGAAAGGAAGCATTGCAAGGGGCCAAATTTGGGATAAAATAGCGAACAATCTGAACAGCCTTCAACATCCCCAGTTCAGAGTGACGAAGCGATCTGTGAGAGAACGATATACGCTTTTGAGTGACAAATTTAGAGCAAAGATAAGAGATGAAGAAAAGGCAAGTGGAATAGATACAGATTTGAGTGACGTTGAAAAAGCACTTGAGGGGATAGTAGAAAAAGAAGCTGTGGTTGAAGAAACGGCGCAAAATGACAAAAAGAAAGTCGATAGTGGCAAAGCAGCGGAAATGAGATACAGAGCTCTAGAGAACCTTGGCGGGACACAAAAAAGACAAAGGAAAGATGAGGTAAAGAATGAAACAGTAGCAAGAGTAAAACGTCGAAAAAGTGGTAGTGACACGGTGGCGTATTTGCGAGAAAAGAACGATCTCATGCAGAAATGGAAAATGGAAGAAATGCAGCTACAGAAGCAGCGACTAGTGGTTAAGAGCAAGAAGGAAGAGCAGTCCAAAAAGCAACATTAGGATTTGATGCAGGTCATGCTGCAGCGAACTAAACAGCAACACGAACAAATGTAAAATTTTCAGAAGATGTTCACGCTAATGCAGTAGCAGCAGTCTCAAAATATAATAAAACCTCTAGAAAAACAAAACTAAGTCATGGCCTGATTTTGCACTGTGCAAGATGAATGTAGTTTTCAGGAATTTCAGGCATATGTTTTTTGATTTTGTTTTGTACACTTGCTTTTATTTTATTGTTAGGTTTTCCATGTTACATCAGCTTCATGTTCAGATTTTTTTATTCAAACTTGATTAAAGACTTACTGTTACAGACACTGGACGTTTTGTGTTCCTGGGTTCAGGAGTGTATCATTCCACTGAGTTATTCTGTGATTATGTTCCTGATAAATTGTATCCACCACAAGGCTGGAAATCATACTTAGCTCTGGAACTGGGCGGCCGACTCGTGGAATTAAATCAATGAGTCTACATGAGTACGCAAACCTTCGAAATGCGATACACAACCCTTCAATTCCATCGCATATTGTTCCTTGTTGACATGTAAAGTAGTTAGGAGGATGTAGGGCCTCAGAAAGGACGGGAAGGTCACTCTTACAAAAACGAAACTCGGATAAACATTCACTGTCATCCATATCATTAAAATCAAATTTCCCATAACTTTCATAAGGAAAATCTGGGTTTTTGGATGTGTTAACGTCATTAAGAAGAAGGAACTCGTCCATCATCAAAACCTTGCAGAAGAATGCTACGAATCTCTCTAAAGGAAGCCATGACTGAAGTACTTTATGATAAAAATCGAAAATATGTAAACAATGCCAGCCGCGCCTTCGACTTGGTCTCTTAAGGATTTTTCGCGCCTTGCGACGGCAACCTCTTCCCAGTCCCCCCTCGGTCATGACAGTCGTCGTAGACATCCGCCATCCTCGGATCTTAAGGTCCCTATTAGAGCGGCTCAGGTGGGCTTCCGGCGTGGCTTATTCGAAAATTTAGACTAGTGTGACCTTGGAGAGGAACACGGAATGGAATTTTCGTTTCCCTCAAATAAAGAAAATAATATATTGTCTGTAGCTCTTCTGGTGCGGGGCGATGTAGTGACAAGCTAAGCCTTTTCTGAGGTCAACCTGTTATTCCCAAAATAAAAGTGTTAACGTGACGCTGGATTAGGGCGGTGCTAAATTACATAATAGGCAACTAAACGGACTGAGACGGGTAACAGGCATTAAAGATTGTTAGAAGAGCGAATCCTTGGCCCTGATTTAATTTAATGATCAATAGCTAAGAGTCTGCTTGAACTTTGCGGGTTGATGATTCCTGTCACAGGATTATTTAGGCAATTTTTTCATAAGATATCAATCACAGTCCATGCTGCATGAGATCGGGGAAACAAATTCGTTTTATGTGTTTGCAGTACTTCAAGCCTGGCAGTATCTGGAGGGTAGGGACTGGATCAACGGATGCTACGTGGCCATGCCAGGTGACGTCACACGCATGGGCATTGGTCTTTTCTAATAAATAAGTCAGAACGAATGACATCATAAACGGTGAACAAGAGAGAAAGCAAACTCGAGATTCAATCGTTAAAATGTCTTACGCATATCTTTTTAAGTACATTATTATAGGAGATACGGGTAAGCGAAATATCACAGAGTATTTTTCCTTCTTTGTGCAGTGATTTTCGCAAGAATACGGGCTAATATTAGAAGCCTAATTCAAAGATCAAAAATGGACGCTATTGATCAATGTTGTGGTTTTCAAAATCATTTGTTCATAGTGTTGGACTGATTTTGTCGATTTTCTCTGATTCAGGAGTTGGAAAATCATGTCTCTTACTGCAGTTCACAGACAAACGTTTTCAACCAGTCCACGACCTCACAATAGGTAAGGTTGCCTCTAAAATATGGCGCTACGTTCAAGCGCTACCCGGCGTTCATTCGGAGTTCATTGATCACGAGCTTGAATTTTTAAGGTCTAGTTTTCTCGTGTTCTTGACGGCTTATGATTGATTTCTGTTATTTCTCTTTTCTGTCAGGTGTTGAATTCGGTGCGAGAATGATTACTATCGATGGCAAACAAATAAAATTGCAAATCTGGGATACGGTAAGTTTAAATTAAATTTGAATCTGTTCGCCATTATTGTGCTTGACAGCATATAAACTCACAAAGAAAATTTCAAAGAACACTTGTCTTATCAGTACATTAAAAATGAAACAGCTTCTTTGGAATTTTCTTTGTATGATCATAAACGCCATGTTTCTCTGTGCTATGGCTGAACTGAATTTTCGGTTTGAATTGAAAGCCACATCAAACAAAATTGTATTCAAGAACGTCCAAAGAACTTTCGCGAATCAGCTAGGAGCATTCTTAATTTTTTTGTTTGGAAAGTTATCTTTTCACATTTTTCTTTTAGACTCTTCCTGTCAATTAGGCTTTGAAAATCTCAAATTTCATGCAGTTTTTAAGTATTTCATTGGGAAAAATACGAAAAGCTTTTTTTCGCGGGTTATTATTTTGGTTCATGAATAAAAAGGAAATAATTCCTCAAAGCTCAATATTCTAGTGATTTTGCTGTTGAAAAGGAAAGTCAAGAAAGAGCAAGAAATTAAGTGGCATTAGAAATATTTTTTTCATAGAGTAAGACTTTTTATTTTAGTGTATATGTTTTTTTTTTTTAGTCAGTGTAATCAAGAGGTGATAATCTGGGTTTCTTTGGCAAATTTATCTAAAGCGTTTGCATTTGGAGATTACTCACAGTGGATGTCATGTTTCCTTAATCCTAACTAATATTGTTAGAATTGAAAATCAAATATCATCATGTTTTCAACCATATGATGTAGCCTTACAGTTTTGCATCCTTTTTCCTTTCTCATTCAATTTAAATTATAGTTCATCTCACCTTGTAAGAATTGGAATAAAATTTTGTATAATTTGGTCCAACAACATGTAGCCATTTAGCTGATTGTGGAAAAGAGACAAAAAAGAAATTTTTGATTGTGGTCATTGCAGGCTTGCTTTGATGCGATTTTGAAAAAAAGAAAAAAAAAAAGTGAAGGTGACTTGGTGTTATCCTTCCAAGTGCATGCAGCACATGTAGAAGTGATGTCCTTTAATCTAGTCTCAAGATATTTTGGAAAGATGCAAAGGGTGAAACTCAAAATGTTAATTTTCAGAAGACAAATGTTAACAAAACTGTTTGTGAAGTCGGACTATGTTTTTTATTATTTTCGTATTCTGGTATTGCATTCTCACATCTTTAAAATGCCAGTCTAGTTGCTTGCTAAGAAGCATAGACTGCATTTTTGTTATGTAGTTGTATAGCTAAAAATGTGTTGTTTTTACACAGGCTGGTCAAGAATCTTTCCGGTCCATCACACGTTCATACTACCGGGGAGCAGCAGGGGCTTTGTTAGTCTACGACATCACACGGTTAGTTACATGTACCTTCCAAGTCAGGAAGGTTAAAAAATTCCATCTTAATCCACCTCTCACTCAAACTGGGACTTAAGAAGCAGTAGTTTTGAAAGAGGAAAATGACTTATTCTTTCTTGTAAATGCTCTTTTTCCTTTTTTTTTTTTTTGTAAATGCTCTTGAAGGAAGGAGAGGTTCAAATAACACTGTTGCTTTGAAAAAACACTTATTGCACATGCAATGCATGTGTATGCCTTCAGTGACTCTGCCATAACTTGCATAGGAAATGTGAGAACATTAAGTCAACAACATGTCATTACCAATCCCAGAATTTTTTTCTAAATTTTGCTCACAATTATTTATCTTAAATACTCTGCTGTTATATTTGAAACATTGAAGACTCATATAGTATTATCATTGATGTTCAAGCATGTTGTGTTAGCTTGTCCAAGCATGTGATGATCTGTTGAGAAAAAAAACAATACTTCAACTAGAAGTGCATTGTTTATTTTAAAGTCCTTGCTGTATCCGAATATTTTCAACCATTTGTTCCTATAAGATATAAATATTTTTATAGTGTGTGTTGTTGCCAGGAAATAAGTTGGAACACAGGGAGTTGCATTCATTGGATGTCTGTGACTTAAGTTTGTGTTTTGATTTTCACTTTCTGTCTACCTTTTGACAAGTGAGTTAAAGAAAAATGATATGAAATCTTTTAAGTTTGAAAAAAGAAGTTCTGTTCCTGACTCTTCTTGGTCTCTCCACAGGAGGGATACGTTTAATCATCTGACAACATGGTTGGAAGATGCTCGGCAGCATTCAAGTTCAAACATGGTTATCATGTTGATTGGAAACAAAAGGTGAAGTCCTTAGAAGAACTTAAAGCCAAATTTAGGGAAAAAAAACCTGAATAAACATCAGGGCTAAAACTAAGTACCTCATAACTTTCCAATTTTTTTTTTTTGTCAATAACTGTCACCTTCAATTGCTTCAGGACCTTTTGTTGGTGGTGGGTTTTGTTATGACTCTCAACCTGCTTGTTACAAATCAAATGCCATGGTTATCAAAGTTTTGTCCAAAAAGTGAAATTTAATAATTGAGTTTAGACAAAGAGTTATTAGAGTGGTGGACAGTGTTATAGACTAATGGATAGATATTACCTCTTATGATTGCTGTTGTTAGTTTTAGCCTCTTACATGCATCTTTTCTTCTGCAGTGATCTTGAAGCTCGCCGAGATGTCAGAAAAGAAGAGGTAAACTTGAAAAGGTTTAAATGTTTTGACATCATTGTCTTGTGTTATAAGAAATTTTTTTTTTTACTTCTACACTCTTTAAATAATATATGATTGCAATGAGAAAGAACTTTAAAAGAAACTTAATCTTTAATCTCTCTTGTTTTAGGGTGAAGCATTTGCTCGCGAACATGGTCTAATTTTCATGGAGACCTCTGCAAAGACTGCAGCGAATGTAGAAGAGGTGAGATCATTGATAAATTATTAGTGACAGCTAAATCCTGTGATTGTGTTTTTTTTTTCTTGCTCTCAGAATGTTTAAATATACTTGTGTCAGGGTGTGTGGTGAGAGTCACATGTCAACTTTCTATTGTGGTTTATTTATGTACTTTATTTAGTGGAAGGTCACTGGGTCTTGGGAAAGGTTGACATTTCTTACTATGATTTCAGCAAACTGCTTGCAAGAAAAACTTGATATTTCTTCTATTATTATCAGTGATCTTTGCTATCCCCTCCCCCTCCCCCTCCCCCTCAACCTCCTAGCCATTGAGGATATTGAGTTTTATCCTGGATAATTTTTGCAATTTATGAATTCTTCCTTTCTTTATACCAATGGATACAAAATCTTGGGTGAACAAATATTTTTGGCATAACTCTGCATCTACACAGTAATGTCCAACACTGAATGAGGAATCATTGTGCAATAACCTTCTTCAGGTTTTTGTCCAAAATTAAACTGTCTTTCAACAAATATTCCACTAAATTTCTCAGATAATACATTAGTCTGTAATGTTCCAACAGTATTATCCATGAGGAAAATGTTTTCAGAAAACCAGTCAAAGATGAGTGTTCCATGACCTTTTATCAAACTATACACAAAAGGAATTTGTCTGTGTTGTATAGATCAATGTGCTAAGTAGAGAGGTACAGGTATGAATAACTGTTAATCTGTCAATCTATGTTTTAGGCTTTCATTAACACAGCTAAGGAAATCTACCAAAAAATCCAAGAGGGTGTTTTTGATATCAACAATGAGGTGAATATTTCTTGGAATTCAGCTTTGGTTAGCACTTAAAACAAATAATTTCTTGACATGTGCAGTGTAAGTAATATTTCAGGAGGTAAAGGGCGACCTGAAAAAACACTTGAGGAGTGGGTGGGTGGGTGGGTGGCTATGGGAAGGTAACCTGTGATGGACTGACTTTTCATCAGTAAGGACCAGGACCAGCAGTACTGCGTTACTTAGAACTTTTACTAATCATCTTCAGTTATTGACAGTAGGAGACAGTGCAAATGGAAATAGTTCTTCTGAAGAACATGAAACTCAAAAAGCTGAACTGAGCAGTAGGCTACAACATTCTTTATTTCAAAAATGTATTTTTATGTGAGAGAGCCATTGGCCTAGTGGTCAGTGCCCTGCACTTGGGACCAAAGGTTCAGGGTCAAGCCTTGAAAAGGTCATTGTGTTCTTGGACAGGACATAGAACCCTCACAATGCCGTTCTCCACCCATCCATCTAAATGGGTATTGGCAAACTGTTAGGGGGAAATCAGTGCCAAGCAGTTTTTTTTTGTGTTTGATTATTATCCCATCTGGTAGGAGAAGTAATATTCCTTTTAAGTTCTTTCTAATGATAGCAGAGAGTGCAATCTGTGGCCCTGACAAAGACCCTTTTTACCTTTTAGGCAAATGGAATCAAGATTGGCCCTCAGCATTCACCATCTAATCCCTCTGTGCCCTTGGGAGGTGGCCGTGCTCAAGACAGTGGTGGCTGTTGTTAAAGAAATGTTACACAAGGCTCTGAATGAACTGTTCAATTTATTTTCCATAGATCTTAAACAAAATTCTTCAAATTGAATTGCTTGGTTCAGTTTCAAGGAGATGAGTAAACTTGATTGATAGTTAGTACAACTGCAAGTGGAGGCCTGATACCAGTAATGTTGTGAAATGGTTAAGTGATGAATTTTATGTAAGGTGGGGTGGAGAGCCAGCTGGGTGTGGTTTTCTCAAGTCTACCCATTGGGCCTTCCCAAAACATAACTTCTTTTACCAGCTCCTTGTTTAATTTTTCTTGGTGTGCTCATTAACCTTTAGGGAAGGGCAAAATTTCTTGCAAATATATTGGCGGAAGAAACTTGAGTTGTTTTTAAGGTTTAAGCATGCCTTTCTTCTTGGGAATATTGAAATTCAGTTTAGGTTAAATCATTCTTTAGTTTTCTTGTCTTTATTTTCCACTTCAAAATTTCCTTTCAAATAACTTATCTGAAAATTATTGTTCAATTTCTCAATTGAGAAGCATACAGATATGTAATGTTAGTTGTACAATAAGTTCTTGCATCTTTTTTTTCGTTTGAAATTTTAGCATGTATTGATTTTCAGTAATTTTGTTTTTTGTAATCAGATAAGTTTGTAAATTCTAGTGTCACAATCTCAGGCAGACTCCTGGAGGGAAGATTAGAGAATTAATACTAAGATTGTTAACTTTTTTCCTGTTGCACTTAAAGAAAAATAAGTAACAAGAGGCTGGTAAAAGAACATTACAGGAGGTTCTGCTAGAGAAGACAAGGGCTAGTTGTTTGATTATTAGGATGCAAGAGATTTTAACTAAATGCACTGCTGTTATTTTTGAATTTGTCCATTCTCATCAGTGTATATCATCTGCCTTGCTGTAGGTTATTTTCTACAATAATGTCTTTGTCAACTCAAGAATTGTTTCCTTCTTTACCTTTTGAATATCAACCCATTGTATTATACCGAGGAGTACTTGACAACAATGTTAATTAAAGAAACTTAGTTGTCATCAACTGACGTATCTTAAGGTGGCAATCTATTTTATCTCAGAATTAAGTCAAGGTTCTTATATACAGTAGTGTCCAAGTTCAGTGTGAGGCAACTTTTTTTGCCATTACATTTAAGTTTACATCTCCCTCTCTAACAATAAGATTGTCCTAGAACATATTAATGTTATGTTTTATCTGCAATAAAGAATATCTAACCAAGTTTGACTGCGTTAGTCACTGTGTTTAACTCGCTGGTACTTGCTAATGTATGGCATTGACAGTAAACAGTCATTGACATTTGAGTTGTTCAAAGTTTTACACCTCGGCTCCAAAAATCATCGATCTGTTGATCAGTTTTTTTTTTTGAGTGGCAGCATGTCTAAGTTACAAGTGTAAACTATCTTCATTGTCTTAATTCCTGTAATACTAGCGCTTTCAATTTCTTAACTTAGTACGCTAGCCTACGTGTAGCCGTACCCTCCCTCCGAAGTTGAAACGGAAGCGAGTTACCTCGCCTGCGTTTAACTCGCTGGTACTTGCTAATGTATGGCATTGACGGTAAAATGGGTTCAAATGGGGGGATAGGGTTCGGCTACACGTAGGCAAGGATAACGCCAGTAAGAAATGGACCTATCCAAACTTTTTCGTTTAATTTTCTCCCCATTTTGCTTCTCTACTCGTTCATCTATTTCCCTCTATGACTGCCTTGCAACCTATACTAATGACCATTACACTCTAGAAAAAAACCATTAAGAATAAATAGCAGCCGGAAAAGAACCACCAAACTCCTCTAATACTCAATGGCAAAAAGTGAATAAAAAAAAGGGAAACATGACTCTTTCTAGTAATTAAGGGAAGACCTGGGACCAAGATGGCAGCGACGCGGTTACTAAGCACCACGCACTCCTGAATCATCATGGCGGACAGCCGCAGAGGAACAGTTTGTTAACTGTGATAATGATTTTGAGGTCATAAGATTACCATCAGAAAAATGAAAGTTCGACTATCTCTAAGGGCTTACGCCAAAATTCTCCTACATACCGCTAAATACCCACACAAAGCCGTGAACGGAGTTCTTCTTGGCGTGGAAAACCCCAAAGATGGTGAAATTTATGCGCTCGATGCTATTCCTTTGTTTCATATTACCCTTGGATTGGCGCCTATGCTGGAAGTGGCCTTGGCGAAGGTAGGGAGAAGTTCTTTTTATATTCTTAAAGCGTTTTTCGACCAGTTCATAGCCTAACAAGTCCCTAAAATTGTTTGTGTGCCCCGAGTTCATGGTGCCAAATTGATTGGGTTCCTAAAGTAAATTTTTTATTCTCGTGTAACCTGTAAGCTTTTGACTTTTCTGGTTAAGGTTTGGATTAAAGATTAATTGCAGGTGTTGAACACACAGGAGAACTGTTGAACCTCAAATTTCGCGATTCAATGTCAACCAATTCAATGTAAATTCTGTTTTTTTTTCCATCGACATTGAACTTAATATTTTACACTCCTTAATTTAAAATGGATTTTGGATCAGAAAAACGTTTGCCTGTTAGAAAAGTATTTTTTTTAGTTTCAAAATTTCTAAAAGACATGCTGAAGTACACTGAATGTTAGAATGGTAGTTATTTTCATATTCATCCATGGAAACAGAAATGGTGAACGCTTTGGCTAAATACTTGGCACCTGGGCATGGTCTTAAACAGACCAAATTCCTGGTAGTTTGAAATTTCAGCAAATTTCAGAGTTCAGATATGTCAACTAGAAAAGAAAAATACATTTTGGAATCATTTAACATGTCCAGGGAACTATAGGCTACTTTTAACAGTTTTTTTTTTTTTTTTTTTTTTTTTTTTTTTAATTGCAACACGAAGAACACTACTTTACAAAACAAGACGAACACTACTTACAATACCACCTACAAGACGTTACTTATTCTACTTACTATATAATACTTCCTTAGACTGCAATTCTTACCCTACTTTTTACAGTTTTTTTTTTTTCGCTTACACACCTATGTATCTATTAAATTATAATTCAAAATGGGTTTCCATTTAGCCTCTAGCATCTTCCTATCATTAAACTTAGCCGCAATGTGACATTCATGTTTCATAACAGTTACATCCAACATATCTGTCTACATATTCTCCATACTGTTCTGTATACACTTCTAAGGTGCTGAGAAAGAGAAATGAAGAATTTCTTTATCAGTTAGTGACTAAAACATTTGATTCAGGGGTGATAGCATTAAGGGGAACTAGATCCTAGTTACTCTTTGGGTACAAAGGTTAAAGACATTTCAAAGAACCCTCAGAGGAAATCATGCAAAATTTCTGCCTGCTAGGTGTTAAGCTCATTTACTTTAATCTCTGCCTACTGGGCATGTGGCCATTGTGTATAACAAAATGATGAACTCTGTCACATTTTGACTGTGATACAATTCTGAGTAGTCTTTTTAAGAAACACTCCATTTAAGACATTATTCATGTATTGAAGTTGGTATTGCTGTGGTAGGTGTGAACAAATTAATTTTCGGAGTGTTTGGTTATCCTCTGACAGTTGCTTCCCTAGGGAACTGTTATTCATTGCACTAGTCAGTCAAGGTTGCAATCAACAGTTATTTCCAGGACTGCCTTGACCAGAAGATGTTTTGATATTTGACTTAATGAATTGATAAAGGAAGAAAAGATTACAGTAAAAACACTCTTGAAAAACTTCCCATCCTTTCATCCTTTTGAAAGCTGTTGGTAAAGTAATTGTATCATTATTTCTCTTGTCTAGGTTGATATTCACTGTAAAAAGAATGAGTTACAGATAGTTGGTTATTATCAAGCTAATGAACATATTAATGACAATAGGTGAGTTAAATCTACCAGTAAAAACATAAAATTTTTATGAGTTTTACATTTGAAAAAGGGTTGTTGACTTGTCAAAAGTCTTTGGGTGAGATAGGGTTAGACAAACAAATTTTTATGAATTTCACATTTAAAAAAGGATTGTAAACTTGAAAACACTTTTGAGGATCAGTTTTGTCAAGTGTTCATGTGAGATAGAGTCAGTCAAACAATAGATTTAGAGCTTCAGTGGGTAAGCCATCTCTATAATTTTTTTTTACTCCCATTGCTTTTCTTCTCACAAAAGAGCAAACAAAAAAGGAAAGAACATGGACAGAGAGGGCTAGTGTGGTTGAGGTGGAAAAGTTTTTGTGTGTGTGAGAATTTTTCTAAGCCCACTTCTTTTTCAAAACAAGTTTATTTGCCAGACAGTTAATTGTCAGGCAGTTTATGAAGAGTCTTTTTTACCTTTCCAAAAATGAGATTTGAAAAACTTTACAAAGATGACCTCAATGGGAGGAAAAAAGTTATCATTATGCCCTTCTTCTATTGATGGATTGAAAGGAGATACAGGTGTATGAGTCCTTCTTGTATGTTATTGAGGCAGTTCCAGTTTTGCCTTGAAATACCTTACCAATTGAGTTTCAGAGCAATTATAGTCAAGGAAGGCAGTATTCTTTGTTGTTGTTTTATATATTTTTCCTGAGAGTTCACACAACAAATACAAATTTGTCATTATCTCTTCCCAGTCCTAATGCAATATGCTACAAGATTGGAGAGAAAATATGTGATCAGTTTAACAATGGTTTTATGCTAATGGTAAGTGGATGTTATTCATGTCCAACTGATTTTATTTTTTGTGTCACATTGGTGTTGATGATTAATATTTAATTAATAATTAATGATCAATTAATAAGAATTTGTGTAAGAAATTCTTGTGTAAGGCGATGTTTGTCATGATCACTGTAATTTTGCACTTTCTTTGTATGATACAGATAGATAATACAAAGCTGACAGTACCATGTAAAGAAATAGCTTGTAAGGTAAAGATGTTCCATACTTTGTAACATTTGTGTGTGATTTGCATTGAATTGTACTATTCCCTGAAAGTATGACCAAGAAAGTCATTAATCCAAGTCATTGCCAATAGTGAGGCAGTTCAAATAAACAATATTCATATATAATCACACTTGTTCGTTTGTCACTTCAAGGATTTATTGCAAACCAACAAAATGACCAGCTCTCAGTTGGCTTGTTGGCTCAGTTGGTAGAGCACTGCACTGTTACTGCAGAGGTCATGGGTTCAACTCCTGTACAGGCATGATTTTTTTTAAGCTTTAATTTAATTACTGTCCAAGAAGTGTTCATTTCTGCAAAGATCACTCTCATCTTCATTTATTTATCTGCAGTTCAAAGTTATGATGTTCAAAATCAACAAACTCACACTTTTTCAGTGTTGCTGATGTTAGATCTGCTAACCATGTGCATGGATTGATCTACGCAGGAAAAGTGAAGTTAAACTATCAATAAAAGCAAAACCTAAGAAAAGAGTTCAGACTTGAAACAACCTTCTGGATACTATTTTGTTGTTACTATTAACTGAGCAACAAAAACACTTTACAGGAGTGAGGCAAATGTTGCTTGTTTTTTTACATGTATGTTCCACCTTTTGTTCACAGGGTTTTATGTCTGAACTATTTTCCTTTTGTTTCACCCTGCAGTGTTATGTGGTCCAAGACAATAAATGGAAGCAAAGTGACAAAGATTTGTAAGTACCATTCAACTCAGTTAGCTGCATTCAATATGATATCAGTATCCCTTTCTCACGTGATTTCTAGAAGGTAAAGATGATGAGTTTATTACAGAGGGTGATGTTGCAACGTTATGCTGTAATGCAGTGAGTTGTTGAATTGTCAGGGAAGCATGAATGAGTAGGGCTCCCAGTTCCCTAAAGCTGAACCAAGCATGATAAGCTTTTTAGATAATTTCCACTATAGTGCTTCCTTCTGTGGGTGAATTGATTATTCTCCCACAATATTGCTACTCTAGAGTAAGAAATTTGGAGAGAAAGGTGGGGCAATATGATGGATAAGAGCACCATGAATTTTAATTATTAATAGTAAATCTAAAACAATTTTATTACCACCATTAAATGGTTCCTAAAATAACACTGGTCCTTCTGGTTGGGATACCAGGTCATCACAGGTTACCCTTTTTTTATTTCTAGTCACAGGCTACCCAATTCTGTCCATTCCCCTGAGTGCAGAGAAACACTATGACAGCAAAGTCTTTCTCAAACACAAAACAATGACCCTGGTCAGGAGTGAATATGAAATTTTAATTTGGAGTCCAGTGTACTTTCCATTTGACTATTGCATCACCCATCTAAATACAGATGTTCTAAATTAAAACTCACATCCAAATGTACACAGCAGTGATCACAAACATACATCTCATTACTAACACCATGATGTTTATTTTCCTCTTTTCCCTAATGTATTAACTCTGAAAAAGTGATTGAAAGGCTGTTAGATTTAAGCAACAGTGTAACAAAGGTCATTACTTCCTAAACTTAACATTTAGTACTCAACTTTTGTACATGATGTCAGTGGTTTGACAGTTATGACTGTGCAATTACACTGTTTGGAAATTGTATCATTGCAGATTACTTGAAGGTGAAGATTCACTGCAACTCGCCACTGAACTTCTAGAAGGAAAAGTGTATCAGAGTCTCATAGATTTTGACAATCACCTTGATGACATCACACAAGATTGGCTTAACAAAGATATCAATAAAGTAGTTGATATATCACCCACAGCTTGAATTTATTGCCTAGTTTTGTTGATATTTTCTGAATCAATGACAAGAGTTACTTAAGTCTCTTTAATATGACAGTAATATATAATCCTGAGCAGTTCTTTGTTCTTATGTATGTTGTTTCTCAAAATGCATTTTTTTAAATTTACATACAAACCCTACTGAATTGAAATATTCTTAATTGATGAAGGGAAAATTTGGTTTTATCAACTGAGTTGATAATAAAAAAAGTTTCTCAGCTGGAAGTTTCAAGCAGTAGGCCTTCGGCAGAGAATCTCAGCATCTTTAACTCTGACAAAGGGCTCATACGGCTGGAAATCTCAGCATAGAAACTCTTTTCTTTACAGTGGCTAAGTGACATTATCGAAACTCAGTTGATAAAACCAATTTATCTTGTTATTCCTCCACCAGTGCAACAACACAGTTTCTTTAGAAACTTGTCCCCCCTGGAGTATTCTTAATTGCATATATAAACAGTAGTATGTCTCTTAACTATTTTTGAAATCATATATTGTAACTAGAAATGTAAGTTTGTGAAAGACTTGAGGTCCTCTGGGGGGAAGTGTGAACTTTGTAGGAGTGGAAATCAGTGTGAAGCTGAAAATTGCTCAGAGACAAACCCAATTTCACTGAATTAGAATTCCAACAACAACAGAAAAAGACATCACAGTGAGACTCCAAGATCAAGCTTATATAACCTGGTCTGTTTTATGAAGCCTTACAGCTGTAAATATGTATTTTAACAATACTTATGAAAACATTTATCTGTGGAAAAAAGTTGAACTTTTTTTAAAAACTCCTCACAAGAGGACCTCATGTACTGTATTTCACAAAAGTCATTGGAATGAATGTCTGTCAAAGTGTGAAAAATTAAACTGAACTGGAAATTTTAACACCTTTATTCTGTGGACTCTAATGCAAGGTAAAGGTGTTATGTGTCAAAAATTCATCATTGGTGTTAATCGTTCTGTTTTGAACAGGATAATTAATTAGACTTGATCTATTTAAATGGAAAGCTTACTCTTGTTTCATATGTTTATCTTTGGTTAATATTCTTATCATTGGTTACTCCTATTCAATTCAAGCTTGTGAATTAAGGTACACAGAAATTGGAGAAATTTATGTCAAAGGAGAATCATTGTCGCAATCATAGGCAAAGATATTATTATCTTTGAGCAATAGGGGTGATAATTGGAAAGAAAAAGTATCAAATGTACATGTATACATTATGTGTTGTGTGATAAATTTTGCCTCCACATCATGACACCTGACCTTTATATGTAATGTGGTTGTAATAACTAGGTCCTTTCAATTTTAGTAACAGTGATGTAAAACATTAGGCATTAAAAGTCTTTTCTGCTATCATGGATTGTTAATGTGCATCATAGTTTGTTGTCTTATTTTTAAGATTGCTCTCGTCTCAGGTAGTATAAAAGGCTTTTTGAAGGTTCGAAGTATATCTCAAAACCTTTCCTGGATGAATGTTTCAAAAATTGTTCTTTTATATAGTGGAATGCTACAATGAAAGAAACACTTTTGGGAATAGAAAATTAAAATTTTTTTGGAATATTTTATTGAGTTAACATTTGTCTTCAATCAATTATTCCTGTTGACCCAATTGAAGCGGAGTGCATGGGAGCCTGACCAACTAGAACATCTGTCAGTTATCTCCTGTTGCAGTATTTTCATAATTAGATATATGCTATCAAATTTTTATGTGACACTTGCATTAATTAAGATAAGTTTTTTCTAGTTTGCTTTGTAGCTATCCATTTTTGATTGACAGTAACTGTTTGGTGAAAATGGGATATTTTTTAATGCACAGATGTGTTGTCTGTGATATCAATTCATTATTATGAGTCCAAGGAACACATATGTACAATCACACATAGAGGGAATGGCCAAACAGTGAATTTAGCCCTTTTAGTCCCAAGATCTCATTAGTGTAGAGAATTTGGTATTGGATCAATTAATAATCCCCTAATTCATATTTCTCTTTATTCTCATCACTTAATTGGTTGATATTTATATTGACATTTTGAGGAGAAAATCTGTCTCAGTTACTCATGGGAGGTTAAGGGGTTCAACTGATATTCAATATTAGTAAAATGTCCAGATGAATTACAAAGCCAAGAATATCATTGTCTCTGATGCTGTCTACATCACAAAGAAATATTGTGTTTTATGATTGGTAGTTCAAACTACACATGTACAATAGGTCAATTTAACAATATATCTGCATGAAAACACCTCCCCCTCCACCCCTGCTTTTGTTCCTCGTGGTTGAAAGCCTGAACAAAAATTTCATAATCCATTCATAGCAACCAGTCTAAAAGCAAATATAGATAAAATTGAGTATTACCCAGTCCTACTCGGTTTAGGACTCAATGCCTGGAAGATTTCGACTTCTCAAAGGAATATCTTCGTTTGCAATGTTGGGGTTTGTTTCTGCTGTTTGTGCTGGATTTTGCGCAGCTGTGGCGTCCACTTGCGCTAAACTAGCAATGTCTCTAGAACTTCAGAGGAAAATTTGGTGCAATTTTTTACTTCAAGGCTTTGGTGTTGGTGCCACGAATGGTTCCCCGATCACATCTGCCTGTCAAATGGTTGGTCTATGTTCTCGTGTTTAACAAAGCACGCTTGCGGCTTAAAGAAGAGTCTTAGCTTTACTCCAGCCTGGAATTTTTGAAACATTGTAGCTTGAAGATTTTTCGGGAATAACTTTTGCGGAGTGTCCTCGATCAAAGTAATAAAAGTTGAAACGTTACATTTCGTTCGTTGTACATATGTATTTTGTGCTGCTCGACATTGAAATCGAAAGAAATAGTCTCTAGCAGTAGTATAATTCATTATGAACCGCAAAAACTAAGAGAATTGGCCATATAAAAAATATACACAATCAACCTAGCCAAAAAGCACTGCTTGAGTTTGTTAATTTATAGAGCTCTTCAGGTTTTTTTAGAGTTATATATAAGTAGGTTATATTGAAGTAAAAGGGCGGACAGAGACTGGTAAGAACCTGTTATCAGTAATACTCTGATTGTCTGGGAACTATGGTCCACAGAGGGACTGTTAGTGGTGACAGTATCATTTGTTTTATCAATGGAAGTCATCCGTTGATTATGCTCAAGGTACTGCAGTGTTTGTCACTCAAATCAACAACAGTCCTTTTGAGGACTAATATATTTAGTCAATCACTTGGTGAAGGGAATGACTGTTTAACCATTTAACTCTTAGGGGTGACCAGTATCTAATTTCTCCCTACAATATAACCCCTGGATCATACATTAATAAGAATAAAGTAAATGATCATGGACCAAAGAGGCACTCGATTATTAAACAAATTATACTCGTCAGCATCTTAGGAAATATAAAGTCAATAGAACTGAAAAGAATATGCATAGTGATGTTAGGGTGAAAAAGGTTCCTAACCCCTGTAGGTTCTAGGAGTATTACAAAAGCTACTTGTTGAAATATGAACAGTTTCGCGACTGCATTAATTGAAAAAATCTTCAACTGATTTTCAGGTGGTTAATCTTGCACGAGCTTCTTCATTTCTTCTGGTTTTCCTGTTCAATGCCCTGATGTGGACCCTATTTGTGAAGTCTCTTAGAGCATCATCTTCTTCAGCTACAGCAACAGTTACCAATACAGCCTCAAATTTCATTTGCACTGTAAGTATTTGTTGAGAAAGAGCTGAATTGTCATTTTAAATTTTAGCAGTACCACTGCTGTTGCCATGGTCACTTGAACAAGATGAACCAATCACATTTTAAAGGTTGAGCACTGATTAAAATCAATTGTGCCATGTGAAGAACCATTACAAGCAAAGATGACAAATATGTTAGTTTTGAGCAGAAGGCTTCTTCCATATTTACTGCAATTGAATTCTTGTAGAGTTGTTGATTGTTTTATTTTTTTAATTAACTTTAATGACCAGTTTTACAAGGTGACTGGATGTATAACTTGACTGGGAAAGGAAATAGAAAGATAATAAGTTTCCCCTACCAGAAACAATTTAAGGCTACTATAATTGTAAAGAGGATTGCGGAAGAACAGTCAAGCAACACTTTGTATTCCCAATAAGTCTCCACATTTTTATAAATGGGCAGCCAATGTATTGTGGAAACTGCAACCTAACATGAATGTTTAAAATCAAACTTAAAGCACGACAAAATTATAGAAGAAACTTCTTGCAAATAACTTGAAATAAGTTTAGAGTGGTCTTGTAAATGTATGCGGTAATTTTAAGTCCACATTTTCAACAATATTGGCTGTCTCCTCTAAGTGCATTCTAACTGATCTGTTAATATCCTCTCTAGCACTTCATCATTTTCTTTTAGTAAGAAAAACAAGGATAAAGTACCTACTCTTACTGATAAGTTAGTTTTAAGTTTGATACTGACTTTTTGCACACACCTTTTATAGTAATGCTAGTAAGGCAAGCCTGGCTAATTAGCCATGCTGTGCTCCCTTAAAATTGCAATAGAAGAACTGTTATAAAAAGGGTTAATGAATCTATCACTAGGCTACTCTTCAGGCTTACCAATATTTTAATTAAGATTGACAACAACAGCTTGTACAAGGCTTACTAGTCTAACAGTGGCGCTTAGGATTTGGACTCGGTACAGCTTCACTCAGAACAAACCTACTAGAGGAATTTAGGAGTCAATGATTTGAACTGTGAGTCTGTAAACACTGATGTAGGGTTGTCTCTTACAGGCGCTGCTTGGTTGCCTGTTGTTTGGCGAGACACTTTCCATGCAATGGTGGTTAGGTACATCTCTCATTCTAACAGGCTTGATTCTGATTCACTATAACAGTGCACCTTTAACTAACGATCAAGGTCATGACAAGAGAGAGTGAATGGGGCTGAAAAGGCAATTTGTTCAAGTGGAGTGACAATCCCATACAGCTTTACAGTGGTTAGTCAAGTCAAGGGGATTGTCTATCAAGATGTGGATAATGTTTCAGGGAAAAAAAATTAGAATTTTGAATTAGATGGACCTCTATTTGGCAACTATTGGTCCATTGCAGTCAAACTGGAAGTCAGAGTTTTAGTTGTTGTATAATGAAGAAAACAAGTTAGAGAACTTTGGATAAAAAGTTTTGGATAATGGAAAAGAAATAACAACATACTCAATTCCATGAGACAAGGCTTGGCATTGGCATCAGAAGGCAAGTGCATTATGCACAGGGTAATCATACCGCTTAGTATAGAGTATGACTGACTAACAGAATACTTCATGATCCAGGAATATATCTCTTGTTAGGGCCAATGAGGAAAAGTTGGCCATTTTGAAAGTTTGATGGTTGCTTTTTGGCATGAATTTTCAATGTTGACCAAAGGGCGAGAAATTGCATATCTTGTTACAGTGTTAAACCACCAACAGATGCTGTCCATTTAAACAAAAAGCAATAATGGCCTGTTCAAGATTTGTCCATATCACCTACGGGTCTTCAACAGAAAATACAAACTGCACGATGAAACTGATCATCAGAAATGCTAACTGTTTTTTCATTACAAAAACAGCTGAATTCTTTTTTGGTCAAAAAGAAAAGCATATTTAAACTTCTTAAAAAGTATTTCTACATATTTTGCTGGAAAGATTTAGTCCAAATTAGAAAGATTTTTTGGGAAAGCCAAGAATTATGATATAAAGAGAAACTATTTATGTTGTCATTACTGTTTTTAACAGAGTGTTTTTCTTCTTCCAATACTTTTTTTCACACTTTTCAAATTAATTATTTAACATTTCCTTTTCTGATTCGCAAACATTTTCTACCCCAGTTCCAATATTTTTGTAACTACCCTGTCATGTTTCTTGTTGTAATATCTATCTTTGCAAAGTGTTTTGTTGGGCACATTTATATCTTCATTCTTATAGTATTTTTGTTGTAATTAAAAATATATCTATCAGACTCCTTTTCACTGTCATAAATGTAGGAATGTACAGTATAAATCTTTCAGATTCATTACTTTCATAAAATAATTGTGGACTGGTATGCTTTTTACCCAAATTTGCTTGATTATTTTTAAGTAAAGGAAAATTCATCTATATGTTGCTATCAGACACCTCATCACTATCATAAGTTCTGACACGTTTATATCTAACCTTTCTTGACTGTTCAGTGTTATTATGTGTACCGTGATTTTTGCCACTATCTGATTCCTCGCTGTCAGAGAGGAGGACACGCTTCTTTCTGGTTGATTTTTTGATGCAATCAAATGAATTATTATTCTCATCACAACCAGATTCCTCATCACTGTCATGAATGAGGACACGTTTATGTCTCAATTCACTTGAGTTTTTGTTGCAAACTTCTGTATTGAATACAGATGATTGCGTGATATTCGGATGACAGCCTGGTGTCATGCTAACATCCGTATTATCTGCATCCGCCACTTCTGCTGTCATCCTAGGTGTCCCTCTTTTCTCAACAGCACAGATTCTATCTTCATAGTAGCAGTCGGCATCTTTAGAGAACAAATCGTGGATTATCGAATATCTGTCTTGCTTGTCGACGTGATTTTCACAAAGCTCTTTTTCCGTTTGATGGCGTAAAAAGTCAGAGTCGCCATCTATCTGGATAATTTCCCAGGATGGTGTTGATAGCTTTTCTTTACTTTCAATCTGCCGAGTGATACTTTTACTGACAGTTTTGGAGTAAGTCTGCAAATCTCTCAACAAGCGCCTTAAATTTTTATCCGGGTCAATCAGATCTGTTATTGGAAGCTCCACAGTAAAACATTTGCCGTCGATGATATTACATTTCACATCAGGGACTTGTCTAATATCTGTTAATAATTGGAGTTCTTCGAGCTGCTCATAATCGTGAAGACTTTCCAAAACTGTTTCCTTATGTTTTACTATCGTGTTAATCTCTTCCGGGTCCAGTACAATGCGTCGTAAAGTTTCAATGTCTTTCAGGAGGAAAATTTGTGTCAAAATGTATATGTAGGATGTTGGCTGGCTTTCCTCTAGTGTGGTACTCTCCCAGAAGTAATTATTCGAAGGGTTATTGTTATTTTGTTGGAGAGCACTTGAAGTGCGTCCAGTAAATGAGAAATGAATCTTCCATGAATCGCCTTCTCCACCTGTTTCGTTGGTCATCTGGAAAACAACATCACAATATTCAATTTTCCATGTGTATAGCGAGTTGCCCTCTGTACAGGTCATGTTTTTGCTCAAAACTGAAGACACAAGGACTCTATTATGACCATTCATCTCGGCATTTCAGTGCTATCTCATCATGTCACGCAATACTAACGACAACGAACGCGCCATCATGGGAGGTTGTCATTCTGGAAGCGAAATTCCACCGCGCTGCTTCCATCGTTGGACCGTTAAAGTCCGTTATCAGAAACAAATGGTTTCAAATTAATCAATATAGATAGAAATGACACAGCTTCCTTCACTTCACTCAAATTCTTGATTATAAACTATATATGTTACGATGTCTTTCTGAAAAATGAACAGAAACTTGAACGGCACAGATTTTTCTTAGAAATGTTTTCACGATCCTCTGATCGAGTAGAGAAACGTTTAAGAGAACAGTGTATTTACATGCGAGTAAAGGAGGTAAATTTTTAAAGAAACTGTGGTGCTACGACGGTGGAAGAGTATAACAGGGTAATTTCAAATTATCAACTGAGTTGATAACGTATATTGACCACTGTAAAGAGTTTAAAAGCTGACGTTTCGGGCAGACGGAGGGCTAACGCTCGAAACGTCAGCTTTTAAATTCTTTGCGGTGTCCAATTTACGTTATCAACTCAGTTGATAATACTGAATTACCCTATTCACATGTGAGTTTCCTAATAGTTTGAAAAAGTCGAAGAACATAAACAGTAATAATATTACAAACATAAAAGGGCTAGCCCACTTATGTTTGTAAACAAGTTAATAATCTTGCCAAGCTTATCCGTTGAAAAAGAACTCCATAGCTCCGATTCCACAGTACAAGAATGCGAAGAAATTTTGTCGCAGTGGTATTACACCGCTTGCGAACGTCCGCTAACTCAGTCGAAGACTGAAATAACGACATGGCTAGATAATTATGTAACGGTTGCAACGTAAAACCTTTTTTAAAGCAACGACCTTAGAAATTTTTAATTTTAAATCACCAGGAAAATCTCTTCTGAACCTTTATCACAACCCCATATGAAGATTTGTACCCTGAGTTTCCAACCTAATAATACTTCATAAACTATATTTCTGTAAATTGTGCGCTTACCTGGTGCTTGTCCACGATATCTTCAGAAACCGTTACACGGTGAGGTCTTAAACTGCATCAGGGCGGAGAGAGGTTGGGTGATGAAGCGAGCGAGTCCGAGCAAAAAGGTGTGATGCAGTCGACTGGGACCGACTTTGCAAAGCAAACTTTGGCTTTTTCTGAAAATGGCGGCAAGTTCGGCAATTTTGGATGAGCTGGAAGAATTATTTGGCCAGGATCTAACGGATAACTATTTCATTTCTACCATTGTCAATATAGTCGTTGGAGTTTGTTATTGATAGGCTAGTTAGAACAGTAAATGGTCTGAATGATTGGAAAGATTTAAAAAGCTTCCAAGCAAACTTTGAAACATTTGTTTCATAAGTGCCTGTCACAATTTGACCCGTCTCTTAACGAGCGCGAAAAAAAGCCTCATTTACTCTTTTGAATGAATAACAGTAAAACTCGAGTTAAATGACTATACCGACGGTTTTTTTAAAAATTCAGTAATCTTAAGGAAAGTATTATTCACTTCCATGGACGATTAATTTACCAGGATTTACCTCTGCCCTGTCAGTTTCGAACGGCAAGGAAAGCCAGTGTAAGTTAATTCAAAATTTTTGTTATGAAGCTGCGACAGTCTGTCGTTTGTTAGCTGCAATGACGTTTGTAAAACTTGTCTTTCTTCCACCAAAAAGCTGAAGTAAAATGAGGCTTTTTATCAAGACACAAGGGATTTAATGCGGCGTCTATTCATTGATTTCCTCTGGTTTCTTTGACGGAATACCAGACTGGCGGAGTACGGTAAAAATGTCCAACTTAAATGGACGCAAAGACTTACCGAAATTGTATTTGTAGTAGAACTCACAACTAAGCTCGACGTTTCTTAAAGAACAAATTGTTTAGGATAATTCAGACAATGAATAAATCAACGTTTCATCGATTGATTTAATTGCAAACAAATACCTCATGTTTTGACTTTCTTAGTTACTTTTTTTTTTAATATTATTGAGGATAAATCACAAACGGCTTTTAGACCGAGTGTCAAGTTGACAACCCATTTTTTAAATAACACATTTGCCACCCCAGAATTCAATTCCAAACGAATGTTTTGCGGGAAAACAAAGCAGTTATTTTTACCTGATCATCACGATCTAACTATTTCCTTCAATTTTTTTCGTTTCTCCCACGTGTTGTTTTCTAGGAGCCAAAATTCTGTTATAGGTCAATAGAATATACTTGAAGTATAAATATCAGCGGTGGCTACACATTAACGTCAACCCTCTATTAAAGCTATCCCTTTCTCCTATTACCCCAAACAAGACTTAAGTTTTGACATTAATTTGGGCAAAGAAGCGTATCACTGTAAAATATGCTTTTATTTGAAAGCCTCTATCATTTTTCGCATTTAATATTCAAGATTTTCTATTTCAAATGAAGTAGATGATGCCTATGACACCTATGAGAGTGGTCAGCGGCGAAATGGCGGTCAGTCGTAATTTTCTCGGCTCCGCCATAGTCACTTATCTATATCTGTTCTGTTGTTTAAGTCGCTCTTTAATTTATCTAAATACGCTCATTTTCTGTCCATCTTATGCCCTTGATGATTCTGGAGTTACAAAGACCACTAATGAAGTGGATTTATACCGTGCAAGTTGCTCGTCGTCGATGCGTTTGTTCCGCCATCTTGGATTTTCATCTTCAACAAGATCGCATCGCTACTTCACTGCTCGGATATCTCATACCCGAACTCCGTTTCCTCCTTTAACCTAACGCGTCTTCGCTTAACAACGAGTGGCGACATCAGCCCGAACCCTGGTCCACTAATTACGTCTTTTACAACAAATCGTCGAGCAGTTAAACATCGAAGCCATCATCATAGCCACCGCTCCAACGTTGTGCAGGTAAACCGCGTATCTGATCTCCATTTGAGTACATCGAACACTCAGCTGACCATGTGCACGTTAAATGCTCGCTCTATTTCAAACAAATCTGCACTGTTTGTTGATTATGTCAGCGAATGCAAAGCCGACCTAGTTGCAATAACTGAAACTTGGTTATCAGACAACGACTCCGCTGTGTGCTACGAGATAACTCCTGCTGGCTATAAACTGTTACACTGCCCTAGGGGTGATCGTAGAGGTGGAGGTACGGCCCTCTTGTTCAGAGATAACATCAATGTTTCCAAGCTCGAAACTGTTTCAAGGATTTCCTTTGAATCTTCTGAATACCTTGTCTGCACTGGCTCCCTACGCTTTCGATTGGCAATCATCTATCGACCGCCGTACTCTGTTAATCATCCTGTGACTGTGAACAGTTTTATTGACGAATTTTCTGAGTACCTTGAATCTGTTATCCTATCTAACGATGTCCTGTGTTTAACTGGCGATTTTAACATCCATGTTGATGATCACAATGATTCAGCTGCTTGTCGCTTTTGGATTTATTGGAGTCAATGTCTTTAACTCAACATGTGACAGAACCAACGCATGAACTTGGTCATACACTAGATCTGGTAATTACTCGAAAGTCAGACAACCTTATTAGCGGTCGACCAGCGCCTGACATTCTATTTTCGGATCATCTAGCGTTACTTTTCAAATTGAAAACACCTCGACCACCTCTCAAAGTTGGGCGTGTCTCATTTAGGAAGTTGCGATCAATTGATAAGTCTGCTTTTGCGGATGAAATCTGTAACAGCGAGCTTCTTCAAACGGATACTGAAGATCCTGACGAGCTGGCCGCCTTATTCAACAACACATTGCGTTCCCTGCTGGATCGGCACGCTCCTGTTAAGCAAAAAGAATGTTACTATTAGATCTCGTGTTCCATGGATGAATGATGAAATTATATTGGCTAAACGTCAACGGAGGAAAGCTGAAAGGAAATGGAGGGCTTCTAAAGCACACATCGATTTACTATCCTATCGCGCAATGAGAAATCGAGTGACGTTTTTTGAGTAACGAGGCTCGTTGTGCATACTATACAAACTTCATAACTGAGAACAGCACGGACCAGAGAAGGTTATTTAGAGCAAGTAAGTCCCTGCTGAATTTATCAAATGGTCCTGGCCTCCCACTGTCGACTAATGATTATCAGTTGGCTAATGATTTTGGAAAATTCTTTGCTCAAAAAATTGCTGATATCAAGTCTGTTATTGCAAACCAGAGCCGCCTTCCTGTCACCATCGACGCTGCCAGTACTGTGACTGCTTCCTGTTTTTCAGAATTTACTCTCCTGTCCGAATCAGAGGTTTTGATTTAATCAAAGCTTCATCAAAGAAATCTTGTCTTCTTGATCCTATTCCAACCAAACTTCTTACGGACTTCGCCGATGTGCTACTACCTCCGATCACGAAAATAATAAATCTTTCGCTTGATTCTGGTTATTTTCCACGCACCTGGAAAAGTGCTCTAGTAAGGCCGCTGTTGAAGAAGGATGGATTACCTCTTGTTTTTAAGAACTACAGACCCGTGAGTAATTTGGCATTTATCTCAAAGCTGGTTGAGACTGTTGTTGCCAAGCAGCTACAGCATTATCTGAATGGCAACAATCTGTTCCCAGTGTTTCAATCCGCCTATCGACAGAACCACAGCACAGAAACTGCACTCCTTAAGGTTATGAATGATATTCTCCTTAACATGAACAGTCAACGTGTTACTCTGCTTATTCTGCTCGATTTAAGTGCTGCCTTCGACACAGTTGATCACGACACCATGCTACGTCGACTTGAGTCATCATTTGGTATACATGGGAAAGCCCTCTCCTGGTTTACGTCCTATTTGTCTGGTAGAACTCAACGGATAATGATTAACGATTCGCTGTCGGAACCTTTTAAATTAGAATGCGGTGTGCCTCAAGGTTCCTGTCTGGGTCCGTTATTGTTTTCGTTGTATACGAGCAAGCTTTTTGAGATCATTGAATATCATTTGCCCACGATTCATTGTTACGCTGACGACTCTCAAGTTTACATCTCATTCAGTCCCAACGACAGAGCTGAGCAACTTGCTGTAGTGAGGAGTATGGAGGACTGCATCAGAGACATTCGTCTTTGGATGTTGAATAATGATCTTAAATTAAATGACGACAAGACTGAATTCCTTATCATTGGCACATCACAACAGCTGGGAAAGCTCGACAATATCAGTATACGTGTGGGCGACTCAGACATACATCCCGTGCCAATTGCGAGAAATCTTGGTTCCTGGTTTGATTCAAGGCTCTCCATGGCAACACACATCACGAAAATTTGTGCCTCTTCATTTTACTACATTTATAATATTCGTCGGATCAGAAAGTACCTTTCACAGCAGTCAACGGAAACTCTTGTCCATGCATTTATAACGAGCCGCCTGGACTATTGCAATGGCCTATTATATGGACTACCGGACTGCTTGTTGAATAAGCTGCAACGAGTACAGAATGCTTGTGCCAGATTGATTCTTAAAGAACAGAGATTTTGTCATATTACGCCCTTAATTTTTAAGTTACACTGGTTACCAATTAGATATAGAATTGAGTTTAAAATATTGTTAATTACTTTTAAGATTCTTAATTTTTAGCCCCTTCTTATCTATCCTCTCTTATTTCCTTAAACCCCCTCCAAATATAATTTAAGAAATTCCAGTGATAAGCTTTTACTTAGCCATCCATCATTTAAATCGAAAGCTACACTGGGGGACCGTTCTTTTACCTGTGCTGCTCCGAAACTATGGAACGAACTACCGCTGGATATTAGGAGCGCAAGAACAGTAAATATTTTTAAAGCTAAACTGAAGACTCACCTTTTTCGTAGTGCATTTCTATAGCTTTTTTTTTTTTTTATCTCGTTTCTTAAAATTATTGTAAGTCTATTTTAATGATAATTTTTAATCTTGTAATGCGCATTTGAACATTTTATGGAATTTGCGCACTATAAATTTTTAATATTATTATTATTATTATTAATGTTCATCGAAGCTGGTTGAAAGTCTTGAAAAAGCAATGACTTGAATTTTTAGCCTTAAGGAATTGAATAAATTGATCCATAACTAAGGTACAGGATCATCATGTAACATGTTTACTGGTTACAAAAGGACAAATTCTGGGAAATTTCAATCATTATATAGGGTAATAAACTCTACAAAAATTTACAGAAGAAAATGAAAAATGATTGATCTTTCCAAAAATGTTTCATATCGTATGAACTCAAAACCTGTACATTAGAAAACTTAGTTCATAGTGGCTAACAAGAATAAAACCGATGTAAAATCGACATGGGAGTATTCTTTGACTTACATGCACACATCTGCTGCTAAATCTGAGGCAAGAATATTGTGAAATTTAGAGGCCCTTGAAGGAACCTCAAATATGAGCTTGCTAAATTACGTTCCCAATTTTCTCAATCAGGTACTACTTTTCGTTCAACTAAACTTAACTAAAATTATTTCTATTGTTATTGGTGATATTTGGAAATTCCCATTAAAAAGGTGATTTGCACTTCTTTTTTTCTTCCAACTATGCTGTCTGCGACCTAGCTACTATTATTATTTTGAATTTTTTCTATGTACTTTATTAACAACTTACTATTCTCTCTTCCAACGATTTGTCAGTTAGCTGCAGGTTTGAGCGGTATGCCCTAATGTTCAATTCCTTCCTCTTAGAACACTACCAGTGTTTGATTTAACTGCTTCTAAAATCTTGGCCTCGCTTAAGGTGATACAGATTACACACTATTTTACGGTTCTCTTTGTATTAACCAGTTCAGCAGAAAAGTTGTTTTATATCCTTGAAAGTTTTTTGCTTAGCGGTGACCTAGACCATCAGGCCCAGGCTGTTCTCTCTCATATGTAGAAAGATTCGCCATCAAATTAGTTATCCTTTTATGACCACTCATAGCAACAAAGGTTGCTGGCAACTTCATCCTTCTGCCGTTTGTAAAATTGTAGCCCCTCGTCAGAAGGGCTAACGTTCGAAACGCCCTGTTAAACTCTTCCACCGACGCAGTACCACGGGTTTTTTTAGAAACTTAGCCCCTTAATTCAATATTTTATACGGTTTGGTCACTTTCACTAGCTATGCACTGGGTGCATCCTTCGCTTCCGATGAGGATATCTTTGCCCTCTCGCACAAGAAGTCCTGTGTAGTACACATGGCCCTTTTTGCATAGTTTCCAGACTCCCCTTTGATATCCTGGGAAATTGACGAAGTCTTTGGCTTCCTCGGCTGGCAGGTCTGGAAGGTTCACCTCTGATCTCAACAAGCTAACGATTTTCTTCAACCATTCAAGATCTAGGGCGTCGTCCTTACCCTGGAGAAACAATTCAAAACGATCGCGTACTTTTTTTAGCCGATGAGTACCACCGTTCGACCAAGGAATTTGATGCAGAGTGGCCTTACTTTGGACCTCTAAAACACGAGAGAACAGAGAAAACTTTCTTGTTCGGTCATGCAATCGACTCAGGATTTTCAAATGCAGTTGTGGTTGCTCAAGATACGCTTTGATTTTTCCTAACGCATCTGTGATAATGGTTAATTGTTGATCCAACCCAGGCTGTTGTTTGATGCAGGCATCAGCTTGTTGCATTTCAGCTATTACCCTTTCTGTCGCTTGGGCCTGGTAAAGAATCGTCAAGTGATTTTTAAGAGTAAAAATCAAAAGCATATCGTGCATGCTGCATGGATATGGATGAGAAAGGCGAAAAACTGTTTGCGGAAACTTCAACTTCCTCACATCATAGTTTAAGCGACTTAAATCCCTTTTTGTGTGCTGAATAGAGTAGACAACATCATATGCAAGCTTTTGTATTTTTGCTTTGACATTCTCGACGTTTTTGAGAGTCCTTTTGATAATATGGCCATAACGGTAGCTGAATGTAATTACTGTGGAACATTTAGGACATCGCATCAGCTGAACATTGTTTCCCAGTTGTTGTACCATCCACTCGTCCATGTCCTTGACTTTTATGATGTGACCACAGTCGAAGAGTTGCAGGTATCTTGGAGCTTCTGTATTGTTAGCGCGTCCATCAGTTGATTTTATTGAAAGACTTTTCGCATTGCAAATGGCACAGAGCGTAGGGCAGTCTTCTCCACACAAACCAATACATTGATGGCCACACCGAAGCGTCTTGGGGCAGGGAGCATTGCATGAAAAGCGTTCGCATTCTTCTCCGCACAGATTATTGCAACGGCCATGGGGACAACTCAATGTGCAAGGCTGCCTACAAGGTTCGCATGGTGTTGAACAAGGCTGTGTACATTTGTCGTGAGGGCACATCCGACTGCATGTGCCGACACAAGGAGGACAGGGTAAATAGCAAGGGGCTTTGCAACGGTGTAAACAAACCAAAACTCGACTGCATTGGTTTGTGCAAATTTCGTGTGAACGCTTTCTTTGGCAATTGCCACATACTCCAGAACACTGATGACCACATTGCATTATTTTTCCACATACCATCGGGCACAGCACTTTTTCTGGGTTGTCGCAACAGTGCATTTTGATCTTGTGGCCACATCGCAGGCGTTTGGTCACGACTTCTTGGCAGGGATACCAATCACATGGTTTCCCGCACAAGCCCTTGCAAAGATGCTGACAGGAACTCTTTCGACGCGGACAAGGTGCTCTACAAATAGCAGTTTTTCTCTCGAAACAGGACACCCTTGTTGAGTGCCTACATGGAAATGTGTGTTTCATTTTCCTCATACACTTTACACTTTCGCATGGTTTCCCACAAGCACCTTCACAGGGGTGACCACAATCTAGTTTTTTCGTGCATTTATTCAAGCATACAACACTTCTCGGGTCTCTGTGACAAGGCATTCGACGGGTATGTTTCTGAGGACAATCTAGCTCTTTCAAAACCATCTCTTCGCATTTGTATTTACCGCAAATTTCAAAACATTTTCCATTGCAGTAATGACCGCAAGGCAACTTTCTTTCACATTTCTGGGTACAATCAACTTCAGAAACATCCTCCGAGCAAAGACATTTGAGTTGATGGTATCCACATGCCAAGCTCTTTTGAACTCTTTCTGTACACGCAAACTTACTGCAGTCGTCACTGCATCTTTCACGGCAAGGATGCTCACAAGAAAGAACCCGTCTACATGGCAAGTTGCAGGAAACCTCTTCTGCTCTCGTGAAACAGGGCATCTCTTTTTTATGGCCACAAGGTAGTGCTTTTGTTACCACTTCTTCACATTTTACATTCTCAAGCCCATCTGTGAGTTTTGAACACTCGACGTGCTGTTTGTGTTTACAAGAAAGTGTTACGTCGACCCTCTCCTGGCAGCTGTATTCCTGGCTTGATGTATAACAGGGAATATTTACCTCGTGTTCACATGGCAATGTTCGTTTAGTCAAAACTGTGCACTTAAACTCCTGTTCAACAACGGTGGCAAACGAGCATGTGGCAACAATGACATGGCCACATTTTAGTTTGACTTCGACTTTTTCTTTGCACTTGTACATGTCAGGATTTGAATGACAGGAAAGAACAATTTTGTGGCAGCAAGGCAAATTTCTTTCAACTTTTTCATGGCACAGCACATTTTGAATACCAGCGTAGAGAGCATAACATTTCATCGACTTTCTGTGTTCACATGGTAGATCGACTAGAACATTCTCCTTGCATTTATATGTTTCAGGATTTTTGTGACAGGCCAATGTAATTGAATGTCGACAGGGTAACTTTCTCTGGACAAGCTTCATGCACGGTCGCATTTCACAATTTTTACCACAGAAGTCTCGGCAAGGGTGCCCACACAGCCGACGCCTTTCGCATGGCTTTTTACAGACCAAAGCAGCTGGATCGCAGAAACAGGGCATTTCGATGAAGTGCCCACACGAGGGAATGGTCATATCTATTTTAACCCTGCAATCTTTACACGGTGAACCGAAGTGACATTGCTGTTGACATGGGTGACCACGTGAACACTTCTTTTGGCATGCTTCTTGACATTTGGCGTCGTGAGGGTTCATATAGCATGGGATACTTTTTTTGTGCCCACAGGTAAGGAGCTTGTCAACCAGAGTTTTGCACTGATATTGGCTGCAATCTTCACAACAAGGACCAGGACACTTATGACCACATGGCAATTCTCTACAGCAATCCTCGACGCAACGAGGTGGGTTATGCTGTTTGGAACATAAAATGCGCACAGAATGTTTGCATGGCAGTTCAAGGTCAATTTTAGTGTTGCAAAAGCATATTTCGCAGCATATCTTTGAACAAGGATGACCACATCCCAGGATTTTGCTGCAGCGTTTGTTGCATTTTTTGTAAAGCATGGGGTCTTGGTAACACGGCAAATTTTTTTCATGTTCGCATGGCAGGGACTTCGGGCATAGAACTTTACAATACCTTGTACAGAGGTTCCCACATACCTCCGCACAGTCGTGTCCACAATCGAGTTTTCTCTCGCATTTCATCTGGCAAACAAACTCCTCTGGATTAACGTGACACTGAAGTCTTTGTTCGTGACCGCATTTGGGGATTATTTTTAGCATGGGGTGTGGACATAAACAGGCATTTGGACCATGACACCTCCTCTTGCATTGATGTTCATTGAAGCAGGTTTTCAAACACATCTTTGGGCATCGACCAAATTCGTGATACTCGTCTGTAGGGTGACACTTTCTGTCACATGCATGGCCACAATCAAGGCGGTCTCCGCAGACCCTACCACAGCCTCCAAGTGGGAACTTTTGGAAATCACGTCCATTTCTTACCTCGTCGCAATGGTCATGCCGCTTGCAAACCAGTTGTAAGGTTTGGCCTATTGCGTTCTTTGTTTCTAGATCATCACATATTTCTTTCCAGAGTGGGCTTTTGCATTTAAGAAGGCTAAAATTTCCGATGCAATAAAAACCTTGACGAGCTCTTGATAGTGCCACACATATTCTGTTCGATTCTTTTAGGAACCCAATTGTGGAGTTGCTTCTCACCAACGAAAGCAAGATAATGTCATTTTCTTCTCCCTGGAAATTGTCGACGACACACACCTTAACCCCTTCAAACTCTTTTCTGGGCAATTTGTTCTTTAACTCTAAAAGTTGGCCTGCATACATGGTGAGGATAGTGATTTTGGCTGGTTTATATCCTTGCAATAACAGATAACGGCAGAGCGCTATTAGGAATTCCGCCTCATGAGGGTTGGAGAAAGTCTGGAGGCCGCGAACTGAAGACTCAGGCTGACTATGATCGAGGAAGAAAAGGTTATGACGTAGTCCAGAAATGTCGTCAAAATTACAAACAGATTCATGGTCAATGATCTCATGCTCATAAATTCGTTTAGTTAAGGCAGCAATCTCGGGACGCATGCGGTGTTGGATGGCAAGGCGTTTACATTCCATGTTGTTGAGCACCATTCGTTCGAACAAGGAGATTTCGAGGTTGTATTCTTGGGCTAGTTGATGGACTGTTGGTTTCGGGCGCAGCTGTTTGTGGTCCCCAATGAGAATCGTATGTTTTGTGTCGCGAGCAAGAGAAGTGATGATATGAGCCTCCATTACCTCAGCAGCTTCCTCGATTATAATAATTTTGGGAGCTATTCTCTGAAGCATCGAGTGGTACCTCGCTGCACCGCTGGTCGTCATCCCAACGACTGTTGCTCTACGTATTACCTCCTCCTCCTCTTGACAGATAATGATTTTCCATTTAGCACAAAGCTCTTCATGTTTCTGTTCGCCTCTTTGGATCTCAAGTCTCAAGTGTTCACGACAGCACTTAACCCAATAAAGGTACAATCGGAATCGCTCTTTTTCAGGTAAATCCCAGATGTTTGTCACCATTTTTGCTTCGTCATCAGTCATTCCTGAAACTTTCCCCAACTGAGAATGTACTTTGCTGACTTTTTCTGCCAGAAACATCTCGACTTGCGACTGGAGTGTTTGGCTTTCAGTTTCAAACTGGCTTCGGCCGCTTTCGCTACCCATCACTTGACCTCCTTCGCTACTATCTAGGCTGTTTATATGCCACACGAATGGAGTGTCCTCGTAAGTACCGTTCGGAACGCCCCCTTCATGTTCTTCTTGATCTCCTACGTGTGCTGATTCTGGTATAAGTAATAGCTCATATTCTTCATCGCCCTCGATAAATCGTTCATTTTGTAGCCTTGAAGCTTCTTCTTCTATGGTAATGAATGGATCATCGTCTCTGGGATCTTTTTCAAGGACGAGATTTGACGGATAACCTGGCTCCTCGAGGTGTTCTGTCATTTCAGCGGTAGTTACTTCTCTTGCCTCAAGAGAAACTGACGAACAAAAATCATTATACAACGTTATGCTATTTGATAACTCGTGTGCAGGACTCGGTTGTTTCATTTCCCCAAACGAACTGGTTAGGTTCAGAGTGGTCATTTGTGATTTTTCAGCCCGAGGTTGACCTATTTCGAAGAGAGGCATCGTTCGTTCATCGTTTCTTGTATCTCTTTTGGCCTCATCCTCGTTGGGGCGTTCGTTAAGGGATTGTTCATCAAATCCTACCACAAATCCGTCGCCAAAGTAACCATTTGTGTTACCATATTCTAAGGTCGCGAAAGGAGCGTAATCAACGCTGACAGCTTTTTCAACTGTACCTTCCGGTGGAATGATACACCCTTCTTGGATTTCACCAACTTCAGCTCTCTCTGACGCGTTTGCACTCTGATTCAGATGATTCAACCTCTCGTTGTTGCATAGCCACAATTTAAAAATGTTTGAAATTGTCTTATATGTGGCTGAGGCTTTCGGTGGTGAGACAGCTTGATACAGTTGGTCTGTATGCTGCATCTGCATGAAGCGTTCCAATTCTTTAAAATCCATCACATAACCGTCACCCTTGGCAAAAGCAGCTTTTAAAGCTTTCATTTCTCTGTTGTTTTTATGAATTTTACCTTGTACTTCATGGCGATCACCTTGTCGCCTATACTTCTTCGTGAAAAGCTTTAGATTACATGCTTGTAGTTCCTCACTTTTAGACCTTCCGCCAACTCTAATGATCTCTTTTTTTGGAAGAAACTCCATTACCTTCTCTAGGAATTGATCCAGAGCGTGATTTGTGTAGCAAACCATCAACATTGGTGATGTTTTACTCGGGTCCCACTTCCGACGGTTATCAAGCAAGCACTGCACAATTTTAGCTCCAACATAAGTTTTTCCCGTCCCTGGTGGCCCTTGAATGACAGAGAACTCAGTTGAAACAGCTGTTCGCAGTGCCTCAAGCTGGGAAGTGTTCAAACGTAGTGACTCAACAGGTGGCCAGGCTTCAGGTACCAGAACAGGTACCTTCTTCGCTTTGGTTGATTTCGGTACATCAAGAGCCTTACTGAGATCATAACACACGGGATCTTGGTCACTTTTGCGCCTTAGATACTCTGGTGGATCCACCTCCGCACAGCATTCAACCAAGTACTTCGTGAAAGGCATGTTCGTTTCATTCAATCCTTGAAGTCCCTTTAGTACGTGGCGATATGCTTCAAAAAAGGCCGGTGACTCAACCATTTGGTATCGATCTCGACTTTCTTCAATCTCAAAAACATTCTGGTCCTCAAGGAATTGAATGTAAACTTTACCTCTCTGCAGGCGTTCTGGGTCTCGATTCGCAACTGTAGCAAAAAGCAATGTTTCGAAGTTGTTTTTGGAAAGACAAAGAAATGATCCAAAGATGAGCCTTTTTGATTGGGTCCAGTTTATCTTGCCGAACTGGGAAACGTCAAATTGAACATCGTAATGAACTCCGAACATCGTGAACTCTTTGCGAACAATAACCACTTGCTGATAGCATTTCATAATCTGATTGCGATTTTCTCTTGAAACATGGTGTGTTATTTCGTAGATACCTTCCCTTAAAGGCTCAAGGAAATCCTCACGAAGCAATCTGAACTGCACATCAAGGTAGTGCTCGACGTCTTCGTAACGTCCTCTTTTTATGTTCTTACGTAAGAAGGGAACTTCTTGAGTTTTGATTTCTTTAGTCGATGGACATATGGGGATTTTTCTAAAATCATCTGGTGGTTTTTGTCCCGTCGTTCTGGTATAGCGCTTTCCATGCCTCGCTCTTTCGGCCCTTATAATGTCATCTCTTACTTGCTTGAAGTGATCTAACTTTTTCGTCAACTCATCTCTTCCATCAACGATTGACTGTTCCAGGGTTTGTTTCAGTTGATCGTAAGGTGGGTCAGCATATGAACTTGGTAAGTGCCTCAAATAACTCGTGAACACTTTGATTAAGCAACCAATGAATTTTCCTCGAGATTCCGGATCTTTTATTGCCTTCTTCATTTGAACACGATCAAGCAAGTACGGAATTTTCTTACTGAAAAATGCTGATCCTTTAAGCATAGCTAAAATCTTATTCGTTTTCTCGTTCGATGGTGCATCGCAGGCAACTGCTAATGTGCAAGTGAGGTCCAATATGAATTCATCACTGTTATGCTGCTGCTCCTCTGATCGTAGAAAGAACTTGAAACGATCCAAACTCTCATTCAACTTCTGAACAATCTCAATGCTATCCTTTTCTCTCAATGTTGAGAGGTCAAGGACGATTCGTTGTCTGGGAAGTGATTTCTTTTTACTGTGTTTATTTTGTTCACATGGTAGTGGAGGCTGTGTTTGGTGCTTTTTGATCGGTAGATTAGCTTTTCGTGTTTGATAATCCCTGTTTTGACCTGTATTGTAGGAATCAATATATTCTTACATTAATTTTTTACAATAACAAATTTGATTCTAATTTTACAAAATGTTCGCTGGTCTACGTACCAAAACGTCTTCCTTTGCCACTCGACGAAGGCAGTTCTTTACTTTCATTGGATTCCCGTGATGCTTCTCTTCCGCTCCCGCGAGGATCTTGTTTCTTTTCGTCAAAATTGCCACCTTCAATATTCATACCAAACAATTAAGCCCATACTCGACACACTTCCGACTAAGCCGTTTTAAAATTTATACACAGCCGATGCAATTGTTAGCAGGTTATCCAAACGCTTGTAAATTACCTTTCAAACAGAGGAAATTGAATGCACGGCTATGTTTCAAATTATTGCAGGTTATGGGAAGGAAGATCGGAACAGATTAATAGTCCAATAAACTGAGTTCCTAAATAGTAACTTGTTCCAAACAGTTTTTACCAGTTTAGGAGGCGTTAGTATTTTTCCATTTTGAGAAATACTGAAATACTGAAGTCGTAGCACTCTGTTAAGGCAATGTTTTAGTGCCTAAGTAAACAGCCACGATACTTTCCGGTGATGTTATTTTTTTCAATAAAGCAACAGTTGTTGAGTTTGTTACTGGTACGATTTCCGAACAAAATGTTTACCAGGCAATCACTCTACATACCTGCTGAGATGTTACCAGATTTTGGTGCGGAATCTGGAGATTTTTTTTCTACCTTGGTATCCTTTCCGGTTCCTCTTATGTCAGTTGGTAACGATGCTCCTCCATCTGAAAAACAGCAAGTTATTTTCTCATTTCTTTTTCTTTTTAATCTTAACGCTGAAAGCATTACTACTGTAGGATTGTGTAGTGTCTTCAATTTGTATCTACAAATGTTTAAAAACTAGTTTATGGGAACTCTGAACTCTACCAACCTGAAATGGGTTTTCTTTTCTCATTTGAATGCCTTTGTGTCTTGCCCTTTGTAAATGTCTGTGGCTTCCTTCTTCTGTGGTCCTTACGCTCTTTATTCTGTTTTGTGGAACTGTCATCTTAACATGAAAGAGTGGTCATGCAAGGAAGAGTTAAACACTTCTGTAGTAACGATGCATGTAACATTACCTCTTTTCCTTGCTCCCCTTTCCTTCTTCGCTCCTTATCGTTGGACATCTCCCTCCCTTTTAACGTCTTTCCTTCCGCTCTCTTGATCATTGTGCCTTCACCTCCCTCTCTTTTCCTGCGGTATCTCATATTCAAAGTGACTAGGCTACCTCGAAACCTCCCCGATCATTTTCCTTTAGTTGACTTGTCTACCCTTTCTTTAACTCTTTAACGTCTTTCACTTCCCTACCTTGAATACTGGGTCTATTTTGCGTCTCATCAGCAGCTGTCCCGCAAGCGCCCTGTGCTGGTGACATTTCAGTTTCCCCATTTCCTTGCCTTTTTCCCTGACTTTTTTCCTGCTTTGGATTTGACGTTTGCATGGAATCTTTATTGGCTTAAAACAGAGATTAAGAAACCCAATTGAGTAAAAACGGTTCCTTAATAAAATATTTATTTTCGCTATTTTATGTTAGGTTTCTTTGGATTAACTTGGATGGTCTATTATTTATTTTAAGTTCTGTGGTCATTGCCACAGCAGTTATCTCGTCAACGTTTTAATTTGAAATAAATTGTTTTGTTACCTTTTGAGATTCCCCCAGGTTCTTTCAGGTTCTTGGGTTTTACTCCTCGTCGTTTCTGTGAAGACATCCTGAGTTCTCGCAGAGAGCTGATAATGAAAATTCAAGGAAAGAAACCGTATCACTGAAAAACCCAGCGTTTGTCTAGTCATGATGCACAACATATGCTTTCTGGACAATGTCGATTTGGTTGTAGAAATCTACCGTTCCCAGAATTGAACGTACGAGTTTCACGTACAAGGTGAAGCTTGATGTCGCACTTAAGAATCTCAAATAGCATCTTTAGAAACCATAGCGAGGTTCGTGGAGTAAAACGATCAGTTCTCTTTAAAAGGCCTGAATTCATATCTCCTATAATATGATGTGAGCCCATCATTGCCAAATGGAAAGTTCGTTCGCTTTCCACCTTCGCTCTCAAATATCCACAACTTCATTTCAATGAACCGTGCACCTTCTGTTGCTTGCTTGTTCCTTTAACAGAACCAACGGGTGCATTAAGACTTCTGGAGTCCTCAAGTCCTCACTTGGTTGCGGAAGGGCTAAAAACTTACTTTAAATTGGAAAGCTTTTTCCTGATAAGAAACAATCTACCCTAAACAAACCCTCCGAATAATAAGTTTCCGTCTCAAATTAAAGCAATAAGTTTGTTTCGATTTTTCTTCCTCACGAAAACACCGTGTGTTCTCTCACTGGCCAGAGACGAAAATTCGAATCGGTTTTCCAGCCTTTCAGGAGGGTATACCAAATCAAATCGCAGACACACTTTCGCTACCTGTCTCGCCTATATACAAATTTGTATTAGCACTGCATTTTATAACATAGACCAGTTTTTCATTGGTTCTGATTGACTAACCTTCAAAGTTTTTGTTCCCCTACGACTGCCAACAAATGCAGAGGCGTTGGTACGAGCATGGTACTAAAATAGAAATGTGTCACGGTCATCATCGACAGCGGTCACTACTCCTGTCAATAGGAGTACTCGACTCCTGGAGTTACCTAAGTTATTTTGATAAGCGCTTAGAATGTGATGGAAAACTGTCTCAAAATCTGGTTTATTCCGTAATAGAAGAAGGCTGCGTCTGGGTATGCTCTTTAGAAAAACCTTGTTGGTTAAGCATGGTATATCAAAACTAGATGGATGGCAGTTTTTGACGAGTGTGTCGGTAGGCTCTCAAATACTTCACCGAATGTGACCAGAATTTTGCTCCAGAGTAAATGAGTAACCGGATAATAACTTTGAATAGCCACAGTTTACGAAAATCTAATTACATTATTCACCGTACTGGCTTTGATAAAACCATTTGATAGAAAGATTTTGACCGAAATCAGAGACTATTAACAAGTTAATCATAAACATTACAAATTCCTCAAATATTATTGATGCATTCACAGCTTCATTTTTCAGTAATCATTTTGTGCAGTTGTGATCGGACAGTGTTATCGGACAATTGGCTTAAATCGGACACCTGAAGTCGGACAGTTGAAGCAGCCAGTCATACTAAGTCCACTTAGCTAATCCACCAATCACAGAAATGATCAAAATAACCATAGCAACAACCACTTATCCATAGAAAAACTGGGGAATTTAAAAAATGGAGGAATTTTGAACCAAAGACATTTTCTCCACTGGAGATATTTTTCTAAGTGTATTTGTTTTTTTTGAAATTGAAATGGTTATGATTAATTGGTAACAGGACTTCTTGTCGTCCCGTTCTGTCTGTAATCAAACTCGTGATTGACAAATAGGACTCCCGCTTCGCGGTGGTCCGATTTTGTTAATCACTCGTATGATTACAGACCGAATTGGACTCCACTCGGTCCCATTACCATTAATTATCTCATCATAGTCATAAGCAATGATAAGTGAATTGTCACTTAAATTTTATTTAATTCGATTAAATTGCTTAGAAGAGTTGTTTCTTAGAGGTATGTCGAAATAGAAACCCTTTGTTTTATCAATTATATTTAGACATTTCCTATGGCTAAATGCATAATCAATGATTAGAAACATACAATTGCTGGGGAAGAGAGTAGCAGTTTAAAACGTTTTTCACCCATCTCCTCATTTTATAACAATTGCATGTGACTAAATGAAAATAGATACATGTAAGAATTTTATTGCATGTAATCTAAATTAATTTTCAGCACCGCAACCCAGTCTGAAAATTTCACACCTTTCTCCATTACATTCTGTTAATCCGTCGCTTACGGAGGAAAAATATTTACTCAAGCGTCGAAAATTTATTATCATTGTTATTTTTCACAGCTTTTCAACGGTCGATCTTAAGATCTAAAGATAACGACTTTGGTTTCTTGCCGCCTTCCATTTTATCAATTCTCCCCAGAGTCTCTTTATCTCCGCCGTTGAACATCTAAATTTATGTTACATATCAATCAATGTAGAGTGTCACTGAATAATAATCAGTGTGGGTCAGATTTTCAGACGAACGATCGAGATATGCTTTGGCTTGTCGAAACTAATACGTCGGTAATACGTTGTTGTTCGAGAAAGCTTAATAACGCCCTTCATCGATTTGAGTTTTATTTCGTCTTTAGATATGAAAGCGATCTTCGTAGTACTTCATCTCTCGAAAAACCTGAGTCTAAATATTCCCTTTTCTTACTAAATATATCCTTTTGTCATTGTCTATAGTTCAAGTTTGTTTTCAATTTAGCAATTCCGAAAACCATTGACGCACTAATACGGCGGCTTTGATATTGTTTGAAGACATTGCTGTACGTTCAGCTTTTCTTTTTTCAAACGTTTCCAGTCTAAGGTATCCACTAAGAAGCTATCATAGAGATTCTCTTTTGTTTCCATCGCATCTTGTCGGCGTTACACGTCTGACAGGCGTGATCGTCAAAACGATGGAACTTAACTGTGGACAATTTTATGAAATCCTTGGTTTTTTCAATTTATGCATATGAAAAGATTTGTCGTAGTCTTAAATAACCGGCCCCTTAAAGTTCAGCGAATCGTCCTCTGTATTTCGCTTGAATAACAACTAATTAGATCAGCACAACTTCGGCTAGCGAAGGAACAAGGAAAAAGATGAACAAAAACATTTCCTTACCCGTTCTCACCGTCAAGACATCACAAGGAAGAGTGGATATCGACACTCGCTTACAGCACAAAATACTATTAACTGAGTGAACGTCCAGGGAAGATAACGAAATAAAACTTAGTCGCTTCGGTGGACAAGTATGTTCAGGCAGTAAATTGATACTGGGTTACTATCAGATTTAGATTCTTGGAGACAATGTTTGTTGGGATAAACGTTTTTTTTTTTGTTTTTCTCAGAAAAAGGAGTTAAGTAAAATTGGATTGGAGGTGGTGGAAAGCGGAAAGCGGAGCTAGCTATACCATTAATTTTTCAAAACGAGATATATGGAAGAGGTGATTTTGTCCCTGAAAACTTTTACGTCGACTTGCCCTGCAATAAATAGTTCTATTTAAGACTTTTCTATTGAAGATTAAAATTGCCTGTTTTCTCTGCAGATTCTGCTTAAGAACTTGTTATACTTTCATTGGTGTTCTGATCTTGCCAGGGTTCATTTACGTTCAACTGGTGTAAGTCATGGTTTGTTATGCTTCTCTCGTCAACACATCTTTTTCTGATCTTTTAACAGAAACGTTTAATTCTTCACTGGTCTTAGCGACTTATTTCAGAAGATGTAAGAGTTAAAGGGAGGAGTCAAACGCCATATTTTTTTATTTCACAAGAGGTTCTGGTTGGGTAAATGCAAGGGTGTATTTCTTGTAACAATTTGGTGGTATTCACTCTTCTGGTTCTTCTTTCGTTGTTTGGTTTTCTTCCACTTGTAGAAAATTTCAAACGTCACTGTCTGTTAGCGATAAGAATCTTTCAGTAGTTTCAGCAGCCATATTCCGAGAAAATTTCGGCGAACAGCCTTGGATTGAGAATAGCGAACGCCTTGCCATTCATTCATCAACCTGACAGAGTGACGCGAAAGGCGAGTGACGTGTCCGCAGCTGACTGGCGATATCGAAGACACGTAAAAAATGTCGTATTTTGACTCGTGTTCAGTATGGCCTTTTTCAGGGCTGGAAATCCTTGAGAAACAGCGCAGTTCATATAATAAATACATATTCTGTTTCCCTACCGGTTATATTTAAGGATTAAAGCAATATGAGAAATCTGATATTAATTTTAATCGTTTATGTTTGTAGTCAACATGGCTCTACATGTATTTTTTGGAGGAAAGGCGTAATTGTACAGTAGCATTGGTCTTAAAATTCTATACGGAACTGTTCTACTCTGAGGAATCGGCATCGTCTTCCATCCACTACATCACTGTATGTTCCTTTTCACAATGCAACTTCAACCCCAGAATTTTAACTTAGTATGTTACTTATGTTGGTTGAAAACAAACTAAAGCATATGTCATTGCCGATGAAAGGTTACTTCTTATAAGTTAAATAAGTTTACAGGTAGTGTATTTTTTTGCCATTGACCTTGTCTAAAATTGTAATTTTCATTATTGAAGGAATTTTTCATAGAAATCCTCCGCTTTTTTAGAAGCATATTTGATGATTTCTGGTTTACTTTATCATTTCGATTTCTCTTAAAAGACACACCAAATTTCCTATCCTTCAAGTACACTGCATTAAAAGTAAGCTTTGCAAAATAAGCGAAAATGTTGACAGGATCAACAAACACTGGGCGCTTTCGCGCATTAGCTGCCATTCATGCAGACTACTGTAACCAATTTTATACATTATCAAACAAATAAATGATTTAGCTGAAAATGTGACATAACCTTCCAGCCAACTTGATGCGTGCTTTACTTTTTTTTCAAGTGCTCTTTTCTTGTTGCGGTATTGATATCTAAATCTTATTTAGGTCTTTACGTTGACTTTGCCTGATGAAAAGCTACGTTTTAATTAATACTCTAAAAAATTAATATCCCGAGATAAATCTCGTAAACTAACTCGCTAAGTTATTTAAGCACTATTTATTATTCAGTTTTACGCCGGTCACCATATCATTTGTTCGCTCTAAGATTATGTTCTTTCTCATTGTGTATAAGTAGTAAGTCTGCGAAAGGACAAGTTCTTGGTGCGATGTCGTATAAGGCCGGCCTTAATTACTACAGTGCGCGCAACCAATGTTTTACAGAAATTGAAGCAGGTATAATAAGTTTCTTTTCTGATCCATTCACGCGTAAGTTATTAGATATTCTGAACTGTTCTCTGGTGCAATCTTCCACGTCTTTTATAATAACTCGCAAGCACTTCATATAGCTCTTTCCGCGGCATATTGAGACCTATAGAGATGATAAAGTTCTTTGGTTCCTCGAAGGGGTCTATAGTTGTAGAAAGCCAGACGCTTTGATTCCGTGAAAATCCTTATAGGCGAGCATAAGTAAGGACTCTCCAATGTTTTAAAGGACCTGTAGGAATAGAAGTAGCTACGTCAATAAAGGATGCAGCTTCTACTGCATTTTAGGGCATCACATTCAAGCTAGATGGCGATAGATGTTTTCCGAAAAATTTAAAAACATATTCTTACCACAGTTAAATATTATTGCTCGTAAATTTCAAAAGAAAAATGAAATGGTACTTCGTATAAGCTTAAATTTTGATACAACCAACGTTAATTCGACGGGTATTAGACTAATTCAGCGCTGATTTCTTCCTCTTTTCTGTTTAACTCACCCTATTCATTTTATTCAGTTTCACTTTTTATACATCTTCTGCATCCTTCGCTTCCAGTCAGTATATCTTCGCCTCCTCGCACAATCCATGTCATGTAGTAAACGTGACCTTGTCCACATAATTTCCAAATGTCACTTTGGTATCCAGGGAAATTCGAGAAGACTTTTACTACCTCAGGCCGTAAAGGTGCAAGTTTTACCTCTGCACGGAGCACTTCAACGATCCTTTCCAGCCGTTCAAGATCTAAAGCACCATCATCATCCTGGATGAACCCCGTAAACCCATTGCATGCCAATTTTAATCTATATTCACCAATACTTGACAGAGCGATTTTTTTCTGTACAGCAGTGTTATGGACTTCTAAAACACTAGAAAATAGGAAGAACTTCCTCGCTTGCTCATACACTTGACTTAGTGATTTAAGATCCAGTTGCGGCTCCTCAAGGTACTCTTTGATATCTTCCAATGCGTCTTCCAATGTGGCTTTAGATAAACCTCCCACCTTATGTTGGTCTTTGAAGCTAACTTGAATTCTTTTTAGCACTTGTTCTGCTCTCTTCACCTGCTGAAGGATGATCAGATGATTTCTAAACGTCGACTTAAGGACGCTGCTCTGGTCCGCATCTAGCAGATTGAAAGGATTCCAAGTCCATGGAACTACCTGAACGTAGTCTAATTCTGTTGGCGGGACTCCCTTCTTCTTCTTCTTCTTCTTCTTCTTCTTTGCAGCATGCTTTGACTGCTCAATATTTAGATCTTTTCCTAGCTGTATGGCTGAGTTGGTTACTTCATTTTCGACCTGTAGAAGTTGTCTTTTGACATCTTCTATATTAGCCAGTGCCCTTTTGATGATATTGGCATAGCGATAGCTAAATGTTATTGATGTAGTGCACTTTGGACATCGCAAGAGGTGTACGTCATTACCCAACTCAAGCAACACCCACGCATCCATTTCATCGACCTTTATAATATGACCACAGTCAAACAACTGTAAGCATCTAGGGACTTCCATTTTCTTACCACGTCCGTCGCCAATTAGGGAAGAAAGCTTTTTGGAGTGGCAAATGCCGCATAAACTGGGACAATTTTCTCCGCATAGCCCAATACACGGATGACGGCACTGAAGCTTCTTGGTACAAGGAGCATCACAGCGAGGTCGGTCGCATTCCTCACCACAGAGATTGTTGCATTGATAATGAGGACAACTCCAGGTACACGGTTTTTTACACGGTTCGCACGGTTCAGAGCATTTTTTTGAACACTTTCCATGAGGGCACCTTCGGCTGCATTTCCTGTCACATGGAGGACAAGGCTCGCCACACATGGCCTTGCAACGATGCAGACATACGAGTAATTTGCCACATGTATATTGGCACAATTCATGTGAGCCTCTCGGTTGACAATCTTTACACGCTCCAGAACATAGGTGACCACAGGGTAGCTTTTTCCCACACGGAACGGGGCATTCAACGGCATCAGCAGTCCGGCAGCAAAGCATCCTGATTTTATGGCCGCATGCAAGGGTCTTATTTACAGGTACATCACAAGGATACTTGGAGCAGTTGTCACCACACACTCCTTTACACATATGTTTGCATGTACTCTTTCGACGCCGACAGGGTTTCATGCAAGTTGCACTTTCACTCTGGTAACACTGAAGTGGCTCCTCATGACCACAAGGAAATCGTTTTTCTACTCTTCTGATGCACTTCATACTGCCACAGTCTTGACCGCATAGCCCTGGACACGGATGACCACAAACAAGAGTTCTGTCGCATTGTTTCTCGCATTTTGCAGCCTTAGGGTCCTCACTACAAGCCAATCTCATGGAGTGGTTTCCTGCGCAATTGAGTGGCTTCAATTTCATCACTGAACACTTGAAGTTATTACAATCTTCAAAGCATTTACCGGGACATCTATGCCCACAGGACAACGTAAGCGTGCAGCTATTCAAACAAATACTCCGTGACACATCTTCTGAGCAACGCAGAGTTTTCCAGTGTTTTCCGCAGGTTAACATCTTTTTAACTTTGGTAGCGCATTTGAAGCTAGAGCAATTCTCGCCACATTTTCCCGGGCAAGGATGGTCACATGAAAGATTTTTTCCACAAGGAGCATCACAAAATGCTTTCTCCGTTGGAAATGAGCACTTCATCTGCTTCTCATGGTTGCAAGGTAATGTCCTTGTCACTATTTCATCACATGGTTCACCCTGTAGTCCACGGCTCACTTTGGCACACACTATCAACTTCCTATGTAAACAAGGAAGGGTAATTTCAACCTCCTTTTGACAGCAATGCTCTTCAGGTTTTCTGTAACACGATAGGATTTCGTTATGTCCGCACGGTAGTTCTCGTTCTACCTTCTCCTAACAGTTGATACTTTGCAAGTTACCGGTCGCAACGAAACAGAGAACAGTCTTGGCATGTCCACACGAAAGCTTTAATTTAACTTTCTCCTTGCAGTTGTACTCTTCGATACCTTTATGACAGGGGAGAGAGACCGTGTGTTTACAGCACAGTTTTTTCTGAACAATTTCGTTACACAAAATGTTTTCTTTTTTAGCCGTTGCAACATAACACTCCAGGACCTTCATGTGTCCACACGATAAATGAACCTCCATCTTTTCCTTGCATCTGTACTGTTTCAGGCCCTTATGACAGGGTAAGGGTACTTCATGACCACATGGTAATTTTTTGGTTACAATTTCCTTGCACGGCCGCGTTTCGCATTTCTTACCACAGATTTCCTGACATGGATGTCCACAGGCTCGCAGTCTTTCACAAGGTCTTTTACACGTCACTGTGGCTGGTTCCACGTAACAGTTAATTTCAATGCTGTGTTCACACGATGGAACTGTTACTTGAACCATTTCCATGCAATTACCACATGGCAAGTTAAAGTGGCAAGGTTTTTGACATGCATGACCACCCTTACAGATCATTTGGCATAAATGTTGGCATGGTACCTCTTGGCACTGTCGGCCGCAAACAGATGAGCACTTATGACCGCAGTTCAGCTGCCTTTGACAGGGTGCGTTACAGGAAACTTCTGTTGGATTCATATGGCAAGGAACGATTTGTTGGTGGCCGCATGGAAGACACTTCGGGACAGCGCTTTCACATTTTTTCGTTCCACATTTCTCGTAACATTCACCTGGACAAATATGTCCACAGTCTAGTTCCCTTTCACATCTTTCAAAGCACGTCTGAGGGATTTCTTTCTCGCGGCATAAAATTATCTTTTGATGGCCACACTTCAAATCAACTTTAGTGCTGCTGTTACATTGACAGTTATCGGTGCATCGCTTTGAACATGGGTGGCCACAGTCTAGAATTATTGGACAGCTAACGTCGCATTTTGTATGTTCCATGGGGTTTTTAAAACATTCCATCAACTTTTCGTGCCCACATGGAATGATTTTCTTGCACTGAACAAGACATTTTTGAATGCATGGAACATCTCCACAAGAATTCGTGCATTTGTGGCCACATTGGAGGAGTTTCTCACATTGGGCTCGACAAGAAATTTTTGACGGGTCAGTAGCGCACGGAACTTGTTGTTTGTGACCACATCGAGGGATTGTCTTTGACACAGGCGCAACACATTTTGGACATTCCCTAGG